ATGGTGAAAATGAAGATGATAAACTTTGAGAAGAATAAGAAAACTCAAAGAAGAAGAAGAAAAAAATGAAATGTGAAGAGAAAAAAGTCAAACAAGAAGTAAATAAAAACTAGAATAAGATGATGTAAGAGAAGACGAAGACTATAAAAGTAGAGAGAGAGAGAGAGGGGAATGAGAAAGAACAAAACCGGAAAAAGAATGTAAAGAAAAGTAAGTTGGAGGATATGAAAACAGAATAAACGATTGAAGAACAAAAATTGGAAAAAGAAAAAGCAGAAAAAATAGATGATGACAACGGAAAAAAAAATGGAAGAAAAAAAAAGATGGGATCATTGGAAAAGAATAAGAGAGAGAAGAAAATAACTATTACAAAATTTAACTAATTTTTTGTGCTTTCACAATCAAATTAACTAGATGTTAAACTATTACTTCCTTAGAAATAAAAAAATATGAAAAGTAATTAAAAAGAAAATGTGTTAATCTAATAGTTATTGAATTCGTGAATTAACAAAAGCTAGACTATCAAGAAAAATGATAAGTGAAATACAAAATATAGACAAGAACGAAAACATGATTAAGAGAAAAGAAGACGATGGAATATAAGATCGGAACTTCGAGATGATGGAATATAAGATGGGAAACTTCAAGAGCAAGAAGAAAATTTGAACACGAAGGAAACAAAATCATAGAAGAAAAAATGGAATGTGAAGAAAAAAAGACAAAGACGAGATATATAAAATTTATATTAAGATGATGTCAGAGAAGACGAAGATGATAAAGATAGAGAGGGGGGGAATGAGGAAGAAGAAAAACCATAAATAGAATGAAAAGAAAATTAGAAAGAAAAAGAAGAATAGTGAGTTGAAGGATATGGAGATACAAGAATCGATTGTAGAACAAAAATTAGAAGAAGAAGAAGAAGAAGAAGCAGAAAAAAAAAGATGATGACAACGAATAAAAAATGGAAGAAAAAAAAAGAAGATGGGATCACCAGAGAAAAAAAGGGAGAAAAAACAACCATTACAAAAAAAAACTTTTATAAATAAAATAAAAATAAAAGAAATTTTAAAACTAATTTGTAACGTGAGGTTTAGGTATGCGTTTTAGTGGGGAGTTATAATGTGGATTTAGGTTTATGGTGTATGTTCTTTTATTAGAGGGAGGGGGGGCGTTATAATGTGGGGTTTGTGTTTAGGGTTTATGTTGATGGATGTAGGGTTTAGTTTTTGTGCATTTAAAAAAAAAAAATATATTATAGAAGTATATGAAAATTAAAAATCACTGATTATAAATTTCTATCACCATTCTAAAATACACTCACAAATAGAAAAAAAAAACAATTACAGCAAATCCATAATCAAAAGATAACAACACAACTTAAATAGATTTTTAAAAGATCTAAACTATCGAATGAATTGATAAAAAGGAATAAAAACTTGAGTAGAATAAAAGAAGATGGTGGAAAAGAATATGACAAATTTCAAAAAGAAGAAGAAAACTCGAAGAGGAAAAAGAAAACAAAGAAAAAAAAATGAAATGTCAAGAGAAAAAAAAACAAATAAGAGATAAATAAAAACTAGATGAAGATGGTGTCTAAGAGAGGGGGAATGAAAAAGAAGAAAAACCGAAAAAAGAATATAAAGAAAATTGGAAAGAAAAAGAAGAATACTAAATTAGAGGATATGAAAACACAAGAAAAGAAACGATTGAAGAACAAAAATTAGAAAAAAGAGGAAGCGGAAAAAAAAAAAAGATGATGACAACAAATAATAAAATGAAAAAAAAAATATGGGATTAGTGAAAAATAATAAGAGGGAGAAGAAAACAACTCTTACAAAATTTAACTAATTTTTGTGCTTTCACGATTTATAAATTCATATCAAATTAACAAAATGTTAAGCTATTATTTCCTTGGAAAATAAACATATTACAAATATGAAAAGTAATTAAAAAGAAAATGCTTTAATTTAATATTAATTGAAATGATTGTAGTTCTGAAACATCTGTTGCCCGTGCCAGCGCAGGCCAACAACCATCTAACGTATTAATCCAAGAGTTTTAGGTTAGCAAATATTATGACAAGATCACTAATGTATCAATGTTATCTATCAAAGATCCCAGAAGTTAATCAATCAATGGAAATCATGTGAGTAGAATTTTTACATACAAATAAACACAGTTAGCAAATATATATTTTTCTAATAGTTTTCAAACTAAAATTTCTGGAATTACAACATCGTTAAAATTCACAATGAATATAGTCAATGTGTTCAGAGACATTTTAATATTATTTATATGAGATAATTTGATTTCATAAATTCAAGATTATGAAACATAATTTTAAAACAGAAAATAAAATTAAATGAAAAAAATATTACAAAGAAAATAATAATTTTAAAATGATCTAATATTATTATTATTACAAACAATTACCATTTTAAAAAATCTCATGCCCGCGCGGGTCGCGGGCGAACCACCTAGTTTCATTTAATTTGGTTAAGTTTATGGCTTTTAAGTATGGCTTGTTTGTGATAAGGCAAGTTGTTTGCTTCAAATTTGATGAAATTAACTGTCTGGTAGGTTTAAGGGGGATATTTGATAGAATGTTTGGGAAATCCTTAATGAAGGCCAGGTTTTGAGATAAATTTAGCATGTCAGCCGTGCCTAGTGAAGAAAATTAGAAGCACTGGCCTACGGCATCCAATTTTCATACAAAACTTAAGAGGCATCTATATATTATTTTAATGTGGTTCATTGGTAGAAATATTATCTTGACAAGTCTTTAACTTGAACATAGATGGATCCCAATCAATATCATTAGAATTTGTTTTTATTTTCCAACAATAACAACTTGGGCTTTAACGTAAACTACATGGCAACTTAGGTTTTCCCACTGTTTTGTATGTTACAGTTCTGTATATATAAACTGAACTTAAAACAAGAAAAATCTATTGGTGTAATTTTTTCTATCCAAATTTTATTTTACAAAATAATGATATTTTAAATTATTTTATTGTAAAAACAATTTAATAAGATTTATTAATTTTATTTGGCCTACGGCATTAAAAAGTCTAGGCACGGCTCTGCTACGAACCACTCAAATTATGAAGTGAAATCCACGTTAGTTTTTTTTTTTTCTCCTAAACGTATAACTTGGATTGGAATCACATTAGTTTGAAATTTCTCACATGTCCAAAATTTACAAAAAACAAGTTAGCATCACGACAGACACATTGGATACGTAACATACGTTTTAGTGGACTAGAGATGTTATAGCCCTTTAGTGCTTTGAAAAGTAAAGCTGCACATTAAAGAGAAATATTCAATAAATATCATCTCATGCATCTTTTTGTAAAAGCTTGGCATTGTTGTTAACTTTTAAACCCGTTTTTAATCTTAACAAATTGATATGTTCTGATCTTCTTATTTTTTTCCCACTGCTCTGTTTGGTTTCTGTATGTAGAATCAGGCTTTTTCTTCTATCCTTAAGAAGTTGGAGGCAGAATAAATAGAGATGTGTATAAAGATGACTACAGAAGATTCAGCTTTGTTAATTTAAAGCAAATGAAATATAAACAGAGCATTGGATAAAAACATAAGAAGCTGCTTCATTAATACGCCAGCAAACTAATTGATAAATAAATTCAAAACATTTAACGATCAAACGCAAAACCGAAATGTTTTTGACTTTCTTCTGACGTTATAATTATGATGGAGAACATTGAGAAGGTTGGAATCATGTATTAGTTTGAGCGAATTTGTCATAATCTGGCTTGAATCTTCTCTGTAGCTCCTTAATTAGGTGAAGATAAACTGACTAAGCTTTATGTAAATCCATTTTTTCTTGCAGGTTCTTGATTGCGGTGAAAAAATTGAGCTACAGGTTAGTACTTACCTTTTGACTCATATGTGTCTGATTTTTTTTCAAAGAAAAAACTTAATTTTCAGCAACGAATCAAGGAAAAACTTATGTGTATTACATACAGATACATATAAACTCATGTATAAATGAATAAGCTTAACAGGCTTTTACTGCTTTTACGCGCTTATATTTCCAGTTCTAATGTCTCTCCAGGCACAAGATTTCAGAACACAAGGAACGAAATGGAGAAGAAAGATGTGGTTTAAGAACATGAAGTTTGAGCTCATAGTCCTCGGCATTATCACCACCTTGATTATTATCATCATCATCTTGGTTTGACATGGCTTCAAGTGTACTTAAAACTTGAAAAGACTATGAAAAAGACAAAGAAACATAGGCTTGAGGGATTTAGAAGGCCCCCCCGTATACTAAAACTCCTCCTGTATATCCCTTTTAAAATTTTCTGTTTTCACAGTTTCTCTTTTTTAATTTTGTTAGGGAAAAGGAATATGATGGTCAGTACTGAGAGAAATGATATTTAGGGTATATATGCAGTGGAAAGAGATGTAAGCTGTTGGAGTTTTGCTTAGATATAGATTAGGTCTTTGTGCTCATCCTGATGATGTAGAATTTTTATGGTAAACTCAAATCTAATGTTGGGTTCTTGCATTTTTCTTCAATCTACTAATTTTTGTTTTTTTTTTTTTTAATGCCAACTAAATAGATTAACCGTGATCTCTCTGTTACAAACTTTCATAGTTACATAGTAGACAAGTCTCATGTGTGGAAACAAACTAACATTGTTGATAAATCTCATAACATAAAGCAATGTTTTTCTACATAACATAAGCGAATTTAAAATTTCTCTATCTTGGGAAACTTTTGAAGTTTATGATCAGCTTAATTTCTTAAACGATGGTAATTTCTTCTGCCATTTTCTCATCAGGAAAAAAAACAGAGATGCATATGAGTTGACAAAAAATAAGAAAAAGATGCATACAAATATGGCTACAACAATACTCTAATCAGATGAAGATACAACAAACATAGGAATGCTTCAAAACAAGACCACAATTACCAAAGATATCAAATAGAGAGACAACAAACATCAAACATCAAACTCAAAGCCGAAATTATGCTAATGGTTTCTGCGCTTAATCGGACCAATAATCTTGGTGAGCCACTCCGGCTTGTATGAAGCAATGACTTGTGCAATTGACAATCCCAACAACAATCCAAGCCCATACCCTATTGCCACTGCTCTCCAGCTCAACACTTCTTCCTTTTCTTCTTGATCATCTTCTTCCTTAGGCTGTTGTGTTGGTGTTGCATTACTCCCAAAGCAACTTTCTTGGAGAGGAAGACCACAAAGCCCTGCATTCCCTTCAAATGACGATTTAGGCTGCCCAGTAATCTGCGTTCCTTGTGGTATTTCACCTTTAAGTTGGTTGTGAGACACGTTAATGTACTCCAAAAACGAGAGGCTCCCAAGTCCATTAGGAATAGTCCCTGAGAGATTGTTTCTTGACAAGTCTAGTGACTCGAGCTCTGTAAGATTTGCCAAAGACAAAGGGATATGGCCTGTGAAGGCGTTGTTTGAGAAGTTGAGTGCAATCAGTGTCTTCAAAAGACCGATAGATTCAGGAATCTGTCCTTCAAGTTTATTCCCAGAAAAATCAATGGTGGCGTAGGAAGTAAGGATTTTTGCTTGCTCCATGTGTAGACCTTTGTATTGCAAATCCATACTTTCCGGATATGAGTAGACAACTGTTGTGTGAGGATTTCTTAGGTATGTCATGTATAAACCTCCATCCTCGTTCATCTTCATGAGTGATGATGCTTTCCAGTTGACAAAGTAATTTGGCGACAAGCTTCCAGTAAACCTATTATCAGATATCTCAAAAATCTGGAGCTCTGGAAACCCCAAAGGACCTTGATGAGGAGGAGATATAGGACCATATAATTTGTTTGAACGGAGGATAAGGACTTGCAAATTCGGTAAAGCCTTGAGCCAGAAAGGAAACGCGTCTTTGAATCTGTTGTTGTCAAGGTTTAGAAACTTTAGAGATGAACAATTTAGGAGAGACCTTGGAAGCTTTCCGGTTAGTTGATTGAAGCTAACGTCGAGTGCCCGTAGAAAGGAACTGGCGTAGAACTTGTCTGGAATACTTCCTTGAAAGTTGTTCTTGCGTCGATACACAAACGTCAAGTTACTCAGACATTGAGGAATTGGGCCAGTGAAGTTGTTATAGGTTAGGTCAAGGTGAAAAAGCGAACTTCTGTTGCAGATTGAAAGAGGTATGTCCCCATTGAAACTATTGTTCCTTGCAGAGAAGTCGTTGATAGAGAGTGGTAGATGAGGAAGTGCTCCTTTGAAGCGGTTAATCTCCAAATCTAAGATCTGCACCGATGAAATCACTAAACTTTTCGATGAACCTTCGAAACCGTTGAACAAATTATTCCCAAGAAACACAGTCCATGTTCAGACGAGGAAGACGCCATAACCACTCAGGAATTTTTCCATTGATTTTGTTGGCGTATAGATCTATTAACTCCAAATTCTGATTTGGGAACTCTCTGATGTCACAATTTTCCAAGAATAACCCTTCCAGGGTCAATGCGATGTATGAATTTGAACCTAAACTGGCCGGAGATATCTTGTTACCGGAAAGATCGAGGTATAACAAAGATTTGAAGGAGGAGAGGAGGTTTAAGTCAATTGGGTAGCTGATGTTTATATGAGAAAACTCGAGATGCTTGAGGTTGATGAACTTTGAGATAGGCTCTAAGATATTTCCTTCAAAATGGTTATGTCCAAGGTACAAGTACTCGAGACTAGATGAGGTAGATGAATTGGGATTGTTTCTGTTCAGGTGGGGAAACTACCAGTGAATTTGTTATTGGAAAGGTCTAATTCGTTTAAGCGGGTTAAGTTACTAATTGTGGGAGGAACTTGACCGAAGATGCCATTAGAGGTGTGGCCGTGTGGGGTTTCACAGATTGACTTAGATCGGGGACTTGGAGAATAATAAGTGCCCTCTGATTATCACATCACTTTGACATTTCTAACGTATAACTTGGATTGGAATATCACATCACTTTGACATTTGGCACACATATACATATCCTCTGATTATCCTCACGAGAGAGAAGAGAGATATTTTGCTTTGGGTTTTTGAGACGGTGGTTAATTGGGCTATGTAGCTTTTGTGGGCTGAGTACTGAGTAGCATCGGCCTTAAATACAAGATGACATTTTGGAGGGGTTTTTGGGTCAACAAAATAATGAGAGGACAAAATGAAGTAAAGATTGCCCGTGTTTTTATTTACTTTCTTCTATGAGTCTGATTTGTTTTGGTTAAAACATAAGCTAGATTTATTAAAATTTAACTGTAACCAACAAAAATACTCATAACTTATGAAGTTTTTGTTACCAACATTTTGTGTGATTGTGAATCTGTGATACAAGTGTCTTTCTAAAGTTTCAAAACTGTGACTGTTTATGAAAACATAGTATATGATAGTCTACGCTGCATTTTAGTTAATATTTTTGAAACTTTCACTGATTTTGTTAATTAGTATTGGTTCGCACTATTCTTTTTTACTTTATTTGTAAATAATTGTTCCGTCAAGACTCAAGAGTTTATCTAATTTCATTTTAACAAGTCTTGTTATAAGATCTTTTCACTAACTTTCTTGGGGAAATTTCAAAATTACACCTTTTGATATGTCAATTTTCAAAAATACACCTCTATGGTGCTAATTTTCAAAACTACACTTTTTTCATTTAGTAAAAGAACTCTAAACCCTAAAATATAAATCCAAAACCCTAAAATCTAACATTGAACCCTTAAATATAAACTCTAAACCCCCAAAATCTAAACCCTAATATAGGACTAGTGAACCCAAACATATATATTAAAATTGGGGAAAGATGTATTTTTGAAAATTTTCATACTATAGGTGTAGTTTTGAAAATTTGCACCTCAAAAAGTGTATTTCATAAAATTTCTCAACTTTTCTTTTTTTTTGGTTAAAAGGCATTCATTTTTAACTGACTTTCATATAAGATAAAGCTGATAAGAGGACTGCAGGATAAATCATATGCCGGGAAAATATTTAGGTAAACATGTATATATAAACATAAAGTTTACGAAAAGTAAAACAACCAGACTTAAAACTGTGGAAACAAACCAAATTAAGCAGATCCATGAAAAACATGCAGCATACAATTACGACTCAGAATAAAAAGAAACGACGTACAAGGTATCATTTTATTCTAATAATTAATAATCATATTTCATTGAACCAAATAATAACAACGTACAAATGCAAGAGCATGAACCTCATCAATGATGTCCACCACCACCATAACCACCTCCAAATCCTCCTCCACCTCCAATGCCTTTACCAAATCCACCACCACCGCCAAATCCTCCTCCACCACCAAACCCTCCTCCTCCTCCTCCTCCAACTCCACCACCGCCTCCAAGTCCTCCTCCAGCACCACCACCATATCCTCCTCCCAAGCCGCCTCCTCCTCCTCCTCCTCCAACTCCACCACCGCCTCCAAGTCCTCCTCCAGCACCACCACCATATCCTCCTCCCAAGCCGCCTCCTCCGCCTAAACCACCACCACCGCCTCCAAGTCCTCCTCCAGCACCACCACCGCCTCCTCCGCCTAAACCACCACCACCGCCTCCACCGCCTAGACCCTTTCTAAAACCCTTCTTATAAATGCCATGCTTATAAATGCCATGCTTGTGGAAGAATGGACGAGGTTTGTGAAAGAAGTGTTTGTCCTCGTTAACCTCGACATTTGCGAAAGCAAATTCCGCGACAAGAGCGAAAACGAAGATAAACACACACGCCTTACGGGCAACTAAACCCATAATTAAGTGGCTTAATTATTTTTATATGATTAATTCCACAATATTTATATGATGGATATGAAAGAGTGAAGACAGATGTGTCAGTGAAGCTTAGTATTGGTCAGTTTATATAGACATGTCGCGACTCGAGTGCGTACATGTACATTATAAATAAATAACCGGTTCAACCACCTTTTGCTTTTTTGTTTCTTCTTCTTATCAAGACCGGTTCAGTTTAGTTTTTCTTTCTCCATGTCCATTTTAATAAATAAGAATGGAAAACCTGTGAATATATAGTCTAGTTTTCTGCAAAAATTTATTTATTCGTAACTAATGTTTTGTGGATTTGGATTTGGATTTGTCAATAATATAAACCGTGAGGGAAAGGAGAAAACCAGCACCGATTAAACCAGACGGTTCTACGTGCTAACAAAACAAAGAAAAATATGATTGGTTGAGTTTGTTTATATTAAATGAGGTCCACCTGTCATTGGACAATTTATTTATGTCTGCCAACTGCCCAATTGATCTCATCCAACGGAACAAGACATTGCAATAAGTTATATTTGAAGATGATAATTCTATGAAATATAAAAAATATGTAATAAAGTAAATTGTAAATCATATTTCCGATTGAAATTTGAAGAAAACACTACAAGTTTTGGTTCATGTTCTGAAATCTATCTAGAGTCATATAAGCAAAGAATGCAATCATCAGTTAGAATTATAAAATATCTGGACTAATAGGTCAGCATACATAAATATGATCCCTCGTAAATAATACATTTTCCATGGATCCATAGTTTCATACCAAAAATACAGAAAAAAATGAGACAGTGTATTTCCTTTTTAGTGTATTTTAAAAAAAAATTTTAATTACTAAATGAATAAATTGTATATTTACATAGTTTTTTTTTTCGGATAAAATCATATCATGGCTGCTTTATTTTTTCCTTTTATAGTTGAAGCCCTGAAGGACATGCTCTACTATAAAGCCATTAATAAATGGCTCTTTTGCATTATTCAAACCCTAAAATGTGATCTCATTTAGTGAAAATAAAGTGGTCTCATTTAATGTGCCAGTAAATATTCAAACTTGAAACCAAACACACATTGTTATCCATTCAATTTCCAAACCAACTAAAAAAAGAAAAACAGGTAGGCTAAGCTGTATTTAGTACATGAAACATTTACTAGCTCTATGAAAATTCAGTTTGATGTTGGATTCTTCAATTATAGTTGTAATTCAGCAATAAATTATTAAAAATATTGTTAATTGTATACCAGTTATGCAATGTTTTCTCAACAATTGGATTGGTTTCATGGAGAGTATGCAATTATTGGAATATAGGTCACAAGATAGAAAAATATTTAGTAAGTAGTTAATACATCCTTTTAGAAAAATTATACTAATTGGTTTCATATACCACATGCAGTTGGTTAAGTTTTAAAGCTAAAATCTCATCGCAAAACACAATGATTTAACTGGTATCTCGATTAAATTTTCATGTTGAGCTTCTTAAGCTATCAAGGAGATAAAAAAAAAGCAATTCAAAAGTTGAGTAATTTGCTAATGTACGCATGCATTATTGGTTTTGGAGCATGGACCACATACCCGTCTTCGAGTTGACTTAGATCAAACACAATCACAGGCCCAATAAATGCCCATTTAAGGAGCTTATAAGTCCAAACATTTAGGCCCATTAACTAACCTTTACCGAATCTTAAGCTTACCCAAAAGCATCAAAAACAAAAATGTTCAAAACCTTTTATCCGATCTCTCTCTCTTCCAGCTGTTTCATGATCGATTTTAGATTTTAGTCTAACTCCAGGTGAAAACAATTCACTGCAATCTCTGCAACCCTAGATTTTTGTTTTCTTCCATTTTCGCAGTTAAATCTCTGATCCGTCAATTATGATTTCGATTGCTTCTATGTCAATTCGACGAATCCGTGAAGTCGTGTTCGCATAGAAGTAATTCAACTTTGCCCGATTTTTCTTCATACTTTCTCTCTATGTGCAGCGGCAATGCTTGATCTCTAAATATACGGATTTTGAATATCGAATTAGGGCTCTGATCTACCCAGAAACACTCTGATTTGTTTGTGCTTATTCAGGTTAGTTTTTTTTTTTAATTAAACAATCGAAAATTCTGAGTCGAATCATTTTGAATTAAGTGAAGATTGACTCACTTTTAGTCTCTTATAGCTCGATCTCGGGCTGAAGCTATGGCGCAGAGTAATTGGGAAGCTGATAAGATGTAAGTGATTGTATTTAGTGAGAAAATTGTCAATTTCCCAGATTTATGCTATCTTCGTAGGAGTATAACAATTTGTTTACTTTCCTTTTACATATTTTTTGGGTTTTGTAGGCTTGACGTTTACATATATGATTATTTGGTGAAGAAGAAACTGCATAATACTGCGAAGTCATTTATGACTGAAGGGAAAGTCTCGCCGGATCCAGTTGGTAATATCTGCTTATCTGACTTTATTCTTAACCTATTTATGAAGTAACCTTATAGTGATGTCTCGTAGGAGTCAGAATATCTTGTAGTTGTAATATTCATAAGCAGATATTCGGATATAAGCTGTTTTTGTTTCATTGTGAATTGGTTTTTAAGCTAATAAGTGATTGAAATTTATAGATTTTTTTTCTGTGTTGCGTGAATGATGTAGCAATTGATGCTCCTGGAGGGTTTCTTTTCGAGTGGTGGTCTGTGTTCTGGGACATTTTCATTGCAAGGACGAATGAGAAACATTCAGAGGCTGCTGCCGCTTATATAGAGGTTTGCTTCCTACCATTTGAAGATGTGGTCTTTTATCTTTCCTGCGCTTTGATAATTGACCAGTGGCTTTAAAATTTAGGTACAGCAGGGTAAAGCGAAGGAGCAACAGATGCAAATGCAGCAATTTCAGATGATGCGCCAAGCTCAAATGCAGCGTAGGGACCCTAACCATCCTTCTCTTGGGGGTCCTATGAATGCTATTGGCTCCGAAGGGATGCTTGGTCAGCCAAATGCCAGTGCTTTGGCTGCAAAAATGTACGAGGAACGTATGAAACAACCAAATCCAATGAACTCTGAGACATCCCAACCACATCTTGATGCAAGGATGGCTCTCCTTAAAGCAGGAACAAACCATCATGGGTAAATTTGCTCAACTTCATTTTTGCTGGCATTTTTCCTGTCCTCACACCGTTGACCCCTGCTCGTCCTTTTTTTTCCTGTCCCGAAACAGTCAGATGGTCCAAGGTAATCATCAAGGAGCGGTTTCGGCAGCACTGCAGCAAATGCAATCACGAACTCAGCAGACCCCTGTAAGTACTACTTGAGAACCTTACTTTATGACTGTTAACAGATAAGTCTCCGATTAAATATTTTGGTGTGCATCTGAATCTCTTGACCGTGCAGGAAATCAAGAGTGAAGTTAATCTGGGTACATCTCCAAGACAACTGCCAGTGGATCCTTCTACAGTTTATGGCCAGGGAATTCTGCAATCAAAGCCTGGGATGGGGAATGCAGGTAAATACGATCATTAGAATGCATACCGAAATATACACTCGCCTAAAATAAAATGGTGGTAACTATTGGTAGCATGTCTTCTATGGCAGCTAATTAACTTTGGACTCAAAAATTAACGATTCTACCCTGTTATATTCTGAAAACTAATGGTGAATTACACAGCGTGATAGGGTACTGACCTCAGGAGAATTTTTGTTTACAGTTTGTTAGATGAAGTCTTATGGTTTATGTTTTTTTCGTGTGTAGGATTAAACCCTGGAGTAGGTGGTCTTCCTTTAAAGGGATGGCCATTAACTGTAAGTCACTGGGACTCTTTTGCAGGATTTAATCTATCCCAAGCTAAGGTTTTCACTAAGTTTCCTGACAAATGTTACAGGGCATCGAGACAATCCGACCAGGTTTAGGCCCTCAGGTTCAGAAAGCCTTCCTTCAAAATCAAAGTCAATTTCAGCTCTCGCCGCAGCAGCAACAACAACAACAGATGTTAGCTCAGGTTCAAGGGCAAGGAAATTTGACAAATTCACCCATGTATAGTGACATGGACCCTCGAAGGTTTACAGGATTACCTAGAGGAAATATGAATCCGAAAGACGGCCAACAAAATGCAAATGATGGATCTATAGGGTCTCCAATGCAGTCAAGTTCGTCAAAAGTAAGAATTTTTTTATCAAATCAGCAAGAAATGCATATCCCTGTTGAATGCAATAGATCTGGTGAGTCGCATTCTAGCATCGTTTTAGGGAGGCAGCGAGAACTTTCCTCGTTAAGCATCTCATTTTTCTGTGTTCCGTTTGGTGGTGAAATTGGATCATTACGTCTGTCCTTGTATGCATTTTTTCAATAATTGCTTGTCTGTAATATGCTTTGGAATTTTACTCTTTCAAGTAACCTGCAACTGCTGCCTCTTTTCATTGAAAATTCTGTGAGATAATGTGTTTGTGTTTTCCTAATGTAGATCTATCTAGGGGAACACAATTTGGTTTCTCTCTTTGTTAACCACATGTTCTCCTCAGTCAAGAAAATATATCTGCAATTAATAGCTGTTGACCGACTCTCACTGATTTTTGTTTTTCCGTTGCTGTTTGCTGGTGTGTAGCATATTAACATGCCGCCGGTACAGCAATCTTCTTCTCAGCAACAGGATCCTTTACTTTCACAGCAATCACAACAGGTACTTTCATGTGGATTGGACTAAATTAGTATATTCTTCTGTGTGTAAATGTAAAATGATTGAGCCAACACTTCCTTTTCGTGTCTTTGATAGAACAACCGCAAAAGAAAAGGACCTTCCTCTTCTGGTCCTGCGAACAGTACAGGGACAGGAAACACGGTCGGCCCATCCAACTCACAGCCGTCAACTCCGTCAACTCATACCCCTGTCGATGGAGTTGCTAATATAGCTGGTAACATGCAGCATGTCAATAGCATGCCGAAAGGACCAATGATGTATGGTTCTGATGGAATAGGTGGTCTTGCATCATCAGCAAACCAGCTGGTACGTTTCTTAATTTCCTCTGAAGAATGATAATAACAATCTAGTGTATGCAGTTTAATATTTTCTCGCATAGCCTATGGAGCCGTGCTTTTTTCAGCTTTCTTATGACAAGAATTAATAGCTGCAGGATGACATGGAAGCGTTTGGAGATGTGGGAGCCCTCGAAGATAATGTAGAATCATTTTTATCCCAAGATGATGGAGATGGAGGAAGCTTATTTAGCACCCTAAAGCGGAACCATTCTGAGCATGCCGAAACGTCAAAAGGTATTCTCTCGCCCCCTCAGACTAAACATGCTAGTATATGATACATAGTAACCAATGGTCCCTTTTCTTGTTCCAGGTTTTAGTTTCAGTGAGGTTAGTTCTATAAGAAGAAGTGCTGGCAAGGTCATCTGCTGTCATTTCTCATCTGATGGGAAGTTATTGGCTAGCGCTGGACATGATAAGAAGGTGCGATATCTTAATCTCTTGTGAAAGGAGCATACTGTTTTCTCATAAACTTGCCATGACCTTACATATATAGATCATTTATAGGTAGCTCGGATCTTGTTTGTTTAATAAACAGATAATGTGGACGCAATTTTTTATTTGTTAGTAGGTTTTTGTTTGGAACATGGAAACACTACAAACTGAAAGCACTCCGGAAGAACATGGTCATATCATCACAGATGTTCGCTTCAGACCTAATTCAACTCAACTGGCGACGTCATCGTTCGACAAAACTATCAAACTCTGGGATGCTTCTGATGTATGGTCATTCCTCTCTTTTAGTTGCAGCGCCGCCATTATTCGTGTTCTGTTGTGACTAACTACTACCAATTTTGTGCAGCCTGGTTACTACCTCCGAACAATTTCTGGTCATGCTGCACCTGTAATGTCCCTTGATTTTCACCCTAAGAAAACGGAGATTTTCTGTTCTTGTGATGGCAACAATGAAATCCGCTTCTGGAACATCAATGCTTCTAGCTGCGTTCGTGCTACAAAGGCAAGCCCCTGAACTTTCCTATGGCTTCTCCCCAAATTGAGCTCTGTTTTCTTATCGTTGAATTCTCCAAGCACAGGGAGCTAGCACGCAAGTACGGTTCCAGCCAAGAAGCGGACAATACCTTGCTGCAGCTTCAGAAAATATTGTGACAATTGTGGATGTTGAAACCGACAGACGTGTCCACATGTTAAAGGTAAAGCCGAAGATTATAAGACATTATGCATTTTTCCAAGTTCCAATGTGCTTTCTTATTTGATAAAAATCAAGTGCATAGATGTCCTAAATGTGTATCGTTGCTCATACACCCACCTATGTAGGACTGTGCTTATGCCTCTCATGACTTGAATTTTTTTTTCTGATCTGTCAGGGACATTCCTCAAGCGTACACTCTGTTTGTTGGAACACAACCGGAGAGTTGGTAGCTTCTGTTAGCGAAGACTCTGTTAAATTATGGTCTCCGAACTCAGGAGATTGCATCCACGAGCTCAGTTCTAGTGGAAACAAATTTCACTCTTGTGTTTTTCACCCTAGCTATCCCAATCTCTTGGTCATCGGTGGCTACCAGGTAATTGGATAGGAGTGTCTATGTTCCATCGTACAATTTATAAGCTTAGAACGGAACTGTGTCAGGGTCTAGTACTGTTGCTTAATGTGATGATTTGTGTGTCAGTTGTTTTAACTTTGGTAAACGAATCTGTTGCAGTCACTGGAGCTGTGGAACACAATAGAGAACAAATGTATGACAATACCGGCACACGAGTGTGTGATCTCTGCATTGGCTCAGTCGCCTTCGACGGGAATGATGGCGTCTGCAAGTCATGACAAATCCGTAAAGATTTGGAAGTAGAAATATTTACGTTTTCTTTAAAAAAAAAAACGAACAAAATCTGAGAGCTCAGGATCTTTTTTGAGTCTAATTCATTGTTTAATGTTTACATCAATAAGTTGTTTGTTGAATGGGTTTGTTTACGTCAAAAGCAAAGGGACTTCTGATAGTTTCCATCTTTGTTGTATGATCCTTCTTCTTTGAGTTTGAGATTAGAGTGAGACAGAACGATGTAAGTAATTTCTTTAGACCGATCAAATTGTTGAATAATTTCGTATAATCGACTAAAACCTTTTATTTTATAAGGCCTCTGTGGTAATAAATTGCAATAACAATTGGTTAGGCTCTTCTCATCTAGAGCAGTTCGACAAAGAAAAATGTGTCCTTTCACAAGGCTTTGATTGTGTTTACATTTTTTTACATCTGCTGACTGTTATGGATCGGGATTTGAACCGTGTAAGCCCCTAAATTAAATGCTTGCGATTATTAACACTAGCCATTAAAGATCCGTCGTGTTTAGAGTTATTTTTGTAAAACGATAGACTTTTTTATACATGTGAAAGAACAAAAGCGACACGTTTTGGGTTTAGAAATTACAAACACATACTGTATAATGAAAACATCGTGTAATTCTTAAACTCAAAACAGTGTTTTGTGGCGTTTTGAAACTGTCAAGTACTTAACTACCACTATTAGTTTATTTTTTTTACTTTTGGGGACCAAAACTACTAGTAGTTGTGACATTAATATGATATCATATGTTAGGTTTCTCAATCTATATCATATGTTAGGTTTCTCAATCAAGACTGCAGAAACTATGATATTCGTCTAAATATTCTTATACTATAATCTTAGGTGTCAATAGGAAAAACTTATATCATAGTTTCTTTTAGTTTAGTCTTAGGATTCTCAATATCTAACCTGTAATCGGAATTCCATCAAACAGTTTTATTGTCTAAATTTTTAAAAATCTTAAACACGTTTAGTCTCATTACTTGGTAGTTGTCCACCGCTAAATCTTATCCTATATTGTGATATCCGTGTGCATGGCACAAATAATGAATAACTTTGTGAAGTTCATAGAATCATAGATCTAGTACAGTACTATTTGAAGTTGACATTCCAAATTCGTTCGATCTCTTCATAAACAAGATTTAAAAACTTTTCCTTTAGGCAATACTCGAACTATAATAATTGTGATTTCTCGAATTAATTCAGGTTGCGTAGCCGCGCAATTTTGCCTAACGTTGGACATCTATTTGAAGCAAACATTATTGCATTTTTGTTGAAATGTAACTTAAAGTTTTTACCAGAAAAAGCGTTCATTATAAAATATAAATAATAATATGCGTCATCATTTCTATTTACATGTATCGAAATTATTACACTAACAGTTTTGACAATATAAAAAAATAAAAACAAAGTGTAAAAATAGCAAAGTACAGTGTACATTACATTACTCGCAGTAATGAAGAAGCAGCCACCTGAAAAAAATAAACAAAATAAAAGTATTTTTACAAAAAGAAGAAAATAAAAGGAAATTAAAAAGAGAGAAAGAGACAGTGATTGACCCCACACAGCACCATCTTCAACCCTAACTCCGATTTCTCTCACACCTCCCAATCGAACCTTTTTCTTCTCTCCTCTCTTCTCTCTCTCTCTCTTTGAGTTTTCCATGAAAAGCGTCGGAAAATGGGGAAATACATAAGGAAGAGCAAAATCGATGGAGAAGCAATAGCTTTGATGGATGTTTCTCCTTCTTCTCTCGGTGTTCTCACTCGAGCTAAGTCCTTAGCTCTCCAACGCCGCCTTCAAAAACCCTCGTCGTCTTCCTCTTCGCTGCCGACTTCTCCACCTCCTAATCCACCGTCGAAAAAGAAGCAGAAGCAGCAGATAACTGATTGCGGCGGCTCGTATCTCCAGCTCAGGAGTCGTCGGCTCCAGAAGAAGCCTCCAATTGTCGTGATTCGTTCGAGTAAACGGAGGAAACAGCAGCGGAGGAAAGAGACATGCGGCCGAAACCCTAACCCTAGTCCCCAAAATTTGGATTCCACCGTTGGGTCTATTGGTGACGGCTCTAAGTCGGATTCGGTTGCTGAGAGTGCTGTTTGTGGGAAAGCGAAGGAATTGAATGTTGAAATCAACAAAGATCCATGTGCTGAAACTTCATTTGGGGAAAATTTCTTGGAGCTTGAAGGCAGTGAAAGGTATAAACTTTTTTTTCCCCAATTTTATACTTTCAAATTCAACCTAATTTTTTGGGGATTTCATATTTCTGTAAGCTATTACAATTTATGAAACTGTAAATTTGATTTTTATAGCGTCATGTGAGATGAATCTGTTCTGTTCCTGAGAAAAATTGTGGTATTGAATTTGGATTTTCCGTTGGTGATTTGAAATCAGTTTTTTTGTTTAACTGGAGAAATAATAAAAAAGGACTGATTTTTCTTCTGATTTCTTAACTGAAGCTTTTCAATTATTTTTCCGATTTGAAATTTAATGTTTTTTTTGTTTACCTTGTGTATGATATGATGCCATCTTTTCTTTATCTGACACACCAGACTCTTCTCTCTGTTTCCGGGAAAAAATACATTTATATTTAATCGATCTATTTCTTTTCTTGAGAAAGTTTTTATTTTTCCTCACTTCTTCAATTACTCGTGTATCTAAGAAGGTGATAGTGACGATTGATTTTTCTTCAAACTTTTTCGTATCTGCTTTGATGTAAAGTTGGATTTGTGTTATGAAATGTCTTTTATATCTCTTGAAATCTTCAAACGAGATCGTTGATTATGGTTTCTTTGGTAGCTTTTGATGTTAAGATCAATCTAAAGTCGAGATCTTGTTGAATATGATTTAAAGCATCAACCTTTACTCTGTTTTGGTATAAACTTTTCAAGCATTTCTGAAGCAAATATCCAGTGAAAGTTTGCATCTTTTGTTATGCTTTTTGATCTTTTGAACCACAAATCAACAAGAAGTTACTCATTATTCTTTTTTTTTTCGGTTGAACATGATTAGATCAGCTTTAGCTAACTATAGGAAATAAAGTTTGTTTGCTTTTGCTACTAGTTTAGGAAACATAGTTATGTGCTTTTAACTTTGAGATGATTTTATTCAATGAAATGAAAGTAACATATTACTCACTCTCAGCTTCAACAGGACCACAAGAGAATCCACACCATGCAGTTTGATAAGAAGGCCTGAAACCATCACAACTCCGGGATCGTCTACGAAGCTTAACGTTGGTGTAAGTGACTACAGCAACCGGGGAGAAGAGAGTTTGTCCGGCAGCCACCGTCACCTACCAACCACACCTGAAATGGACGAGTTCTTCTCTGGTGCTGAAGAAGAACAACAAAAGCAATTCATTGAGAAGTATGAGTTTCTCATCTGCTCTGTTCTGGAGTAACTAAACCCATTTGGCTATGTGTTTCTCATTTGATTTGCTCTGTTTCTGCTGTGTCCCTAATGGTTTCTGTTAATTCTTTTGTTTTCAGGTACAACTTTGATCCTGTGAACGAACAACCACTACCAGGAAGGTTTGAATGGAAGAAGGTAGATGATTAGAAACAGCAAACAAGGGGGGTTAATAGTTAATACAGACTATATTAACATTTTCCTGCTAATAATCGGTTTGATCTTTATTTCCATCATCCGTTTTCTTTAACCTTTTCCAACATGTAAAGAACTTAGGATAAAAAAACCCATGTAGCGTTTTTAAAACTTGGTGTCTGTAACATAAATAGCTGAAAAGGGTTTGTGTAACACATAACTAATACCAATCCTTTTTAAGCCTAAAAAACAGATCACCTTAGTAGCAGTAGTAGTACTAAGAGAAGAGAAGGTTTTTTAGAAGTAAACCAAGAGTCTGTTAGTGTTGGTTTTAGCGTTTAGGGTTTTAGAGTTCTTTCGGTTAATGGGGTTAGTGAAGTCTTTTTTTTTTATAGTTGTGGTACAGGGGACTCTGCATTCTCTTATAACTCTCTTTGTCCTGTAACCATTTTGAAAATTCTATCCTTTTTATGTGTATACATGTACTGATCTCAAACTCATTTCAATAAAGACTTGCCTCCTTCTCTTGTCTTCTTCTCTTACTTCATCTTAAGTTCTTGTTCTTATCATCATCATTCATCATCATGGTCCATGTGGTGTGTTCTTCAGACATATAACACCACATTGACAGGTAAGTAACGTATATATGTGTACACATTATACTGATAATAGATAGACAGAGAAGCTGTTCGTTATAGATATGGATAGTGTCTCTTAGTGGCCTTTGTTTTTGTCTCTGACTCTCTCACTAAAATCAAAAGTGTTTTGAAAAGATTCTCTTTCTCTTTCTATCACTCTTGAATGTGTGTGTGTGTGTGTGTAGTGTCCATTGTACTTTCCACTTTGTGATTTGCGCCCACTATTCTATCATCTTAATTTTGTAATTTCGTGCCCACTACACATCGTCATCATCATCATTTGTGATCGTCTTTTGATCAATCATCGAAACTTCGTCGCCTCTTTGCTTGTCACAAGATTCGTTTTTTTTTTGTGATTGTATTGATTTGAGTCTAGACACGACGGCGTTTGAAACAGTTGCCACAAGATCCCAACCTATGCGTTTGCTTTAAATGAAATTTATTGCTCTCGAAAGTTAACAAGTATCGAACTTTGTGTTTGCGGTTGAGGCTTGCGGCCAAAGCGGTCGAGAATGTACAAAAAGAGGGCCCCACAGATACAGAAGAGGTTTTGGATTCTTTGTGTTGGGATATGGCTTTAGTGAAGCTGAAGTCACTAACTGCCACACACTCTGTTAAGTAACTGCCAAAAGACTCCTACTGCAACCACTTCGGAATTTGGGATCTGTTTAATCAAGTATTCAAGTTCTTAGTAAGATCTTGATCTGGTTTAAGAGAGCTTCTTGGTTATTTTCTCCTCTAAAGGTTCATCTTTTATCATTGCAAGGATCAGAGACAGCATGTTATGATCTTAACCAATGCTTAACCACACTCTCAAACTGATCATTCACAAGTCACAACTTTGGTTTCACAATCTGAATCTATAGATTAATATCAGTTGCATTCCACCACAACACTTAAAGAAACAGTGTAATACACATTCAAACAACAAAAGATGGGAGCAGAGAGAGAGAGACATGAACAAAAGGAGAGACATTGAGATTTGTCTTCTCAAAAAGACTTAAACCTCTTTCTATATAGATAAGATATATGGGAGTAATGCTCAGAAAAAACGAAGAAGACTGACTAGCCTGACTTTGTGTAAATACGAATCCCAACAGCCAAACCGAGAATGGCAAGGGGTACGAGGAACTGAAGGATCTTGATTATGAACTCAGAGGTCTTGTCTTGATTGTAGTGAGGCTGCTTAGGAGGTGTGTATTTGGTTTTCTTTGGGATTGTTGCCGAATCAATCTCTCCTACGTAGTACTGTTCCATCATTTCTCTTGCACTCTCGCTGTGACCCACATCCTCAAAATCATCCGTTGCATCCTTACCTTAAAAAAAAGATCATTAACGATCAAAAGGTGCTATGTATCGTTCAACACTACACGCCTTTGGCGTTTAAGATTACCTGTTGAAGACAAGAGAACTTCATCCCCACCAGGATGGTCTTCAAGGAACTTGGTCACATTGTATACCTACAATTTTGCAAATAGAAACACAACAAAACGTTTAAAGTTTCCAACTTTCACAGTCCAATCAATGAAGATCTACAAATTCATTTACAATTTTAGGGACAACTAGTGACCGACACTTGTCAGTTAGATCCATCCCAAGAGAGATTGGTTAAGAAGAAATCAAACATAAGAAGAGCTATTTCTAAATTTCTCCACCTTCACTTCGAAATCAAATTAAGTAGATCAAAAGAGCTGAATCCTAAGCATATATAGATGTCTGATGATTACAACTTTTGTCCACTTTAACCATTATCAAGATTCCAATGAAGCAAAAAGTTCAAAAGAACATCATTCAAGCTTAGAAATTCTGAGACTTTAAAAGCTTCATCACATGCAAACACCAGAGCACTCAAAAGGGGAGATTCAATCAAGCACAAGATCCCTAATTTCAGAGCTTAGAGTAAGGAGAAAGAAGAAAGAACCTTTCCATTGATGACAATCCAACAGTCATGAGCTAGATTGTGCTCTGAAACTTCTGAAAGAGTGAAGATCTTTGTTTCTTCCCCCATTGTTTTGCTTCTTTACCAGAATAAACCCACCAAAACCTGACACTGATTTAAAGCTAGAAATTTTACACAAGACCAAGACCAAGACAGAAAGAGAGTTGTTGGGTTCTTGGGTTCTCAAACCGATTCAAGAATTCCGGTTTAGTTTGGTTTGGTTAGTTTCATTTTATAAAGGGAATCCGATTATTTGTGTGAAGATCGGTTTAGTGAAATATGATGGTGAATTTACTCTTTAACTCATTGCTGCTTCTACTATTTTGACATTTTGGTATTCATCTGACCATTTTTGGAACAAATGTACCAGTGTTAAACCGATGGGTTAATTTGGTTTTGGTACAGTTGCTATTCCGGGTTGGGTGGGTGGGGTTGGTGGGCAGTGCAAATGTTGCAGTTGTGCTCCAATTCTGCCTTTTTCATTCAAGATCGGTAGGTGAATGATGTGCAATAAAGTTCTACATTTGATGTATTAAATTCTTTAAGAAAATAAATTGTTGCTGCTAGTCTGCTAACATACCAACTGACCTATTTATTAGGGATGAATTTTCTTTTTTCTTTTCATATTATCGTCTAAATTTTAAAATAACCAATTTTGTACAAGAAATAGGGGTTTTCTGTCAAAACTAAAATATGAGACTAAATTTGTAATGAAGCTATATTTTCGAGGCAGTTTTTAATTTCTTGACTTGTTGGGTAAGTCTCTTAATATTCGATAAGTTCCATAGTTTACTTTCTTGCCCCTAAACACTTTCTTCTGCTACTTTCGTCTCTCATAAACTCAAAACACTCTCTTTTAACAAATCCGGTAGAGATTCAAGACGAGAGTTTCGTCGGAGGTCAATTCCTGTTTCTAATCCGAATTTGCTCTCTCTCTTAGGGTTTTTCAATTTCGATTAGTGTTCTTCATCAATGGCTGCCGCTATGGTTAGTTCGGCCGGAGGGTTACTGGCAATGCTCAACGAGCCTCATCCTTCCTTGAAGCTTCATGCGCTCTCGAATCTCAACAACTTGGTTGATCAATTCTGGCCCGAGATCTCCACTAGTGTTCCGATCATGTAATTCTCCTTTAAACCCTTTTTCCGATTTGAGAATTAGGGTTTTATTTCCCACTTGATCTGTATTGATTTCTGGACAATTCGAGAGAAGATTGTGGATTTGGATTATTTGAGCTCTCTTTGTGCTTAGATCTTCTTGATTTAGTAATTGAGTTCATTTTTTGGGTCAGGCAATATGCAGATTGAATGGTTAGGATAAGAAAGGAAAGGTTTTTCTTTGACATGACTAGCTTTAGCAAGTTGCTTTAGTGATCTTTGTATATTATGAATGAGCATAGCAGATAGTTGTGTAATAGAGACTTGGATTCCTTATTATACATTATCTTATCTGCTAGTGGTATGAGGTCAAGTTGCAGAGTCTGTGCTGGTGCAGAGATTTTATGATAATGTTAGTTGTTAGATCTCTACGATGGTTTGTGTTGCTTGACAGCTTGACTCAAGTGACATTTCTGTTTGCAGAGAGAGCTTGTATGAAGATGACGAATTCGATCTGCATCAAAGACAGCTCGCTGCTTTGCTGGTCTCTAAGGTACGATTTAGCTTTTTCTAAACTTAAGAGGTGACTGGTTGTGGATATTATTTGCTATATGTTAGTGAAGGAATGTGTAATTGTTACAGTGGATGGTATTATGGTAGTTTTTTCCCTTAAGAGCTGGTGGATAGTGGTAGAAGTTTGGAGCATGACCTGTTTTTATCACGTTATATGATTGTATTACAAGATGTGCTTCTCTTGATGATATTGGTATCTTGTCTCAGGTTTTCTACTACTTGGGCGAGCTTAATGATTCATTGTCCTATGCCCTTGGAGCTGGACCCTTGTTTGATGTTTCAGAGGACACTGATTATTTTCATACGCTTCTAGGTGAGGATTGAGAAGCTTACACATCCAGCTATCATTTTTCGCATGTTTATGGAGTTCAATATTATAAGAGGATTTATGATTATTTGAGTATACTGCTGGATGAATGTTTACTCATCAGAGGCTTCTGTTATGTTTTCAGCCAAAGCAATTGATGAATATGCCAGTCTCAGATCAAAGGCAGTCGAGTCAAATGAGATGGTGGACATTGATCCCAGGCTGGAGGCCATTGTTGAAAGAATGCTTGAAAAGTATGGATTCCTATATATTTAAATTATCTAGTCTTTTTAGTACCTCAATTGTTCTTATGCGGTTTTCCGTCGTCAGGTGCATCACTGATGGGAAGTATCAACAGGCCATGGGCATTGCGCTAGAATGCCGGAGATTGGATAAGTTGGAGGAAGCTATCACAAAGAGCGATAATGTTCAGGGAACTTTATCATATTGCATCAATGTTTCTCACTCATTCGTTAACCGCAGAGAGTATAGGCATGAGGTAAATACTTTGATCAATTATTCTTTATGCTGGAATCTCATGTATGCTAGCATTCTCTGTCACTATGCTGTAACTGTAAATCGTGTTCCAATGTTCGTGATACCTATCTGAGATTTGTCAATGCTTGAACTGAAAATTCCTCTTTCTAGGTTTATTTAAGTTAAAGTCTTCATTTGGAAAGGTGATGACATACTTGTCTATTCTTTCAGGTGCTCAGTTTACTTGTCAAAGTCTACCAGAAGCTTCCTTCTCCTGATTATTTGAGCATTTGTCAATGCCTCATGTTTTTGGATGAACCACAAGGTGTTGCAACCATATTGGAGAAGCTTCTTCGCTCGGAGAGCAAGGATGATGCTTTATTAGCATTGCAAATTGCATTTGATCTTGTAGAGAATGAACACCAGGCCTTTCTCTTGAGTGTTAGAGATCGCCTTCCTGCTCCCAAAACACGCCCTGTAGAAGTAGTTCAGGCTGTTGAAACTACTACTGCTCCGACTGAAAACCCTTCGGGTGATGTTCAGATGGCAGATGGAACTCCAGCTCCGACAGTCGTGCACGAGACGGATCCAGTTGATGCTACATATGCTGAGAGGCTAACAAAGCTTAAGGGAATTTTATCTGGAGAGACATCTATTCAGCTGACACTTCAGTTTCTGTACAGCCACAACAAGTAAGTTACTGTCGAAGGGTTTTGATGTTTTTTCTTCTATAATTGTTTATTCCAGGAAGTAATCATATAGGCTCATTAATAATATCGTCTTTCTGTAGATCGGACTTGCTGATACTGAAGACAATCAAACAGTCTGTCGAGATGCGGAACAGTGTTTGCCACAGTGCTACAATATATGCTAATGCCATTATGCATGCTGGAACTACAGTGGACACTTTCCTTAGAGAGAATTTGGTAAATTTTTACTCTCACCGTACTATAACTGTATGTTTGAGGTGGACTATGTGGCTTAGTGTACTCAACCTTCATTATTTTCTGAATTGACAGGATTGGCTAAGCAGGGCCACCAATTGGGCTAAGTTTAGTGCCACGGCGGGATTAGGTGTTATTCACAGAGGTCACCTACAACAGGGTAGATCATTGATGGCTCCATACTTGCCTCAGGGAGGAGCAGGTGGTGGTGGGAGTCCTTATTCCGAAGGAGGTGCTTTATATGCTCTTGGCCTTATTCATGCTAACCATGGCGAGGGCATCAAACAATTTCTACGTGATAGCTTACGCAGTACTAATGTTGAGGTAATTAGTTGATATCTTATTCGCTATAGTCTTTCTCGATTCCCTGTCAGCTTCTTTGTTCAGAGAATAATTTTGTATTGCGCAAATATACATGCAGGTCATTCAACACGGAGCTTGCTTAGGTCTTGGTTTGTCAGCTCTTGGGACAGCTGATGAAGAGATATATGATGATGTCAAAAGCGTGCTTTACACCGACAGTGCGGTTGCTGGTGAAGCTGCTGGCATCAGCATGGGTTTATTATTGGTTGGAACTGCGACTGAAAAAGCAAGTGAGATGCTTGCCTATGCTCACGAGACACAGCATGAGAAGATTATAAGGTAATGTAGTGGAGAAAATTTTGGTGGTGAGTGTCTATGGTATTTTGATTTAGGAATTTACTAATCAGCAGCATATGGTATTGTGTTTTTAGGGGGTTGGCTCTAGGCATAGCTCTTACAGTATACGGCCGAGAAGAAGGAGCTGACACCTTGATTGAGCAGATGACCAGAGATCAAGATCCTATCATCCGTTATGGTGGCATGTACGCGCTGGGATTGGCTTACAGTGGAACAGCTAACAATAAGGCAATTCGCCAATTGCTACATTTTGCTGTATCTGATGTCAGTGATGATGTTAGAAGGACTGCTGTTCTTGCGCTTGGATTTGTCTTGTACTCTGATCCAGAGCAGGTTAGTTTCAGCTACTCCCTTACTTGTGACCACTAACTTTTTATTTCTTTAGTGCCTCCAAGGATTCTTTGTTTGCTTATCCTCACTAATGACTTCCATTTTCTGTAGACTCCCCGTATTGTATCCTTACTTTCTGAGTCGTACAACCCACATGTTCGCTACGGAGCGGCTCTTGCAGTAGGTATTTCTTGTGCAGGCACTGGCCTCAGCGAAGCCATATCCTTGTTGGAGCCACTTACATCAGATGTGGTTGACTTTGTTCGTCAAGGTGCTTTGATTGCAATGGCCATGGTGATGGTCCAAATTAGCGAAGCAAGTGATTCACGTGTCGGAGCATTCAGGTAAGTACAGATCTATTCTCTTCAGCATTCGAAGGTAGAGAATATTATGGCAGACTGAGATTTTTTCAAATATATTTTGTAGGCGCCAACTTGAGAAGATCATACTCGACAAGCACGAAGATACAATGAGCAAGATGGGAGCGATTCTGGCCTCTGGTATCCTCGATGCCGGTGGTAGGAACGTTACCATAAGATTGCTCTCTAAGACCAAACATGACAAGGTCACTGCTGTTATCGGCCTCGCTGTCTTCAGCCAGTTTTGGTATTGGTACCCACTGATCTATTTCATTAGCTTGGCCTTCTCACCAACCGCCTTCATCGGTTTAAACTACGACCTTAAGGTCCCAAAGTTTGAGTTCATGTCACATGCAAAACCTTCTTTGTTTGAGTACCCAAAACCCACCACCGTCCCTACAGCCAATACTGCCGTCAAGCTTCCAACCGCTGTTCTCTCGACCTCGGTTAAAGCCAAAGCTAGGGCTAAGAAAGACGCAGAGCAGAAAGCTAATGCTGAAAAAGCATCAGGTGCCGAAAAGTCTGGCAATGAAAGTGGATCTGGAAAAGGAAAAGCATCAGCTGAGAAGGAGGGAGACTCTATGCAGGTAATGTTGTCGTCTCCTATATTCTCTCTTTCGAGTCTTTATCCTGTTTGGACCAACTGTGTTTTGAAACTCTTGTCTCCATGAACTATCAGGTTGATAGCACAGCAACGGTTGAGAAGAAAGTTGCGGAGCCAGAGCCGGCGTTTGAGATTCTAGTAAACCCAGCTCGAGTAGTCCCAGCTCAAGAGAAATACATAAAGTTGCTTGAAGACAGCAGATACGTACCAGTGAAGCTAGCTCCATCAGGTTTCGTTCTTCTCAAAGACTTGCGTGAACACGAGCCAGAGGTTCTCTCTCTGACCGATGCACCAACTTCAACAGCTTCCCCTGCAACTGGTGCAGCCGCGGCTACACAAGGGTCCACAGCCTCGGCTATGGCTGTAGATGACGAGCCACAACCTCCTCAAGCATTTGAATACGCTTCATGATTTTGTTTTCTTTTTAAGTTAGTGGGCATTTGTTGTTGGTTTTATTTGTTTCTGTTGAAAGACGAAAGCAGAGAGCAAAACAAAACAAAAAAACAAATCTTTGAACCTTTCATATTGCTGCTTGTCATTTAAAATTGGATTCAAGTTCAACTACGATCTTGTATTGCTCTTTATCGAATTACTTATTTAGTTTCGTATAATTTTCATTTTCATGTGGTTTAATCTTTTAGTGGAACTACGATTCTATTCCCGTCGATCGATCTTGTTTAACTTGTGTTTGTGTATATACTTAACCAGACACTTTGCTTAGGTTGGTTCAAACGGAAAAATATTTTACGGTTTCTTCTACCCGATACGATGAAGAATCGTTTCCGTCTATAGACATAAGACGAACGACCATGAATCCATTACATATGTTCTAGTGACTTTTGTTAGTAGCGTGTAACCATTTGATTCCAAATTACATATTGTTGGTAACAAATATAAGAAAGACATTGATGATGGTAAATATATCGTCTAAATCTAAATGGATTGAATATATGGTAGATGCAATCATGCAAATATGATTGTTTTGGTTTTTTTTTCTCTTTTTGTTTGTCAAAGTGTCTAGGGTCTTTTTAAAAACATTTATCAATATGACATGTTTCATTGTGATAGAACTAACCAGTTTTATAATATAAAATTCTTTCAAATAATACTATAACAGGACAAGCTGGACTGTGTCATTTTATATTACAGACACATGGTGATTGGTGTAATGCACAAGTATAAGTTAAACAAAGAAAAAAAAAACTAAGGAAACTCAATCATTTCTTAATCAATACATATTTCTTAATCCATAAAATTAACGTATACTAACTAAAGTCATAGCACTTCTATATAAAACAATACACAGAGGAAAAATAAAAATAAAGAATCACATCTCCACCAAGTGGAAGAATTTTTCTGTAAAACCACTCAACTTTTGATCTTATCTTCACACAATAGTACAACTTTTTGTATCTCCATACCATAATCAAGTAAGATAATGGAGAAATCCAATCCAAGAACGAAAAAGTTTGTGAGGAAACGAGATCCAAAGCTTTTGACAGAAATCTTATCAACACTTATGTTCTGTATGCTTTTTCCACTTCTCATCAATCAAATCGTGACCTATCTCATTCTTTCTCACAAAGAAACCCAATATATCCCTGTGAAGCCTAAACAAGAAGGAACAGATACTTGCTCCGGAAGGTACGTCTATATCCACAATCTTCCTAGTAGATTCAATGACGATCTGATCAAGAATTGTGAAGCATATATTGAATTACGCAACAAGTGTAAGTACCTGGTTAACTCTGGCTTCGGTCCACGAATCTTGGAGGACAATCACAACAACACAACTCAGGTCTTAACCATCGAGACCGGTTCTTGGTACAATACGAACCAATTCATGCTCGAGGTTATCTTCCGAGAGAAAATGAATCATTACGAGTGCTTGACCAACGATTCCTCCATATCTTCTGCTGTTTTCGTCCCGTTCTTTGCTGGATTCGACGTGAGACGCTTTTGGGGATATAGCGTGAAACTCAGAGACGAACTCGGTGAAGATCTTGCTCGATGGCTTAAGGAGAGACCTGAGTGGAGGAAACTAAACGGACGAGATCATTTCTTTGTGACAGGACGGGTCGGTCGGGATTTCAGGAGAGCTTCTGATCAAGATTGGGATTGGGGAAACAAGCTGATGCGTCTGCCTGAGTTTGAGAACATGACGATGTTATCTATTGAGACCAATTCTTGGAGCAACGAGTTTGCTGTTCCTTATCCGACTTACTTCCATCCCAAGAGCGTCACTGAGGTTAAGGGATGGCAGAGGAAAGTGAGGATGATGAAGAGACGATATCTGTTTTCGTTCATCGGAGCTCCGAGGCCGGAAATGGAGGAATCTATAAGGGGAGAGGTTATAAGGCAGTGCCTTGCCTCGGAAGGAAGATGCAAGTTTCTTAATTGTGAAACAAGTAAAGATTGTGGTTATCCGGTTAAGGTAATGGAAGTGTTTCAAGATTCGGTTTTCTGTTTACAACCACCAGGAGATACACCTACTCGGAGATCAACATTTGATTCGATTTTAGCCGGTTGTATACCGGTTTTGTTTCACCCTGATTCGGTTTATAACCAGTACAAGTGGTATTTTCCAGAGGATCATACCAAGTATTCGGTTTACATTTCGGAGGAAGATGTGAAAAATGGGAAGGTTAGTATTGAGAAATTATTGGGTATGGTTGGTGAAGAGAGGATTTGGAGGATGCGGAACGAGCTTGAGAAGATCATACCGAAGTTAATCTATGCAAAACCGGGGGAGGTTGGACCGGAAAAGATTGAAGATGCGTTTGAAATTGCAGTGAGTAGGGTTTTTGAGAGAGTGTCATTGTTCAACATGTCACATATCTAGCTACATAGTTTGATTAGGTGAAAAATATAAACTAGAATATCAAATATGTAATGAAGACTAAGATTTCATTGTAAAAAAGTAACAACAAATTAATGGGCAAAAATCACCTAAACTCTTCAACATGTAAATTCACAAAACTACATAAAAACGAATTTATAAAGTCAACCTCCTTTTGTCCTCCACAATTTAATGATTTATGGTGTTGAAAACATTAAAATAATATAAATAAAGAATTTACGTCAAAAATGCAGATTCAACTAATTGTGGTAGAAAAAAATTGACTGATACTGGAAATCTTCGTCAAAAGTACAGTTTTCTCATAATAAGTAGGAAAGCTCAACTTGTATAATCAGACTGTCTTGTTTTGTTCACATTTCTCAAAGAGGTTAGTGTTGGATTTTTAAATGTCTTCTACTATTAATATTAAATCTTCCTTCACAGGAAAGAATATATTCTTTGTTCACAAGACGTAATTTCTAAAATGTGCATAAATTCAATTAAATTTAATGATTTGAATGTAAATAATCTCTGCGAGTCGATAATGGAAACTTCTTAACAAAAGAGAAATGTATTTGAATAGAATCCACTGTATTCAACTCATCATAAAAATATGGTAAAATATCTAATACATCACTTGGAAAGTTTAATTAACACCATTAAAACTAAGGGAATGTATATTCTATTTTTCTGAGATCACATCTTTTTAATTTATTAGTATCATCTCACAAATTAAAAATGAAGATGACGAAACCAGTTCCAAAGCTTTGGGTTCTCATCTCAATTACGATTAGTTTCTGTCTCTTCATTCTGTTTCAAATCCATATATCAGATTTAATCGCCAAAAATCCCCAAATCACTCAACAAGTCAACAACTTCTTCATCTCCATCGCTTCTTCTTCTTCTTCACATCATCAAACCCTAAATCTCACCGGAAATGCTAACGAGAGCGATGAAAACAGAGCGAAACCTCCAGAGAAAGAAGATACTTGCGCCGGAAGGTACATCTATATGCACAAACTTCCAAACAAATTCAACGACGACATCATCAAAAACTGTCGACCACTCATCAAATGGTTCGACATGTGTCCATTCATGGTCAACTCCGGTCTCGGTCCACAGGTTTCAGTCTCCGACAACACCACTGCTCACGTCTTAACCACGAGAACCGGTTCTTGGTACTCAACAAACCAGTTCTTGCTCGCGGTTATCTTCCGAGAGAGGATGAAACACTACGAGTGTTTAACCAAAGATCCCTCCCTAGCCTCAGCGATCTACGTCCCGTTCTACGCCGGATTCGACGTCAGCCGTCACCTCTGGGGATACAACACAACGGTGAGAGACGAACTGGCGATAAAGCTCGCTAAATGGCTAAGCAAGAGACCCGAATGGATGAAGATGAACGGTCGAGATCACTTCTTTGCAACAGGACGCATCGCTTGGGATTTCAGGAGAGTTTCTGATCAAGATTCCGACTGGGGAAACAAACTCATGCTTCTGCCTGAGTTCTCAAACATGACGATGTTAGCCATCGAAACGACCGCTTGGACCAACGAGTTCGCGGTTCCTTATCCGACTTACTTCCATCCCAAGAGCTTAACCGAGATTTCGATGTGGCAGAAGAAAGTGAAGAGCGTGAAGAGAAGATATCTGTTTTCGTTCGTTGGAGCTCCAAGGCCGAAAATGGATGGATCTATAAGAGGAGAGATTATAAAGCAGTGCCTTGCGTCTCACGGTAGATGCAAGTTTCTCAACTGTAATGATTCAGGAGGTAAGGACTGTGATAATCCGGTTAAGATCATGAAGGTGTTTCAGAATTCAGTGTTTTGTTTACAGCCTTCAGGAGATTCTTACACTCGGAGATCGATATTCGATTCGATTTTGGCCGGTTGTATACCGGTTTTCTTCAGTCCCGGTTCGGGTTATAACCAGTATAAGTGGTATTTCCCTAAGGATTATAAAAAGTTCTCGGTTTACGTACCGGAGAACGGAATGAAAAATGGAACGGTTAGTCTTAGGAATGTGTTGGGTAGGGTTGGTAAGGAGAGTGTTTTGAAGATGAGGAATGAGGTTGTGAAGATGATACCGAAGATTATATATGTTAAACCGGGTTTGGTTGGACCGGAAAAGATTGAAGATGCGTTTGAGATTGCAGTGGGTAGGGTTCTTGAGAGGGTGACGATGGTTAAGAGGATGATGGAAGAAGGGAAGGATCTTCAGAGTGAGTATTCACAGATTAGGGATTTGAAGAAACTTGAGTGAGTGAGTATTAATATATTTGTTTGTTTTTGTCATTGTAAAGAGGCTAAACTCATAAACTACAATCTTTTTGTTTCTCTTCCTTTTGTTGTTTTGTCACAAAAATTGGGATAACCGGTTTGGAAAGAATTGGTTTGGTACAAACAACGTAAACAACAATGGTTAAGGAATCATGCTTTTCACGAGTTAATCGCAATAGTTGAGCGGTTCGAGCGGTCCGCACTGTTTAACCCGACCCGCCCAGCAATTTTCTGACCCGGGAGATACTTCTTCTTTCCTAAAGTAAGAAACTTTAAAATTCTGCGAAAAACTGAAAAATCGGAGGACGAATCAGCCTGAGAAGCTTCTTTGATTTCATTCTGCTGATCGATCTCGATTCGTTCCTTGCTTCAAATGCCTTCTTCCTTTTAAGTTTGAACCAATATCGCTATTTGATCGTTTTTTCTGATACCGATCAGTTAAATTAGGGCTTTTTTCTTATTTTGTCGTTTGATCCAATCTCTGGGTTTCGTTGAAAATTGGTGATGAAATTTGAAGCGTGATATGAAATTATGTGGATCTCCTCTTAGAGACTTGATGCCAGAGCTTTCGTTGCGTGGTTTCCGAGACAATTGTTGTTGATGGAAAGAGAAACGGAGCGAAGTTTATCTGAGAAGTCGAGAAGAGGCGATCGAGAAGATGTGAAGGTTATCGAGTGGGAAGAATTCGACCACGAGCTCACGCGGTTATGGAGTCTCTCTTCTGCTCTGAAATTAGCCGAAGAGAAGAAGCAAAACCTGCAGCCGAAACTCGAGTCTCTTATTCAGGTTTTTCTCTTACTCATATATTCTCTTTTTAGGCATTTCTGGGTTTGATTGAATTTGGAGTGGGAAGGATCAATTTTTATTAGCGGCATTGTGTTAAGAAAAGTGGATTCGAAGTAATTTAATGTGTGAGTGAAGAGCAAATGTGTTGTTTATGGTCGTAGAAGTGCCTTGTTGTTGAGTCTAATTGTTCTTAGCGTTTGAGACTCTCTCTCTCTACTCAATGAGCTTTAATTGATTAGCCCGCGGTTTAGCGGGCGGCGAAATTTCGGGCAGGTTAGTACTGAATCATTGAGACGAAGTAATGAGCTTGAAGAAATGCGTCAGAGGCTGGAGGCAAGAAAATTGCTGGTGGAGAAGACTGCAGCTTCTTGCAAAGTCACTGAGCAGGATGTTAAAAAGAAAGAGGAGAATCTCAGTACAGAGGTGAGATCTTTGCTTGTAGGCGGCACCACCCTTTCCATCGCTAAAAGCAAATTGCAGGTAAGTTTCTGAGGAAGCAAAATGCTCCGTTTGGCTACTGATTGAATCATAGATACTGTATTTTAGCTTTCTTTCTTCTGTCGTAGGAGTCAAACTGCCAACTAGAAGGAGAAAGTGGTTATGCTCATCTAAAGATTGTGACGAATAAGCTGAGGAAGAGGCAGCAGTACATGGTATCTCAAGTTTCATTTATCTATCCCTTGAAGATTGAGGCTGGACCTTCACAAGACCAGGAACTGGAATCGTTTCCAGGTGGCACTAGACTAGGTCAGTTGTCTAATTTGAGTCTTAAACCTTACATAAAAAGATAAGACTTTGATGAGGTCTAGAGCAACTCCTTCACATCTTTATCTTTCCGTCTGATATTGATTTCAGCACTAACTTTGTCTTTTGTTGTCATAAGTTTTTAATAAAAGTCGTTAATTGCTTACATTATATCCTATGGCTTTAGTAGGAACAAAGCCTCTGAGCCAAGGATCCGTGAGAATTCTGGGGCTGCCTTTTAGTATGGCCCCGTTTACAAAGATGAGCTTCTTCACCGACAAGAAAGAAGTTCAGAAGTCAGCAACTGCTCTAGGATATGCAGCTCATGTGTGTTCCCATTCTCTCTTTTTTCCGTTACTTATCTATGCATTAAAACTTGCTTCATACTTCCAAATTTTTTTGAGTCTCTTGGTTAAAAGTACTAATGGCTTCCTGCTTTGGCTTGTGCAGGCTGTGTCACTAATAGCTCCTTCATTAAAAGTGCCTCTACGTTATCCTTTGTGCCTGGGTGGCTCCAAAACATATATTAGAGACTATGCACCGTACATTGAGCCTTCATCGTCTGACATGTCTCCAATTTCCACACTTTCCTCTAAATTTGTAGAGTTCCCTCTGTTTCTGGATGGTCAAGATACTACTCGAGCTGCTTACGCTGTCTTTTTATTAAACAAGGTTAGTTAAAACATTTGTGTTCCTCTCCCTGAATGTTTGAAAAAGAACGATGCATATTTGCCTCTCCTCTCATCTCATCTAACTGTAGTATTACCATTATCACAGAACATTGAGCAACTCCTCAACTTTGTGGGGGAAAATAGTTTAGGACCACGTCAGGTTCTAGCAAACCTCAAGGAGCTAATTCGAATCATCCAGTCTCCAGATTATGTAAATTCTTTATGAATGATGATGATTGATGATGACGATTCCACTCCTTCTCACACAGCTTCGGTGTCTCTTTTTTTTTGTTTTTTGCATCTTTTCAAGTGGACACTTTGTGGAGAAAAAAAAGGTCAGATTATTTATTCGTTAGAGAACTTTTTAGACATTGGAAATTCTCGTTAGGGTGAGACTCATCTCTCTAGTCTCTCTTAGGTGTTATGGTTTTCTTCTTTTGGTTTGGAGACAATAAACAAAAGCGTAGTCTATACTCTATAGTCTGTTCTAAGGTCTAACAGCTGTATTTTTTGTTTGTTTTGTTCTTCTTTTTCCTATGTATCATTTGACATATGTCTCAATTTTGTAAGTTAATAAAGCATTTTCTTCTGAGTCGTACAAGTTTCAGCCTTCTGTTGACTGTTGGGATGTGTAATGTATGATGTGATAATTCAACGGCAACAATACACAAGACCGAGGGTAAAATGGGAAACATGAAAAAAGTAAAAACAGTGAATGGACCAATAGTTGGCGTAGGCAAGGATTGTACTTTAATGGTTCAAAGGTCTTTACTTTCATCTGTTTCTGACCTTTTTTTCTCTCTCTTTAGAAACCCGGAAACCTCAAAATTCCGATAAGAGCTTTTACTTTGCTTTCTGTGTGTCTCAAGAATGGTGAGTTCCGTGACCACGATCTCTGAATTCTCTGCTTCTGATGTATCAAAGAGGTCTCGATCTCCGGAACCAACAAAAAAGAAGATCAATGTCAAGGTCAAGAACCAACAGGTCTCTCTGTCTCTCTCTCTCTGCATCTTCAAGCTGTTTCATGGCTGCCCTGAGATACTGTTCTGTTTTTGTTTTTCCCTAAATAGAAACTTCTCTTTCGTCTTTGCTCCTGATCTTTCAGTTTTTTCCCCTTCTCTCACTCGTTCATTTCTCCACTAATAATAACTCTGTCAAATTTTACTTTTTTATTTTTCCGCTTGATCTGACCAGAAAAAAGTTCTCATCTTTGCCTTTTTTTTTTCTTTGACTAATTTAATTAAATTTTAACACATTTTGTGATTGGAACAGGACGGAGGATCGGATATGTTCAAGGTTGGTGTTAATGCACAGCTGAAGAAACTAATGACTATTTACTGCGAGAAGAAAAACTTAGATTATAGGACTGTCAGATTCATCTTCGACGACAAAGAGCTCAAACCACGAAACACTCCTGCTCAGGTTTTTTTTTCTTCTTCAAATCTCACTTTACTTACCTTATGCTTTTCAACCTATTTTACTGTTGGTTAATATTTTCTTTTTAAAAAATTTCCACAGCTGATGATGGAAGACAATGATATCATTGATATGGTCACCGATAAAGACGGTGGTTAATCTCACCGGAAGAATGAATTACTCCTACTTTCCGATTTGATCCCGGCACCATGAAGGGAAATCCTTTTTAGGCTTTTAAGAAGACGGTTTAGCTATGAATTTCCGGTTTGATTGTAGTTATTTCACTTTCAGTCTGAAACGTTGTTGTCCACTTGATTTTAATCCGTAATGCTAACTATTTTCGATGAATTTTGAATTTATTTTCATCTCGGTAATTGGTCACAAGTGTTTAAAAAATCTGAGAACCGGAATATCAATAAAAGCTTCCACCGGTTTAAAATCTAAACCAGAATGTAATTGTAACCGAAAAACCAATTTCTTAATTTTATCGAAGAGTTATCTTCTTCTCGCTGCAACAAGCATTTGTGTAAAAATGGTGGTGAAAACAAAATGTACACTGAATATGTGCTTTTTCGTCATTTTGGTTTCTACTGTTACTACTACCATCACCGTTACTGGTTTCCCCACGACGCTCGACGGTCCGTTTGAGCCCGAGACTGCTCCACTCGACCCGAATCTTAACCCGGTTGCATTCGACTTGCCAGAATCCGACCCGAGTTTCGTACAACCCGACTCGGAGTTCCTCCGACCCGAACAGATCTCTGTCTCTCTCTCGTACAGCTCTGACTCCATCTGGATTTCTTGGCTCACAGCAGCAGGTCTCTTTTTGACTCTTCAGCTTTCTTCTTTCTTTATTTGTCTTTCCCTGTAAAATTTGGATCTTTAATTTTAAAAAGTCGAAAGATTCTTAAATCCTTAAAATTTGACTTCTTACTTTAACCAAAAATGTCGATTTTGTTATTAATCTTGAAAACACATGTTTATAAACTTAAACAAAAAGCTGAAAACTTAAACATGTTTGGTAACTTGAAAACACATGTCAACAGTTCTTGTTCATGTCTGCAAAATTTTCCGGTTAGATTGGATAAACTTAAACAAAAAGCTGTTAACTTCTGTTCAAGTATCACTACATTTGTCTGAAAGTTTCATCCTTTACAACTTTAACAACTACTTTTAGCAATTTTTTTTTAATTTCTGCATCTACAAACATTTCTTGGAGTTTCTTTTCATTTCTGTGTGTTCTACAGAGGAACTTCAAATCGGCGAAGAAGATTCCGATCCTATTGATCCTGATTCAGTGCAAAGCATAGTCCAATACGGTGAATTCAATGCTCGAACTAAAAACAAACACGCCACAGGTCATTCTCTTGTTTATAACCAACAGTATCCTGCTGAGAATGGAACCAACAACTATACTTCAGGCATCATCCACCATGTTCAGCTCACGGATCTCAAACCAAACACATTGTATCATTACCGATGTGGAGATCCGTCTTTATCAGCAATGAGCAATGCGTATTACTTCAGGACAATGCCAAAGTCTACATCTGAGGATTACCCTCGCAGGATCATTGTGGCTGGAGATTTGGGTCTTACTTACAACACATCAACAGTTTTGACTCATATTTTATCTAACCATCCTGATCTTGCTGTTCTAATCGGAGGATTTAGCTATGCTGATAGTTATCTTGCGAACAAGACTAAACGAGATTGCAGTTCTTGTCAGTGTGACCAGAACAGAACCTGTTCTGGTTGTGATTCTTGTTATTGTAACCGAGAAATTTATCAGCCTCGCTGGGATTATTGGGGAAGGTAAAACAAGATTTCTTCGGTGGATTGTGAAAATGCTTTGGTGGTTTTGGTTTTAAACACTAAGTTCTTGGAGTTTTGATGACAGGTTCATGGAGCCACTGACGGCTAATGTTCCAACCATGATGGTAGCAGGAGAGCATGCGATTGAGCAGCAGACTGATGATAATCTGACATTTGTTGCATACAGTTCAAGATTCGCATTCCCTTCAAACAAAAGCGGTTCCTTTTCGCCGTTATACTATTCTTTCAACGCTGGAGGAGCTCATTTCATTGTGCTCAATTCATACGCACCATATGATAACTCATGTAAAGTGTTTTTGATTTTTCATTCTTTGTGTTTGAAATAGCAATGAAATTGGTTTCTTGATCTCATGAAATTTCACATTTCTTCGACAGCTGATCAGTATATTTGGCTTGAAAGTGATCTGAGGAACATAGACAGATCAGAAACTCCATGGGTGGTTGCAACTTGGAGTCTTCCTTGGTACAGCACATTCAAGGAGCATTACAGAGAAGCTGAGTCAATGAGGATAAGTCTTGAAGACTTGCTCTATAGCTACCGAGTTGATATCATCTTCAATGGTCAAGTAAGGTGTTCTTCTGTTGGAGAGTGTTTGTTTCTTTGCTTCAGGGGAATATGTTCTTTTATACTAATTCCACCTGAATTTAGGTTGATGCCTATGAGAGGTCAAACAGAGTCTACAACTACACGTTAGATCAATGTGGTCCGGTTTATATAACAACCGGTGCAGGAGGAGCTGGGAAATTGGAGACTGAGCATGTAGATGACCCAGGAAACTGTCCGGACCATTCTCAGAGAAGGTATGTTGGGTCTTGCGGCTTTAACTTCACGTTAGGACCTGTAGAAGATGAGTTATGTCCGGTTAATCAGCCAGACTACAGCGCGTACAGAGAGAGCAGCTTCGGGTTTGGCATGTTAGAAGTAAGTCTTCTCTGTAATCTCTATCGCTTGGTGTTCAAGTAACCTGCTGAGATTAGTTCCTTGCAGCATCAAGAAGCTTGAATCTATTTAATCCAAATCAACTTTTGGCATTTATTTTTGTGTTTAGGTGAAGAATGAAACGCATGCATTGTGGAGCTGGAACCGGAATCAAGACCTGTACTATCTTGCCGCAGACATTGTGTATATTGTACGTCAACCTGACATATGCCTGGTTTATAACTAAACCTAGTTATTACCGGTAGAGTTTGTAACGTGTTATGGTACTTTAGCCAGCATCTTGTAATAGATTGTTAGATACTGTCGATTCTTCTTTTGATATTTTCTGTACGATTCTTCATCATATTATAACGGAATTTTGTATTATTAGGTAAATAAATTTATAGCTAAAAGCTAAAAATACTCAATCTTTTCAAGGCAAAATTTAAAACTCCATTACATGGTACATGGTAAATGAATATTAGTGAACAAAATTATGGTCGTCACTTGTCAAAAAAAAAAAATCCTCTGTTTCGGTGTTCTGTTTCTTGTTCTTCTTACAAGCACAACCAAACTGTGAAGAACATCAATTCCGCCTTGTCCTTATCTCCCTGTATTCGTAGAACTCATTTCCGGGATCTCAGATCCGTCGGTAGAATAAGAGATAGGCCTCAGAAGAGAGAACTTCTTCAAAAGAAACACGTCGAACATAAGAATCGCTTGCGTGATACCATACGGATGAGTCCTTGTGGCCTCCTCTAACGTAAGCAACATAATGACCTGTTCCCATTATCCCTGAATGCACCACTACCCCGGATAACCTGTAAAGCGGCTTGTCTTCTTCGGTCAACCTAAAAGAAGAGAGACTGAGAGTGAGCGAGAGAGAGAGAGATAGATAAAAAACGAAGGAAGAGAAAATGTGGCAATTTTTTTTTTACCTGGAGTCCATATATTGGCCAAGATCAATGAACTCTTTGAAGTCAACATGACCGCTTAACTTGCTTAGCCTGCCTCGAGCATTTTGGCTGAATCTCTTGAGATGAATGGTTAAGACAGGTGGTGCCTTGTTTACAAGTACCCTTTTACTCGCAGCTCTTTTTACAGAAACTATTGTCTCGTCTTCCTTCTTGTCAGATTCAGTAGCAGAGGAAGTAATTGGAGGTTGCTTCGTGTCCAAGTCTCCCATAATTGCATCAGAAGCCAAACTATCTCCATGTTCTTTAGCTTTGATCCCTTCTCTCAACAGTTGGAGTTTTAGGTTATTGCAACAATTCTCACAATGCCAAGCATTGTCTTCCGACAAAACCTCTGTCTTTGTGAACTGGGCCAAACACCTATCCACAGACACTGGTGAATCCGAATCATCAAGTACAACAACTTCATGATCCGAATAATCTTCGTCGTCGTCAAAAAGACTGCCAATGGCTTCATCATCTATGTTTTGTTCATGCTTGCCGCTCAAGAATGACGAGGGAGCTTCACATCCTGCTTTAGATGGTTCTTCAGATACTTCAGGCTCGTCAAAGAAGTCGCTAAAGTCAACATAATCTACTACGTTTTGTTCATTGCCACCGCTCACGGATGACGACAAAGCCTCACCCTTACTTTCTGCAACTGCTTTATCATCATTGGATATGTTATCTTTGCAAGGCATACACAGAGCTTGAGAATCTGCAACCAACAAGGGAAGCTCTTCATCATCATCATACCACGGATCAGGAAAACCTAAAACTCGAGCCTCATCATACCACTTATCAGGATAACCTAAAAATCGAGCCTCATCAATCCAACTCACAGCTATGTCTTTCTTAGACTGCATAGCTCGTGCATCAGTTTCCCTTGCATCATTATCATGCATCAGCGTTTCTCTTCTGCTACCTTTAAAACTCTGATCACCTCCTTCAGTCTTAGTTGATGAGGTTGCTGTTCCAAATAAATCCAACCAACAACTATCAACTTCCATATTGGTTTCTGTTTCAGTTTCTGGATTCTTGAGAACCTTAACCGGAGAAAGGGTTTGTTTCTTGGAAGGAAGAGGTAAAGAGAGATCCAAAAAGGGCTCATAAACTTTTGAGGAGTGACCACATTCCAAGCAAGAAACAGTGCTCGAGATCTCACCACCAAATATAGAATCTATGAGAGTAGGTGGTGAAGAAGTGTCATCATCATTATCATCACCATCACCATCAAGCTTCTTCCTCAGGCTCGATTCTTCCATGCTCAAACCATCCAACAAACACCTTAGCAACTCGTGACTGTCATGCTGCTGAAATCCCTTAAACTGAGGAGCCTTGCAACACACGGAACCGAAAAAATCCCTTGGATTTATCACACTCTTGAACATTGATCCTACCTCTGATTCTGTCTCCTCAAATAATCTCTTCAAGGAAGAAACTAGAGGCCCACCACCATACAGATCATCATCTTTCAGCAAGTGGTCACGTAACTGATCCAAAGAGAGAAGGTTCTGCAAGACAGAGTTAAAGAAACATGTGTTCCCAAGATTAACCAAACCTCTTACATCATAGTAACCATCTCTTGCCCTGGACACAGAAGAACCTTCTAACGTTTTGATCTCCCCGCAGATGCTTCTACTACTACCACTTCTTGGACATCGTTCTTTAATCGCTTTAACAACTTCAAGTAACAAATCTTTCTTCACACCATTCTCTTCTTTATCAAAAGGGACAAGTGATTGGCATGAGAAACACCATCTCAACTTAGGTCTTTCACATTGCATCACCAAACGGTGACGCGTCATCCTCATGTGCTTCACAACGTGACTATTACCTCCAGTTGGCAAACCAGCATCTCCACAGCTATAATAGCCACATTCCAAGCAAACCCAAATAGCTTTTTTTGGAGAGTCCAAAAAAGAAAGTATTTTCTTTTCCTTCACGCGCACTCCTTGCTTGCATTCTCCACACTTTATTTCTTGACAAGATTTGATAACTTTCAACAGCTTATCCAAATCAACACATTTATCAAAATGGACACAAGATCTTTGTTTTGCCACTGCCTCCTCAGCTATCTCCTCGCTCTGCTCAGATTGTTTAGTTACCTTATCGGAGACCATTGCAGGCTGATTCATATGACTTAGAGGACTTGGACCCTCCTTTAAATTTATCATCATTCCTTACTAATCAGGAACACCTCAAAATCCAAAGCCAGACAAAGAACACTGTGTAAGGAAAATTATAAAGAAAGATGTTAGATTCACCCGTATAATCAAATAGAGATAAAATCTTCTAGGAGGTCTAATTAAACAACTGAGATTGAGGTTTTTATATAAGAAAGATACAAATACTAAGTACTACGACGACTCAACTAGAACGTAGTGGCTTAATCGCAACCAAGAGAAAACAGATGCTCTTTGAATTAAGTATGATGCAAAAAAAACGTAGAATTCAGATATGTTACGCGCAAACCCTCCAAAGGAGAATAATCAAGAGGTTCTGGGAGAATATATCACGCGAGAAAGATGGAAGACGAAACGATGATCAAAGTTTAGGATCTAACCTTATCTATGGGTTTGTAAAAACGAAAGGGTTTGTCACAAGTTGGTTTCTTTTTCCACAGCGAAGCGAGACAGACTCGGCTAAAGTATTTGTAAGGGTGAGGAAGAGAGTCAAACAGAGAGAGAATGGGAAAAACACAGAAAAATCAAAATATAATAATTAGGCTAACTAAAAGAAAAAGGAAAAGGAGTAGAATTATCCAATTATTATGAAAATAAAGATGCTAACAAAAATTTAGTAGAATAAGAAAAAGGAAAAGTAAAATTTTAGTAGAATTAAGAAAAAATAAAATCATACCCCTGTGTTTGAAACTCAAACTTTGAGTTTATAAATAGGAAGTTTGACAAAACAAAACAAAATAGTTCCCCAGTTGACCATCTTTTGTGTTCTGATATGGAATATGTAGCTCCAACGCTGGACGATTTTGGCTCTCCGGAAAAGGAAAGTCCGCAAACAACTTGAGGCTATAGTTTGGTCTCTCACTTCCCTCAATTCCTCCTTGACGTACTCTCCAAGCAATCCTCTTCTCTCCTAAGAGCACACTGATTCACTGAATGTTGAGTCTACTAAGCTCAGCTTCTACTTCTGCCCCTAGCTCTTCTCTTGCGATTTCCCCTATCTTCTCCATCTGATCGGGTTCTAGATTCTTGAATTCGCCTGTAACCTCATTGTTGTTCTTGAAGGGAGCGGCGTCCACTTGAACAATGGCACTCTTAACAAGTGTGTTTGTTCCTACCAACTCACTGTCGGAAGCATTGTAGACCGCACCCAAGAGTCTTGTCTTGCCGCTAACTGTATTCAATTTCCTTCCAGACTTGTACCTTCATAATGATACACACAAACTTAAAGAGACCAGAAATGTACAACCGAAAATGAATGAAAGGCACCAAAACTGTGACAAACAAAATATACAACAAGCCATTATCAGATAAACACAACAAGAAGATCATCTCAAGAAATATTTCCACCACCACAGCATCGCATAAACCAAGTGTTAATGTGTTATGTTATTTACTTCCTTGTTTCTTAAAACGTTTGTAAATAGAGCAGAAAAGAAAACATTTCGACAGAGATCTGAATATGAAATTAAAAAACAGAAGAGAACTTACTTTCCCTGGTGAATCCTCTCCTCACTGGTAAGACTCTTCCTGTGGTTACGAATAACACGTCCTACAAAAATCAGGTTCCATATCAGATTCTAGCATCAAGACATTCAGTATAGAAGAAAAGAGATCCATTGGATTATAAATCGAGAAGAAAGCGTTCCTACCCATGGTTGCTTGCGTCTTAGGGTGTCTCTGCCAAATAGAAGTTATAGCTACGCCGTTACTGAGTTGGTGAGGACTGAGGAAGAGCTTAAAAGGAGACGTGTCTGTATAAAACCCTAGTAGCCCCTTTATTAGGAGACGTGCCATTTCATTTACTTGCGCTGTCATAGCTTGGCACCCAAGTTTCCGATGTTATGATAATGTTTCTTGAATCTATTGTTTTCCTTTTTATCACCTGATCTCAAAACTTATTTTGTTTTTTTTAAACCTCATTATCCAAAATTTTAATACAACATAAAAACCAAAAAAAAATTTAGTATAAGGGTGAAGTAATGAAGTCCCCAAATTGAAAAAAAAAGTTGGAAAACAAACAATATAAATTATCCTATTCCGAACTACTTTTCTTTTAAATAAAAAAATAAATATAACTCTGTTAAATTTTTAACTAATAACAATAGTTGTTTTTTTTGGTTAAAGCCGATAACAAAAATTACTATTGTAAAACTAAATTCTTGTTGGAGTACGTAACTAATGTACTCTCCAAAACGATTAACTTGATTTAGCAAACCCAACCAACCATTTATATAAAACAACAACAAAAAATCGAAAACTATAAAAAGTTACGAATCATAAAATCAAACAAAAAGAACTAAGCGAGAACCCATTTAGTCTTAAAAAAACATGGCGGCGTTGAAGACGATATCGATTGTGTATCTCGTGCTATCAATTATTCTGATTTTCGAGGCCATTATGATAAAAATGGAAGGGATTATATCATATGATGCTTTGCGTGTGAATCATGCTTGGGGATGTTCTCCAAAATACCCACAGTTTTGTGAGAAAATTCAGGCAAATCCATATACTTACGTTAAAATATAAGAGATTATACCAAAGAGGCAAAGACTCCAAGGAAGAAATCAACCAAGGGAATTAACGGTGGACAATGATGAAAACTGTATTACTTTATCCATTATATATATAGATTCAGATTTTTTTCTTATATTGTTCTTTAATCGTCTATCTATATGTATCTTGTTCATATCTTGTTCATCTCTGGTAATGAAACAGAGCTTCTCTAAACAATATGATATACATATATATGTAGACCAGAGATGATATGAGACTCACCGCTAACAACCGTGACAAACTTCAGTCAAGATCTACTCATATTCATTTTGCTTTATTAAATCAGATTGTAGCATATAAGAAGCTATAGAGGTCTTTTTCTTATCTATTTTTGTGTGTAAAAGTTAAGATGAAACTTTAGAGGTCTTTCAGTCCTATAAAGGTTTGCCGTGCGTTTTGCATTGCATAACGTGGAAATTTGGTATGAGGCAAGTTATTGAAATATCTAATATAAGTTTTTTTTATGGAAATGTATTCAAATTAAGCTTGAAAAAAAACTGGGTTTGGTTTTTGATTTTGTTATGTAAATTACTTTATATAATGTCAACATACAATTTGTGTTTGAATTTGCGTTTATATGAGAGCAAAAGAATTTAAAACAAAATTTGTACACCTATTTATATTTAATTACTTAATTAGTAGAAAACCAAACTATTATGTAGTTCATGAAAATAATATTTTCAATTTTGGAAATACTAAGAAGAAATACAAGTTAAGAAAACCAATCAAAATATAAAAAAATCAAAATATAAAATTGGCTGTAATTGACAGTTTATTAGCTTTGTACCAATCAGAACCAGCATCACTCTGTCCATCTTTTTTTTTGTTAAATAGATTCAGTTTTCTTGAGCTGTTCATCGAGTAGTTTGTTGCAATGAAAACCCAAATCTATACATTCTCTCCATATATTTAAAGACGTTAAACTTAGTTTCGAGCCACCTTGGCAAGAAATTAGTAAAATAACAATATCAATATTTTAGGAGGATACACCAAATCTATATGCCAAAAAAAGAAAGAAACATATATAACAGCATTACCCACCCTCCTCCGATCTCCTATATTATTTAAAGCTTCGATAAATCTTCATGTTTTCCTCACACTATAATCCAATCATTTCTCTTTTATATAAATACAAGTTCTTTCATTTCTTAGTTCAATCAAAAGAAAGATATGGGTATGTCTAACAAAATGATTAAGGCTGTTATTATATACATGGCGTTTGTAATGGTGTTCTTTACTCTTGCAACAATCAAGACCAATGCAGAAGATGCTGTGATCAGCTATGAAGCACTTGCTCAAAATCATGCATGGGGATGTAGTCCAAAGTATCCGTGGACATGTCAGAAAGAAGTGGCCAATCCCTAGACTGAAAGATGCGAATTTGAATGTTTATTTTCATTTTTTAACTGTCTTTTGTTTATACTATGGTTCGTTGAATGTTTTATGTTTATATCTATATTATATTCTAAAAATAAATCTGTAGTGTTCACTAATTTGTAAATCTTTTCTTTTTAATATATGTCAAAACTATCACAGTTAGATTACCACTTGTAATGTGTTATTCACTTATTTGATAAAAGAGTTTTCTCTTAATTTTTTTATTTTTTATTTTTGGAAAAAGGCATGTTTTCTCTTAAATTTTAGAAGAATGATTCTGTTAAAAATTACACATGTGTAGGTGAAAAGTTATAACCAGAGCCACATGAGTCGAGGACCAAGAGTATCATTAAAACCAACAAATATTTATTCTGTTTTAAGCATGTTTTTCAGTGTCATTAAGCTATACAAAAAAAAATCGTTAAAACGCTACTGTACTAACTCTAAAAACATATCTTGCGGTGAAAGTAACCTATCTTAAACTGTATCACGTGTCTAAAACCCTGTAAGGAAAAATGGGTAAAACCAGATGAACACTGTTCACTAGAGACGTGTCCATCAAGTCATCCTCACTGTTGTGAATCTTCTTTTTCTCTGCTACATCGCTCTCTGTCATCCACCACTGCCTCTTATTCTTAAGGCTATTCACAATCATAACCTGAAGTTAGTAACATTGCTATGTATACTTGGAGAAGTGCTATGTATACTTGGAGAAGTACCGGAAATTATGAAAAAAGACCTAAATGTAAGCAAAATCGAAATGATTTCGAGATTAGAATGTGATAATATTGTATTTACCGCTTTTTTATCTTCACCGACCGGAGGAAACCGAAACAGAGCTCCTCTCAGCATATCTGATCCGATTGTAACAGTAACAGAATAAGCACGGTCGAATATTTCATCCAACACTCCAGTCAGTGAATCTGCAGAAGAAGAGACACACAAAGATTCAAATCTTTAAAAGCAGTGAAAAGATAACAACATATGGCAGCGGAAGTAACGTACTAACGTACTAACTTGAGAAAAGAAAAAGAGAGAAGCTATTTATCAGAGTTGGCTGTTTTTTGAGGTAATTTTCTAACCAAACCAATCAAACATTGGAATTGCAGCAACAGTTGAGCTAATACCTACAAGGATTGATTTCTCAAGCAAGAATCTATCCATGGTACTTTGAGCAAAGTGCGAGTCTCGTGAAGCGACTCTATAAAGTAACCTATCTCAAACTAATGCGTCCCTGCTTAATAAAGAAGATAACAAAAGCAGCTCTGCTTACCATCCGCCAGAGACGTCTCCATCAAGTCATCGCCTTTCTCCATATTAGTCTCCGTCTCATCAGAATTGTAGCCATTTGAGTGCCCTTTTTTTTTTTTTTTTTTTTTTTTTTTTTTTTGGTTTCCCAAAAGCTTTCTAGGCCCAAGGACTAATCCAACCTGGCCTTGCATCCGGTTACGCGTTATCCCATCGTTAAGGGCGCGGCTAGGTGGCCAAGGGGACTTGAACCCGGGTGGCGGTACTCACAGCTGTGAGTCCATTACCACTGGGCCAAGGCCACTTGGTTTTTGAGTGCCCTTCTTGTTCCTTAGAATTATAGCCATCAGAATTGTAGCCACTTGAGTGCCCTTCTTGTTCTTTAGAATTGTAGCCATCAGAATTGTAGCCACTTGAGTGCCCTTCTTGTTCCTTAGAATTGTAGCCATCAGAACTGTAGCCACTTGAGTGCCCTTCTTGTTCCTTAGAATTGTAGCCATCAGAATTGTAGCCACTTGAGTGTCCTTCTTGTTCCTCAGAATTGTAGCCACTTGAGTCGTAGCCTTCTTGTTCCTCAGATTCTTGCATTGGAGAATTCGCTTCAGTGTTCTGCTTTGGAGACCATTGTTTTCTGCGGCACAGCATCAACGACGACCTGGTTTATAATTGATCTCAAAGATGCATATATCAAGAAAATCCGGAGATGAGAGTGCTGATATTGCATACCTCTTTTTGACTATTGGCCTTTTCGAAATGCTCTTTATGATTGGCTTCATCAGTCAAAGTGTTGGGGGAAACATCATAACTCTGTTTCTCTGGATCTTGAGTGCCTCTCTCCTCTGTAGACTCATACATAACTCCTCTTAGCTTCCATGAACCAATTTTGAGAGTCACATGATAAGCACTCTTAGCTTTTCCATTGACGGATCCGGTCACTAACAAAAGAGAGAGAAAGAGGTTCATGTTTCATGAGCCAAATATAGATGATCTCGTAAATTGTGAAAGTAGAAAGTAACGGAATGTGCATACATGGAGGAACTTGGCCACGAGCTTTGAAGAAATAGACCATCTCGTAATTACGAAGTAGCGAGTAGTAGTATTGTAGCACGTGCTTCCTAAAAATAGGGTTTCGTTGTGATTTGGGGAAGTTAAACGTATCAAATGTCTCCTTCCACTTCTCTTCTTTAACAATCTGCAAAACCTCCCAAAAAAACAAAAAATAATCTTTCTGTAGATTTCTTAACTTTCAACGCTTATGATGATGATGATAACACATTTTACCTTATCGATTCCACCACGAGAAGTTACTTCTACAAAAATCTTATGCAAGTCCATATCCGCAAATCTTACTTTCGGAATCCTACAATCAATGGACATTATATATATGTTTCTTCAATGAACATTTGGCAAAACTGTAGCAAGTGATTATCAAATCATTGATTGAGAAACATGAGCATGAATAGCCTGTTACCAAAAATCTGTGTCCATTTCAGAGTGTAACGTCTTCAGTGTAGACATGAAGAGATCCTTATCAGCCACCACGTTCTCGTAACTTGCAAGAGGAGATGGGTAAGTGTTCTTCATTGATACTGTGCTCAGATCTCAAGACTAGAGATTGATGCAATTCTTCAAACTGTCTTTTACTTTCTGCACACGCAACAAACATAAAGAAACTTTATTATATGCAAATGTTCCCTGTTTCGACGAATACTTAAAATTTCTTCTGCATTCAGAGGCAAATGGTCGAACATGTAATGTTCATAAAAACAAGCATTACCAATTTTGAGATATCAGAAACAGAGTTTCGAAATCTAAGAAGAGAAGCAACAGTAGAAAAGCTGTCACGTTACTCACGAACCTCTAGATTCTTCTTCTTCCTCTGTTTCTTGTTTACAAACAAGATTCCATCGAAGAAAAAGGACTTATGCGAGAAAAGCAAACAACTTTTTACAAGAATCATAGCAAGAGACATCTCTCTTGAACGGAGATTCTTCAACATAAACCGAGAATCGAGATTACCCAGATAAACAGTTTTCTCGAAAATCAACAAATACATTACATACACCCACTGAAACTTAATGCCCACCATTGAAATTCTCTGTTAAACTTGAAATTTTCCGAAAGAAGATGAAAGAGCCCATTTTTATGGTTTCCCGCGAAAACAACAAGAAAAGAGCCCAGAAGCTGAGAAGCGGAACAGAAAGAAAGAGAAAAACGGAAACTATTTTGTAAATGATCATCACCTTCGCTTGATGACACAGTCGCGTTTAATCTGGAGAAAAATGGAAGCTTTACTTGTTTTAGTTTTCTCACTTTCCTTAATTTGATCGATTAATAAATAGAGTGAATTTGGTAATAGACAAGTTTTTGACATTTAATTAAGTAACAGACAAGTGACAACTTTGTTTTAGGAAACTAACAAAAGGGTACCCAACATTTGCTGTATAGCTGTTGAATTTGTATACACACGCGCATATGAGAGTGGGGAAACTGTGCATTGCTTTCCATTTAAAGAGAAATAGCTTTTTTAGTTATTAATTATTTTTCTTTATTAAATTAATAAAATAACACATACAAATAAATAAACCATGAAAAGATTAATTCCAATGATTTAAATATTTTGTTAAATATAAATTTGAGATTTCAATTTACAATTTTATAATATAAATATTTCGTTAATAATGTAATTAAGTTATTAATTACATATATATATTTCCACATATTTTATTAATGATAATCTTGGTATTTATTCGGTAAATATTAAGTTAGGGATGTACATTCATTTGTCAGATATAATTAGTATGTTAAAAGGTAATAAAAATACATAACAGGTTATTTAATCAAATAGATATGTAATAAAAGTATATAACAAGTTATTTAATGAAGTATACATGTATATTTCTATGTAACATGTTAGTAATACAGATATTTGTTTATTGTTGATTAAAAAAAACAAAATAATATTAACATATTCATATTTCAAATTCGAATATAACTATATATTTAAAATGTTAACATGCAATAAAAATACATAACAAGATATTTAATCAAATATACATATATATTTCTATATAACATGTTAGTAATTTACATACTTGTTTATTGTTGATTAAAAAAAATATATAGTTCAAATTGAATTTGAAACAAAGCAACTTATAGATAATAATATCAGTTTTGTTATGAGTAAAAAATAGCATGCTATATATTCTAGTTTATCAAAACATGTAATCTTTTACACTGTTATTTACATTTTTAGCACAACAAAAAATGCAATAACGAAGTATACCTTTTTGTAAAGCGCTAAATCAATAAATAACAGAGGAAAAAATAAAACGAAAATTTCTTTCACCTAATTCACTCGGATTTTTATCCAAAAAAACAGAGAAATTGCAAAACTATATATTGAAATCGAGATCTTGAGTGTAATATCTGGGGATTTTGCTGGATTTTTTGGGTTATTAAGTTCTACAACTATTTGTATCATTTGATAAGGATATCTGGTTTTTCCCACTACAATATTTACCTACTTCATTCGAATTTTTATCCTAAACAAAGAGAGAAGGGCAAAAAATTGTGAAGAACACACATACATATAAACTGGATCTGATGGTTAAAAAAAAAACGGATCTGAGATTTGAAGCATACAATTTGCAAAATGACAAAATTAATTCAAATTGGGTTACTCATAAAATTCAAAAAAGCAATCTAAAATAAAAATCTGGTGAAAAGAATGAAAAGTTATGTCTGAAAGAGAGAAGAAAGAGGAGATGTATGAGGAAGAAGAAGAATGAAAGAAAAAATCGTGAAGAAGAAAGAGAAAAGAGGAAAGAGAAAGGAGGAAATAGGAAAAAGAAAGGAGGAAAGAGAAAAGCAATACAATAAATGCATCTTGCATGCTTGTATGCGCGTGAGGGTAAAACAGGAATGTATGGTGTCGAAATACGGATGTATATACGACTATGATACACTCTTGTTAGATCCTTAATTACCCATAAAGTAATAGCTAACTGGTGCAAATACTCTAATAAATATTTAAATCACTGCGTGTAGTTTAATAATTGAATTGGGCCGTAGTTTATTACCAATTTCTCTACTCCAAGCCCAATACGAGTCTCAAACTAGAAGGAAAAAGAAAACGTATTGTATTCAATAACCCCATTTAAACGTTATTTCGTTCACAAACCATATGTCAATTGCAACATGCTCACTACATTTTTTTTTTTTTTTTGACTAAAACTACATTTCTTTTTTTGAAATCGAAAGATAGCAACTTCAAATGTATATATTGAAAAATATATGTGGAAATATATATAGCTTCAGTCACGGTAAAGCGAATTTATATAGTTGGAAGTAGGTGTCTTCTTTATCGTTTGTATTAGAGATATCAGGTCCCATATGAATATAAACAAAAATTTAATGTTTTTATGAATCAGATTAATTTATGAATTTCGATAAAATACATATATTAAATAACCTAACAAACACTAAGAAGTCTTCATGTAGCATATGTCAAACTTCTTGTACTACCCCACAATTGTATGCGTCTTTAGTTTCACCTAATTTTCTTATGGAGTCTTGTTTTTTTGTGAAGGAAGAAAAATTTGCTCGGCAAATGTTTATCTGAGAAATGATCACATGTACATTATTCTTTGATCTTTTTAATAAAGTGGATTTGCTTAAACCAAAATATGTCAGAAATTTGGATCTTTAGTATGATCAAACCACGAGACTATATAGTTTAAGAAATAAGATCCTACACATCAGTGTTTTTGGTTTATCACTGTCATTTTTTTTTCCGTAGATTAATTGTTTTTAGTCAAATAAAAATCAATAAATTTACCAACTCAGTTTAATTTTCTGATCACATCTTTTTGTTCGGTTTGGATAGCTTAGTGCAGCCTTCTTTCACAAGATAGATTAGTCCAAGTTTATCTATATTTTAAACAATTCTGATTCTGTAAACCTCATAAATGAATAATCATGTGTCAACATACTATAAAGAATTTTGTCAAGATGAGAATATGGTGGATGAGTTATCACTTGCTAAGTTTACATGAGTACGGATAAAAAATAATAATTGAAATTAGCATCTTTAACACACTTAAGACTTTTTATAGCTATGTAGTTGAAAAATTGGCCAAAAAGGTCATACTTATTAGGATCATCAAGGCATGAGTGAGTAGTAGTTGCAACAATTACACTAAGAGATTTTAAAACTATAATCTTCTCACGGGATGTGAAATAGAAGCCACCAAAAAAAATATATGAAAAAGGTAGGCCAACGACATCATCCAACCTCTTTATTATTGAAAAATAAATACTCAAATAGACTATACAACATTTACAAACCGACTGTATAGTTTCAGTCTCTTTTTCTGATTTCTAAGAAATTGAGGGTTTTATTAAAGATATAAGAATTCTATTACTTAACAAAATTATATGCTCCAACGTTTTCTTAACTCAGTTATTTATCTTTTGAGTTTTGAAGACAAAACTAAATATATAACGTTATCTTATCTTTATAAGCTTTTTTGTATGTCTCCCTTATTTCGTTGCATTTATATTATAGTGTGGCATTATGTCAGTTTCTCAATCCTTTTAAAGTTTTTCCGTTTTCAACTGTACTAGTATTGACTTCTCCAGTTGCAAACCCAATAAGAATGGAAGAAAACAACCAATAATAGATAGAGAAAAAAAGAGATCATTTTAAATAATTCGTCGATATTAAATCTTTCAATGAAACTCGTTTTAAGAAGACATTCATCACGCCATTTGTTGCGGCGACCCAAAGCTTTCATTTTCTTCTACTGGCAATTTCCATTGTTATAAAATTTCAAACACGCTCATTAACTTTAAAATTAGTGAAAACACCAATCAACTTTTGATGCGGCTATTTATTAATGCCGTCCTTATTCAAGGAGCAAATTAAAGTGTGCACTACGATTTCAAATTTGTTTTTTGTTTGTTTGTTTCATTTATTTCCTAATAATGCCACACACCACTGTCTAATGCAACACACTTGTTACGATAGAAATTGCTTACCCAATGGTCTATGCAGAGCTTAATATCCTTGGAATGTAGTGCAGGACAAAAGTAACTGAACTTGGATCTTAATGCGCTCCTTCTTTCCAAAGACTTACAAAATTTTAATTTGGGGTCTTTTCATGTACATAAACTGTTGATCATTAAAGAGACAAGAACTCGACATAAGTGATTGGGAGAGAATAACATGTGTTTTGATGTCATAAATCCAGAAAATAGATGAAACGTAAATGGTGGGGCTATTTTGACTGATAATCCACTCCATATCATTGGGGTTTAATCAAAAATGATAACCATGTTTACCATATATAGCTCCCATTTTCTATTTTACATCAACATCCTATTCATGTATGTCCCCCACTTTCCTCCAATCAATTCAAGACTCCTGTGTGTGTTACGTGCGTACATCTGTTTTTTACTTGGGTTGATTGCTAATTACTGATCAAAAAGCTACTTAAACATAGTTTGCAATGTTGATGATTATTTATTAGTCTTTGGATATCATCGAATTCAAACCAGCATATAACACGGATGTAAAATAGTCTATATATATATATATATATATATTTTTTTTTTTTTTAACAACTTCTCATTAGAGCATGTTCTTATTAGAAACTTAAACCGTGGTTACATAACACAGATGTAAAATAGTCTATATTTCTATATAGATATACAAATTAAGAAAAACAATTAGTCGTCTCTAAAGACAGAAAAAAAAATAGATCATTCATTTGCGTTTACATATGAAAATATAATTTTATCTAAAGTCTTCTCAACTAAAATCGGTCTTCAAGACTCAAAGCCAAATTACGCCACCGGGAGATCATCAAAACATTTGAAAACAAAAAAAACTAGCGAACTGATCTCAAGAACAACATGAATTGATTAGTATCACATCTTGTGACATTCAGATGTGTTAACAGTTGGATCCGCCGCAACTATTCAAGTATGATCTCGGTCCTAGAAAAACTATAGACCGAGCTAGTGTTTATAATTTTCTTATTTAGTATATAAAAGTGTTTTAAATTGAATTGAGAAAATGTGATCATGTCGCATTATTTAAGAAAAAACTATTTTCTTACGGAGAAAAACTCCTTATATTGGTGTTGTGACTTGTGAGGTGTTTTGATCCACGTATCTAAAAATTATCTAAACTTAGTACTCCACTAACAAAAAGCTCACTATTATATTTATCTTATCCCATTGTTGCTTACTTGATATATAGTTGATTCATACAATAAATAATTCTTACACTACTTGTAAGAGAATGTCTTAAATTTTTCTTGTCCTTTCTGTCAAAGTGTTTCTCATGTTATTATTTAAGTTTAACATTATCATCAAGGCTGGACCAAGTATAGGAACGCAGAATTTTGCTTTACGTACTTTTTATTATTAGGTAAATAAAAACACATTCAAAATTTTGGAAAATGAAAAATTCAACCCATAAGATGAGAAGAAAATCCTCCAACCTATAAAAAATGCTAGGCGCGTTTTTCTTTTCAAACGCATTACACGTCCTCGAACATAAAGTACAGAATAATTCGAGTTTAGAATTCATACTAGAAAAAACAAAATATAAAAGAAGAAGACAAATTTGGACCGTCAATATTCTTCTCGACGACACGCTTTGAAGGTCTTCTTTAGTTCTCAATATTTTTTTCCCTTGCGGACATGTATATTAGATACATATAAATAACTTAATTTCAATGTTAAATAAAATTACTTTCTTGAATCAATGGAGTTTATATTTTCTCGTTGAAACAATAACATGTTCAAGAAATAGAGAATCCTTCGCCATGACACATCACCATAAATGACCAAACCCGACCAAGGGGTTTTGCTAATTTCAAACCACGCGAACCTAATCTTGTTGAAATTAATGCCTCCATTCTTCGCAAATTAATTTCAAAATTTTATAAACCCTATTGAACATAAAAAGTATCAGAAGAACAACTATAAATATGTGTACACATCCTTGCTGGCAAAAATCCATCATTTAATTTTGGTCGGTCTAGAAAATCTCAAAGATCGCCACATATGTTATAAAGCATATCATATAATAAATTCATTCACATTTGATATTTGTACATCCACATGGCGCCAATGGCAGTGGATCGTCTCTGTTTCGTACTACCCGCCGAATCCGGCGAGTTAAAGCCTCCCGTCGAGTCACCGGCGATGGCTGATGAGTCCAAAGAAGAGGAGAAGAAGAGTCGTGATTGTGGACATCAAGTTGTGACTTTGATCGGTGATTTATTCCAGCGATTACAGAGCTCAAAATTGGTGAAAAGCTTGAATCTTTGTATCAACAAGAGCAGAGATTCGATTTATCCGGAGATTGGTAAGCCTTTCACTGACATGGAAGGTGTTCAGCTTTCCGATAAAATCGGTTGCGAGAACCCGAGAATCTTTGGATACTCCGAGCTCTACATCGGATCCAACGGTTTCAGCGAGGAAATGATTCTCGGAAGCGGCGGTTTCGGCCGGGTTTACAAGGCGCTGTTACCGAGCGATGGGACCACCGTAGCCGTGAAATGCCTGGCGGAGAAAAAAGGAGAGCAATTCGAGAAGACCTTCGCGGCGGAGCTTGTTGCGGTGGCTCAGCTCCGGCACCGGAATCTCGTGAAATTGAGAGGTTGGTGTCTCCACGAAGACGAATTGCTTCTCGTCTACGATTACATGCCTAATCGGAGCTTAGACCGTGTGCTTTTCCGACGGCTAGAGATGAATTCCGATTTCAAACCGCTGGATTGGGATCGGAGGGGTAAAATCGTCAGAGGACTCGCCGCCGCGTTGTTCTACCTCCACGAGCAGTTAGAGACGCAGATTATTCACCGCGATGTGAAGACGAGCAACGTGATGCTGGATTCCGAGTTTAACGCACGACTCGGCGATTTCGGGCTGGCTCGGTGGCTTGAACACGAGATTGACGACGAGACTGAGTTCGATCCGAGTTACGACTCGGTTTCCTCGTTCCGTAACCACCAGTTCCGAGTTGCGGACTCGACGCGAATCGGTGGGACCATCGGGTACTTACCGCCGGAGAGTTTCCGGAAAAAAACCGTCGCCACCGCGAAAACAGACGTGTTCAGCTTCGGCATCGTGGTCCTCGAAGTCGTCTCCGGGAGACGCGCCGTCGATCTTTCGTTCTCAGAAAACAAAATCATTTTGCTCGATTGGGTTCGGAGATTATCCGATGACCGGAAATTGCTCGCCGCGTGCGATTCTCGTCTACCTAAAGGATCTTACGACCTCTCCGATTTGACCAGGATGATTCACCTTGCTCTGCTCTGTTCGTTAAACAACCCACACCTTCGTCCCAACATGAAATGGGTGATCGGAGCACTTTCCGGCGACTTTTCCGGTAGCTTACCGGCTTTACCTTCCTTTAAGAGCCATCCTCTTTATATCCCTCTATCATCTATAAAATCAACCTCCACGTCAGCTACGACGACGACCACCACAACAACGAACCCAACCACCTCAACGACAAGCCTCAACGCGTCTTCCGAGTCAACGCCGACGTCAAATTACGTAACTGCCCTCGAGGATTCCATTTACGAGACGGCGGAGACTGGAGGAGAAAACCGGTATTTCAATAACAGCAGCCGTCGGATGACGCCGTCAAAGTCTTTCGTATTGGACACGCCAAGAGAGATTTCATACAACGACATCGTTTTAGCTACTGACGATTTCTCAGACGCGCGTCGCGTCGCGGAGGTCGATTTCGGTACGGCTTATTACGGTTTACTAAACGGAGACCAGCATATCGTGGTGAAACGTCTCGGTATGACGAAATGTCCAGCGCTAGTAACCCGGTTCTCCACCGAACTACTTAACCTAGGCAGGCTTCGCCACCGTAACCTAGTCATGCTCCGAGGATGGTGCACCGAGCACGGCGAAATGCTCGTTGTATACGATTATTCAGCGAACCGGAAGCTGAGCCATCTTCTTTTCCATAACCAGATACAGGGGAACACGGTTCTGCGGTGGAAAATCCGGTACAACGTGATTAAATCGCTTGCTTGCGCTGTACGTTACCTCCACGAGGAATGGGACGAGCAAGTCGTTCATCGAAACATAACTTCTTCAACAATCTATCTCGATAAAGACATGAATCCGAGGCTATGCGGGTTTGCGTTGGCCGAGTTTTTATCTAGAAACGATCATGCGCATCAAGCGGCGAAGAAGAAAGGATCCGCTCAAGGGATTTTTGGCTATATGGCACCGGAATACATGGAATCTGGAGAGGCAACAACGGCGGCGGATGTATACAGCTTTGGTATTGTGGTGCTCGAGATGGTTACGGGTCAGCCGGCGGTGGATTACAAGAGGAAGAAAGAAGATGCTCTTTTGGTGTTGAGAATCCGGGAACTGGTTGGTAACCGGAAAAAACCGTTGGAGGAGATTGCAGATGTTCGTCTTGAGGATGAGTACGAGAGGAGAGATATGGCGAGGTTATTGCGGTTAGGGTTGGTTTGCACGAGAACCGATCCGAAGCTGAGACCTAGCATTAGCCAAGTGGTGTGTATATTGGATGGAAGTGAGAGGTTTTTTGAAGAGAAAGGAGGGAAAGAAGGTGACGTGAGCCGGAAGCAAATGTATGATTCGTCTATGTTGATGATTAGACAGATGCAAGCGCTTGGGATTCATTGAATAAATGTTTATGGAAGTAAGTGTTAGGAATGTTTTATGTAATCAAATTTGCAAGACGTTCATGCTTTTTTTTGAATTTGTGTTTACTATGTAAAGAAGATTTTGGGTTCTGTCAATTACTTTTGGTCAAATATGCTAAAGCCGGGATTTGGATTTGTCAATAAATTCATGTTAAACCTTTTGCATTTGATTTATAACTAACACAAGAAAAAAAAAATTCATTCTCTTATATTATTATCTTATTATATAAAGCTGGATGCGCACGTATGGTTGCGACACGTAGGATTTTTATAAAATTCAGGATCGCGACATGTGTCACTTTTAAGTTTATGTCTGTTAAGATCGTGACATGTGTCTTAGGAAAAAAGAGAACTTAAAAAAAAAAATTCCAGAAAAATGTTAATTAAAAAAACGAAATTTAATTTAATATATTATATCAAAAAGGAAAAAATAATATTTGTTATATCCAAACAGAAAAAGGTTTCCCATTCATCAATTTTTTATTATATAAAGTTGGATGCGCACGACGTGGTTGCGACACATAGGATTTTTATAATTTATAAGATCGCGACATGTGTCACTTTTAATGTTACGTCCGTTAAGATCGTGACACATGTCTTAGAGAAAAAAAAAGAAAAAACAATAATAATAAAATTTAGATAAAGGAAATTGTTTTTAAAAAATTAATCCATTACAGTTAAAAGAAATAAAAATATATTTGTCATATCCTAATAGAGAAAGGTTTCCCATTCATCAAATTAATATTATCCAAACAAATAATAAAATCAAAATAATGTAATAAAATAAAATCCTATTTGTACATGGAATATGTTATGTAAACTAAATTTCCTATAACTGCATGTAATAGGTTACTTGAACCCTATAAAAGAGAGTCAAGATTTCTCAATCATAAATTCATCAAAACAAATTCATCAAATCCCTTTGATTATATTTCTCCAATTTAAAAATCATGTTTTTGAAAGTTTTGCGATACATAGGATTTTTATAACTGACAAAATTGCGACATATGTTTTAGAAAAAAAAAATTCTGAAGTATGAAGATCGTAACATGTGTCATGGAATAAAAATAATAAAAAATTTAATATGTATAAGACTAACTAAAAATTAGAAAAACAGATAACAAATAATTAAAATGAAAAAAATAATATCCATTAAAAGTAATAAAAAAACAGGAAACAAATAATTTAAATTCTTTTGTTACATCTATTAAGAAAAGGAAAAAAAATCCATTTCGAAAAGGAAAAATACCAATATATAGTATTTATAATGGTCCGAGGCAAAAACAAAATTGAGAAAGAAAACATATAAATAAAAAACTAACAAAATAATTATCAAGCAATTAACTAATATTAAAAAATTATAATTGATATTCTAATTTTAAATAGTTTGTTTGTTAGGTAAAAAAATTGAAATAAATATTTCATCAATTAAAATCTCTTGAATGGAATAATAAAAGTTTGATTAATTAATCAATTGATCAGATTTAGACATGTGTAAGTCTTTCTGTATTGGATAAAAATAATAGTAAAACAAATTAATTCATTTTGTCATATCATAAATTCAAAAGAAAAATTAATTACAATAAAAATGTAAAAGTATTACCAATCTTATTTTATTTAAATATTTTTATCGGGTTTTCAATATTATTTTGTTTATGTTTAAAAATGATCAAATTTTGTTTAATATTTTCCATATTTTTATTATAAAATCTTAAAATATACCCGCGTATACGCGGGCTTAATCTAGTTGATCATATATTGGTAAAACTATAATGATAAGTATGGAAAGGAATAAAAATAATAAAAAAGAGGAATTATATGGAGCAAATTAGAAGGAGTAAATGTAGAGAATTAATTGTTCTAGTGAATGGTAAGTTGGTAACAGGAAAATGGAAAAATTTGTTAAAGAATATTTTTGTTTTAGAATTACTGGTGGATTTTTTTTTTTCGCCTGCGATATTCATCGAGAAATTGATGATAATCGAAACCGGAAGCAAAGAAACGGTGAAGATGGGTGTGGTGAATAGATCAAACGCCGATTCAAGGGTAAGGACTTCAATCTCTTTGTTCAATCTCCCTAGTGGATTTTTTTTTTTATCTAATTATTCATCAAAACATGATGTACAAGCTATATTCTCTTCTTCTTCGATCTGATTCTCTTCCATGCTGTTAGGCCAAGGAAAAAGTGACTTTGCCCAAAGCTTTCGCAAAGATTGATCCTTTCGATCTTGCGCGTAACCTGAACGATTTGGTAACTAATCCCTTTGCTAATTCTTATCTAATTACCAATCACAGTATTCAATTATTAATTAATTGAATTTGTTTATTTTAATAGATTCCTTCATCGGTGGAAGAACTTATCTCCAAATTAGTAGTGTACTTTGGGAGACCACTCTCCCGAGTAACTTTGGAATATAAATATCCATGGTCCGAGATGAAGTATCTGGAGCTCATCGATGTGAGAGCTTGTTTGATTTCTTGCTTTTTTCTTTGTGACAAATTTTCGAATCATTTGTTAAAGCTCTTTGTTTTGTATATAAAAACAGTTTCCGTTTTGTCATATTCCTGACGAAATCTACAACATATCAGCCGATTGGATCGAGAAAGTTGAAGATAAGACACTCTGTAACTTTGTAATCTGGTCGTTTGAATGGACTCGCAATCGTTTGGCAGGAGAAACTACTACTGATCTTCACCCTGAAGTAAATCTTTCTCTCCATGTATCTATCTATCAACGAACGTCCTTACCTTATCTAATTTTGTTTTGACCAACTCCATTATCTTGTACTACTTTAGCTTGGAGTATTCGCTGCATTATCAATGATTTTGCTGACCAGACCTCGTGTATTGTCTCCTATATTGCCCCTTCTGAGGCCGCCGAAATATCATATAGAGAAGTCACCGGAAATGATTCCGTTTATAGTGTGGATGACGGCTCAGGTTCAGTGTGATATATATATATATATATATATATATATATATATGTGTTTCTTTCCCCTTCTTTTGTTTTGCCTTTTGTGTGTTCTGAAAAGTTATTTCCATTCACAGGTCGCCCAAGTTGATATATGTACAGGCTTGCATTCATGGGCGTGTAACTTGTTACCGCTAGTTCGTGACAAGTTCCAATGCGACCCTCGGTCAATGAATCTCATCATGCACTTGATGGAGAAGTGAGTCCGAGATTTTTTTCCATCTCCTATATATATACAATCATCTCATGTCTTTGGTTTATGCAATATTCTTTTCAGGGTTTTGTCGCATCCATTGTCTCGGGGCATGTTGTTAAGAAATGCTGCTAGGCCTGGGAAACCGCGACTGTTTCCAGTTACTTCATTTGAGATCTTGCTACCGCTAACATTCCGTGCTTCATTCGAGAAAGTAAATGTAAGTTTTCGTAAGATGACAAAACCTTGTATATATATATATATATATATATATGATTGTGGATCACAAGCAAGCAAGCTTGGTCTCTGTGTGTATGCACACAGGAGGATACGGAGCGGTTTGAGAAAGTTTATCCCTTGTTGAAGGAAGTGGCTCTTTCCGATGCACCAGGAATTGAGGAAATGAAAAAAGTCACTCAGCATATATTCGCTTTTTCTTTCAAATTTGCTGGGGGAGGTATTTGAAATTAGTAAATCTTTGAGTTTTCTTTCTGCTTCCCTCCCAAGTAGAGTTGCAATAATGTGTTAACCACCCCCTTTTTGTTACAGGAAACGCTGTTTTAGCCAAGGAAGCTACATCAATCGCTATTTGGTGTCTGACCAAGAACGTTGATTGCTGCAATCACTGGGACAAAGTCTACATGGATAATCTGGAAGCTAGTGTTGCTCTTCTTGAAAACCTTGCAGACGAATGGAAGGATCATTCCCCTAAACTATCATCATCACCCAGAGACATTCGCATTCTCAATCTAACTATGAAGAACTTTGTGCTAAAGGTAAAAGGCTCTTTAGTACTCAGTTTTTTTTTTTTTTGGCTTTTTCTCAATTTCATATCTGACCTAACCTGTGATATGTTTGTTAGAACGAAAGAGGCCTCGCTGGAGGAGGAGGAGGAGGAGCCGGTACTTTTCTTTACGAAGAAGCTGACAAGTACTGCAGAGAGATTTCGAGGAGACTATCATCCAGTGGAATTGGCTTCCTCAAAGGTTGTGGAGCCATGATTCTAGACTTTCTAGTTGCTGTAGTAGCCGCTGCTGCTGATTGGACGAATACGTCAATGCACCTGTGGTAACTCTGGTTATCGTGGTGTGACTTTATGCTAAGTTAAAACAATTATAAAAATATTGAGAGAGTATTTTATCTTTTCTTGTAATCTCAAAGTCATTTGGGAGTCTGTTCAATGGTCGCACGCAGGTGTGAAGATTTTTAGATTGTTTATTTTGTGTCAAGATAATTGAGTTTCTCCTTTGTTTTTGGGATAATAAGTTATTTCGGTTTGTTATATGTTTTGAGTTTGAACATAGAAAAGAGCATGCACTAATCATTACTGAAGAGCTTCACCGTCACCTTGCTTTCGCCGTGGTGATGTTGGTGGAGGATCTATAGTCACGGCTGCACCAAGTAGGATTTACGGTTGCTTCAAGCAGTTTGATTCCGGTCAATCCTGCTAATGGTCCATATATTAACTTTGTATCGACTGAAGGGGACGTGGCCGGTTTATTACGATTTGACTTACTTCCGATTCTTCATCCCCACATGTGTATGCTTAATTAATTTATTTAATTTTAATTTTCTCATTGGTAATACCGTAATATGATCCGAAACTTATCCAACAAACAAAAAACTTTTTAAGTTCAAATGAAGGGAGGCTCTCAAATGTTGTGTTGAATCCGAGATAGCACTCGTCAAGACGGGCTATCTAAGATGTGAGTTTAGGAAACTGGAACGCTTAATTCGACTCTTAGATTATCAAGAAGATTACAAGAGAGCAATCTCGCTAACAAGCCTAGCGAGATTATGATGATGAACAAGAGGATAGAGTAAAAGCTAATGTGAAGAGCCTAGTGATTCTAGATGATTTCGGATCCTTCTCCCCAATGGGGGGTCTTCAATATATAGCGTTGATAAGTCGGCCGAATGATGAATATTCTCCTTCAGGCGAGATGGAAAACTTCCTCTTTTGCGATATGGAAAATTCCTCTTGTTTTTGGATCTTTTCCATTCTTTAAGTCGGCATGAAGATTTATTTACATTTCTCCATGGATTGTGCCTTTCTCTTCAAGTCTTGCCTTTTTCTTGAAGATGTTAGGCCTAAAATCGGATTGGGCTTTGTGACTTTACTAATGATGACGGGCTCAGGGAAATGTGCTAATTTCTCCTCTAACAATAAGTCCCCCCGCCAGCTCGGCAGGTCAAATGTAGTTTGATCTCGGCGAGCTTCATGAATAGAGGACGAGCTTGAGAATCATTAGTAAAATACATCACTTCAATCGGATCTTAGTGCCTAGGTGCATGCTGAATGTAGATTCGTGCCGCCTCATTAAAACCTTGGTACGGAAAAACCCAATTGGGACAAAAACCATAAAAAGGAAAAAGAGTACGTTGACGTCATCTAATTCACGAGTAATATGCTTCGAATGATTTTCGCCGCGACCAAAAATGCTTTCTTGGTTCGAGTGTTATGACGGTTCGGTTTTCAGCTGTGACTGGGCGTTTTGCCACGTCACTGCCCAAGCGGACCTGTTTTTGCCACGTCACTGCCCAAGCGGACCTGTTTGCAATTGCGTGGGCTGAGTCCGATAGTCGATTAAATCGCGCGGAGGCCCAAGCCCATTAATGCTTTTCCATTGAGCGGGAAAGAAATGAATAAAAAATTCATAAGGGCAGTTGTGTCCCTTGGAAGTCGCGCGATCTCTATTAAGAGACCGTTCGAATTTCCTTTATTCATTTTTGCTTCTTTTCTCTTCTCACTCAACCGTCCCGACGAATCAAAGGTAACTTCCGCAACCCGACTTCAAATCTTGCCTCGATTGATTTCTCGAATCGATTCTCCGGGATTTAGGACTAGGGAATCACGAATTGCTTGGATCTAGTTAGGTTGTGCTCCGATTTCGTCTCCTCATCCGCCGATTCGGGTTTTAGGGTTTTTGATTCGTCAAATATTTTGTCTCGGTCGTCGAGTTTTTCCGATCTTCAATCAGTTGAGATGAATCCAAAAGACAGAAAGGGAAAGGGCATCGCCACGGATGACGGCGATGAGACGATTGCTTCGATTGCGCGTGGATGCGATCCTCCGCTCGTCCGGAGAGGCTTCTTGGTGGAGCCATCCAAGCGGATGCGGCGGAGCGTCACAGGAAGACGGCGGTGGACGAAGCGACGGCCACTGCTGAGGCCAAGAAGGTGGTCGAGATGGCTGAGATGGAGGAAGCGGCGAGAGTCGCCGCCGAAGCCGAGCGTCGGGAAGAGACCGAGAGACAGAGGGAGGGGGAAGAGCATGATTCTGGCGACGAAACCGACTCTGATGAAGACGAAGGAGCGGGGCCGTCAAGCCAAGCGAGACTCGAGGGCATCCCGGATGTAATCAAGATGCCGAGTCGTACGCCGCCTACGGGCCTAACCACGATGGGAGGTCGTGGATGACGGAGGAGATCCTTCGAGACCTCATAGCGGAGGCCGAGTTTCCTGACTCCGTGGAGTTTCGTATCCCTGGCCATCTTGAAAGGCCCTACGACGCTCCGGCTGGGTGGATGTGCGTTTATGAGTGTATGTTCACCGAATTTGGGATGAACTTCCCTCTGTCTCCTCTGTTTTTGCAATTTGCAGCTGATCGTGGCGTCCCTACGAGTCAACTGACCCACGGCGTGGTTCGCCACATCGTTTTTACCGAGGCCCTGGCTAGAGCCGCCGGAGTTGTATTCGACCGTCTCTTATTTGAGCACGTTACTGATCTCCGGGCTTCATCGCGAGAGGGAAACTTCAAGCGGTTTCATACCACGATGAAATATGATATTGTTTTCGGGGATTACCGAAACAAGATTCATTGGTGGAAGAAATATTTCTTTTTTGTAAAGATAAACCGAGCCTCAGTCGGGAAGATCAAAGCTGATCAGATTAGGACAAATGGGTTAAATCACCGGGTAGATTTCTTGATTAGAGTTGCTATCCATACTTGCTGAGTTTGCGTTTTCTGATGTTGTTTGTTGTCTTTGCAGGACCGTCCAGGCGAGCGAGACCGAACGGTGAACTCAAGGAGAAGTTTAGGCTGCTGAAGGAGCTCAGCCATCGATTGTGGCCTGAGGTAGTGGTGGCGCTTGAGAAGAAAAAGCAAGAGAGGAAAGATAAGAGGGAAGGGAAAGACAAATCTGCCATCCCTGCGACTCCGATATCCAGTAAGCGTTTTGCTTCTTCCTTTCTTTACTCGGTTCCATCTTCGGTGTCTTAACGTTTCGCTTTGTTTTGTAGCAGCGAAGCCATCCCGTTCTAAGAAGAAATCGATGGGTCTTAGGAAGAGAGCGGCCGTGCCTATTGACGACGTTGTCGTTGCTTCCGAGCCGGCGCCCAAAAAGAAACGGGTCGAGTCCCCAGACTGAGGGATTCTCCTCCTTCTCCCCTTCGGAGCTCTTCCATTGCGTCGCGTACGAGGTAAGTCGCCTATTGATGGTCTTCAGGAGATAGGAATTCCGATGTTAATCGCAGACGTTCTTTGCAGGGCTTCGACGAGGAAAGCCTCGACTTCTGTTCCTGAGGGCGTTCCGGAGCAAGTGATCGAGCTTGACTCTCCTCCTTCCTCGGACCATGACGAGTCTTCCCATCACGATGAGAGTGCTTCTCATCACGATGATGGTTTGAGGACTCCGGCGCGTGGTGGTTCGCCTTCTAAGGGGGTGATATCACCATATTTTACATGATTTTACTATATAATTACTTATGTTTTCAAACGGTTTTTGCAAGATTCTTTGCCTTTAGAGGTAGTTTTCTTGTATTTGTGGGATTTGAAGTCTTTGTAGGAGAAATAATCAAAAAGGATGCAAAAAGGAGTAAAAGAGCCCTAAATCAAGATCCATGCAAGTTTCCAAGTCAAGAAGATCATTTTATCTCCAAGTGTTAGTTCTCGCTTGCGCGCAGAACGAAGCTTCGGAAGTTTGGCCGCGCGCGGAGGAGTTCCCGACGTCCAAAAGTTACGATCTTGATATGGAAAGATAGATACTTGAGTCATGCATCACGTCGAAGTGGAATGAAGCCATTTGGATCAACTATGAGGCCTAGACTTATTTTCTACCGAGACATGTCCGGTAAGCGAGTAAACGAAGCCCATGGAGGATTTGGAGTGTCTAATGGCCCGAGCAGCAGCGCCAAAGGCCTTGATCGAATAGAGAAGAGGCCTGGCTAATGTTTGGAGCTTTCCTTGGTACAATGTCGGCCCATACACGACGTGGAGAAGAAGGCTCGGCGCATGGAAACTTTCCTTTTCCTTGCATGAAGAAAACCCTACGCGACTTCGCCCATATATACATGTTTTTAGCCGCTGAAGATCAAGCAAGAATCCGATCGAGTCCAGTCCAAAATTACCAAAGAGTTCACGTGTGAGAGAGAGAGAGAGAGAAGAGAAGCCCTAGGAGATCGTCCAAGAAGAAGGAGGCGCCGCTCAACTCTTGTTCTTTCTTTTTCATTGTTTCCATTTCTATAAACTTGATCTTAAGAGTTTTCAAGGGAGAATCCGACTTTGTTCATCAATAGAGAAGCTTTCTTCATCCCTTTATCTCTTTTAATACTTGCATAATGTTTACAATCATGCTTTGCTTGCTTGTTTGCATCATGGCCGAGTAGATCTCTTAGTTAGGCCGAGGAGATCTATGGTGGCCGTGATGATTTGATTGTGTTGCAACTTATTGGGATTTATCTTATGGATCTTCACCTTTACTTGAGCTTAATGCATGATTACTCTACCGTACATCTAGTAATCTGATCTTAGAGAAATAGAACCACGACAGTGCTGAATCTAGATCTCAAAACTAGTATTTGGTGAGCAATAGATCATAGCCAACGAAAGCTGAGTTATGGTTTATTGTGAACAATTGAATCTTGAACCTTGTAATGCATGTTTGCAATTCTAATAGCCAACGAAAGCTGAGTATATTAGGTTGTTTCAAACATAGTGGTTGGAGCCACGACAGTGGAAAAACCATACACTAGTGATTCATGTTCAAGACGGCTCTACACACATCCCATGCAACTATCTTTTCATCATTGCTCCATATGATTGTCCTTTGCCTAACTCTTGTTTTAAATTGTTTACAACCTACTCACATTTCTTTTGTTTTTTCTCATTCTAGGTCCAAAACCACCTCATATTGCGAGCTAGCTACAAACCAATCTCACAAGGTGTTAAGCGAGAACACTTCCTCCTCGTGTTCGACCCCGACTACAACACGGCTGTGCACTTGCAGCTCATTAGTTGGGTTTATAAATTGTGAAAATTTGAGGCAATCTAAACCCGCCATCAAGCTTTCTGGCGCCGTTGCCGGGGAGGAGTTGCTTTTCCTTCACACCTCTTGATTGATTTCAAGACTAGCTCATCTCATCTTTCACTTTCTTTGTTTTTGTTTTTCATAAAATCTTAAAAACCCATAAAAATTTTACTTAACTCTTTCTCTTTGTGTGTTTCTAAGGTGCATGACAAGAAGGTCCAATCCAAATACAACCATTGAAGAAGATCTTGACATTGACCAACTTGAGATGACGACGAGGATGATGCAAGAAGATCCGGGGAAGTTTGTGATAACTTCAAATATCAATGGCATTCAACTCCACGATTGCCTTACTGATACTGGTGCTAATGTTAAACTGATGTCTCTTGCACTTGCAAAAGATTTGGGATTCAAGGAATTCAAGAGCCCCAAGATAAGAGTCGAGTTCGCGGACCTATCGTGCATGGAACCTTATGGAATGGTTGAAGATGTCATGATGGAAATAGGAGGTCGATCGGTCCCAACTGACTTTCAAGTCATGATTTGGGAAGGCTCAAAGAGGTATCAACTGATTCTTGGAACCCCATTCCTTGCTACAGCTGGAGCGGTCCTAAACTACTTTGGGAATCATCTATCTTTTGGCCACATCCGGCAAGATATCTTTTTCCCAAGTGTAAATTTTAGGCAAGTGCCAAGTGCAACCAAGTTACCACCAGAAGAAGCCACTCTCAAGAAGGAAGCTATGCTGCATGGAGAAAGAAGAGAGAGTGAGCGCTACCCAAAACCAAAGGAGAAGAAGAAAACATTGGAGCCGAGGCATGAAAATGTCTTTGAGGACATTAACTCCATCTCACTTCCAACCTTTGATGAATATGGAGCTGAAGAGGAGACTTATGGTGCACCTAGTATCTTTCACAAGATAAGGATCTTTACAAAAGATTTGGAGCTTAAAGGTGACCAAACCATTGAAGAGAAGCTCGAGAGAACCATGAAGCTTTTCCCCAAGGCATTGGTCTTCAAGGATGAAGTGATAGATGATCATGGCGCGACAACACCACCACAAGAATCCACTACACCGGAGAATGGAAAAGCTAAAGGGATCATTTGCCCTTCAGCCACTCTTCACCACGATTGAAAGAAAGAAAAGGAGTCAAGTTAAATGACTTAAAACAAAAGCGCTTTATGGGAGGCAACCCATATGGTTTTTAACTAATTATTTTTATTTTTGCAGGAGTGAAAGAGAGATTTTTGTATACTCTTTACAAATGAACCCCCTTTTTAATCAATTGAAGTATAGCTTGGGGTTCTCTGTCAAATCCAGTAAGGTCAAGATAGAGACATCAAGAATGCATGAAACATAAGTGAGCTAAGCAAATTCGAAATAGTTTTGTTTTAACAACCTAAATGAACATAAAGCATAAGATAAAAATGCAAGAGATAAAAGAAATGCAAATGGAGGCACTTGGGATGAGGGTCATTGACCTTGGGAGATTCTCAAGTCAGTTTATGATGCTCAAACAGTTTAATGATTGCTAATCCTTAGGCAAAGAACTCATTAACAAGACTAATCCACTCTCATGGTACTAATCACTTTGCTAATGACCAATTTCAAGAACTAATTCTCATTAGTGAAATTCAAATTTAGCAAGCAATAAGATTCAGTTCTAGAAAGCCAATAAACACCCTAGACAATCACTCTCATGAGCTAGGAATGTAAATCCTTTAGATGGTTGGTTCAAGCATTTCATCAAACACTTCTGGTGCATGAAATGCCTAAGATCTAGAATCAACTTGATCAGAGAAGATCTAGCATTAAGACCACCAAATAAAGAAGGATTAAGCAAATCAAGTCCTAAACATCAAGGTTGACCATCAAATCTCCCTAAATCTAACTCATCCCATGAGCCTAAAGAGAACTACTCAAAAGACATGAGAAATTCGAAATTAAGAGAAACAAGATGATGATTATGATAAACTAAGATAAATAAGAAAGATTCAAAGAAGAAGTACTTTCAAAATCATAAAAATCAAACCAAGATCTTACAAAAACGAAAATAAAAGAGAGGAGGCAAAGAGAGAAGTTTTTGATCAAGGAAAAGATCCAAGATGCCTAATAAAATTAGGTCTTCAGCTATTTATACTAAAAGATAAGTGGAGCCTTGGTCAACTCCGTCCTGTTGACTTTGTCCTTTATGACGGTCTTGAGCAAACTTCTCAAGTGCTTTGTTCTTCTTGCTCAAGTCCTCTGGTCTGCGAATTTCTTGAACACTCCTGAGCTCTGATCAGCTTCTAGCTTCTCTGTCTTGCTCCAGTCACTACTCTAACTCGCTAAACGCCTCAAACACCTAGGAAAACACTCCAAATGCAATGGAAAATGCAAAGTGCTATTCTAAAAGCTAAATGTTCCTAAGGAGATGAAACTTACACTAAAGGGTATGATATGAGACTCAAAGACATACAAAACCATGCAAATTATGATGCTAAAAATATGCAAATATTGAGTACATCAAGGAGTTTTTCAAAAATCAAACAAAAATACAAAAATATTTTCTTAGGATGAAGACCCAAAGGAGACCAAACAATGGAAGTGTCCCACCCAATGAGCCCACCCTTGTACAAGGCGTTTCTCTTCCAAAAGGTAAGTAAACTCTCACCTAGTATTCATTTCTAATCACTCTTGATCTTCACTTGAAAAATCGTTTAAACCATTGCACTTTACCAAATATATTTCATGGTTTAACTTGATTTACTTTTGATGATTGGAAAGAATACATAATCACTTGTCAAAACTCATTTTGCTCACTGAAATTACAAGAGATTGAACTATAGTTTGAAATTTGGATCATTGACCAAGACCAAATAAGAATTTATAGTTTGTGCTTTAATCTCTTGGATTGTGAACTTCAAGTTGGTCACTTGAGGATCACAATCTGAGAAACCATCTAATCATGATTTCAAGTGTTTTGCAAGGAGTTAACATTTGACAGGAAGGAGAAATAGAGCAAACCTATAACCAACCTCAAAACCAACATGCATATGGCGGCCAAAGGGAGGTTAAAAGGAGATACAAGGCCATCACACGAAACAAGGCGGCCACCACTTGGGAATGACACAGGAGGGTTATTAAAACAATTCGGTCGAAGAAAATCTCAATTGGCCCGAGTGGATTTGAAGAAATTCAATCCGGACATTTCTCTCGGCCATGACGCACAAGGAGAACCAATCTACGGCCAACTCCTAAACGGCGTGACCGAAGTCCACCAAACTTCACAGGCGACCATAAAATCACATTTGGTCGGCAAATCCAAAAGATAGGACGGAGAAATCATCACGGATCATGAGATAGACGACGGAGCTCATTCTGGCCGATGGCGCGCAAGCAATATGGCCGACAAAACCAAATCACGGCATAGGCGCGCCAACCGGTTGGAAAACTCTTCTTTGAGCTTAACTAACACTTTTATGCAGGAAGAAACGAAAAGGAACGAGCCAAACTTCACATGGCCAAGGAAACTCCTTCCCGGAGCCGACTTGACCATTTTGTGAAGGAAGTCTCAATCCGCTCGTACAAATGCTCCCAAACTTCACCAGAGGCTCTAAAATACCAGGTTGGTCGATGAAATTTCAATATAGGTCATGAAATTTTGACGGTTTGTTCTGTAGTTCACAGCACCACATTTTGGCCGACCGAATATACCAATCTCGGCCAAAACACAAACCGGCGGAAACCAAGGCCTGAAATTAAAAACTCACCGACCAATATTGCCTAAAGAAGTGTAGAATGACCCAAACCGGAACTGATCTTCATTATAAATTGGTCGACATTTGGTAACATCATCCTAAACCTTTTTCTTTTCAATTTTTCATTTGAACTTCATGTTATGCCTCTCTTAATCCGATTTGATTTCACCGGGACGGTGCAAGTTAAGTCTGGGGGGATTACTAACAATGTTTGTTCATTTTGGCATTTTCATTTGCATTTTTCCCTTTTATCGAGTCGTTTTTATTGAGTCAAAATTTTTGTCGAGAATCATGACCTTATCTTGGATCTAACCATGGTTGTACTAATGTTTAAGTGACCATTGAGCAGTTCTTGGCAATACATCTTACCACAGGTGCACTATGAGTTGATCGATCTACCAAAAACGCCTACATCTCTAAAGACTTGAGAAGGATCCATCTTTGACTCCGCCCTTAATGAACTTAATCTTCTCAGCTAGGGGCTTGGCATACAAATGGCATGATTCCTCATCCTCTCCATCAAATGAAAAAGTCTTAGTGAGTTCGTGCTTCCCTCTCTCTCCCCTTCAAATTTAAAGAAAAAGCGTAAGGTCCAAGTAACCGGGGATTCGGTGGCAAACACCATCAATACTCGCGTCTATGGAAGGCCTATGAATCCAAGCAACCGGGGATTCGGTGGCAAACACCATCAATACTCGCGTCTGTGGAAGATCCAAGCAAAACCTCTATAATAAAGAGAAGGAGTTGAATAAAAAAATACTTCGCTACCCTAAAAAAGGGATGAATCAACTCAAAGAAGTGAGAAGAGAGAGAGGAGAAACATGGAGTAAAAGACAAGTGCCAAACAAGGGGATGAGAAAGAGTCTAAAAGCCGGCTGATCGATACTCCCTAGTTGAGACCACACCTTTAGAAATGAAAGGAGTCAAGGGTGGCGAATTGGATTGTCCAAGGAGAGGTGGACCGCTTTGGGAAAATCGCAAAACTCATGGTATGTACTTTGTTCTTAATTCAAAACTTGCCAATGCTGTTTCATGTGGATTACTAAAGCATAAGTCAATTTGGATTTCCAAAAGATTTGAGAGTTCTCACGTTTTCAAACCTCTTTTCCTGCTTAGTTTGCTTGGGGACAAGCAAAAGGCTAAGTCTGGGGGAGTTGATATCACCATATTTTACATGATTTTACTATATAATTACTATGTTTTCAAACGGTTTTTGCAAGATTCTTTGCCTTTAGAGGTAGTTTTCTTGTATTTGTGGGATTTGAAGTCTTTGTAGGTGAAATAATCAAAAAGGATGCAAAAAGGAGTAAAAGAGCCCTAAATCAAGATCCATGCAAGTTTCCAAGTCAAGAAGATCATTTTATCTCCAAGTGTTAGTTCTCGCTGCGCGCAGAACGAAGCTTCGGAAGTTTGGCCGCGCGCGGAGGAGTTCCCGACGTCCAAAAGTTACGATCTTGATATGGAAAGATAGATACTTGAGTCATGCATCACGTCGAAGTGGAATGAAGCCATTTGGATCAACTATGAGGCCTAGAACTTATTTTCTACCGAGACATGTCCGGTAAGCGAGTAAACGAAGCCCATGGAGGATTTGGAGTGTCTAATGGCCCGAGCAGCAGCGCCAAAGGCCTTGATCGAATAGAGAAGAGGCCTGGCTAATGTTTGGAGCTTTCCTTGGTACAATGTCGGCCCATACACGACGTGGAGAAGAAGGCTCGGCGCATGGAAACTTTCCTTTTCCGGCATGAAGAAAACCCTACGCGACTTCGCCCATATATACATGTTTTTAGCCGCTGAAGAAGGAGTCGAAGAATATCGAGTCCAGTCAAAATTAAGAGAGTTCAGTGGAGAGAGAGCCCTAGGAGATCGTCCAAGAAGAAGGAGGCGCCGCTCAACTCTTGTTCTTTCTTTTTCATTGTTTCCATTTCTATAAACTTGATCTTAAGAGTTTTCAAGGGAGAATCCGACTTTGTTCATCAATAGAGAAGCTTTCTTCATCCCTTTATCTCTTTTAATACTTGCATAATGTTTACAATCATGCTTTGCTTGCTTGTTTGCATCATGGCCGAGTAGATCTCTTAGTTAGGCCGAGGAGATCTATGGTGGCCGTGATGATTTGATTGTGTTGCAACTTATTGGGATTTATCTTATGGATCTTCACCTTTACTTGAGCTTAATGCATGATTACTCTACCGTACATCTAGTAATCTGATCTTAGAGAAATAGAACCACGACAGTGCTGAATCTAGATCTCAAAACTAGTATTTGGTGAGCAATAGATCATAGCCAACGAAAGCTGAGTTATGGTTTATTGTGAACAATTGAATCTTGAACCTTGTAATGCATGTTTGCAATTCTAATAGCCAACGAAAGCTGAGTATATTAGGTTGTTTTAAACATAGTGGTTGGAGCCACGACAGTGGAAAGACCATACACTAGTGATTCATGTTCAAGACGGCTCTACACACATCCCATGCAACTATCTTTTCATCATTGCTCCATATGATTGTCCTTTGCCTAACTCTTGTTTTAAATTGTTTACAACTCACTCACATTTCTTTTTTTGTTTTCTCATTCTAGGTCCAAAACCACCTCATATTGCGAGCTAGCTACAAACCAATCTCACAAGGTGTTAAGTGAGAACACTTCCTCCTCGTGTTCGACCCCGACTACAACACGGCTGTGCACTTGCAGCTCATTAGTTGGGTTTATAAATTGTGAAAATTTGAGGCAATCTAAACCCGCCATCAGGGGGATGAGTTCCTCACCCCTGGTGGTGGCGTTCCCTCCTCTGATCGGCGTGATCGTGGTGGTTTCGGAGGAGGGGAATCATCTCGGCGTTCAAGTGAGACTGATGAGGCGGTGTCTCGTCACTCGGAGGCGGGCTGGTTTTGCTCCTGACTCGAACCTCGGTGCTGAGGGTGGCGCCGGAATCCCAAAGGATGGTCCTGAGGGCTATAATCCTCACGCGTTCAAGACGTGGTGGAATGGCGGGAGTCCTCTTATGGAGGACCAGGATGCTTGCGGAGGGGCGACTTGGATGCCTAAAGTTCATCCCGGCTTGGGAATTCCGCTTGAGGAGCTCACCTTTAGGACCGATTTCGACGAAGCTGCTCAACATCATATTATGTCTGGCGGGAAGTTCACCGCGTTGGTCCAGAAGTACGAGACGGCGCTTCGGGCAGCTAAGGACAAAGCCTTTGTGTTGCGGCGAGAGCGGGAGATGGCCAAGGATGTCGATACAATGGTGGCTGATTTGCAGCAGGATAAACTGGTGCTTGAGTCGAAGGTCGCGGCGCTGAACAGGGAGATAGTAGTGAGGAGGTAGCAGACAAGCTGAGGGCTCAAGTGAGTGATCTGGAGGAGAAGGCGCGTCGGGATGCAGAGGCTTCTGCTGCTGAGATGGAGCGTCTCCGACGGTCTCGTCGAGAATCGGTCGAGGCGGCTGTGACTCAGGTCTTCGACTCGGTGAATGACTGGTATGCTCCTCGTCTCCATCGCTTGTCGGAGTTCGTCGCGCAGCGGGACATGGTTGAAGCCGCTGTGGGGAGGAGGCAAGTCGACGAAGCTCTCCTCAACTTCGTGAAGAAGATTCGGGGAGTGGATCTGAACTTCGACGCGGTGGAGGAGAAGCTCGCGGCTAAGCTGGCGAAGAGCATCGCGGATGGGGATGCGATTGACGAAGTTGTTATCGATGATGATGACTTCGCTCCGCCTAACAGGTGAGATTTTTGCTTCTCTATTCGTTATGTTGTGCTTTGCGTAACGTGATGTTTGCTTATGTGTTTGTTCTGCTTTTGTAGCCTTAAACGGCTGGTGCTGCCGGGATCTCCTTCTCGTCGAGATGGTGGTGGTGCGGATCCGGGTGCGGGACCCTCTACTTCTGGGGCCAAGTCTGCTTAGGCCCCATTTGCTTTTTTTAAGACTTTTTGGCTGCGGCCTTTTTGTTGTAATAACATTGCCTGGGAAGGTTTTTATCCGTATGCTTTAGGATTTGTGCTTCAGATTTATGTCAGATACTCAAGATGTTTAAGTATGATTTTTTCTTTTTTTGCTTGCGTGGTGATGCGGTCACGGCTTTTAGACATAATTGATTAGTTCGCAGCGCAACGAAAGTAATCCGGCTTTGGTTATGTCTTTTAATAAAGGACGATGGTGTCGTCAACCGCATAAAATGAATTAAGTACTTGGTCGTCACCGAGTAGGAAATTCGATTATCGGGATGACTCGTTACCTTTAAGTGTATCACGACATGGTGCGCGTGATGGTGCTAGTGCGTCATGACTGGACGCGATGCTTTCGGGTTTCGTCATGACTTCTCATTCGAGACACCGACCGGCGCGTATTAGGTCTGTGTGCTTAGGATGTTAAACCTACTTTCAGCGACGAGCTCTAGAAACTCGATTTATGCTTCCGACTTCAAAGCTTCGTGCGGGTGACGAGGTAGCGGTTTTTCGCTCGTCCGACGAACTGAGAGCCGTGCGAGGTGCGTGCTCTCGGCTTAATGAATGGGTGATCAGTCCATGTTTTTAGGGTGCAAAGTGCAAGTGCTTATTGAGTTTGCCTCAATAACTTGGTTTGACGTCAAACGGGTGCGTGCTGGGTGTCGACAAGTTTCAGCTTATGCCAGAATGAGGCGCGCTTGTCGAGAGAAAAGGTTTTAATAAAATAAAATTTTATTAAGTATTATAGCTGCGCCCTTGATGAGAAAGGCTGCCTACGTACCCGTGCCGGGATCAAGCCATTCGTAGTTCGTTACAAATGTTCATGCCATGGACATGTCTTTTTTTTTTTTTTTTTTGGCTAGCGCGGTGCTTCGCGTCTAGTCATGGAACTTGCGCAGATCCGACGAGCTCCAGAGGCGATCGGACGTGGTGCCTAGGTTGTCTTCTAGCTGATAGACACCTGGTTTGACGACTTTCGCGATGCGGAATGGTCCTTCCCAGTCGGAGCCGAATTTGCCGAGACCATAGATCGTATCATCATCGGTTTTGCAAAAGACGAGGTCGTCTAGTGCGCCATGTTAGGGCGTCGCCGCGCAAGTGTTCGGCGAGGGCTTGGCAGAAGTGCGCGCTTTGTTCTTCCGGCGATGTATATTTCTGTCTTCTCATGGCCGTCATGAAGGATGTGATCCACTGCTTGGGATCTTCTCGGCCGTCGTAGAAGTTTAGGTGTAGTGAAGCGCGCTTCTTCAGTGGTACCTCGGATAGGCGGCTTGTCAGGGGAGTTCTTCGAATATCGGCAATGATCTCGAATATCTCCTGATCGGAGAACGAGCATTGCGGGGGTGCATGGCGATCAGTCTTCGCGCGATTCTCCATGTTTCTCCTGGTCTCGTCATCGTAGACAGGGTGTCGTCTCGGCGAGGGAGAGATTCGTGATGGCACCTTGGTGCTTTATGCGTGGACTTCTCCGGGCGAGAGGATGATGACTTTCTCTTGTTTCTTAGCCGGAACCGAGGATCTTCGGGGTCGAACCGTAGCTGCGGGATGTCTTGCTCGAGGGAATGTAATTCTCAGCGCGAAGGAAGGCGTCCTTCAAAGTTGGGGAGGGGCGGATGCGGATATCTTCCCAGAATCCGGATTCGTATCGAAGTCCGTTTCCGAGGGCTTGGACGAGTACCGGTTCCGCGATTGGGGGTGCTCCCGGAATGTCCCTGAGGTCGAGCAGCGCACTCTTGAATCTGTTCAGGTAGCTTCGTAGCGGTTCGTCCTCGAGTTGCTCCATCTCGAATAGATCGGAGAGATCCTTGTGTTTAGTGCTAAAGCTGGATCTTAAGTCGGATTTCCAGGCGGGCTCGGAGTTCCTTTGCCGATGGATCGGGGGATCTGCATTCCGCGTTGTGGCGGCTCGTTTTATTGCGTTGGACCCGTTGGTCTTTGATCTCCACGTAAGGTGAAAATTCCAGAGGGTATCGGAAACTTCACGCATTGGTGGAACGTCGAGATGACAGCTTTCATTTCATGGAGCCATGGGGTGCCGAGGATCGCGTTATAGATGGCCGGTTTGTCCATGACGATGAACTTCAAGAGCTTTGAAATTCCGCCGACATAAACGGGGAGCCGGACTGTGCCACAGCTGTAAACATGCTCGGCGGTGAAACCGGTGAGGGGACGGGATGTAGGTTTGATAGATCCTTCCTCCACTCCCATGCGGTTCAGTGTTTCCAGAAAGATGAGGTTCACCGTACTCCCGGTGTCAACCAGGACCTTCGCGACGTCGCAGTCGTGGATCTGTAGAGTGATTACGAGTGGGTCGAGGTGAGGGATGTCCAGCCCGCTCGCATCCTTATCCGTAAAGGAGATAGTAGGGATTCCTTTATGGATATACGGGTAGCGTTGTGCCGTGACGGCCTTTCGTTCGTATTCCTTGATCGCCGATATGGAATCGTCGTTATCCAGGAAGCCTCCCATGATCATGCTGACTTGTCGCTTCGGTGGCGGAGGTAGGTCGTCGTGGTCATCACGATTCCTTTTCCCAAGCGGGGCTTCCGCCTTTTCTGCATCCTTCCTCGGACGGGGTTGTCGTCCGCGCTTCTCCTGCTGCCCAGATTTTGGTGGTTTCGGCGGGAAGCTTTTTCCTTGGGACCTATCACCGTCCATTGGCGGGATTTCTCCTCGATGGTACATGCGCATGAGGTTGCTCATTAGGTGTTGCAGTTTTCAGTGGCGTGGCCAGTTCTCCCGTGGAACTTGCAGAAAGCTTTGGTATCGTCGTCATCTCCGAGCGAGTTGATGTCTTGTGGCATTGAAACGGCCGCTGCGTGTTCTTGCTCGAACTCGTCGTCGTCATGGTGACGGATGTCCAGTCCGCTCGCATCCTTATCCGTAAAGGAGATAGTAGGGATTCCTTTATGGATATACGGGTAGCGTTGTGCCGCGACGGCCTTTCGTTCGTATTCCTTGATCGCCGATATGGAATCGTCGTTATCCAGGAAGCCTCCCATGATCATGCTGACTTGTCGCTTCGGTGGGGGAGGTAGGTCGTCGTGGTCGTCACGATTCCTTTTCCCAAGCGGGGCTTCCGCCTTTTCTGCATCCTTCCTCGGACGGGGTTGTCGTCCGCGCTTCTCCTGCTGCCCAGATTTTGGTGGTTTCGGCGGGAAGCTTTTTCCTTGGGACCTATCACCGTCCATTGGCGGGATTTCTCCTCGATGGTACATGCGCATGAGGTTGCTCATTAGGTGTTTGCAGTTTTCAGTGGCGTGGCCAGTTCTCCCGTGGAACTTGCAGAAAGCTTTGGTATCGTTGTCATCTCCGAGCGAGTTGATGTCTTGTGGCATCGAAACGGCCGCTGCGTGTTCTTGCTCGAACTCGTCGTCGGCTGCTGCGAACGCTGTGAGGAGAGACCTCTTCGGATCGTGTCTTCTTCGCGCCTCCATGGGTTCCTCTCTGGGTTTCGTCGAGGTTGCCCTCCTATCTCCATGTTTCTCGGCGTAGAAGCGCTGGTCTTCCTCGAGGAAGATGTAGTTCCGAGAGCGGTGGAACGCGTCCTCCAGAGTCGCAGGGGGTTTTAGTGACAAATCCTCCTTAAACTTGGAGTCGTACCAGAGGCCGTTGCGGAGTGCTTCCAGCGGGATCGCTATCGCGAGCTGCTTGTTTGAACCTTTCCATAAAGCTGCGCAATGGTTCGCCTTGGGTTTGCGTTGTGGTGAACATGTTCCGAGTGATTCGGGTCATGTGCATGGAGTAATGCTTCAGAAAAGCATTGGTTAGGTCGTCGAAGTTATCGATCGACTCGGCGGGGAGGTTAGAGAACCAGGTCAAGGCATCTTTCGCCATGTGCTCGACGAATACTTGACAGTAGTTGGCCTCCCTTTCATCGTAAGATTTGTATTTCTCCCTCCTCATGGCGAGGTTGAACGCGGTTAGCCACTTCTTGGGGTCTTCTTCGCCGGTGTAAGAGTCGATTTTGAGTCGAACTCTTTCGTGTAGCTCAATCTGGCGGAGCCTGCGGGTGAGCGGGCTTCTTCGGGTGTCGGCGAGTGCTTTCGTCAATTCCGGAGCTGAGCTGGTGGCGCGATGAACTTTCGAATCGACCTCGTCGAGGCGACGATTCACCCGTTCGAGCTCTTGGGTGGTAAGTCGCCTGAAGTGCGCAGGACGGGGGGTTGTTCCGTCGGTGGGACTTGACGGATCTTCATCGTCTTCTCGTGCTAGGGCTTCCACCTGTTCCTGAGTCTTTTTCTGCTGTGCTCGCATTGACTCGAAACCGTCGGCGAGTGGCTTGACGAGATTCTCCATGAGTTTGAGGATCTTCTCGCTCGAGGAGGATTTCTTCGAGCTGCGGGGTTTGTCGCTCGAGGAAGATTTTCTCGAGCGGCGTGGTGCGGACGGAGGGGGGCTCTCGTCCTTTCTTGGCGGAGGAGATCGTTGCGGCGAAGTCGATCTTCGCGGCGAGACGGATCTCTGTGGCGAGAAAGATGGGTTTCTTGTAGGGACAGGCTTGTCCCTACCTTCAGCGGGTAGCGACTTGTCTATCGTGCTGGTAGACTGTCGCTTAAGTTTTCTTCTGAGGGAGACGGGCTCCCGGTGGGAGTGTTCTCTTTCGAGTTCGCCATCGTTGCTAGTTCGTGAAAATCTAGATATCTTCGAGATGAATAGCGAGAAGCGTTTCCAGCCCCACGGTGGGCGCCAATTGTTGAATCCGAGATAGCACTCGTCAAGACGGGCTATCTAAGATGTGAGTTTAGGAAACTGGAACGCTTAATTCGACTCTTAGATTATCAAGAAGTTACAAGAGAGCAATCTCGCTAACAAGCCTAGCGAGATTATGATGATGAACAAGAGGATAGAGTAAAAGCTAATGTGAAAGCCTAGTGATTCTAGATGATTTCGGATCCCTTTCCCCAATGGGGGGTCTTCAATATATAGTGTTGATAAGTCGGCCGAATGATGAATATTCTCCTTCAGGCGAGATGGAAAACTTCCTCTTTTGCGATATGGAAAATTCCCTCTTGTTTTTGGATCTTTTCCATTCTTTAAGTCGGCATGAAGATTTATTTACATTTCTCCATGGATTGTGCCTTTCTCTTCAAGTCTTGCCTTTTTCTTGAAGATGTTAGGCCTAAAATCGGATTGGGCTTTGTGACTTTACTAATGATGACGGGCTCAGGGAAATGTGCTAATTTCTCCTCTAACATGTTATACTACAACACATCACCTCTTTAAATTGTGAAACCATTGAATCAGGAGAAGAGGAGAAAAACAAAAGAATATAATACCAACTAAACGGAAAGGTGTTCATGGAGCTAGTGATAAAAGATTTGCAATAGATTTAAAATCAAAATGCTATATGTTGTCCTTAATAACAATCGGTAGTTAGTTATTACTCCATCAGGGAATTAAGCGATACTAAAATATATCCTTAAATAGATTTAGTAGTCAAGCGCGTGAGAGCGCATTGGTGATGTTGATCAAAGTTTGCGAGAGCATCATCTTCACTTCATCAGCATTGAAATCCCCAGTGTACACAGTGGAGCCTCCCTAGCTAGCTTGCCGGAAGTATGACGAAGCCAAACGGCAGCAATGTCATTTTGATATAATATAAAGTATCTGAAGATATAGAAGATAAAACAAAATATCAGTAGTAGTTTGCTCAAAAATGTCTTCGAAAATGCACAAATATATCTACTTACATGCATGCACATATATATATATATATATATATATGTCTTTTAGATCGCTATTAGCTCTGAAATTGTGACAGGGAGATGTGCGATACATGAATTGGTTTTCTTTTTTCTTTTTATTGGTTGGGTTACATGAATTATTTTATTTTCATATTCAATCCTATTTTACACCTTCTTCGAAACTTCTCACGCAAAAGCCGTACCCAAAATTAATATAAAGTGAAAGTCTAATAGTGCTACTTAGATCCATCCAAAATTAGTTACAAAACAAACACACACGAAAATCCATAAATAATTATAGTCTATAGATATAAAGTGAAAGTGGTACTAAATAAAAATTACATCGCCCAAAGTACCGCATACTGAAAATGGAAGCAGCCTCGACATGACATGCTTTATTTTCTTCATGAAGAAAAAGAATATGTTTTGCCGGAAAGCTGAAAAACAATCGCCTATATTTGAACTTTAAGGGTCTTTGCTTAGGACCAAAGTGTGAAATGTCCAAGGGAAGACAAATCTCATAAGCCCTTAAGGCTTTGTGAGAAAGTCAAGGCTGTCCCCAAAAAGAACATGCCATCTCTCAACTCTTCTATCATGTGCTCTTGCGTGTCTTAAAGTCATATACGGTTTGTTTTGGCTTTTGCCAAAATACACATGCTTCTTTTGAAATCATTATCTTGCTTTATTATCTATCTACACACCTCCATATTTTCACATGCATGCACACATACTAGCTATTGTGGTATCGAACTATCGATCTACCACAATTCTTTTTAGGATCTAGAGTCTTGTAAACCAGAAGATCTAAACTAATTATAGAATATGCAGTTACTATCGTGAAACAATTATCACATGAAACTACTGATCGGCTATAATCCTCTTCCTCTGCTCTGTATACATGTTTTATAAAATGCGATATAGAGAATTTGGACAATAGTCCGACGTTATATTATCTGGTTCTTAAGTATAAAAGATAGGCAAATCTAGATCATTGTTCATTTACAAGCGTTTGTAAGAATGTAAAACCCTCAAATGCAAATGCTTAGGGGAGGCAGCGACAGTATAAACTAATACAATCGTTCTGTATGATTTCAGAATTAAACATTCATGCAGAAGTTAACAAAAAAAAAAACTGAACTACTAATGTATAGGGAAGGGTTGTATTCAATTATAAAGTCTTGTAAAAGAATCGTAGTCTTGGTTCACTAGAAGCGCTTGTATTCATTTATTATAGTTTTGTTAGAGAATTTTATGTGTGATTTTCGTTTTGAAGTTCTTATGGATCAATAGACAAATTCTCCCAAGCTTCTTTGTATCGGATTCTTATTAGTTGAGTTTCATTTGTCCTATGGTTTACAATGGATTGTAAAAGAATTAAAAACAAACAAATACCAGGTTGCTTAGACATAAGTGTTTATAGATATCTCCCCATATCTGTCATTTGTAAGGTTTTGTTAGAGATTTTGTAAAAAACCTTACAAATAAGAAATAAGAAAAAATGGTGAATATGTGAAAGAGAACCACATTGTTCATTTACAAGCGTTTGTAAAAATGTAAAACCCTCAAATGCAAATGCTTAGGGGAGGCGTCGAAGCAGCGACAGGATAAACTAATACAATCCTTCTGCAAGGCCGGCCCTGACCTAAAGCACATAAAGCATTGTGCTTTAGGTGCCAAAATCATTAATAAATATTTAGGGGCGCCACATTAGTAAAATTCAGTATTAGCCTAATGGTTTTATCCTCTTCTTTCGTCTCACTGTCTCACTCCAGCGAAGTTTGAATCCCCTCTTGTGCAGAACATGTTTATTTTTTTTAATGAATATTTAAATGAGCAAAAAAAAACTATTAGGCTTTAGACGCCTTAATGGGTCAGTGCCAGCACTGTCCTTCTGTATGATTTCAGAATTAAACAAAATCTTGCAAGTAAAAAAGAAAAAAAATGGAAATATTCCCTTCAAATCTAAGATGATAAAACAACACACAGAAAAAAAGAATGGTACAGCACGATTACCTTAAACTTGGCTATAAGAATAAATTTGAGTGTTGAAACAGCTGGGAAAACACTGGAGAGAAAATTTGAAGCAAGACCTTTAGTATGTTAGCTTAAGAGCCTCCTCCATCATATCAAACTTGTAAGGTACATGCATAATGTTCGGATCAAGAATGGTGTGTTGCCATAACCTGAAACAACAAACAAAATGGTAACCCTTTAGCAAAAAGGAAAACAACAAACAAAATGGAAATTATTGAATGGTTTCATGTTTATTGAACACAGATAATAAGAAAAGCGAGAGTTGGAGTGTACGAATGTTTTTTTTGTAAATCTAAACATATGAAAGCAAAGCCAATTAAAATATTTCGAGAAAAGTCACTGAATATTTGGCATTTATCTCTCGTTGGTGATCTCTCATCGTTTAGTTTTGACCAAATTGTGATGTTGGAGCTGTCCAACCCAAAAGACAATACGAACTATTATATCAAGTTTCCAGTTTGCACGTACGTGGAATAAACTGACTACACAAAACAATGCTTTCAGTCTGCGAATATTCTGATGCAGAAGTAAAATATAGCAAAAAAATGGATCAACAAAGTACAGAGGAAGCAGATTTACAAGTTACAACGAATCATTTTCCGGGCTGAGATGGACTCGCGGCTGTAGGCCGGGTGGAATCATTTGAGGCGAATTTGGACCCCCAGGAGCATACTTTGTCCAAACCTACCATCTCAGATTTGGCAGTTCACTTCTCACTTTTGTTCGATCGGAGTAGAAGCATGTATGAGCGGGTTTGTCCGAAACAATAAACCTTCGTTCATGATTTTGTGATTCGCCGCCCTTCACTTGCTTTTCTCTCGGTTGCAGGAGAAGATAGCTGAATGGGTTAGGAATCCACGAACACACTAAAATCTGAGATCATTAAAAACGTGATATCAACAAAGAAGAGGAAAGGTCCAAGGAATGTTTCAGTTAAAAAGAAAAGATTTTTTAAAATGGTGAAAGTATTTGAGAAAGCCAAACTCTCTAATAAATAATAAAATAGCGAATGGTGGGTGGATCAAAATAATGGGGGTGATTGGTTGTGGCTGTCAGAGCAAAAAAAAATTCTAAAGCCAAATAGATCACCAATCATGCTCTATACTTCTTTTTTTTAAAACCTAAAACCTTCTTTCATTTCTTTCATTTTTCTTTCCTTTTTTAGTTTTGCAGAGCAAACTTTCTAGAACATAATTTTAAAGGCTCTGAATTTCTTTTTTCTCTCTCTTTCATTCTTTCCAAATCAATTTCACTGCCACAGCCAAGAAGTTTTATAATATGGGGCACAAATAAAAGTTCATTGCAATAGAAGTAATAAAAAAAATAGATGTGTTAAAAAAAAAAATAGATCTTATTTTAAATTCTAACTCTGAAGAAAAACTAAATTTTATTTTTAACCATTTTCATTGGTTTTAATATTTTTACATATATAAGAAAATATAAATGTTCATATTTAAAATAAATGAATAATAGAAAAACTAGGTTCTAAAATTTAATAGGATTAGTAAATGTTATTTTTATCTATATATCAAAACATAGAAAAAAAGAGAGTAAAAGTATCGAATTGGTCAACGGAAGATCTACTAAGAGAAATAATAACTAACTCAACTAACGAATCAACAATGCAAACGGTGAACTAATGTCTAGCTATAAAGCATTGGGAGCACTTGCCACACTTTCCCATTACGTAGGTATGCCAGTGTAGCACATGACACAAAGGTGCTAACATATTGTGGTGCACCATGAAGAATTTCTTTTCTTCATTGATCAATTGACCTAGGTGTCCTCATCATAGGACTAGATACCAACTTGATCAGTTGAGAAAGACCTCCAACAAACAATAGGGAGTTGTTTCACTGCAAACATTGCGTTCGAGAATTGAGCAAAATTTTGGTGTATACAAGGCTAAATGGAGTATTTGTACCAAAAACACCAGAAGCTGAATAAATGGATAAAAAAAGTGACAACAATGGCTCTCCATAACTACATCCTAGATTCAAATCAGGAGGCTTGTGATTTTATACATTGGGAAGATATGGATGAGTATGAACAACATGGTGATGAAAATAATGTGCATGTTCCATACAAATCGGCTGGTGATGAAAATAATGGGCATGTTCTATACAAATCGGCTAGATGAATGTGAGAGCTGAGCAAACGACCAGGGCCAGAGGCAAGAGATGTATGATGTATCAAACATTGTGAATGTTGATTATAGAGAGGCAAGAAATGGTTAATAAAGTTATGTTGTTACATTAGAAGAGGACATAATATGATATCCATAGAGATAGAGTTTACTCGTCACTAACATCATTTTGGTTTATGATTTGTTTTGTTAACCGGTAAAGATGGAGAACTAATAGTTTTTTAAGTTTGATAATATGACACTAAATATTTGCATCTAAAGCAATGGAGATCAATGATAAATCTCGAGTGATGCTGAACATTCTCAAACAACAAACTGTACAAGCGAATTTATTGGTTTCAATTTTCAAGTAGAGATTCGATACAACGATAAACAAGAACAAACCCAATAGTTCAGTCTTTGAAAGGTAAAAGATCAAAAACAAAAAGCTTGTGATGATACATGTTCTTCTTACAAGTTTATCAACCGTAGTCTCTTGTTTCTTCGAGATCGTATAAAGTCACTTCATGCTGTCTAAAAACCAAGGTAACTCGTGTCCTGAGATGGCGAACATCGCGCCATAACCGCTAATGTCTTTAAAATACCGCTACATGGGTCACTGCGAAATGCCGTATTCGACACTTCGATGAAGCAGCTGTTGCGTCCTTGACAAGCCTGCAGAAGAGAAACAATGACATTTTCGGATAGACCACAAAAGTCAGCATCTTTCACAAATGCTATGAACCAATTTTAGAGCTATATGTCAAAAAAATTGTAAGCACAATCTGTCTACTAGCTTCCTTAGGAAAATTAAGATCTTCATAGGTTCTACTTCGGGTTATCAAATTGCGGTTAGTGATCTTGTCACCGGTTTTTATGTTTGTATTGGTGATTTAATGCGGTCAAGTCTCAGATATATAACTTTTACCTCAGAGACGATTGATAACGATGTGGATGCATGGCATTTCCCGGTAGAAAACTTCTCGCAGCTACCTCTTGGAGTTCCATAGCTAGCAAATTCGATGGAAGATATTACATTCCCTTCTTCACAACGCAGATGCATTTCTGGAGCCATACTATTCATCGATATCGTCCCGTTCATGAAACTTGGTGTGGACCATTTCCGCAGAGGTGGATAATGCGATTCCGAGACTTGACCGCACAGAATCCCTGCAGTAACTGTCTTAGCTGATATCTTGAACGGGTTTCCACCGGTCTCTTCAAAGAGCACTAGTAGATTACTTGATGGCTTTAACCACGAACGTGGTACATGGTACCTGTACAAGGATATTAGCTCAGTACCATGGTGATTTAATAGCCATTGTGGAGTTATTATATGTCCATTATTACCTGGTTTGTGTAGGCTTTCCACAGTTTGTTGTGCATTTATCAGAATTGTAAGCTCCACGATAATCACAGGTTTTGTCACATCCATCCTTTTGCGAAAGGATACTCCAGTACCTTCCAATATGGTGTCCATTGACCCAAGCTTGTCCCTTTCCCATACTTTCAAGATCAAGAACAACAGGATCTGTTCCGTCTGGTGTGTCAAAGTATGTCTAGTTCGATAAGAAGAAAAAAGAGAAGAAAAAAAAGGAACAAAGGATCCGTTGATTAATGAGATTCGAAGAAATGAGAAACTAGAACGCTAACATGTTTCACATATTTTACCTTGTACCACATAAAGATGGAAGGTGAAGCATCGCTCTCCAAGGTACTCCACTCTGCTTTTTCATTGTGTTCAACCGTAAATATTTTGTCAGCCTCACCTTTCAATCCCACCTACAAAAAACCCCAAATGCTTCTACATTGATCTTCAGGTTTCAGATAAAGCGAGAGAAAGAAAAAAGAAAACCACTAAAGTTTTCACCTGATAGGTCCATGAAGATTTTGACAGGTCCACATCTCCATTCTTGAATCCAGTAAGCTTCGCTTTGCCTCTAAAACCGGCTCCATCCTTCTCCAAGAAAGCACCGTAATTCTGTGCCATGAAGTATAAAATGATCACAGTTAGCTGTAAAGAAAAAATGTAAGTGGAGAAATAGGTTGTAGATTTTTACCTGTAAACCAACAGTTTGAGTCAAGAGATATAAATCATTGTTTCCCTGCACAAATTGTACAGGCTGCTCTGCCTTCACCCAGTGACCAACAACACTGCCTTTACTTCCCATTCAGCAGGAGGACAAAGTTAATGAAAGATGAGAGAAAAAAAATTCTAAGACTTTAAACTTCATGAACGCTATATAACCCTCTCATGTGGATACACAGCGAACCACAAGAGAAAGCAGACACAGACACGATACAGAACCAGAGCATTTGTAAATATACAGATATGCATAAGAAGCAGGAGAAAGTGTTGTAAATTACCTGAGAGTTGTTTGTTAACAAACACACGCAATACATCCCTCATGCTATCTATTGACACTGTTGGGTCAGCTCCATTGTTCTTCCAGAACGAGATATCATCCTCAGATACGCTTATTCTACATTTGGTTGCGAAATCCACTACAGATTAAAAGACAAAATTTCACAGTACTAAAGTCCTCTAGATAACTTTGCATAGCTAGTTTGCTACCTTGTCTTACGCCACAGGTAATCAGACTGGTCTTTTGTAACATTCAAATGCTCCAATAACCCTAGGCAAGTGAAAGTGTTTTCACCCCATATGCCAATGGGCTCTTTCAGAGCCATCCATGATTTTGATATATAAGAAACATCATCCTGCCTGACGACTTTTCGCAGTATAGACATACTACCTAAAGAAGGCCTAGCAGACTCAACCATTTTAACAGAAGTTTGTGCTCCTACCTGCTCAAGAACAGACAGAGAAACGCGAAACTCAAGAACCATCTTGGAAGACCCAAAAAATGGGTAAAGTGGAATTGCACAAGCAATTACTAGTCAGGTTAATTATGATACGGATAGAAATGGAAATCAAACCTTGGCAGTGTTGAAGGCTACATGTCGACAGTCTGGCAATATACTCACTGACCAGGGTGGTAAAGTGTATGATTGGCCATTAAATTTCACATATGCGGTTTTGTGCTCATCAATGTTTGCGAGAAATGCAGCACACACCTTTCCTCCATTCTCACCATCTCCATGATAAATGTGTGCCTGAAGTTTGCATTGTTTCCAGGTAAGATTCAGGAAATTTTCAGCATATATAATATCAAACCTCATGCTCATTCTGAAAGGTAAACAAAAGAACAGCCCAGTATTTTTCTAGTACATGAGTCATATTTATACATACATTTAAATTAGAATTACCTTTTGAAACACCCCAAAAAGGATAATGAAGACATACTTATATCAGAACTAAGTGAAACTTTTGACAAAGGAATTAAATCGGCAATAAATCTATATCTAACAGCACTGGTCTAAACTAGAAAAGAAGAGTGACCTCTACTAATGTAACTATACGCAACAAGAATTTAAGAGTAGGATTTCACCTCCTGATTTGATCCCAGTTTTCTATATTCTGGTGCATCTGCCGCGACAAGGGCAGGTTCACAAAGTTTTATGGCAGCATGAAGATCCTTCAGATGCCCCCATTTTGGCTCGCTCCTCAGACCTTAGTTAATGAAAAACATATTCTCATTAGCAAATAAGTACCTATATTTACTTAGCAATCTGTTTTCCGTCTAGCACCCACCATATTCATCAAGAGGAGCATCATAATCATAGCTTGTAATGTACAAAGGACCACCAGAAGTTCGACCAAAGTTTGTTCCACCAAAATACTGCAACCATAAAACAGACTCGTCAACATATGCCAGCATAAATTGATATAACGCATTGAATGTTTATCATAGGCATTTTGCAATCAAGTTGAGCTATAACAATTTAGCAAGTTGCATAATTATCTCCTACATAGCTCGCCTTTTGAGGGTTCTAAGTTGAGCTGTAATTATTGTACCATGTAATAATTCTGAAAGCTTCCTCCGCGCTGGTAAAATCTTGCGACTGCAAATGCAAGATCTTCAGCAGGTCTGTGAGGCAAACTTCCTCCCCATTTTGTATACCTTCAAAAATTCAACCTAACATACTCATTAAATCCAAATACCAATTAACATTTAAGGCATAGTTCTCTTATTAGAATCCACAACCAAAAACATAAATTAAAGAATTAAGGCCAACTGTAACATTGGCCTTGAAAACATATTTTCAAGGAAACACGTCTTTGATAAGAGAAAAACTTTGACAGAAGGCTGCATGACAAGAAACATACCACCCATCCCAATCCTCTGTCCAAAGTACTGGCTTCGTCTTCGAATTTGGTTTAAAACCATCACAATAGTATCCGTTGCATGCATCAATCTGAGACAACAAGAGATTAGCAGACGTCAAAAATGGATGCTTCTTACAGGGAACTATAACATATGCGTACGATCCTTTCTTTGTTAAGGAGATCAAAGAAAGGAATCATTCATTATGAATTGAAAGATAGATCCTTTTCCAAATCAAAGTAAATAAATGGAAAAACTGGTTAAGAAGTCATTATCATTATCAATGACCACAGGTTGGTAAAGAGTAGGCATCTCAATCATATTTTAGGAATTCAAAAACAATCATTAGCCTGGTTAAAAGGCTCAGCTACAAGTTAAAATGCGGTGATGTCTTAATGCAAAAAGAATAGAAAAAATCAAGTTAGCAACATTACTATATTCTCTGGAGCGTCTGTTTGCTTGCACATAACCCACGGAACTCCAGCACCAAGCCCTAGAGCCATGCTAGCTGCCCATTTGACATAATCTTTTCCCTTCTGCCCGTATGATTTCTCAACATCCCCGTATTCATTCTCAATCTGTGTAAGTTAAATATTTCAGTCCATGGCACTTCTATTCAACAAGCTGCACTAATATTTACAAACATTCAGTTCAGAGGGCTGGTCAGTCCTGAGTCAAGTTATCGCGGCGAACTAACAATGCCAGAGACTCTCACCAAGATAAGCATTTATCATAGCCTTTATAGCATGACTATTAATAGAAAGAAAGCACTCTGATTTAGAAACAAAGTATAGAAATTAAAAAAATCTCATATGACCTGCAGCATGATTACGGGACCGCCTTGCCAACAGAAAAGATTTGCTTCTCGCATCAAATCCACAATCTTTGTTACAAACCTCTGCATCTCCTTCTGAAAAATAGCAAACAGATAGATAATGATCACATACGAAGACAACAAAGCTAAAACAGAACTTAAAAAGTACCAACAGTATAGAAAAATGTGAAATGAGGACTGGAATCAAAAGTATACCTTAAAAGGTTCATTGTTTGTTCGAAACTCTATGCTGGGAACATCACGCAACCACACAGGAAACCCCCTAACAAGAGAATTGAAGCAAAAGAATAAAGAGACCTGGACATAAAAATAATAAAGAGAAACTAATGGTTGTGAGAAGACAATACCCGAAGTTCCACTCAGCACAAACGTAAGGACCTATGCGCAGATGGAGATAGAGACCGCTTGATCCAATAAGCTTCACAAATTTTACAAGGTCGTATCTTCCTTCAAAGTTATACTGAACACAAGCCATAGAAAAGAGAAAAATCAAAATTTACCATTCTTAACTGCAGAGAGATCATCATTAGCAACAAAATCAGAGGAATTTTGGTCAACCTTACCTGACCCTTCACAGGCTCGTGGCCGCTCCAGAACACATATGTTTGAATCACATCAGCACCACCTTCTTTGCTCTTTTCGATGAGATCAGGCCACATCTGAAACCAATTTCAATAATTTTTTAAGGATCCCAACAAAATTCAGTAGCAATCAGTCACCAAAGATAGAGAAATCTCTTCTAATTTTGGCAGCATTTCAACAAATGTGTGGATTTAAGGATCACAATAGCAATCAATCACTGAAGAAAGAGTAATTCTACTAGATTAGCAGCATTTCAACAAACCATCCAAAAATGGTCAAATTGCTGAAATTAGAAAGGTCGGTGAAAGCGATAGTTACTTCAGGAGTAGCGCGAGGGTAGTGAATTCCAGCTGAGACGAGCATGCGCCGTTTCCCGGCGACGATTAGAGCCCTGTGGTCGTAGCTGACATTGAACGGCTCGAAGAAACTTCCCGAGGCAATCGGAGAAAACAAAAGGGAAGCGATCATCAGTGGCAGTAACCGCCATTGAAGCGAAGGAATTCGTGTTGACTCAGCCATTGAAGTTAAAAGCTCATCAAAAAGTCCACAGATTTTCCTTTTTTTATGTCTCTCTCTCCAATGAAGAAGGAAGAAGACGAAATTTCCATTAGAAGCAAGCTTGTAATCATGTTTCCAAATGAGACCCCTGTGTTTTCAGTAATTGCTAAATTGTACCCAAAACTATTTTAAAATACAGTTTTAACCCCCAGAAGAGAAAAAGGAAATCAATCTCACGACGTCGTTTTAAAGCCTACCTGAGACTGTTTTGTTTGGATGTGGCTTCTTGGGAGTAAAGGAAGCTTTCGTTTTATTTCCTTTTTTTGTTTTCAGTCTCTGCTCTCTACGCTCTATATATACAAATATCAGATTCACTATCTCTCTTTACTTCCATATTTTGATTACCAAAAGTTGAGAGTGAAACCCTAGTTTTGTTGCGTCTTGCCAAATCAACAACGTACGGAGAGAAAAACAACTGAAGGTGATGATGAATAAGATAAACAACACTGCGACTGCAACAGAGAGATCTGATTTTGATCTCGACCGTTTGGTTTCTGCTGCAACTGAGGCCGCTAATTCAAACAGTATCGATGGCGTTGAGATATGTTTCGAAATTCTGCAATACCTGAAGAGTTTGAGTCTCAACATCAAGGATCTTCTTCGCTACTCTAAAACGATACTTCCTTTGGAGAATCTCAGAGATCACAGGAACCCTAAGGTTCGACACGGAGCTAACGTCTTGTTCAATTCCTGGACGAAGACTCTTTATTCCCGCGGAAGAAACCCTTCTTCTTCTGATGATGATGATGATGATGATGATGATGATTGCAACAAAGCTATTCCCCTGAATCTGAAGAAATCTGCAGATGTTGTCAAACTATGTTCCAAGTCGAAGAAGAAACAACATCAGATACCTGAGCTTTTGGGGTTGAAGAAGAATGAAGAAGATGAGACCAACGAGATTGACCAAAATCTGAACAAGGCTGATGCTTGCAAGTCTGTTTCAACAAAATCAAAGCCTCACAAGATGAAGAAGCAGCCGCATGTGGAAGTATCTGAAAACCCTAAATACTGTCCAGCCGTGAAGAAGAATTCAACGGAGATGTTGGAGCTGTTCGAAATAGCAAAGAAATCAGCAGATGTGGCCAACACAAAGGGACTTCTCTTGGCCAAAGCAGAGACATCAATCTGCGTGGAAACTCTCTCTTTACTCATGAGTTTCCCAATCAGCTCTACAGCTACTGATACTAGGCGGATCATGGAGAAGCTTGCAAATCTCACAAGACACAAAGATCGCAAAGTCTGCAACTCTGCAGCTACACTTCTTCAACATTGGAGTCAGAGCATCAGAGATCAACAGCACAAAGATGTCCGTAAATCTCTCAAGGCTAATGTCACCAGATAATCTGCAAAAGACGATGGAGGAAACTTGTAATAGACTTGAAAACGTTGATTGTTTATTCTTTTGATAAATTGGAGTTTGTGTATTCACCACTTTAAATTTCTACTACTCAAAATCTAACAGTAAGGAATGTTTTTCACAATCTCTCTTTATGTTGTTCAAGTCATTAAGTCAAGTGTGTATTTTCTTCTATTAATGCGTATCAATGAAATCGGAGTTTGATCTGTAAATTTGTTTTCAGTTGTAATTGAGAGACAAAAAAAATCAGTATTTTATAAAATTTTCATTGTTATCTGACATAAACTCAAAAGGATCTCCTTTTTAAGAGAAGGAACAGAGCATTTCTGAATGTTAACGAAATCTCTAAACAGAGTCCACAATGTGTCCTTCAAATCTGTTTTCAGAAAGATACAACAGTGCTTTGCAATCCAAATATTCAGGAACCTCAAAATCTCAAATTTAAAATCTTTACTGCAAAGGACTTCATATAGTAATTACAAATATATATACGCGTGTGACACAGCAAAAGAGAAAGGAAATCAAACCGGGACTGTTCGACCGGAATTCACTACGGTCATCTCCGTCGCATCACCGGTTTGTTCCTCATCTTCTCTCGAAAGCTCCTCCAGAGACTTCCCTTTCGATTCCGGAACCAACAGAGTGAAAACTATCCCCAAGAAATTAACACCTCCAAGCATCAACAGCGAATTCCTCACTCCGATTCCCGGCGGATAACCAGCGTCGGTCTTCTCCGGATCACTGCTCTGCGCCGCGTAAAGAAACCCAAAAGCTCCGACGATCGCTCCCGCTTTACCAGACGCCGCCGATATCCCGTGACAAGTCGATCTAAGCCTCGCCGGGAAAATCTCAGCGGGGACAACAAACGTCGTCGCATTAGGTCCAAAGTTCGCGAAGAACATCGTCAGCGAATACATGATTAAGAACCCAATTCGATTGTCTCTGTGCCTCCAGTGATCATAAGGGATCGCGAGAGCGAACATAAATGCGGTCATGAAGATGAATCCCATTAATTGGATGAAGAATCGGCCGAGGTAATCGATGAATGCGACGGTGAACCAGTAACCAGGGACGGTGCCGCAGAGAGCGATTAAGGTTTGAGCTCTGGAGACGGTGAAGACTTCGTGGATCGCGTTCATGGTTTCGGCGGCGGGGATCCATCCGATGGCGCTGTAAATGTCCTTTTGGAAGAGGTTGCTGCTGTAATAGGCGATGTCGAGGAGGAACCACGTCGTGGCGGTGCCGACGAGGTGGAGACCGTGACGGCGAGCGAATTCTCTGGAGAATAAACCGAAGGAATTAGGGTTTGATGATGATGGATTCGACTGTGCTTCTTCTTCCGCTATTATATCCACTTCAAGCACCTGTTTGTTACATTAATTTGGACATCTTAAAACTTGCAAAATGAATGGACAAGAATCAAATTTATAGTATAGTTTTAAATTTGTAAAAATGCCAAGTCATTAACTTTTGAAATTGAAATGGCATAGCATATAGATCGTGATTTTCACAAAATTATATAACCTGATAAACTTCTACGTAACTCGGAAATGTCATGTTTGCATAACTAATCACACAATTCTACGAAATCAAGATTTATGTTACACAATTTTGAAAGTTTAATGGAAAAGACAAAAGTATATAGTATACGGAACTATATGTTATTTAACAGAAATTATCATGCAATTTTAGGAATTTAAGAAACAATGTTAATTTGGCTAATTCACGATTGCAAGTTTAATGGTCAAAATAAAATAAATCTGATAAGAATTAAATAGTTAATTTCGTCCAAAGTTTCTAAAAAATGATTAAATTTGGATTTGTGAAGTTAAAACATCAAGCAGAAAAATGTTAAGAATATTTTTTAGTTGGGGACGTACCTTAGACATATCAGCGGCGGCTTGTTTAGTATTCCGGGCAACAAGAGCGGTATACCGAGCGGTTTCAGGCATCTTCATCCGCCAATAATAAGTAATTAACGCCGGAATAGCTCCAAACATGAGCACAATCCGCCACACGTAATCCGCCTGAGGAACAGTGGACCCCACGGGATCAACCTCGTAGGTCGGTGCATCAAACGCGTGGTCAAACGCGCTCGAGACAATGAGAGACACAAATCCTCCGGCCAAGATCCCGAAGCCTTGCATGGCGAAAACGGCGGCTATGAAAGCGCCACGTGTCTTCTTGTTGGCGTACTCAGACATGATGGTGGCCGAGAGAGGATAGTCGCCGCCTATGCCGAAACCGAGCCAGAAACGGAAGAAACAGAGTGTGGCCATTACTCCGTTTGCCGAGTGACCGAATGATAGACCCGACCCGAGCGAACATAGTACCATGACCATCAAAGTAATACCTATATATGTATTTCAATATAATTGGCAACATAAAGAGATAAGAAACTTTTGTGAGATGAACTTTTTGGATGCAAAAAAATTCATGTATATATTTTAGAATATTATTTAATTTTTAAGGGAAACTAAACCTTGTTTGAAATTTTAAGAACCAATCTTGAAGCATATACATAAGTATTACTTTCTTGTTACTAATTGAGAATTTTCCAAGACTATAGATAGAGAAGAAGAGAAAAGTGTACCGTAAACTTTCTTGCGGCCAAGCTTGTCACCGAGCCAGCCAAAGAAGAGCTGACCAGCGAGGGTACCGCAGAAGGCGACACCGTTAACAGCGGCTGCAACGTTTGGAGGGAGCGTTTTCCAAGACTATAGATAGAGAAGAAGAGAAAAGTGTACCGTAAACTTTCTTGCGGCCAAGCTTGTCACCGAGCCAGCCAAAGAAGAGCTGACCAGCGAGGGTACCGCAGAAGGCGACACCGTTAACAGCGGCTGCAACGTTTGGAGGGAGCGTTCCAGGCTTCTTGGAGCCATTTACATGGTAGTATATGCGGCCGAGGAGCTTGGTAACTAGAGAGATGCTAAAGAGATCGTAAGCATCAGTGAAAAAACCCATACCAGCGATTACGATCGCTGTGAAATGGTACATCTGCGTTTTGGCCGCATCTAAAGCGTTCAACACTTCTTTCCCTTTCCTTGCCATATTTTTGTTCTCGTCTGTTGCCCACTTACCTGAGAATCACTACTATCTAGTCTTAGTTATTGTGAAACATAGGCATGTGATAGTAAGTTGCCGCTTCCTATGGAAAATTAAATGCAAGTTTATAAACGATTTGTCAAAGGTTGTCTTTTTGTAAGAGTCAAGGACAAGTATGTGTGAGGCCAAGAAAATAAGAATAAGATCCCCCTATTTAAAACGTGAGGAATCAATCTACATAATTAAGCTTTGTTTTGTAATTATTCTTAAACTGATAAGTTTACTGCAAGCTGTAAAAAATGATGTTTCATAAGAAAACGTATATATATATATATATATAATTTTGTTAAAAATTAAGGACACAAAAAAAAAAAAAAAACATGCATGCATATGGAGAGAGCAGGACACCTTGATTAGACACGGGAACGCTGAAGTGGAATCTGGCGAGAAATTCGGAGGAGTTTATGGTATTTATAAACGGTATTAAAAACGAAGGGAACATTTTGAAGAATCTAAGAATATACTCGCACAAATTTGCTTTGTAGAGATTATATTAACGTGAAACTTCCATAAATAATTAAATACGATACATTTTTATGAGGTCAATTGCTTCTCGCACTTTCCCTCTACATTTTTAATTATTTTAACAGGTCTGGGAAAACGAGAGAATTAATTGTTTCTCTTGAATTATGTATGATGATCGATCACTGCATAAGAAAAAATAATGCAGTATGATCGATCATTCTCGGGATTCGATTCATGCCTAATGAACAAGTTTTAAGATTTAGAATCAACTGGTCTTTGTGTTCACATCCTTTCTTTTTTGCCGTCAATAAAAAAAAAAGGTGTTCACATTTTTCTCTTCTATATTCTTTTAACTTTTACATTTTTCGGATAATTTTAGTTTTGAAGTATACAGTTGAGTCAAGCACGTATGTATGTATCTTGAAGTCAAAATTTATGTCACAAATAACGACTACAAAAGCATATAATTTTCTTCCCAATGTCGTAGGGGAGAAAAAGAACTCCATCGTTTGCGATGTAAACACAGTTAAAACAAATGTAACCAAGCTAATCCAACCTTGGGATGTTGCATAATTTCCTACGCATGCGTTACATCCTCTCGACTATACAATAAAATGCTAAAATAAAGGATAGGACGTGAAATAACAAGCGATGTTACACAGGTAGTTTTTAGACAAGTACGTAAGCATCAATCCTCTGTTCTTAATTTCTTATTTACTTTCTCTTACAAGAAATTAAATCACCGAAATCGAAAATTGGAGTAACAAATACGAAAAGAATATCAGTGAGTATTGTTTAGAGATTTGTGGATGCGTAAAGAACCATTAATCTCCAAAGTAGACGATCAAAACAAAACAAACCAAACCTGTCTTTGAAGTTTGAAATATACTTTTGTTCCGTTGACTATGCAACTCATGCTATTGGTCCACGAAATTAACCTACAGTTGTTCTAAATCCGATATTTGTAATCAGTAATATGACTGAACCAACATAATTGAAGGGTTTAATATAATACAACACAAATGACAAATCAAGATCATGCCATCATATAATTTCAATAAAGAGAACTTGGGAACATATATTTTGTTTTCCGAATCGTTTGTTCATTCATCTAATCGTCTGGATCCAATCCGTCTTTTTAATTTTCTTTTTATTTTTGTTAAAGATATTTACCCGCCAACCGTAATTTTTAATTTTCAAAACATGTTTCAATTTTATACCGAATCGAGAGTGTACACATCGGTTTGAATAGTAAGAGACACACATTTTTAAGCTACCCGCACACCTTTTTTTTGTTTAAAACTACGAGTTTACGACTAGAAGATTTAGTTACAAAACGTTAAGAAATTAAGGAAAAACACTCCTTTAGTCCTTTTGATGATTCCAAACTCGAAATTTTTTGAGGTTGTTGCTTAGTTTGGAACCATAAAAAAGGAGTGTCTAGAGATACTCAGAAAATCAAAGAGAATTCCATATTTAGATGAACCTAACAGAAGACAATAAAGCACACAAACAAACAGTCACACACTGTGACACACAACTTTAAGGTACCTTAGCTTTTTTTTTTTTGGTCGAAAGGTACCTTAGCTTATGTTATTTCTAATTCAATTGCAAACAATATTCACATAAAAGCCCCCAACTTTATATCCTTACTCGTTCCTGCATTGCTCTCCAAATGGTGGCAGAAGAAGAGCCAATCTTGCCTTGTACCTCGCAATCCTCTTCAACCGTTCTTCTCTCAATCTGAAAGAAACCAAACAAACCCACAAGTTTTGTTCACAAAACAAAAACTCCATCTGCGATCACTATAAAAACAACTTTGATTTGATGAAATTTTCTGGGACTCACCGAGCTCGGACCTTCTTAGCTCGGTCCACATGTCTTTTCAAAAGATCAGACTCTGACAAGTGTTTCACAGCTTCTTCATCCTGAAAGCTCATCAAAGAGTTCAATCAAACAACCAAACTTAGCATTACCCTTCACCATTAGCATATATTAGAAAGGAAATCAGAGAAAACACAAAACCTCTTTGTCTTCTTCTTCACCGTTTGGTTCTTCAACTGAATCTTTCGGCGGACTTGTCTCCGTAGTATCCACAGGCAAAGGCTTTGGCAAATACGTCACTGTATCACTTCGCTGCGGCTGTAAACAACGTAATTAATTCTCCAAAGGTACAATGCACTAATCCTTTTTTCAAGAATATACATATAAAAAGATGGAAGTAGAGATTGGTGCTAACCTGAATGCCCTCATGAGCACCATTTCTCAGCCACGATCTACAAAGTGAATATAGAGAAGCTCCCTCCGTTATTCTAACCTGCAAAACAAAATCAAATTTCTATTAAAATCTCCAATGTCAAAGCAATCTGTTTCAAATGATACTGCAAAACCCTTACTATACCTTTCTTTTTCTAACAAGGACCAGTGCCTCGTCCCGGCGTCTAAACAACATGGAAACGAAACGTGAACGTTACTAAGTTTCCGAAGTAGATTGTACTAAACTATGCTTAGTGGGAAGAAGATGGTACCTCGCATTCTTATGCCCACTATTGTCGAGAAGTGAAGTAGGAGGATGAGCAACCTAATCATTAAAAATCCAAACTTTACAAAATATAAACCCACACACAAAGGAGCAAAACAATTTAAACACTGGCTGAGTTGTAAAAAGAGTTTCTAAGAGAATAAGTGTAGATATCAGAATTAGAAGCACATGAAGCAATATTTTGTTTTGTAATCTGATGAAAGAGTTAAAGTTTAAACCTTTGTGTTCATTAAAGATTGTCATTCGAAAATTGAAAAACACAGGTCCATTAAACTACAATCACTAAGTCAAATAAGAATGCCATAAACTCTATCACTTAGCTAAAAGCTTTAACCTTTGAAACAGACAGAGCAAAGCATCAAAGGAATTAACACAAAGAATCAAACTTTTTTCATTTACAAGAACCAACTAACCCGAGGTTGCAAGAAGTGAGGAACTCCCTTCATGTAACCCGACCCGAGATGAGAAGACTGTTGAATCTGAGAATGTGCAGCTCTCATGAACGGAATCATCGGATCCAAATTCGACCCAGATTGTCCTTGTCCTTGTCCATGGTGATATGGGCGAGGAGGAAACCCACCTGGACTACCCACTGGATCAGCCAAGGGACTTGAATTCGGTCTTCCGGGTCGGGTCGGAATCCCTCGACCCGAAGAAGCAAACGGGTATTGAAGACCCGAAGGGTCTTGGTGAGGCTGACGAGGCGAACCGGCAACGGGATGCGACCGCCTGCCCGGTAAGGGTTGCTGGTAGATATTCTGTTGAGGATGGCGTTGAAGCGGAGCTATGGCTCTGTAAGGTGAAGCTGGTGGCGGTTGAGACGTCGGCGTTTTGACTGTGTTAGATTGAGTCACTAGAGTCTCCGGTGCGGTGGCTATAGAACGCGGTACCGCGACGGAGACGGCGGGACTGGGATTGGGATTGGGATCGGGAGTGGACATTTTCCGGCGGACAGATTTTGTGATTTCGCAGAAATTTGGGGAAAGCAAATGAAATGGAAAAAAGATTCAAATTTGGTACCTTTATTTCTTCAAAATGATTGTTTTCTCATGTTCAATTTTGAAATTTTGGTTCGGTTTGGATCCGGTTTAATGTCTGGGTCTAGCTTTCATCACTCTGCTCTTACATTTTTTTTTCAATTAGATATTTTTATCATTTGATGATCTAAAAGCCTGGATCTTGGCTACAGATTCATCATCAATGCGTTATACATTCCGCAAAAACCAGATCTGTAAAGCTTAAACAATGTACATAAACAGTGGATATATTTAGCAGCACAAAAACAGAGGATGTGATCATCATCTACAAAAAGATTTAAGATTCTGTAATGGCAATAAGAAGCTGTTTGTTGTACGAGGAATAGCAATAGAAAAGTGAGTCTTAGAAGCCAGCCCATCCAGCAGGTTGAGCTGTTTTCTGGTTATCTCTCATCTTTGAGTTCCCAAATCTCTGTGGAGTGTTTGCAGAGCTTACAGATCTCTGTGCTGAAGCTGAACCTGAAGATGTTGTAGCAGCTCTGAACGATTCTGTCTCAAAACCCCATGGCTCAAAACTTGCTGGAGCAGGAGCAGAAGAAGCAGATTTACTTTTGGTTCTCACAGACTGATTATTAATGGTATTGTTGTTACCCTTTGATGCAGATTCCACCACCGGTTTCGGTTCATCGCTGAACGGTTGCCATGAATTTGGATCTGAGCTTCCTGTTGACCAATCAGATCTGTCTTGCTGAAGATCCCACACAGTTGCTCCAACCTTATCTCTCTGTTTCAACAACAATAATATGTTAAAAAACTGATGCAATGATCTTAACGCTTAGATTAGCAAGAAATCAAGAAAGTACCGGTGGAGTTGATGACACTGAACGCATCCCTGGAGAGGTTTGATTTTGCAAAAAGTCTCTGCTCGGTGATGATGACGCGGTTTTAGAGGCAAGTGTTTGCTTGAGATCCTGCAACTCTTGCCTCTGCGATCTGCAGATAGCAGAAAGCTTTTCAAACTTGGCCGTAATCTCAGCCTTCTCTGAATTCATTTGCTTCAACTCATCTTTCAACCTCTCTATCTCAGCCTCCAAAGCCTCTTCTTTTGCAGGTTTATTACTACCATTATTATCGAGCTTCGTGGTATCAAAGTCAGCAACAAACGAGTTAAAAGCGTCGTCCTTTGACACTCTTGTCCTGTTATTGGTTGCAGCAGGACTAGAAACTGTAGCTTCAAGATCTTTACTTCTCTGCGTAGCACGAGCCTCTCCTCCTCTCATAGGACTAGGCTTTTTAGGATGGTGACTATCCACACGAACTCTTTCTGATTTAGAAGTGTTACCGTTGTGACTGTTTGGTTCATCAAATACAGGCATGCTTTTGTTGTCTTCTGATACAACAACCGAGGTTTTAGCGTGCTGAGTTGACCAAAAGGCACCGAGCGCTCCTGCACTAGCCGAGTCTCCAGAAGATGGTGGTGGTGGTGGCGGACTTCTACGAGGTGCAGGAGAAGATTTACTTGCTGGTTTTGACAAACCTGCAAAATTTCACAAGGATCAAACAAAACCACATCTTTCTTTGAGAAAGCTATACAAACTTTGGTTTTTCCACACTATACCTTCATTGACTCCAGTAGACTGCATTTCAGGTGGTCGATCGGGTAATGACTTCTGTAAATTAGCAGGAAGCTGCTCGTTGACACGAAACCAAATCTGTAGATTGGAAATGTTTGTTGTTTAGAGACATTAGCAAGTTTTCTTCAAATGAGAACAAAGTTTGCTTTTTTTTTTTGTTTACCTGTGAAATATCTGGTCGTTCATCAGGTGAACCTTGAAGCATGTCTTTAATGAGATCCGTAACGACCGAACTGTATTTTGGCGATTCTGGTATACGATAGTTCCCGTTTAGAATCTGTAGCTTTGATTCTCCATCAAAAGCATTCTTGAAATAACATATCCGAAACAAAAGACATCCAAGAGCCTAAAATATATTGCAAAACAAACAAAAAAAGCTTTAGTATAGACCTCACTGATTAACGATATGGAGAGTGTATTCACATTGACATACCCATATATCGACCTTCTCGCTTATAATCTCCCTTCGAAAGAGATCCCACATCTGATGCCAATAAAGACATGAATCAAACATCTTTTTAACCACTTTTAAAACTCTTATAAATCTGTATAAGAAGAGCATATATCTAGTCAAACCTCAGGAGCTCTATATGTTGGTGTTGTGTATTTTCTAATGTTGTCTTCTTCAATGCCCATCTCTTCTGCTCTTTCGAAGATCTTGTGATTCGTCGAGACGCTTCCAAAGTCGCATAATTTCCAATGTCCATCTGAGCATTGTAGAATATTCTCAGCCTTCAAGTCTCTGTCACACAATTAGCAACACACAACTTACATCTCCTGCTAATGTAAAAGCCGAACGAAATCTAATAACCAGAAGTGTATATACCTGTGAGCAATGCGTGGAGATTGACAATGCATTGCAAAGACAGCGTTACACACATCTCTGAAAACAGCAAGAGCTTGCTTCTCTTCATAGTAACCAGCGCCTCTGTGCTCAAGCACTTCCACAAGAGACTTACCGCAAAACTCCATAGCCAAGAGAGCTTCTTTCTTGTTCCTCCCCATATCCAAGATCCCGTGCGCGTAGAGCGTGACGACATTCGGATGTCCTTTAAGAGATTTCAGAACAGAGATCTCTTTCATCACGAGCTCAAGCGACTCCTCGTCGTTGCATATCATGTGCTTTAAAGCATACTGCTTTGATGGATGATTCGTGTCTTGAGCTAAGTAAACGCTGGAGAAACCTCCTTCGGCGATGATGTTTCTCACATGAACTTTGAGGTTTCCTATTTCCAGAAATCGACCCTCGAGACCCGCAGGCTCTTTCTGAGCAAAAGGTTTGAACTTCCACATGTTTTTTTAATCAGTGGAAGTAATAAGAATGCTGCACAAAACATAAACTTTGTCACTAAACAAAAGCACTAGAGATGCTGCAAATTAGATATTCAAATTAGGCATTCAAATACAAATAATCTGAGAGATGACTCTTTGCTCAAATGTTACAGAGAAAGCTTAAAGCTGAAAGCTTTGAACAGAGCAAGCAGATCAATACACTACAAACGTAAGACCTAAGGAGCTCCAAAATACACAGAAAGGACTACTGAAACAAAGCATTTATAATCTTGAATCGAACTAGATCCTGTAGAGAATCATGGTGAGATACGAAATCAAAGTAGATATTTTGGGAATCCTTGTAAATCTACAGGAATCGAGCTCAAATCCACTTCAGACTGTAGCTTTTGATCAGATTCTAACATCAGACGAATACGATTGAGCATTAAACAAACACTAACGAGTTTCAACGATTAACCGCTAAGACGAAACGGAGAATTCTGAAGATTCCTAGATAATCGAAATCTCACAGGAGAAACAGAGAATCGGGAGATCAATCAAATCCAATCTGAAGACAGGATAAAAATTGTACCTTTGCAAAAACCCAGATGCTGATCAAAGCCGGGAAGAAGCAATCCAATCAGCAAAATTTAATAGTACCCTAAAATCGAAATCACAGTAGCTGCATTAAGATCTGCGTTCGCTTTTGGCGTAGAAAAGAGGAAACTTTAAAAAGGGGAATTTGGAGAGAGAGAAGAAGAAGAAGAAGAAGAAGAAAGCGGCAAATCCGGGAATAGGAAGGAGAGTGAGATAAGAACATTTTTTGGTTTTGTATATAGAAAAAAGCCTAAACCCAAAAAAGACGTGAACCTGAACGTGGACGTGACCCTCCCATTTCCATTTCTTTAAGATTATTTTTCACTTCTATAATTTTTTTTCTTCTTATAAAAAGTTAGTATTTTCTTGACTGACTGTAATGTATTATGAGCACCTAATTTCTTTTTGTTAATGTGTGTGTACATCAGTACATATAAAGTTTGTATTTTGATTTTGCTTAATGTTATATGCGTTACAAGATATATTAATTTATATGGTTTTTGTTGGAAGTTAATGAGATGATATGATCTATGCACTTGTTTGTTTTGCTCTAATTCTAGGATACCCCGATCTTATCATTTCATAGATATATAAATCCAAAAGTCTGGTTAGTTTTTTGTTTGTTTAGGTGCTATCGGATTCTAATTGGAACCGAAGGTGCTATAGTTGAAGAAACGTGAATTATGCTTTGTGGATATGTTCTACGCCAATAGAAAGATGACAATTGCACATTTGCACTATTAAGATAAAGTCAGTAAATGGAGAGGATATATATGATCCGTTTCAAAACTTAAAAGATCCAAATGTTAGGACTGTAGGCGTTTAATTAGTTTATATAGTTTTGAGTCTTTAGGTTTAGCCGTTAAGTCGTTAACACTCAGAAACGTAAGCTGAGGCCTGATGCTGACCATGCGGTTTCAGGATGGTTTACGTCGATTTCAAAAACAACTTGAAGAGACACTTTAAGGATTCTGCCATTATATTAATGGACTACTTCGAGTGTGAGAACTGAGAAGGGGTATAGAATCAGGTTTGGGATCTATTTCGTAGATTTCAAAGATAACACGAAGTAAATGAAAGTATTGTGGTTTGGGATACACATCGTTTCGTATTGTCGCGCGCAGTTATTTAACTGCAAAATATGGTGAAAAGAGGAAAGTAACTGAAATTGACGGATGTGTGCTAGTAAGAAGATTGGAATATTAAAATAGAAAGGCTTTGAGCAAGGTATTAGAATAATCTTTTAAAAGTTAAATGCATTTCGTGATGTGTATTGATGAAAATTACGGATGTGTGCTAGTATAAGACGATTGGAATACCAAAAATACTAAAGTTTTAAGCAAGGTATTAGAATAATCTTTTTCCATTCATTAAAATGCATTTCGTGGTGTGTACTGGACAGTGACACTTGAATTCATAAATTTGATTCATTCAAATTAATATTTCGAAATATTTGTAGAAACCTTAAGGAAATACACATTTCACGTAGTTAGCAAAAAAAGTTATATATATATATATATATACAAGTTTTTATAAGTGTATTGAATGATAATGAATTAATGACGTTGAAATTATAAAGTTTCATTGAGCCGCAAGATCTTAATTCAGTTTTTGTGGATTTAACAAATGATAACCAATTCAAAAAAAAAAAAAAAAAAAAAAACTAGTGTGATTATGTTTGGTACGATTGCGATTTGCTTTTTGAATAATACCAGCTAATTTAGGGTTTCAGAATTTTTAAATTCAGTGTGGGTATATTAAAACGATGGTAAAAAAAAAAAAAAAAAAAAAAAAAAACACAATTATAACCATGCCGCAGTTCAGATCAAACTCGAATCTTTGAATCTAGGGATTGGCCACTTCTTTCTGACATGTCCACGGATACTTTGGACTACATCCCCATGCATGATTTTGAGCGAGTGCTTCATAGCTGATCATAGCATCTTCTGCATTGGTCTTGATTGTTGCAAGAGTAAAGAACACCATTACAAGAGCCATGTATACAATTACAGCCTTAATCATTTTCTTAGACATACCCATATCTTCTTCCTTTTTTTATTGAATTAAGATAAGAAATAACTCGAATTTATCTATAAAAAAAGACTGAGATTGTTGTGTGAGAAAAACATGAAGGAATAATTGAACCTTTAAATAATATATGAGACTGACAAAATTGTTATGTTTCTTTCTATTTTTGGCATACAGATTTGGTGTATCCTTCTAAAATATTGATATTAGTTTAGAAATTAGTTTCACGTCTTAAGAAATATCGAAAGATTATAAGGATTTTGTTATTATTGCAACAAACTAATCGATGAATCAGTTGAAGAAAACTGAATCACTTTAACCCAGAAAAATATTGGACAGCCTATTTCCGACTGTTACAAAACTAATAAGCTGTCAACTACAGCCAAGTTTTAAGATTTTCATTTATTTTTTGGTTCGATTCGAGTTCATTATTCGATTTCAGGTTAAGTGACGTATATATATTGCTAAATATAGGCTATGTATGAAATAGTTGTTTTATGCAAAAAAGGAAAGAACAACGGTCTCTTTACTTTTTCACACTACGTAATTAAAGCGTATGATGAGTACAACGTACGGTACTAGTATAACTTATCCTATAGCCAAACCAAAGATGTCCCACAAAACATGAGTGTAACTCAAGTAAAATCACGAATTCCTTTTTACTTAATACAGTAGTTGAAGCTTCCTGTCTATAAATAGAAGACCATACCAAAACATTTGAAACATTCACAAGAAAACCACTCATACATATAATGGCTACTACTACACGTACTCTCACTCTTTTCCTAGGGCTCTTAGCCCTAATGAGCACCCTTTGCTTCATCGCCGAAGCTAGGCCTCAACCAAGTGATGATGATGATGATTTCGGTACCATCATTGGACCTCACACAAGAGACGAGGACGATTTTGGCACCTTGATTGGACCGAATGTGAACGAAAACACGACCATCATCGCTTTACCGCACCCCAACCTAGATGATGATGATTTTGGCACCATCATTGGACCCGATTTTGAGGTCCACAAGAGAGATTTCCCAAAAGATTTCATCTTTGGAACCTCGGTTTCCGCATATCAGGTCAATACGCGTATAGTATTATACACATTATATTCACATACAATAAAACTAAAGTAAAATTTCTTATTATTTTGGAATTTGTTTGAGTTTTAGGTTGAAGGTGCTAAAAAGGGATCTGGGAGAGGCATGACAACATGGGATGAATTTACACACATGTTTCCTGGTATATATTACTTTTTTTCTTCTATTGATGAAGTGATTCTTAATTTGGACAAACTAAAATTAGAAAGAACGAACATGCAAGCCAATATATATGGTCTATATTCTACCATCGGATATGTACTAGAAATGACTATAGTTGAAATTCTTGATATTGATTTCTCTTTGTTTGAAAACTTAACTAATCCCTTTTATGTTATTGTTGGTTATAAAACCCCAATTCATTTACCAATATTTTTCTTTAAAAAAAATATATAATTGATATTGTATCTTTCAGACAAGATTGAACAACGTAGTGATGGAGATGAGGCAACGGACTTCTATACCCGTTACAAGGTACGTTATTCTTTAGACAATGGGATTGAGAATAAAATAACTTTTTTGGGTTGCAAAATCCATCAAATGGTAGTTTATATATATTTTATATGTATTGAAAAGATTGTGCGGAATGTGATATTGTAGACGGATGTACAATTAATGAAGAAGCTGAAAACAAATGGATTCAGATTTTCAATCTCTTGGACTAGAGTATTGCCTTGTAAGTCCATTACATTTTGTCCTTGTTCTTAAATAATAAAACCACATATTATTTCTAACCTAAATCTAGTGCAAAAGAGTATTAAATCTTATAATATATATTTTTTTTTTTAAAAACTCATGTGTGTGTATTTTATATCAAATTTCAGATGGAACTGGGAAAGTAAACGAGGCGGGGGTACAGTTCTACCATGATCTTATAAAGGAACTTATTGACAATGGTTCAACATCTTATTACTTTTACTCTATATATAAACACAAACACAGTCATGAATTTTTTAACCTAATAATTCCAACATGTCAATATAGTAACAGTAATTTTATTCATTTGATAATAATTGACAGACATTGAGCCAGCAGTTACTCTATTTCACTGGGAGTCTCCTCTTGCTCTAGAAATGAAGTATGGGGGTTTTCTAGACGAAAGAATTGTGTAAGTAAATTCATCGTTTACAGGAATTGATGAATTTCTTATAAAAAAAAAAAAACTAATACATTTTTGATGCTAACAAATGAATGTAGAGAGGATTTCCGGCAGTTTGCGAAACTATGCTTTGACAGATTTGGAGATAAGGTGAAGAACTGGGCCACATTCAACGAACCAACAGTATATAGTGTTGCGGGTTACTCGATAGGTAAGAAAGCACCAGGACGTTGCTCTGGATGGGGACCCCTTAAATGTTCCGCAGGAGATTCGTCCGAAGAGCCTTACAGAGTTGGTCGCCACCAAATTCTTGCTCATCATGCTGCTGTTGAAGAATTCCGAAAATGTGAAAAGGTTTGTGTTAGAAATTTCGATATATTTGTAATCTCCTAAAACCCTAAATATGTATAATTTTCCGAGTATTTAATTTTTACGTTACAATATATAGTGCCAAGAGAATAGAGGTAAGATTGGAATAGTGTTGGTATCTCACTGGTTTGAACCTAAAGATCCAAATTCGAGTAAAGATGTCGCGGCAGCAAGACGATCACTTGAGTATCTACTTGGTTGGTGAGTTTTTTATTTTATGTTTTGTTACATAATATTTCTCGTCTAGATTGATGTTCATGAGTAATAAAAATAACGTTCGATTATATATAAGTTGTGATGTTTTATTTCGAACTACGAATGGGCAGGTTTCTCCGCCCTCTCGTATATGGACAGTATCCAAAGGATATGCTACAAGAAATCGACCCCAGGCGATTAAAACCATTCTCTCCAGAAGAATCTAAGAAATTGAAAGGATCTTTGGATTTCGTTGGATTGAATTACTATGGAACATTTTTCTCTACCCCACTCGCCAATGTCAATTCATCGCAGATTAGTTATATGTCCGACATGCGTGTAAACTGGACAGGTAATGTCACAATATAACCTTAATTAATCCCTTTCAAGAAAATTCTTGCAAAATGAAATGATGTGTTCTCTTAATAAGTTATTGCATTAAATAACATCAATTTCATTATTCAAGATATATAGTGATATACTGATATGTATCGTTGCTTTCTTTTTGGTTGGTGCAGATCAGCAGAACCATTCACCACATCTCAAGGTACTCCGGAGAGCTCCTCTTTCTAAAACATGTGTGCATGTATCTTGATTAGTTTAACTTAATTTTGAATAAAATTAGGAAATATGGATGACATTTTATTTTAAAAACAAAACTGATCAACTTACCATATTCGCCAAATGCGTATTAAGTAATTCAACCTATATGTTGTTTAATTAATCTGCAGTCAACATCAGGGGGCCTAGTGATATATCCATTGGGTTTGATGAATCTCTTGAAACATATCAAAGACGAATACATGAATCCAGAAATTTACATTATGGAGAATGGTAACCAAATTAACATTATACTCATATATACATTATGTGTGAGTCAGTGAGTGAGTAATTAGTATGATCATAAGATGTTTTTTGGTAAATTTAATCGGTAGGTCTGGGGGAGATCGACGATGGGAGTACAAACGTAACGGAAGCCCTAAACGACTACGGGAGAAAAGAGTTCATCAAGAGTCACATCTTAGTCATGGGAAAAGCCATCAGGTATATATATATATATATATATATATACTACTAACTAATACTTTTACTTTAGTTTTACAATAGCAAACTAGCAAAGGCCTACGTACATATCTTTAAAGTGTTTCAGTTATGGTCTTTCCTCTTACATTTTCTATATGATGCAACAATATAAATATGATGGGTTGTTCGCAGGATGCACAATGTGAGGTTGAAGGGTTACTACATTTGGTCGTTAATGGACAACTTCGAGTGGGAGAGAGGGTATAAAATGAGGTTTGGGCTCTATTACGTAGATTTCAAAGATAACATGAAACGACATATGAGGTCATCTGGGAAATGGCTAAGCGAGTTTCTTGACTCGAAAGAGACTCTCAGTAAATGCCACTTCGAGAGCTATCGGTCGAAAGGATACGCTCCTAAGCTGTCTGACAGAGAGATTACTGAACCTGATAACTGGCGTTTAAAATACACGAGCGATTATATGGATAAAGTGGTGGAAATATGATACGATCATCGTTCTACTCTTTTTGAGTATAGCCAAGCCTCAGCTACATCATATATCTTTTAATATATAGTGTGTTCAGAATAAGAGAATAAGATCGATGGTCATATATGTATATGGTTTTTTTTTTTTTTTTTAATTATGTGTGTGTTCTCATCAATGTGTGTTGTATATAAGCACATATTAATAATGAATAAAACTACAACCGAATGTTTATTTCAAGTATACATGTACGTACTTAGCAGCTTCCTCCATGACAAAGGATTCGGTTGAATGTTATCGTGGAAGACAATAAGAGCAACCGATTAAATCCGTCAACTCTTGTTTTACTTTTGTATAAACTTGCATGATATATAAACACACATCAGGATAAATATAAAAATATAGAACAATAGATAGATCAGGAGGTATTTATTCTTGTGTGGTCTCTAGATCGAATCCATTGATATGCGCATCAGAGAAACTCGCTAGTGGAGAGGAATAAGAACTCAACACCAACATAAATCTCATCGTTCACCAGATATCCGTTTGAAGCATTGTGGAGTTCCTCCAGCGGCAGCATCTTATAACGGCCACAGCGGCTATATATTGGAGGAAAATCGACACATTCGACACCTTTTTCAAACAACTAGAGATTAAAATTAGCAATGCATGTATATTAAATTATTAATGAAAAGCTTAGCTAGAAAAAGAAAGGAGAAATTAATAAAAAGAGCCTCCAAAGACATAATGAATACATAAAGAGACTCCAGACTTTAGATATTTTCGTTTGACACCCCCAAAAGTTTGAAAATAACCTTTTTCTGGACTATTTAAAAAAATACAGGAAGGACAACATTCCTAAAGGATTAGAACTTTAGAAGGAGTAGATTCCCACACTGAAATCAATATATAGATCCGATCATATCTAACACGAACCATATCCTCCGGTTCCTATATTCCACGAGCACTATACACACTACAAGAAAACATTTTAGATTATCACGGAATTTCTCACCAAAATATTGGTGGAAGAAAAATAACCCACCGAATTTTCACAATTTTTTTACCAATTTCTCACCGTAAAAAAAGTAATATGAAATCTGGCGAAAAGGCCGTCAATAGTAGGTGGAAACTATTTTAAACTTGTAAAAATGGTTTGTCGTGATAGCCTTTTATCTATTCCGTCAAAAAATGATGAAAACTTTGTTACCAATTTTTTAACCAAAAACACTTATTTTTTTAATTAAATGTAAAATTTATTCAGACGAAAAAAGTCTTTATGTTAGTGCGACATGAGTTCGAGTTTTTGAACAATAATTATGAAAAATAATAGTAACAGATTGTGAAAGAGATTATGCTCGCATAACGAACTGACTTGATCAGCATACCAGATCCTTCAACATTGAAAAAATAGGTTAAGGAGAAACTGCATGACGTGATCAGCGGATATTCTTAGGCGGTAAGTGTTTTGGCTGCTTTAGAATGTTGGTTGAGAGAAAAAAATCTTTGAAGAAATATTTCTGATCCTCTTATATGATATGAAGTATCTAGACATGGGTATTTCAAGAACATCAGATTATATAGTTGGTTAATAATGCGGGTATAATAACACGATGGTATTAAAAAAACATAAAACATTAGAAAACATATTATAACCATGTCGCAGTTCAGATCAAATTCGCATCTTTCAATCTAGGGATTGGCCACTTCTTTCTGACATGTCCATGGATACTTTGGATTACATCCCCATGCATGATTTGTAGCGAGTGCTTCATAGCTGATCACATCGTCTGCATTGGTCTTGATTATTGCAAGAGTGAAGAACACCACTACAAGAGCCATGTATACGATAACAACCTTAGTTAAATTTTTAGACATAGCCATATCTTTATTTTTTAGATAAGAAATAGAAATAACTCGAACTTATCTATAGAAAAGACAGAGATTGTAGTGAGAAAAAACATGAAGGAACTATCCAAGCTTTAAATAATATAGGAGATGGTGACAAAATTGTTATGTTTCTTCCTATTTTTTGCATACAGATTTGGTGTATCCTTCTAAAATATTGATATTAGTTTCACGTCTTAAGAAATATCGAAAGATGATAAGGATTTTGTTATTGTTGCAACAAAATAATCGATGAACAGTTGAAGAAAAGTTACAAAACTAATAAGCTGTCAACTACAGCCAAATAATGTTTTCATGACTCATACATATAGTTAGTTTCTTGTTAGTAATTCCAAAAATAAAAATACTATTTTTCAAGAATATATATATATATATATATGTGTGTGTGTGTGTGTGAGAGAGAAATTAGTTTTAAATACAAACGTAAAAATATTGACATTACTTATGGTAATGTAGATACCAAAACCAAGACCAACTTTTTTAGTTCAAACTTAATTTGAATACATTTCCATTAAAATGTTATTTCCGGAAAACTTAGTTCAAACTTAATTATGACTGTTGTTTCCGGTGATTATAAGGTCGTCGTCTCTGGTGTGAATTATCAGCTTATGGTGGCGGCTAATGACAGCATAGCCGGCGCGAACAAAACCTACGAGACAATTGTATGGGAGAAGTTGTGCTGAAATCAATGTATTTCACAGTTCTTTCAAGCCCATTTTTATTAATGATCGCTTCATGTGATGAGTTTACAAGTAACCAAACTTTTATATATAGCAGATAAGTTATTTATAATAAGTGAAGGTATATTCATTACTATCTGGTTTTTGAATTTTTATATATGGTAGGTAGATAAGTTCCTCAGGAGGTATATATTCTTGTGTGGTCTTGATCGAACCCATTGATATGCACATCAGAGGTACTCGCTAGTGGAGAGGAATAAGAACTCAACACCAACATAAAGCTCATCGTTCACCAGATACCCGTTTGAAGCATTGTAGAGTTCCTCCAGCGGCAGCATCTTAGAGAAGCCCCAGTGGCGGCTATTGGAGGAAAACCGACATTCGGCTCCTTTATCAACCATGAAGAGATTAAAATTAGCAAACGGCTTATATATATCAATATATGCATGCATACATATAACGGAAAACTTAGAAAAATAAACTCAGTTTATATACTAAATTCACGGTGGTTGCGTTTGGGACGTTGGTCCAACACTCGCAGTTTATAGATGGCTGTTGTTGCTTCCTTTGGAACATCGGTCACGTAATCAGACACATGCAAAAACAAAGATATCGAATTTCCTGCCCCATCCGAGATTCCTTTTGGGTACATCACTAGGTACCTGAATGAAACGGAACATAAGTATATATGTATAAGATAAATTTCTTAATACAAGTATGTAATACAAGTTTGGGCACTGAAATATTGTAAGACTTACTTACTTCATATTCTAAACTCATTACCCCTACAATAATTTACTGTTATAAATTTATAATGTACAGATGATTTATGAGTCAGTTTAGAATAACTTTTTTTTTTTTTTTTAAATTTGTGTCTATTCAACCAAAACATATTGTAAACTGAAAACGAGGAGATATAATATTTGCACAGTACCATATCCGTGGTCCAACAGTGAACTCGTGAGACGAATGATGTTCACCATTGAAGGAGGAAAACTCAGAGATCTTCCAGGTGAATTTAGAGTTGTTCCGAGACACCTCCGTCAGTTTAAGGCGTTCCGCTGTCCCCATGTTTCTAGAGACACCGTTAACATGGAGGAACTTTGGTTTGACTTCGGTGATCTCAGCACTGAAAACCGTTCTATCGTTCACAAGAAACCCATCCTTCTTCAACACCTCGTGTGTGATGAAGTTGTTATGCCCCCAAGAATCTTGTTTTGCATTGAAAGCGAACGTAAACGCTGATAAAAAAAACATATATGACAGTATCAAAACAACTAAGGAATCATCACTAATTAATCATTCTTGTGGGAAAAAAATTATTTGTACGTTTGCATAAATCATGTCCTGTCTGAGAGACTAGGCTGAGTTTGAAACTGCATGTGACTTCCCAATTAGGCCCGACACACCGGCTATCAGTGATCCATAGATAAAATGATATGCTACCCTTTACCGTATCTGAGCGGACAATCAACTTCCTATATCGCCAATTTCAAGCCAACAAGAAAAAAACACATATTAATTAGGTTACATTACATTATTGAAGAACCGTGTTGTGGAACCAGATCGAATGACTCACCATTTGAGATCAGAAGCATAGAAATCCAATGAATCACACCTTTTAAAATGTTCAGACATTAGCTTAGACATTCCATCAATCAACATGAAGTGAGCGTTGCTGCTCTTCTTTGCCCGATCTTTGATGGTGCCTAGATAGAATACATGCAGATGAGCAAGCATATAAATGAGCTAGAAAGTATATGTATGCATGGATTATGTATATATAAGTAAAATGAACCTTCAAGTGACATTAGACCCATTTTGAAGATGGTGATTGTCTTAACTACCGTGTACGTAGTAGCGTTTTTTAATATATATATATACTGTGTTGATTTATTTGTATTGGGAGTGAGAAGAGATTGTTAGGTATGTCTGTATATATAGGCAAATGCCTTGACAAAGGGGTTTCAATTAAGATTTAACCGAACCGGTTAATAGATTATTTTCTATAAGAAAACAAAAATAGATTTGACGTGTGACTGGTAAAGGGCCACAGGAATTTCTATAGTTTTCCCTTTTGAAAGCATCTGTACAGTACATTTTTTCTACCAAGTCTTATTAAAAACTCATAATATAGCTTATTTTTTACATTTGTGGTATAAAAAACGATGAATACATAACTTATTTGCTTGTTCACGTTTTGTTTTGTTTTCCTAAAGTAGTTATTTTAAGAATCTAGATGTTGTAGGATACTAAACATTTTACCAGACTAATTTCTATTGAAAAATATCTACTGACACTTCATAACAATCGGATTCTATGATTCTACTGACAAATCAACTAAGATACAATACAGTTAATCTATAATCTTATTCTTATCAGTTTTCAGGAGTCGACCATCAAATAAACTTTCCATTTGTTTGTTCATGAATTATTTTACTCAAATTTTTCTTCATGGTTAGAATTTCTGGTTGATACAGTATACAGATCTACTTCGAAGCTGTTTGGGGTTGGCTTTAGCCAAGATTTTTCCTCTCGTAAATGATCTATCAAGGCCGATACAAATTTGTATGGTCCAGTTGATTAAGAATATATTCATTTGGTAAATGTACTCCCTACGAGACATCACCTAACCTATTATTATTATTATTATTATTATTATTATTATTATTATTATTATTATTATTATTATTATTATTATTATTATTTGTTTTATTTTGATTATTTTTTAGCATAGAATTATTTTTTATTCAATATTCAAAAGTATCGGACAATTGACTGAATAGTTTCTGGATCGGGACCATAAACATGTTAAGTTATGAGTTATGACTATTATTAGTTTTGTGTTTTGATACGTATATCTCCCGCTATGTTACATGTTCTGATGTTGCTTGGTTTGTGGTAATACCACATTAATAGTCTACAAAATTCAACCTAAAGAGCATAACTGAAGGATTATAAGGAGTAGATTCCCACAATGCAATCAATAGATTCGATCATATCCAACACGAACCATATCCTCCGGGCCCTATATTCCACAATCACTCTAGCTATATGTATCTTTATATTTGCTTCCACAAGAACTTTATTTATTCCTACGTTATCGATAGTCTAACAAAAATGGCGTAACATTCCTATGATGACTTAGTGGCATTGCTTTTAATCATTTGTAGTGTTTAAGGGGTTCGACCCAGTCTTCTCCATGTGAGAGTGAGAGTGAGATCAAATAGGGCAAACAAAGAACGAAGAGTTATATTTAGCGAAATTAATTAGTATCGGACGTCTTGTTTATTTGAGACAAAAAATTACCATTATCCCCAAATTATAAATTTATAGGCCAGTCCTAGTCTGGTTTCCGACGGACGAATTTGTATTTTTTATAACGAACGCCATTAACACTCATTATCGACAAAAATCAGATAAATATATTTAATTAAGGGGAAAAGGAAAATAAAATTTAAATTAAGAACAAAAAAAACAGAAGAATCGACCCAAAAATTAAACAAAAAAAATCGAGAAAGAAACTTGAGAAAATGAAATTAAAACGAAAAAGTATAAATATATCGCCCTATATTATATAATTAAATGATGAATCATGATCAAGCATATATCCTCATCTTGTTGATGACTTTGTAAACATCATCCACGTCATCGTCGTCGTCATCTTTGACCTCCTCCACACACCGCTCATTATCGTCCCGGAGACTGCCCTCGCCGCCACATCCTCCTTTGCTGACTTCAGCAGCAGCGTACTCGACTCTCATGAAGAAATTGCATAAGAGGAATGTTAAGAGGCAACAGATGATAAACTCTCTAGATGCAGCCATGGATCAGACACTTTCTCGCTCTTTTTCTCTCTTGTCTGAAATACAATAGATTAGTCGAACTACTTCAAGAAGCTTTGGTTATTTTCTTTCTTGTGTTCTGTTGTTATGTTTTTCTCGAACAGTGCTGCTTATATAAGAAATGGATATTACTATTAATGGAAGAAAGAGTGTTCTTTGCGCTGGTCTTAAGGCTAAGTAACTGTTGCAGTATTTTTAATTTTTTTCTTTTCTTGCAAATAATCTATTTCTTATCAGAAAAAACGGCAAGTAATATATACATGCAGATACACAGCAGCAATGTGATAATGGTTATGGTACGTAACTACGTATAAATTATTTCTCTACCAAAATGAAAGAAGAAAAAAACAAAACTATGTTTGTGACGAAGACTTGGGCCTTGGGTTTAACGTTCTATTTTTTAAGGCCCAATTTGAAAATCAAATGAGAATCGCCATGTCCAACAAGGTCCAGTGTCTCCGCCATATCTTTCAGCGCGAATTTCTGTGATCGGAACGCATCTCCTCCTCCGACGACCACCGTCCCTCCGTCATGCCGGAGATTGACGCGTTGTTTGAATCGATCAATGTCCGGGACCTTCTCGCCGGACACGATCTCAACGATCCGACGACTCCATTATCGGCGCCGGATCTCCGTCTCCTCATAAACCGCTTGGAGTCTCATTCCCTGCGGATCAAGTCCAAAGTTCAGTCCTACCTCGTCGCCCACCACTCTGAATTCTCGGAGCTCTTCTCAACCTGTCAAGACGCCGTCTCGAGGACTCGCCTGATCTCCGACGACGTCTCCGATGTCCTGCAATTGATATCCGACCGTCCGATTGATGTTGAGATTCGCAGTGTAGTTGATGAGATAACCGAGAAGACGAAAGAGGTGAAATTGAAGAGAGAATCGCTCGATTTAGTGAGTGCGATCGTCGGAATCTGCGAGGCATTGCAGGAAACGAAGGAAGCTCTGAAAGGCGGACGTTTCAGATTCGCCGCTGAGAGAATCAGAGAACTGAAAGTCGTGTTGAGGATTGGTGAAGAGGAAGAAGGAGAGCCTTTGGCCTACAGTTTGCTTAGGAAAGAGTGGTCCGATTGCTTTGACGAGGTGAGTCTAAGCTCAGTGTCTTCAGACGTCAAAATTGCATCTGCATTTGAATTCTCCTGAGTATCATAAAAATTGATTTTTTTTCTTCTGACTTCATCAAGAGATGTCTCTGTGATTGCAGATTCAAGAGGTGCTTGCAAAGTTCATGGAAAGTGCAGTGCGTTTCAAGCTGGACTCGCGTAAGCTTAGGATTAATTATCAGCTAAGCGTTGGTGAGACTACTGGAATCGCTCTAAGTACTGTTCTCGAGGCAATGGAGGTATGTAACTTCTATATCTAGCGAATTCTTTTTCTCTATATGAATCGTTTGTTTTTAGGGTATTTGAGTTTTTGACTGTTATGGAATTTTTCTAGGTGATTGGAATGTTAGATTATGGGCTTGCAAAAGCAGCTGACTCAATCTTCAAGCATGTCATTACCCCAGCTGTAACTCATGCATCTTCCTTTGCCGCTGTAGAAGATTCAAGTAAAACCTCAGGGGAAATAACCGAAGCGATTTTAAAGCTAGATCAATCCTCAGATCATAAGGTAGCTATTTCTATAGTAGAGATATCCATCTCAAGTCTTTCTTCTTCTCTATGTCCTTCTCGTATTTTCTGCATTGGTCCTTGTCTTCTAATCCTCTAACTGCTTACCTTCTTAAATGCAGATTGAAGATGTGGATGGAGAGGCAATCTATTCAGGAATTCTCAAGGTTGTTAAGTTCATTTGTAGTTCCTTGTGCTTTGGAAACGTTACATGGATCCATTCATTCGGGAGGTTGACATGGCCGAGGATATCAGAGCTGATTATTTCTAAGTTTCTGTCAAAGGTTCGTTTTTATAACTCTTAAGGCTGCAAGTTCATGATGAAATTTCTTTGGTAGAGAGAAGAGTCACTCTTCTCCTTTGAACTTCATCCATAGGTTGTTAAAAGCTTGTTGTTCCCTTTTGAGTTCAGGTTGTTCCAGAAGATGCTTCAAAACTTGCTGACTTTCAGAAAATTATTGAGCGGACCTCTCAATTTGAAACAGCTCTGAAGGAATTGAATTTTGTTTCGCCATCTGATGCGGAGGGAAGGCTCAGCAAATACGCTGAAGATGTTGAGGTTCATTTTGCGTCTAGAAAGAAGATAGAAATTCTAGCAAAAGCAAGAAATTTTCTGTTGCAGTGTAACTTTACGCTTCCCCAGGTGAGCTTTGATTGCCGTCATATTAATTAACCGCAATAACCTTCTCACGTTGAAGATCATGATTGTGAAATCCTTTTTTCAGGAGCTTGCTATGAGGAATTCCAGTTTTAAGTCTGATGGTGTGGATGTGAATTCTTCCAAGCACATGGTTCGCTTACTTTTTACATCTGAAATGTGTGTGGTGTCTGAAGCTGCTTCTCAACTTATGCAGTTGGTGCATAAGACTCTCGAGGTGGCTCTTTTTCGGAATTGTGCAGTTTAATATTAGACATGGTTTGGGATAGTAAAACTCATATTTCCTACAGGATGTTTGCGTGTCTTCTGCAAGGGTTGCTTCAGAGTTCTACCACGCTGCTCGAGATTCTATACTTTTATATGAAGCTGTTGTTCCCGTCAAGGTCAGTGAAAGAAACGTTTCAAAGAAGATCCATAATTGAATCATCACATGAAAATATTTCACAAAGTCTTATCTTTCTTCTTCCTTACTCTCTCGAAATGTGAAGTTAGGGAAACAACTCAATGGCATCAATCAGGCTGCTGTTCTTCTGCACAACGATTGTCTATATTTGTTCGAAGAGATACTTGGACTTGCTTTTGAGGTATGGACAGATATGTATTTTATTGCAAATTAAACCGCTGTTTTGAATTTTCTTTCTTCGACTGTATTTTCTTCTCTGACTATATCATCATTATTGTTCGCAGTATCGTAGTAGCTTCCCAAGCTCCATCAAGGAATATGCAGTATTTGCTGACGTAGCCCCAAGATTTAAATTGATGGCAGAAGAAGTTTTACAGAGACAAGTTCAGCTAGTAATGTCGAGTTTACAAGAGGTTAATTTCAAAGGAAAAGTAGTATCATGTGAAGTTTAAAGAACATCGATGCCTCATCTAACATTTTACATCTATCATCAGGCTATAGACGGTGCAGATGGGTTTCAGGATACTCATCAAATGAAGGAATTCGAATCGGCAAAGTTTAGCATTGAGCAGGTAAGTGCTCAGTCTTGAATTTCTCTGTTCTTTTTTTACCTTCTTTCCTATTAAGTGACAGCTTTATCAGGAAAATGGAACTGTTTTATAGGTTGTCTTTAGTCTAGAGAAAGTGCATATGATATGGGAGCCGGTCTTACGGCCCAAAACTTACAAGCAAAGCATGTGCGTAGTTTTGGAGTCGGTTTTTCGCAGAATAACCAGAGACATTCTTCTTCTAGATGACATGGCTGCTGATGAAACTTTTCAGGTAAATGTTTTTCGTCTTTGCTAGTCCCTTGTGCAATGGTACTTTAAAATTGGCTGTTAAAAACGGGTTTTGCTTATTCTCAGCTGCAAAGACTGATTCATCTCATGTTGGAGAATCTATCCTCTTTACTCGGTTCCCTGAAATCTGCAGACGACACTTCTCGCCCTCTTGATGATCTCATACCATCTTTGCGCAAAACCCGAAAACTAGCAGGCATGCATTTTTCTATTCTCTTTTTCCCCTCAGTTTAACGCTGAAGTCGGGATTAGCTTCTTACCATGGTTTTGTCTTTGTTTATTATTTTCCAGAACTATTGGATATGCCTCTTAAGTCTATAACTTCGGCTTGGGAAAGTGGAGAGTTGTTTAGCTGCAATTTTACTAGAACTGAGGTACAATTCTTTTCGCAGTTTGCTCTATCTTCTCTGGATATAGGCAAATTCTGTTAGGTTGGATATTTCCAATGATTATTGCTTGTGGGAGATTCTGAAAGCTTTGTAATGATACTTGTTGCAGGTACAAGATTTCATCAAGGCCATATTTGCAGATTCACCGTTGAGAAAAGAATGCTTATGGAGGATAGACGACTTTAGCCAGTAGCAGGAAATGGTAAAAACTTAAATCTGAGAAGAAGCAAACTGAGCCCTGTTGGCAGAAGAGCCATGAGGTACAAGAGCTTGTATCATCAACACTGTGTGAGAATACATGCAAGAGAGCTTTAGCTGATGAGTTCTCAAGCTTTAGGTGCAAAAGCATATCCCAGATTTTGTTGTACATGATTTTACATTTGTCACATAGATTTAGGAAGGAATGAACAGTTTTTTTAAATGTTAGAAGATATTTTTATTTTGATTTAACCAATCGGTTTACAGGTTTAAATGATGAAAGCAATCGATTTATGAAATTTTGGTTTTAGTTTCGATTTCTCGGTTCAGTTTTTTCCGGACCTCTTGGTGGACTGAATTATATAGACGAAACTCCCCAAAGAAACTCTGATTATGTGTCTATCTAAAATCAAAATCCAGAAATGTCGTGAAGTCCATGTATGATGATGGTTCCCGTCTCTTCAAGTGCTCTTACTTTCTTTTGGCAATATAAAACATTCAACGGTTCAGATCTAAAAGTAGCAACATCAGGTTTCTTCACAGCTCATCCTTGGTACCAACATTAACACCATCATCACCTCCCATGAGCTCGTCAAGTGAGAATTCATCTTCCTCGATCACTTCCCCGTCTTTACCGTCCCACGGTTTCGTCTTCACGATCCCTGGTGTTCCGTTCATAGGCAAGTTTCCTCTTCCACCGGCCCCAGCATCCTTCACAAATTCTCTGATATAACACAAACAAAGGTTACATTGTTATCTAAGAGCGAATAATCACCCAGCGCAATCTGAAACCATTGTTGATCTGATATCTCTAGTTGAACAAAACTTACAAGAGGTGTTGAAGCTCAAATGCGCTTTTAAGAGGAGCATATACTCCTTTCTTCACATTCATCGCCACCATTGCTGGATAGCCGTATCCTCCCACGTTAACCCGCTTCTCCAAATCCGGCTGAGTTACAGCAGCCGCCCACACAAAACTGCAGTACAATATTAAATCATACATGAGATTCTCATTCTGAAATCAAGAATGATGCAGCAGAGAGAGAGAGAGAGAGAAAAAGAATCTTTATTAGTATACCTGTAAGGATGCTTCTTAAATTTCTCTGCAACTGATAACAACATCTCGAGGTACTTATTCCTTCCTTCAGCCTTGGAGTCGAGAATGTCCGGTAAGAAAGAGATGAAGCAAATAGCAGCAGAACCACACTTCTTTTCCATGACATCCTATACAATCACCATAGAACAATTGTCAACGTCTTGGGTTTTGGATTGAGGACCATCTAAAAGAGAAAGTAAGTGGTTTGAAAAACGATACCGGCTCAGTTAGTTCAGTTACTTCAACAGGCCCAGCACTAGATTCCACGAGTTCTGTGGCAAAAGATTCTATTGCTGACGCAGATCTAGCACCCTCGTAAGCATATGGGCTGCTTTTGTCTGCCCCAAATACCATAATTGTAGGGAATCCTTGCACTTTGAATCTGCTCATTATCGACTGCAATGTATAACAATCTTGGGTCATAACTCAGCACCAGTAAAATGAATACAAGGTTTTGATACAAGCAAACGGGTAAAGACTAGGCAAACGTTAATGGTAAAATTCCCAAGAAACCACTAGAATGCTAAGACGGGAGAGAGTCCATGGAGACTAGGCATTTCTAGTAATTACCTGCTCAACATCGCAATTGACATGACCTAACTTCACCTTCCCCTTCAAGTTTTTAGCAGCCTTTTTCCACTCCGGGGCAAGCTTTTTGCAGTGTCCACACCTTATGGAAAAAAAGGAAGAAAAAAACGATGGTTTTCCACCTTCAGATGTACCGAGAGAAGTTTAAAGGCATGAACAGTTCATTGATTGAATAAGCACAAACTTACCAAGGTGCAAAAAACTCAACGATCCAGAGATCATTGCTTTTAGTGACCAACTCATCAAAATTGCCCGAGTTAAGTTCCGTAGACGCACTAGCCTCAGATTTCTTTCCATTAGATCCTCCTCCATTTGGTTTACTTTTCCCTTCCAAACGGTCACTCACAAGACCCTTAATCTGAGGGGCAAATAACACCAATCAGCTTAAGTACATAACCACGAGTTTGATATAAAAAGTAAGTAGTTAAGAATCATAACAAACCTGCTTATAAGCAAAGTTAGCAATGGATTTGGCATCTCGTTCTCCATTGTAATCAACTGGAGGTTTTCCAGGAACAAAGACCTTAATGGTTGGGAAGCCCTTAATTCCATAATCCTGTGACCAGAGAGTACATTGTAGTGAGTAAAAAAAAATCAGAAGCTTTATAAATAAGATGACTCCAAAAAATATAACATGAGAAACCTGAGCAGCAGACTGGTGAGCGTCTGCATCAATTGCTGCAACTGTAGCAACACCTTTCAGAATATTAGCCACTTTCTCCCATGTTGGTGTTAGAGCTTTACAGTGACCACACCATGGTGCAAAGAACTCTACCAAAACGACTCCATTTGAATTCAGAACCTGCACCAATGAAAATGTTAAGCACACACTAACGCAGCTTCACACTGATTCCTCATTTAGTTAACAAATTGGACGAAATAGCATCATACGAGTATGAATCACGAATACTAGACCGGATCTATCATCTATGCACTGCTAAAAAGAGTGAAATGAGAACGAAAACATCACCAGAACGAGATCAGAGAGGACGACTCGCATAATCTTATTAAACACGAACAATAGATTGAATCGGAATCAATCATGTAAAGTACCGATTCCACCTAAAGACGAAATCGATTAGAGTCATACCTTGGATTTGAAGTTTGTAGCAGTGAGCTGAACCACAGGAGACGAAGATCCGTACAGAGCACTGCCCAGATTGAAGAATCCGAAAAGTAGAGACAGAAGCGTGAGCAACGTTAATGGTGATTTGTACATTTTTTCTCTTCCTCCTTTTCTCTTCTCTCACTTTCTCTCTAAGATTGTATCACTCTCTTTCTCTCTCGCGATCCTGCGAAAGTGCGAAGCAGCAGAATTAAGAACACAGGCTCCATGGAGTTACGTAGGTTGACCAATCATACCGTGACACATCAGCATTAGAAAGCCAAAGTTTCTTCGTTGACCTTTCTTGGTAAAGCCTCTGGCCTAGAGAGAGGGACTCTATTTGTGTTAAACTTCATTTGTATACTTAAGAAGACCTCTTGTCGATTCTTCAATCCAAATCAAACAACTTTTTCTGGTTGCTGCATCTTTGAAACTCGAATTTTGATAAAATAACAATGACAAGAAGAAGAAAAATGATGAACATAATTGGTTGAGCATCAGAAAATTGCTAAAAAAAAATGTCAAATTTTATTAACCAATTCAAAAACACTGTTCTTTTTCCTAATTTTGTTTCAGCCATGGCCGTCTCCGAAACCAAAAGAAAAGAAAAGAGAGAAAAGAAAAAGAAGATAAACCAATTCCAAGCCCTCCTTCCAAAAAAAATTAACAAAAAGGGCAGAGAGATCATTTTGAGATTGTTAGAAATCCAGATTGTTATAATGATGATACTGATTCTGTGATCATGATCATGATCATGAAGCATTATCAGATGACTCCTGCTTTTCTGACTTTTCCACTTGTGCAGAATCATCATCATCTTGTTTCTTAGTCTCTGCATCAGATTTACCATTGGACAAGGCGGTTGAATCAGAGTGGCTTGGTGGCAATGAATCCTGCACTTCTGTCTTGTCCGTTTGTGCAGGAGTATCTTCTTGTTTCTCATTCTCTGAGCTGTGAGTCTCGGCAGCAGCAGGTTTATCACCACCATTGGAGAGAGTGGTTGAATCAGAGCGGCTTGGTGGCGATGAGACACTCACAGGTGGTGAAGCATAAGCAGTAGGCAGAGAAGACACTGAGTGATCAAATTTGCAGTTTGCTCCGTACTTGCAGAAACCATAAGCCTTGAAGTTACCACATGCCGGTTGTCCCTGAAACAAAGCAAAACTAGTGTGTCATGGAAAGATCTTGTTGGTTGTCAAAACAAAGAAAGACGAGAGACTACTTACTGGTCTATATGGAAGAACGACAGGGTTTAAGAGGTTTGGTTGAGACAGCAACATCCTTTCTTTAGGATGACTGTATTTGCAGTCATCTCCATATTTACACGTTCCAGTGTTCATAAAGAACCTACATTCAGCTCTCTCAGAGAAACTCTGATGATGATGCGATGTCACCGCCACAGGCACCGATGCACTAGAACTTGACTCAGGTTGAGATTTCACATTATACATAGGATTGGACTGCACAACACAGACACAAAAACAAAATAAGAGATTTTGTTAGCTTCACGGACTTTGAGGCATGAGCAAAGGCTATTAAAGACTAACCATGTAAGTGGCCCAGCCTTGAGGAGGTAAGAGGCCTTGAGAGGGAGCAACCATGAAGGGCATGTAAGTCGCCTGAGGCTGAGGAACTTGAGAACGTGACATTGCTCCATATGTTGCAGGAGGTGGCATAACTCCATACGACGCAGGAGGCAAAGACATCATCGGTAATCCACCGGCGTACGGATAACCAGCAGAAGGGAAGCTGGACATTCCATATGTAGAGTGGGCGTTATGACTCTGAGGATGAGGATGATGGAATTTGCAAGCAACTCCGAATCTACACATTCCTGTCTGCATGTAATATGGACATGGCTTCTCACCCTGTAGAGACAAGAGAAAACATGTTAAGCTCTCTATAAAACCAATGTAATAGTAAACCAGACGGTTTAATCTCTCACCTGTCGCATTGGATAACCGAGAACATTGAACAACACGGGTCCAGCACCATTCCTGTCCTTTGGGTGGTGATATTTACATGTTGCCCCATACTTACAGGCTCCCGTCTTCAGATAATACTGAAGAAGAAGAAAAGTGTAAAGTTAAACATCAATATACAAGAATATATGCATCTTCTGTACCATAAATGCCAAATGACCGTTACCTATGTTATGTAAAGTTACAAGTTATAATAAGTTTCGTGACTAAAAGCTAATGCTACATGCCGAAAAGGCGGAAACCTTAAGTCGAATGCATCACACAATACTCGAAACCGTCCATCAAAACTTTTCAAATCAATGCAAGAGTACAAAATGAGATTACCTCACAGTCTGGTTGTCCAATTCTCTCAGGCAGCTCATCACGGTGATAAATAACAGCCTACAAAAAAACGTTACAAACTTTAAAGCTAAGAGTAACAGAAGAAAAAAAACGTGCAAGAAGAGTCGGCCAAAATAAAGTTTAAGCTTTTTTTTCACCTGTGGAAGATAAGTAAGAGGATGATTGTATCTGCAGCTGTTTCCATACCCACACTGGCCAGTTCTCAAATAAAACGGGCAATCTCGCTCACCTGGACGATCAGGATATGGACTTGATTGCTCCATATTGTCTTCATTCACTTTCATCCTCCTAAAGGTATCTAAAAACACCAACAAGAAAGAAAAAAACAAATTTAACCCACTAGCTAAAGCTACAAGACAATGTCAAACATTAAAGAATTTAATCAGAATCTTAAACTTTTTAGCAATCTTGAATACATTATCAGAAAACTATCGCCCACGACATAAGAACGTGATATTTTAATTTTGAAGAAGTATTCAGACAGAATCAATGATCCGACAAAAACGAGATAACTCCAAAAGACAAAAATTCGTATTAACCTCCAAATTTCCGGACTTTTCAACGTCTTTCGAAATCGGAATTCCCCAAAAGGAAAAGAAATCACATTGAGTCTTTGAATGATCAGAAATATTTACATGATCTTCAAACACATTACGGAAAACAAACCGCTTCTACGGATCTCTCATGGGAAAGAAAAATAAAACAGTAACTACCTTCAATTTTTTCGGAAGATCGAATCGGACCAGTAGAGTTCTGAACCTGCTGAGTTTCAGACATGGCTTGTAATAAATCAAACACAGTCGCGGAGACGAAATCAAAAACTCTTGTTCGTCGCTTATAAGATCGCTTTCTTCTAAGTGTGCAAGTAGAGACGGTGATCACAATGATGATGAACAAACAAATAAAAGAGGAGGAGAGAACCTGTGATTATCAAAATAAGGAAATAGATTTGTTCCTTTTTTCCGATGAGAGATAAAAACGAAGAAGAAAATGTTAAAAACTGAAAAACGATCTCCGTGCTTCTTAAATTTAACTTTTTTCTGTCCCAAAGATAGATTTGTCGTTTGAACAAATCCAAAAAAGCAAAAATCTAAGCACAAAATATTCCGATTGGAATGAAATTTTTACTTATTCTCTCCTTGGCGATTTCCTTTCCTTTTCCCAGAATCTGAGATTTTCGGGGGAAAATTTTCGGATCTTCCTTTTTAGTTTTTGCCTTTTTCTTCTCAATGAGTTTCAATGTGAAAACGAGAAGAAAATAAAAAACGGATTTAAATAAATAAAATAACAGTGATGAGTAATGAGTCTTTGCCCCCTCGTGTACGGATTAATAAATTTTTGCCGGTTCCTTGTAAATGACAATCGTACCCCTATACTTTCATCAACTCGTTTGCGCGTGATCTAACTTTCAATGTCATATTTCAATCTCAGCCGTCGGATCCGAACCTTATGGGACCCACGTTATTCTTTCCGAAGCTTATTTATTTAATTTCTTTGAAAACATTAAATCAAATGAATAATAGTACAAGATTTTTCATTTATAAAAGATTGTAATAAATTATATTTGATTTTCTTATTCATAATAGATTATAGTTTTCTATAAGCACATAGTTTTAGCAAATTCAATAGTTTAGAACTAAAGTAAGCACATTTTATTCAATATATAAAATTTATCAGTATTTATATTTTTCTAATATCATTAATTTTTTGGATATGTTATTTATCATTATTTTTTTTACATTAGCTGTCAGTAAGTTATTACCAGTTATATTTCCTGCCTATTAATTTGTCGACATAGTTTAATTGTAGATAAGTTTCTCATTTTTTGGTCCTCATGGATAAGTTTTTCAATAATAAAAAAAAAACTATAGAAATAAGCTTCTCTCTATGGCGTATTAAAGATGATGAAACTGTTTTTTTTTCTTTTTTGGCCATTGAATAAAACATTAATATGCAATCACACACCTAAATTGAAAGCAGTTTATTCGCGTATCTAAATGGCGGTGCGTGGGTGTGTGGGTCCTTTTCTTAATTATATCTTCTCCATAATAATACACCTCTATAAATTTCCATCGATATTATGTTAAATGAATACTGTTTCTATTGATTTCTGAACTCTCAATTTTAAATAATTGATTTATCATTAAAGATACTTAATGTCAAACTAAATTGCAGTGTCTTAAAAATTTGCATTGTCTTATTCTTTCCCAAGCTTATCGTAGTTTCATGTCTTTTATTAAAGCTTTATGACAATGCAAGTTTTTAAGACAAAATTTTAAGACTGATATTTCAACAGACCCTGTTTGTTTTCTTACCGAAAAGATGAATGATATGCGTTTGATTTACTTTCACGAGAGATGGTATAAATAAACTATTATGAGTATGACAGTATATAGATTTAGAAAGTTGAAAAAATAAGAACATAAAAAATAAGAAAAGAAAAAGGAGAAAAGCATCGATGGGTATTTTCGTCATTTTGTGGAGTAAGGGGGAAAAAGGAAAGCGTGAGCCACACGGTATATTATTTAACGAGAAAAGTATAATGCTGGTTAGTAGAGTATAAGATTAAGAAGCTTTATTTAGAAATTAGTCGCTCGTACTAAAATGCTCTGGTACGCTAATCTAGCGGTTTGGACCAGTTTAATTATGGGATGTGGGACCCACGCTGAGTGTCCCATCCTTATTTTGGAACCACTGCTTTCAAGATTGTAGTTGCACATTCAGGCCACAATTCTTTTTGATGTTTGCATTTGAATTTCTGATTCAAAGTCAATCGTCCCAGAAACCTCAAAAATCTGAACGAAACATAATTATACTCTTTTGTAAGTTTATTTTGTTAAAGAATTTTAAAAATTGCATAAACGTACAGCTAGTTTATTTTTATACTCTTTTGTTGTTTTGGAGTAAGTTTCGATTTTAACGCATGTAGAGAAAGAAATTGAGAAAGAAAAAAAAAACATTTAATGCAGTTTGGCAGAATCTACCGAGGGCCTTTTTTAGCTGTATTGCATCATTTTTTTAATAGGACACATGACAAGTGTAGACTAGTTCAGGTTTACAAGAGGATTATTGTCTTAAAAGCAATCTAACTATATGATTGAATAACTAAAGCTAAGAAGAAATATTTTATTATACTTGTTTGTAGTTGTGTAGTATATGTATCTCAATTTTGTATACTTATATGTATGAAATAGGAATGCAAGCTAGGTTCACTTTTAGAAGATTGGTGGGATGGGAAATGCTCTAATTAGAATGAGAGAGTTGTATTAATTAGTTTTTCATTGTACATTACGATAACACAATTTAAAAAATATAAAAGTCAGTTTAGTCAAACCGGCTTTAGATATCTTCGAGGGACAGAAAACACAGACACGGTTCGTAAACAGTTCAAAAACGGGAGAAAAAAATAAATAAACAAGGCTTTGGGACCAAGCCAAGATTGACTCGTAGACTAGAAGAAAACAAAGTTTAAGAGGGGGCAAAATGGTCAAAGCAAATTGATTCAAGCACAAGAAATCTCCTGCATCGCAGTTTAGCAGAGCCAGGTAGGACCCACATGTGGAAGAAAAGAAAGATGGGGGAAGAGGTTATGGTCTTGGGAGCAGTGTAAGTGCAATGATACTGACCCGTCAATATTGCGCCACGTAATCAGTTCTGAAAGGTGGCGATTGTCTGTGGTTACGTCCACTTCACTACTGCACGTGGGTTTGACGCGTTTCGTTAGACTTGTTTGACTGCTTGAAAGACTTTTACGTCAAGAGTTTTTTCTCACTTTTCTGGTAGACAAAATTTGGATCTCCCTATGAAAAATACCCTTTTATTTGACTCTCCATTTCTTAATTACTTCTCGTTAGCCATTTTTTTTTTGTTAAAGTACTTCTCGTTAGCCATTTAAGCAAAAATCAGGAGTATGATCATTAAGAAAAACAAACTGAATCTTAAATTTTATAGAACTAAAGATATGAACCAGTACAAATACATACACCAATTCTTTCATTTCAAACAGTGTTGGTTTTTACTTGCATTACTATTCCAAGTTTTTTTTTTGGTAAAATGTAAAGAAACTATTCCAAGTTTTAATAGATCTTAGGGTGAATAATTATAAGTTTTAGAGGTGCAAAAAAATTTTGGTGCAAAGGCCATCGTAAGAGCAATAATAAAAATCCAAAAACATCTTATAAACATCCCAAACTTGTAAATCGCTGGTCAAGGAGGATCAACAAAAACGCAAAAGTCACTTGTTGGTTTAGTAATCAAAACTTGGGCTATGAATAAGCCTACGACTACGAGCCTCTTTTTCTAGAGTTCTACGCAAAGAGCTCCTTCTCCATACTCCTAACAAAAACTGTACGCTAGATGATAAAAATTGCGTATTTGCAAAACGATAAGCTTCCTCTAAAGACGGATTAAGGTTAGAGAGAGAGAGAGGAAGCAGAAATTACTTATCATATTTACTCAGCAGAAGAACATGTTGCTTTCCACATTCTTGTGCAGACGAGGAAGCTCTGGAACATTCCCGTCCTCCGTTATAGCTTCAAACTTGATGAACTGAGCAAATTGAGCTGCTGCCAGATGAGCGTATCGCACTGGAGCCACTGAGCAACAAAACACACAGGACGAGTGAGTTTAGTTTTCTGTATTTTATTATGGAGGAGAGTTTTGATTAGCAAAGTTGTTACCAATTGAGGTTGCAGTTGTGCTGCGTTGGTTGCTGGACGGATGATACAAGACGAAAAGATCTTAGTAATGGAAAAAATGGGATTGGTATTTTTTAGTGAGTGAAATGCGAATTGAAGAGAGTACAGAGACTTACACATAGGAGAGAGAATGGATGAGATTCTGTAAGTCATCAGGAGAGAAACCAATCTCATCGAGTAAAACATGATAATGAGCCGGTCTTGAAGTTCCCTGTAGAGTTAGTTGATTATAATAAATGTGTGAGTGAAATCTTTTAGGTTAAGGAAGCATCAGTTTTTTTTTTGGTGTAAACTTACTATTATTCCAGCATGAGCACACATGTAAAAATCATAGTTCGTCGGGTGTACAATCTTGGTGTCCACGACGGTTCCTAACAAACGACAAAAGGGGCATGTTTTTATGATGAAAGAGTTCTGGTAAAAAAAAAAAAAAAAATTGATTCCGAAGAAGTATTTTTTACCAGCAGGAACATTTTCATGACTCTTAGGTTGAAACAACTTGGTGTGGTGGTTTTTCTGAGCCACAATGACAGTGAACTTTGGCACATCGGTTTCACCAAGACGTTGATACGCCTGCGCAGTGTTAGATAAGCAAACTGTCAAATATAATACTTTTCACTAGAAACATATTGAAAACAGAAATTTGATAGAAGCCGTAACCGGCTAAAGGAGTTTGAAACAAGACCTTTATAATTTGGTCCACCTCAATGTTCAAGACTTGGTTGAACTGTGATTCACTTACTCCATCCCTATCAAATATGACCAAGATTGTGCAAGGATAAACTTTTTAGAGACTTGAAGTTAAACAACAGTATAAAGAGTACAAATTTCCGCTAGTACCTGAATATGATAATCTGCTTAGGCTTGCGTTTGTTGCTTGTCTTGAAAAATTCTACAAACAACTCGCTGTTGGAAACCGAAAATTAATCATAGAGAATAGACTTTAAACATCTTGCGATAACTGGTTAGGTTTTAATAATAATATTGATGATTATATAACGTTCACATACTTCATGATACCGTTGTCTCCATTCGTAGAACCCTCAACAGGTTGGAAGAGCGAATCAATCATCTCCAGTTTTGGTGACTGGGTTCTTACAGCTGCCCTATACCTTGAGATTTTGGGCCAGCATGTTGAACCAACAACCTTGTAGCAGAGGCAGGAAAAAAGTAAACAGACTAGAAAAGTAACATCTGGACAAAGCAAAGGACTAGAAAAGTAAAAGAATACAACAATACCGCAGCTACTGAAGGAACATCTGAACAACCTGGGGACCCGTGAGATACATCCATACCCAAGATTAAGGTGGGAATCTTGTTTATCAATGGAATGTTGCAAGAGTACTCTATTCCCAACAGAGAATTGATGCCTCCAAGCTAGATTAAGACAGAGTAAAAGAAGCCAATTTACGGATACCACTACAGCATAGGGTTTCTCAAGTGTTAACTTGGATGGTCAAATACCTTAGAATTTATCTTCAGAAGCACATTGGTGAAATATTGGTCATTCATCTTTTTAGGACAGATGCATTGTGTGTTAATCCCTGCTCCAGTGAGGCAAATCTTCTTCCAGGGACCTTTATAGTTTGCAACGACCGGTTAAACGAGAGAGATAAAACTTCAAATTCACATAGAAAAAAAAGTGAGATGATACCATAGATATCCGAGGTTTTCGGTTCTGGCAGGATACAGAGGATGAAATGAGGAGGTTTTGGAAATTTTGACCTCATCTTTGCAATCATTCTTTCTACCCTTTCAACAGCACCTGCTTTTTTATACTGGGGATCCTCTTCAACCAGTGCAAACGGTCGATCAATTTCCTATGTGATTTAACAAACCAAATTCAGACTCTGTAAATAACCAGATATAGTTCAACACTACACACAAACTGCAAATGGAGACGGTATATGCAGAACCTACAATGCCTTTCTTCATGCCACAGTCTATGAGATCACGGGAAATGCGACTACTGTCGCATGGAAACGAAAAGTTGACGACAGCCCAGTCCCTAATAGCTATTGGTTCGTAAAGCGTCTGCAAAGAAAACAAAGGGTAATATACAATAGAGAAAGATAAGTTTGAGTATATCAGGTTCAATCCAAACCATATAAAGAGTAAGAAGCCCCTGCCAATCGACAATAATGAAATTAGTGATGAACAAAAATCTTTGCAGACAATTACCTTGTTGTTAAAGTTCCACCGTCCGTTGCGTGGTACATCATCCACATTTTTTCCAAACTTCAGCTGCACATACAAATGGAAGAGCATGGGCGTAATAAGATTAGAGGATCCACTAGAATGGGAATGGCAGATATCATTCTGTGTACAAAAAAAACATAAATAGGTTTACCTTTGGGGCAGCGAGAACCCGGCCTTCAATTTGAGTCATTTGTTTTTCCATAGAAATGCCACATCCAGCCAAAAACAGGTCTTTATCATAGCAGCATTTTTCCATTGCCTGCAAATTTGACACATTAGAAATATTCTGCCATCCAAGATAGATAAAGCATCATCTGAGATCAGAAAACGAAGCTCACATCATTGAGTGCTTTAATTCTCTCTAAAGGTTTTTGTCTTGATTTTTCAACAAGTAAAGATCTTTGCCTCCCTGACAATGCTTTTGTGTAACGTTGCAGAGATACAAGTTCACAAAACTGCAAGAAAATAGAAGAAGGAATTTAGACTAAGCAAAATTAGGGAAGGAAAATCTGCTGGAGGTATGGAAGTGCGTACCTCCAGTGGGAGATAGTTGGGGCGATTTGGCTTGCCAACATCAAGGCATGGAAAGTACGCAGAACCAGTAGGCTCTGTGTAAGTTTGCTTGAAATACTCATACACAGTAATCTCTTTGGTCTGTCCTTCACCCTCACCGTTTTTAATTTTCATTGAAAAGCTGGAATACGATGAAGAAAATCAAGCAAAGGCTGATAAAGAGGACAAAACTTGTATTGAAAGTTCAGTCATGGGGAACATACAGTTGCTGATTGCACGGCTTCTCACTTAGACCTATAATTTTGAATTCCATATTACTGTGTGATGTCTTCACCCTCATATTTTTAAGCATTTTCCTGGCCTGCGAAGGTTCAATGAGAAATAAAAAAGCGGAAAACAAAAGCAACCTAGTATGTTCTCAGTTATTGAGTTTAAAAGCCAGGACTACCTTATTCCAGTCGATAAGTCGCGCTAACTCAACATTCTGATTGGCTAAGAGGAATCGAATGACCGGACCCGGCTTTAAGACCATAGTTGTTGACACGTCTGCATACCATCCCAAAAGGAAGAACAGTTTCAAGAATCAATAAAACTATCAACGAGAAATAGAGGTTTATGAAGCTGGAGATGAAAAAGTTAAAAAGAAAAATACCAATGTTAAGCGAGAGTCCTCCATGGGTTGGACGAAAGCTTGAGTGGAAACCTCGAATACCCTGAACACCTCCCCCAACATCAATGGGGTTGATATCACTATGGAAAAATGCTTGTCTGACCAGAAGGCATCCCCTGTACAATAAATGTTTCATTGAGCAGGGTCACGATTTTGTAAATAATTGTACAGCTATTCGATTTACCAACAAAATGAAAATATGACAATTTGTCCACTAGAATGTAGAACTGTCGCACCTTTCAGCTGCTTGTTGCCTCAATACAATGTCAAGCACTCTAAGTGCATCCTGAGCGCTCTTATTTGGTGTATCAATTTCTAGAACAGTCTTTAATGGTACTTTTGCAGCAAAATGTATATGAACCTTGTAACTTCTCGGCAGGAAAGAGCGCTTTGATCTCTTGCAAGCACCAGAGGGACTACCACCATCAGCGACACCACAGACACTAAAATATTGACAAGTCCGCTATTAGCAGCCAAAAAAAAAAAACATCTGCAGTGTCTAACTTGTACACCATGAGAAGATTAATTATCAAGCCAGAAATGAGGAACATACCGTTTTGAAAATGAACCTTCCAAGATGACTTGAAAGTCGAAGTCCTTCTGTGGCAGAGGACCAACAGTGTACAAAGTCTTCTCTCCATCATAAGCCAACCTTTTACCCTCAAGATCAGAAGCGTAAGTCTTGTAAAGTTGGTCAATAAGCTTTCTCCCTATTCCTTTCCCTTCCACAACTTCGCCGTCTTCCGTGGTGATACTAACCTGCAATAAAAGAGCACGGATTTGTGAACTATCTCATACACGGATAACAAAATACAAGGAAAGTGACAGAACGAATCTTACAGTGTACTGATAAAACACTACATCCTGATGTCTCACAGAAACTTTGAAGTGATTGGTGCACAATTCTATTCGGCTGCCTGTGGTTCCAACCCCGCGTCTAGTTGTGATGTCATAATCTCGATGGCTGGGCTCTTCTGGTTTTATACTTGTTGGTGGCGGCAGAGATGAAGATTCCTCCATCCTTCCCAGGACAAATGATCTGCAAGAGATAAAAAATGGAGGTTGCTTACAGTGTGCCAAAAATTAGCCAAAACAAAATGTTCAGTGGACTCAGATAAGTCAGTTTCCTTGAAATTACAGAGGAACAATACTATAGAATAAGGAAAATTTTACTCAAGAGAAGCAGTCAAGAATGAAAATTTATAGAATTTTATAGATTCCCCAAATCTCCGATGATTTTAGTTCCTTTAAGATCGGAGGCGAGACTTTTATTGAGAGGCATTACACAAAAACAGTCAGTCATTCGAGTGTGGTATGCAGTAGCATAACACAATGGTCAAGAGGGAAATGATGCAGCCTTCAAACAACAATCAACACAGAAATCCAAGCCTCATGCAAAATCTCTCAAGGAAAAACTAGCGGAAAGAGAAAACCCAGGATGAAAGAGAAACCTAGCACTGAGTCAAACAACAATAGCAACAGCGAGCGAGATTTTCCCGACGGAAATCACACAGGAAAACGAGCGAAATCGGCAAAATCTCTCTCCGACGCAGCGGAATCAATCAGCGGCACGAACAATCGATGAAGAGAAGAAACTGAACAAAATCGAGTAGGAATGGCATACCTTGAGAGAAGTAAGAAGGCGATTTCTAGGGTTCCGGTGAAACAAGGAGCAGTAAAGAGAGTGAGAGAGGGTTTAGCGCTCATTTGTCATCTTCGTCAGTGTCTATTGGTTTTCCCATAAAAAGCAAAAGAATGGAGGGAACATTTTCGCGTGATGAAAAATTAAAATACCCTTTTCGGTCATAATTCGGCGACCTGCTCATTTTCCCCTTTTTTCCTTTGTCGTTTTTAGATAAAATGGTGAGATCGAATTTTTTTGAAAAATACAGAAGTGCAAAGATAAAACAAAACGGAATCCAATATCAGCAATACCAAAACACAGAGAAATGCATACACTAATTAATCATGGGTTTTACATCACAGCAAAAACTTCTCCTTATCGAAATGTTTTGGGCTTTTGGCATATGATTGCTTCATATAGCTTCCACAAACTAAACATTTTATGTTGATTTTTTTTGTTCCAAACCAGTACTACTAGTAGCTTCATGACAACAAAATTCGTTAACCTTTCTTTATAAAAAAAGATGAAAATCGCTAGACTTTCCTTAAACGAAATCAATCTAAAACGATGTCATGGAAATACATTCTAACTGAAGATATGTACTTTCGGAGTTTCAGCAACTCAATTGATCCCTAACTCTATAAAACAAATTTTATTCAGTGAAATTTTGGACCAACAGCAAGAGATCGTGTTCCTTCCAAAACTTGTAAATGCAATATAGCGAGACCCATGAACAAAATGTTTGAACTTTGAGATAAAGCAAAATGGAAACCAAAACTCGAGATAGTGGTAGGCTTAAACCCACAAAACTGCATAAAACAAGTTGTTTTTCGTAATGAAAGCAAACTATTTTCCAAGTTGGTGACACTACTACAATGACAACATTACTAAAACCAGCAAAAAAAAGAAAAGCAGTAGTTAAATCCAAGAAAAAGATTTTTATGCTACATGAAAATCATTGAATGTCGAAGATTTTTAGTATGATTAAAATTCGTACCACGCACATAAAAATACGTCATCCACACGCGCAGCAAGCGCGTAGGCAACAACGTGTAAATTTTGTATCCTCAGAAAAGAGCCACCGTGGATCCCACACAACCTCAGGCTCAGCCTCACTCCTCCTCTCATCTCCGCCATCTCCCATTCCGATTTTCTCAAACTCCTCCCCAAAAAAAAAAAAAAAAAAAAAAAACGGTCGATTTGATGGAAGAGATTTCGACGGATCCGCTTGTTCCAGCTGTGAAACCCGACCCGAGAACATCCTCCGTTGCCGCCGAAGGTGCTCATCGCAACGAAAATGACGACGGAGGAAGCGGTGGTTCAGAGATTAGAGCGCCGGATCTGGATAAGGACCTGCTCTGCCCGATTTGTATGCAGATAATTAAAGATGCTTTCCTCACGGCGTGTGGTCATAGCTTCTGCTATATGTGTATCATCACACACCTTAGGAACAAGAGCGATTGTCCCTGTTGTAGCCAACACCTCACAAATAATCAGCTCTACCCTAATTTCTTACTCGACAAGGTTTCTCTCTTCAAATTCCTTTCTCTAATTTTACTCAGAATTGATTCTAGCTAAGATTTTGCGGTACTCTTGTCTTTGCTCTGTGATTGAAATTGTGATCATACTAAGAGAGCATCTTGTTTCAGTATAGTTTATGGTAGGTTTTTGCTTATTGAAGTTGAGAGAGCTAACTTTGTGACGTCTTACAAGCATGTTAAATCGTGGACTTGTTTCTTTTGCTGAACTTGAAATAGAAACATGGTGAAAGAAACTGTTGTATATTTCTATCACTGAAATGCAGCTTATTGTATGACTTCTTTGTGCCAAATGTGTAGCTATTGAAGAAAACTTCGGCTCGGCATGTGTCAAAAACTGCGACTCCCTTGGATCAGTTTCGGGAAGCATTACAAAGGGTCGGTTCTTGACAAGCCTTTGCATTCTCAGATTTATTATTGGAGTGAAAACCAATTCTTTGTCTAAAGTCGTTTCCTTGGATCAGTTTTTGACTTCCTGCGTTCATCCTTAGACAGGGTTGTGATGTGTCGATTAAGGAGGTTGATAATCTTCTGTCACTTCTTGCGGAAAAGAAGAGAAAAATGGAGCAGGAAGAAGCCGAAAGGAACATGCAAATACTGTTGGACTTCTTGCATTGTCTTAGGAAGCAGAAAGTTGATGAACTAAATGAGGTTGGTTTCTGCTTGCTCTTCATTCCATTGCATTTGAGCTTGTTATTTCAGTTTCTAAGAGATTCTTCCGTGGGTATACATAAACCATCTTTTATCAATAAATCGATCAAACTGTTTGTGAGACATAAAGCAGGAATGTAATTCCGCCATTTGATGTCATTTTCTCCATTTTATTGTAGGTGCAAACTGATCTCCAGTATATTAAAGAGGATATAAATGCCGTTGAGAGGCATAGAATAGATTTATACCGTGCTCGGGATAGGTATTCTGTGAAATTGCGGATGCTCGGAGACGATCCAACCACAAGAAATGCGTGGCAACTTGAGAAGAACCAGAGTGGTTTCAACTCCAATTCTGTGAGCATGAGAGGAGGAAATTCATTAGGCAGTTTTCAAAACAAAAAGGTGGAGGGAAAGGCACAAGGAAGCTCTCATGGGCTGCCAAAGAAGGATGCATTGAGTGGGTCAGATTCCCAAAGTTTGAATCAGTCAACGGTCTCAATGGCTAGAAAGAAACGGATCCATGCTCAGGTTTGTTCTTCTTGTTTACTCATCATCTTGAAACATGTCACTTGCGCTTACATGGTACGAGGACAATGGGATTGAAGTTCCAGATATTATTCTGTTATAGAGGAAACAGAGTTGATCGCATTAGACTTCAGTAATTGTGCTACAATAAGTACCATGCCCAGCCACTCTTCTTGTAGTCATCTGTACCGACAGCTCAATAAAATTGTAGGTAGAATATGAATGTCACAGTTTTGGTTGTTTGTATCAAAAGTTGATTGGCTTCAGAGTAATTAATATTACATTGTTTGCATGTAGAAGTAGAAATAGCGTTGTGGATTTCTCTTGGTTAGTGATAGAAGCCGTCTCTTGTCTGTCTCTTTCTGGAGCAACAAAAGTCACCATATTTTCTAGACAGAAACAGTTCTGTTAGTATGCAATAGCATCTAGATGATGACTCGATTGGCTAATGCCGTTTGTGTGTTGTTGTAGTTCAACGATCTACAAGAATGTTATCTCCAAAAGCGGCGTCAGTTGGTAGACCAACCAAATATTAATCAAGAAATTGATAAGAGCGTAGTACGTAGGGAAGGCTATAGCAACGGTCTTGCAGATTTTCAATCTGTGCTGACTACCTTCACTCGCTACAGGTTGATTAGCGACTGTTCCTTTTAATTGGTCTAGTCGTGCATTAAATGTGTTTTCTAACTATCTGGTTTTAAATTGCATCCTTTATTTGCAGTCGTCTGAGAGTTATAGCGGAAATTCGGCATGGGGATATATTTCATTCAGCCAACATTGTATCAAGGTGAGTTCTTTTTCCTTGTTTGTTATATCAGATGACAGATAGTGTAATTTACGAAAGAATGGCTTCTAAGTGAGCTTTTAAAAAATATAAAAATATACACCTTAAGTGATCAAGTTTTGTTTAATGTATGGATAGACGCAATTACTACTATGGGATCCTTTGCTGTATAAATTCTAAGCCAGTGAATGGTAAGAAGACGAACCTGCTGACAATGGCAGGGACTTGGTCTTGTGTTGTTGGTAGGCCACTTAAGAAGAATTTTCTAAAAGATGGAACACTATGTTCACCTTATCTACTTCGGAAAATACATTAAAGATATTTGCTGTCTGATATTTGAAAGTATGTCTTTCTCAATGAAGGACAAATATATGTTTTCAGTTTCCCCTGTGGCTCCATTATCTTTCTCTTTCAATGTGCTTTATGCTTTCCCTGAACTCTAAGTCAATATCCATCTTGCTGATACTTATTAGAAGAGCGGGTGATTTTCCTTTGCAGCATAGAGTTTGATCGTGATGATGAGCGGTTTGCCACTGCTGGTGTTTCTAGATGTATAAAGGTTTTTGACTTCTCGTCGGTACGTTCAAAAACCGTGGAGAGCATTCATTTACATACTAATTGCATATTCTTCTCCATAGTTATGCTCTTGTGAAACCGATCATGCATCTCAATTATTGGGAAGCTTCATTGACAGTGGAAACTAAATGTATCATTTGTTGAAGAAAGACTAGTTTTGATGCATGCTAGCCATTTACACTTTATTCTCTTAGTATTGCGTAGAACAATGCATATTCAAGCTTCTCAATTATCAAGTGTTAGTATATCCAATGGAGTACTCTGGATTAGTTGAAGATGGTGTGCATACTTTTCAGGTTGTAAATGAACCGGCAGATATGCAGTGTCCGATTGTGGAGATGTCTACCCGATCTAAACTTAGTTGCTTGAGTTGGAATAAGCATGAGAAAAATCATATAGCAAGCAGTGATTATGAAGGAATAGTAACAGTCTGGGATGTAAATACTAGACAGGTGAGTCCTCTGCCCTACTAATCCAGCACCACGCACGCCTTTTAAGATATTCATCTCATGAACTGTGCAATGTATCTAAATTGTTAATGTGAAAAAACTGGTGACAGAGTCTTATGGAGTATGAAGAGCACGAAAAACGTGCCTGGAGTGTTGACTTTTCTCGAACAGAACCATCAATGCTCGTGTCTGGTAGTGACGATTGTAAGGTACCTCCAGTTTTTTTTCTTTTAACTTTTCCATCTCGCATAGAGCTTTATCCTGTATGAAATGTTTACCGCCTTTACAGATTGACTAGCTCTTATGTAGAATTTGGTCACGAATTTGTCAAAATTAATCTCTGGATTTCTAGTTCTGTCGGAAGCATATAACACCAGCGAGCGCTTTTAAATTCAATAAACCTAATGTGCTCTGTGTATGAACCAGGTTAAAGTTTGGTGCACAAGGCAGGAAGCAAGCGTGCTTAATATTGACATGAAAGCAAACATATGTTGTGTCAAATACAATCCTGGCTCAAGCAATTACATTGCGGTATATACTTTCACACCTCCACCAATCTCACATCTCTAGATTAGAATCTTTAGTTAGATGGAGAGGCTTAGACGTCTAAGCCTGTTGGACTTATTGCAGGTCGGATCAGCTGACCATCACATCCATTATTACGATCTAAGAAACATAAGCCAACCACTTCATGTCTTCAGCGGACACAAGAAAGCAGTTTCCTATGTAAAGTTTTTGTCCAACAACGAGCTCGCTTCTGCATCTACAGATAGTACACTACGCTTATGGGATGTTAAAGACAATTTGCCGGTAAGATTACACCCCGAGTAAATCTTGCGGACTGCATATTAAAAAGACAACTCAAGTCTTGACTATGTTTGACTTTGCGTCTTTTTCAGGTTCGAACATTCAGAGGACACACTAACGAGAAGAACTTTGTGGGTCTCACAGTGAACAGCGAGTATCTCGCTTGCGGGAGCGAGACAAACGAAGTTTATGTATATCACAAGGTTCACAAATCTGAAAACCTCTTAACAGTTACCATTTTACACATCTTTAATCTCACTCGTTTGCTCAAGTGTGTGGGAATGTGAATGATGTGATGCAGGAGATCACGAGACCCGTGACATCGCACAGATTTGGATCACCAGACATGGACGATGCAGAGGAAGAGGCTGGTTCATACTTTATCAGTGCGGTTTGCTGGAAGAGCGATAGTCCCACGATGCTGACTGCGAATAGCCAAGGAACCATCAAAGTTCTGGTACTCGCTGCTTGATTGTAATAAAAAAATTCACAAGGGGATTTAGAGCTTCTTGAATCAATAAAAAACAATAAATTTACCATCTATTGTATTTAGTGGGAGTTATAGAGAGAACACCATTTGTTAAAAGTAGGGTTCGTCATTTGAAAAGCACCTTTGTACTATATATATGCTTGACTTGAACCCCTCAAGAAGAATTTGTATCAAAATGTAGATATATTTCGGTTTCTTGAGTTTCTATAACTAATACTAATAGGTATAATAAGAACAAAAAAATGCTGTGACTGATGAAAAGTCTAACCTTGACTCACCTACAAATGGTCCAAACCCATGCAATTGAATCCATGATAGTTGAAAATTTTGTGTCAGAGTCGATATTACTTTCGAGTTTTAAATTAACTCATAAGACTGTGATTTGTGTGTACACGTTCTCATAGAATGGCTGTATAAATATATTGTAATACTTATCCTCTTATATTTGGATACGCAACTTTGGAATGGCATGAAGTCTACGAACATGCATGCTTTGGGAGCTTTGATTTTGAATCCCATGGCCAAACAATATTTATGTATTTATAAATACTTCACTTGCTCATCCTAATAATTATAATTAGGTGGCTTAATTAATGAATTGCTATTTACAAGCTTTTCTAATTCCACAAGTTACAAGTCTTTATGACTTCATAACTAAACAAAACAAAAGTCAATCCTCTTTTGAAAGGAAACAACGACAATTTTTCACAAGGGGACAAATTAATGTGTTTCTTCCCTTTAAGCAACCATATCCATCCTACAAATTAATTGACTTTATCCTCCTACCACAATTTTTGTTAATTTGATCTTCTACTTCTCATACATACAGTTCGATAGATCTAACATATAACTTTCTTCTGCGTGTTTTATTAATGTTGCGTATAATATGCCTCTCATAAACTTTGAGCTGGTTTATAAATTTTCTACATATGTTGTTAATTCTTTAATTTTTAGTGTTTTCTTGGAAGAAACACTAAGAATGATCACGTACGTCAATAGATGTATTAGCATCTTTATATTATATTATTAATTGAGAAGTACATTCTAATGTTTGGATACAAGAATAAGAGAAACATCTATTTGGATAGAAGAATAAATGGAAACAAAAATTGTTTGGATATAAGAATAAGAGAAAAATCTATTTGGATAGAAGAATAAATGGAAAAAATTGTTTGGATACAAGAATAATAACTTAAAACAAACCGATGGTTTAGAAAACTTCCGTTTTCCAGCTCTTAAATCTGCAAAAAAAAAACTTAACATAAACCATGAATATAATATGATCGAATGATATTTGCAAAATTTCAATAGTGAAATAGAAATACGTCTAATTTAAATCAAATTGTTTATTTTGTTCGGGTTTTTTTTTGAAAATTTCTGTTCGGTTTGGGTTCGAGTTTTTTTGGGTTTAGTTCAGGGTTTTCGGGTTTAGACATATTAAAAAAGTTTGGGTATTTTAAAATTTATTAGGGTTTTTAGGTCGGGTTCGGGTGAAAAAGTTTCGAGTTGTTTTTTTATTCGGTTCAGGGTTTTCGGGATTTTTTGGATTTCGAATTTTCGGGTTTAGACATATTAAAAAGGTTTGGGTTTTTTTTTAATTTTGATTAGGGTTTATGGGTCAAGTTCGGATTTAGAATTTATATTTTTTCTTCACAAAACCGCAACGTTACACCGCGCGTTTGTGCGGGTCCTCTAATAGTTCTTGTTATTTAAGAATATAGTTAGATAGTCACAGATTTGGATTTTTCGCTGTTATGGTAAAATCACATCGTTTCACGTTAGCGGTTAGCCACATATATTTTTCAAGTTCACATCGTAATTTCGTTTTACAATACATTAATACTTATGTAGATGGAGTCACGCAAGCATATACTTATATCACCTATTAAATCTAACAATGATATATTCTTCTTTTTTTTCGTCACTGATCTGAAGGTCATGTATAATGTGAGAGACTCCTAAAAAAAGTGCTCTAAATAGGCGACTTATCAATGTTGTCACAAGATAAACAAAAAAAGAAGTCACATAAGCAAGGTATGTCTCATCACTGTGGGAAAAAAGTTGTTCGAATGAGTTGTAGTAAGAAATCAAATCATACTCGTTACAAGAATATAGATAAATTAACATAAATTATTTTCCTGTATCTAAATTCAAATTCTGGTAAAAAAAAAACACTCAACCTAGCCATGAGTATACCCATCAAGAAAGTTTATGATTAAACTAAGCACATCAAAGATGGTTAATTAAGAACCGTTAAAATAAAATTAAGGCACTGGCATAATGGTGGGCTTCATAATTATGAAGTCTTCTCTCATTTAACGGCTCTAGTTAATTTAACTAATGTGAGACAATGGTCCTCGTCAGTCGTCACATATAAATTGATTAATTTGAATTATTTGTAGTGAAATAGCATGCTATTTAAAAGTGTAGCACGGTATCACCCGAGTAAGCTCTTTTTCTTGCAAATAAAAAGAAATCATAGTCATTTTAATTTACCTCTCTATTGATATGATTATTATCTACCAAAATTCACCTTAGATTAGAGTCAACCAAATTACAAAAGTTATAGGATTTTAAACTTCTATATCATGTTGCTAATTAGATTAGTTTATAACGATTAGTATTTTGAATGATAAATATATACATACAAACGTTCAATCATAAATATAAATAAGTTCGAATACTTTTGTACTTTAATTCTTACGGATTCACATGGTTGGAGACAAAGAATAAATATTTAGACATAGAATATTGTGTATACCATATGATTTTTGGTCTTGTCCTTTTGGTTTGAAGAGAGGTTGGAATGATTGGATCGGCTTCTCTTCTCCTCTTCTTTCCTTCTTCCACAGTGACCAAAAATAATTGGAGAGAATCTTTTCTCGTAAAATTCCCACTTACTTATGTTAAGTCACTTAAGTGGAACAATAATTTAAAACTTAAAATAATATTCCCTTAACCAAAACTATTTTCATTTGACCAATTTAATCCTAAAAATAGTAAATACTAATTATGTCTACATTCTGCCATTCACTATCCAAGATGTTTCCCAATAAGTATAGCTCGACATTAGCTTTGAATTTCGCTTTTTGTATGTTAGGGGATTTCATAAAAGAGTATTTAGACTGTTTTTGCAAGTAGTTCAACCTTTAGCACCTCCTGGTGATCCAAATAACTTTCACAAGATTCTTTAAATTATTAATGAAAACGACGTAAAATTTTGACAAGAAACACCTATTTTTTTGAATCTTTTTATAGTAGTGTCTACTAATCTGTACTCAAGCATAACGACATGGTGTTAACAACATTACAACGGTTTTAAGCATCTATATAAGAATATATAAGGATACAAACTCACTTTTCCTTGATTAAACTGGTCATGGAATCTCTTTACAAGAGTCTAAGAGGACCAGATTTTTTTACATTTTATCGAAAAGACAAGAGCATATATAAATAATAATGATGGTATCAACCATGTGAGGTGAGGTGTTTGGTTTTCAAAATACATAACACATAGTTTCCACATTGAATACCAAGGGTTTTATTAATAACTTGCAACATTATCCATAATTTAATCAGTTGCATACTCCGTTTCATTTTTTTTGTATTTTTATGAATAGTAAAACTATAGTAGAAGTTCGATCTATTCGAACCGGTTTGGAATCGGGATACAAATTAAGAAAATATGGCCCCAAGTCTGCGCCCTGCAATTTTGAGAAAGTTCAGAAATTAAAACATTAATACTGAAAGAAGAAAAACCTGAGACATTAAAACAGAAAGAAAAAAAAAATTGTTTTCGTTATAGCTATAGCTTTTAGAAATTTCACACATATTAGAAACTACACCTATTCATTTTTACAATGTTTCAGACACATTAAAAGTATATAACAAGATTATTAGTACAAAAAAACGACATACTCCTACAAAAAAAAAAGATTAGGGTTTTACTGTATGTTCATTAAGCTGATTAGAGTATGTGGAGGTGGAGCCTGGCTCAGCTCGGGGCCCAATAATCTTTTCCAAATCAGAAGCATATTCCACAGAATGTGCCTTTCCAATTTTCCCATTAGTCTTTTTTCTTTTTCTTTTTTTGAGAAAGGAACCAAATATATGTAGATTTAGTTTCAGTTTTTTTGGGCCGAAGGAACTAATTTCTTTAAAGAATGTAAAATCAACATATAAATTATATACAATTTTTAATTCTGTAAAGCTTAAGAAAAAAGGAAAACGACAATCTATAATTTGTTTGGTTGCATTTTTAATTAGCTTACTACGGTCAATCTCAAATGTTAAACAACAAAAGATTCTCTAGTATTTTTGGTTTTATTTCCATTTATATGTTGTAAATATTGTGAAGATTGAAGAAGACAATAACATGACGTGGAAGACAGTCAGACACAATGACTGATATTACTAACGATTATAGTATTACTATGTAACATTATGTGGAAACCGGAAACATATTCATTCGATCAGTGATTGAATTTTGGACCAAGCATAAAAGAAGTTTTTAGTAGCAGAGTTCAAACTTCAGTAAGATGTCAGTTAAGTTTAATTAGATTTTGTTCAACGTATCTAGAAACACATTCATTCGATCAGTCATCTGTTTAACGTCTAATGTTTTATAGAGTATTATACGATTCGGATTGGAACGAGCCTGATTTTGAACTTAAGAAGAATAAAAAACTCTAAAACACTCTAATACTGTCATGATCCAGTCGGTCCTAATAAAACTGACCTAGATACGTCCGCGAACTATTATTCATCTACCGCAACACCCTTATTAGTGTATTACAAAATTAACATTATAGTGACCAATACATAATTTGAAGCTTATCCAATTAGCTTATTTTATAAAATTGTATTTTTGTACGTCTCAATTATTGTGTTCCTCGACCGCCATATTTTCCTTCGATTTCAGTATAATCGTATTTATTTGGATTGATTTGTAAGATAACCAAATATAGAGCCAAAATTACAATAAATGGCAAAAACAAAATTAACGTATTTTATTTGTTTTTACTTGTGAGTATTCAGTATACTGTATTTTCATTTCCCACAAAACCAAATGTACACTTGTGCACTATTTAATAAAACAATTAACTCAAAAGCGAAAGTCTCATTCATCTCCTCCGAATTTCTTTTACTTTTCCATCTCTCTAAAAGTCCCAACTCCCAACAGCGACAGCATAGTTTCTCTCTCTAACAATGGCGTGTCTATATAAAGCAACAAGGTCGTCGACTCATAACGACGACCATCTCATCTCCATAAACCAACCGAGAAACCAAAAGAAGATAATATTTTCAGCTTCTTCCTTTCGATTCAACACTTGAAGAAATTTCCGATTCAAGCTCGCTTTGAGAATGAAACTGATTGAGAAGACGACGAACAAGTCTATGACTATGGAGGAAGAGGAAGTAAAAGAAGGTGAGATATTCAGGACGATCGAAGTAGCTATGGTTGACCGGAGCAACGTATCTCCGCCGCCGTCGGCCGGTGATTCTGCTGCACCACTGCTAGAGGTTTCCGGCGACCAGCTTAACCTGATTCCTCCGTTGAACTTCGCGATGGTCGATAACGGTATCTTCCGGTCTGGATTCCCGGACTCGGCGAACTTCTCCTTCCTCAAGACTCTCGGTCTCCGCTCAATCATGTAACCTTCGATCAATTGACTGAATCTTTTTTTTTGTGAAATTGCTGATTTTAGGGTTCTTCTTTTTTGTTTGTTTGGTTATGCGAAAATGTGTGAAGATCTTTGTGTCCAGAGCCGTATCGTGACAACAACATGCAGTTCCTCAAATCCAATGGAATTAAGCTTTTCCAGTTTGGCATTCAAGGCTACAAGGTTTGTCTCATTTTGCACTTTATGTTGCTCTCTGTTCATAAATAATACTATTCATTTCTAATTCTAAGTGCTTCGTCACTGGCTTTGTTCTGTTCTGTATTATATTCTGATTTTTGTTCTAAAAACCTGAATTTATAGAGAGAATACTCAGAATTGAAATTTTGATATTTCTTGGATAACTTCAATTTACAGCGCCTACCAGGACTAGAGAACGAGGTTTGGTTGCATATTTGGAATTCTAAGCACCAGAAAGAGGCTTCCTATACAAATGGAAATTCCAAAACTTCGGTATTAATCTGATTACTTATCATGATTTGAATAGCTTAATGTCACCTAATTGTTCTTGAAGATTGTCTCACTAGTTTCATCTTAACTTTAGGCATTTTATGATTTAGACTAGGAAAATGGCATTTCATGTGTGGATTTTCTTGTCTTGGACTTGACCCTTTTAAGAGGTTATTCTAATGCATAATTTTTTTTATATGACCTCCCAAGAAAAGCGTACACCATTCTTTAATGCCCTTTTTGAAGGGATGCTTTTTTCTTGGCTCTGTCCGTTACCATTTACTTGATGGACCCACCGTTTGTTTTCTTGCCATTCGTCAACAACTTGGTTCTTTCACTGTTCATATATAAAAAAAATTGATTAGATAATGGGGTGCGTCAAAGAAATGCTGGGCTGCTTAATACAAGTGTTGTCAGAGATCCACTAGTTCGAAAGTTTTTACTTTCCTTTGTGTTCTATTTGATACTGTTTTCTTGGTTCGTGTTAGTTGCGCGTGCGTGCACTTTGATGCATGAATGGTATCTTATGTAATCTTGAGAGAAAGTGTCTCTTGAGGCAGCACAAGTTGTAGTTGAAGTAGAAAATATGCCCCAACTTTATGGTTTTGATGGTGAAAGCTTTGTAGAAAGTGACTTGTCGAAAAGTATATCCACATATGAACACTGGTGGTAGGTCTCATATCTTATTCAAGTTGGAATTGTTGAAAGCGATAGATGGTTAAGTTCTATGTCAGTTACTGTTGTTTAATACCTACCTACTTGATGTTGCTTTACTATGTTTTAGTGGCTTATGTCTGCTTATGACTTTTCATTTCAAGGAAGTGTTGGTAATAGAACACTTATAGGGTCGTAAACTAGTTACCTTAAACGCAAAGTTCGAGTTCGTAATTTTTTAGATTTCAAAAAAGCCAACCAAACATTTTACTTAGTTTGTTGAAACAAGTTTTACAAACTTGTGATGGGGGATGCTAGTTTAATTTGATCTAGATCATCTTTATAATCGAGAAGAGGAGACTGAAAGTAAATAGAATTGGTGCTGGTATGCTGGTTTGGTAGTGATTGTTATCACACCCACAAACTCAGCCAGTCAGCCTTGTGTTGTCAAGTTCTGTTCTTAGGATAGTTTGTCAATTTTGCATTTTAGACTAAAAATGAGGTTAAGTGGCTTTGCTCTTCTTCTTAGAGTGATTGGACTAGAAGAGTGTTGGATATTCCACACTCACTCACATTTTCTTTGATGTGTCTCTCTAGTTTTATATTCTGCTTATTGGCTAAGATTCTTTATGTTGTGACAACTCTCTAGTCTTCATAGGAAATCATTTTCGTCTTCGATATTGGCAGCTTTTTTATGGACCCTCTTTGATTTTGTGGTTATTTTTGATTGTGCATAACTTTTAACCTAAGCAAGACAGAATATAATACACACCTATGAAATAGCCAACCAACTCATTTGGCTGATCAATTGCTGTTTCATGAAAACAAACTTAATATAACCAATATTTGTAATGTTTCATTTTTTTTTTCTGGCTTATGAAATAGACCTAAAGATTTGCCAGAGAATTGATCAATATGATGATCTTTTTATATAAAACTCTTATAAGAGTTACCAATGAACTAATATGTTGATCTTTTTCTTCCTTTTTTCTCATTTGCAGGAACCATTTGTATATATTCCAGATAATAAGATCCGTGAAGCACTTAAAGTCCTTCTTGGTACGAATCATAGAATCCCTAATAAGGAAAAACAATATCTTTCTTGCGTATATGATGTCTTCTAACTTAACGTTTTTTTCATGTTCTTTTCAATCCTCAGATGAGAAGAACCATCCACTTCTGATTCATTGCAACCGAGGCAAGGTATGTAAAATTGTAAATTTATTGAAAATCTCTCCTTAATTTAGTTTTCTTTGATTTTCACTCAAATTAAAACATTGATTTTGATGACCTTTTGCAGCATAGGACAGGGTGTCTTGTTGGGTGCATGAGGAAACTCCAGAAATGGTGCTTGCCATCGATATTTGACGAGTACCAGCGATTTGCAGCTGGTAAAGCTAGAGTTTCTGATCAAAGGTTCATGGAGTTATTCGACGTTTCCAGCTTGAAGCACATCCCAATGTCTTTCTCTTGCAACAACAACAACAACAGGAGTAGGTGAAAAATGAAAACGAGAAGAAAGGTTTTGATCAATCGGTCAGTCCCTTGAGCCCTTATTTTTCTATATTAAACAACAACAACAAAAAGGAGGAGAGAAACCATGAGTTTACCCGGAGAAATCATCATTTTTCTGGTTTTTGTTTTTGTTTCTCTTTCTCGTAAATCAATAATACCAATATAATAATTGGAAGAAGAAGGAGAAGAAGAAGAGTAGTTTCCTTTTCTTCAGATTCTTTTGTATGCTAATAATGTAATATGTAAGCATATATAGCTAGATAAATTATTACAGATAAATAATATTTTTTTCTTGATTCTGATGAAAACCTTGTGTCAGTTATTATTCTTCCAACAATTCGCGCCAAGAATCTATTTCAAAAAAACAGAACAAAAAAACGCGCCAAGAGTGTAACTGCCTAACTGTTACTCGTTTTAAGCGATACACTAGACTTTGCCTCTCTAGGTCACAACAAGAGTTTTAAATTCCAGTCGGGAAATAGTAAACTCAAGTTCTATACATCTACTCCATTAAGGATTGATCAAGCTACGAAAATTCGATGTCCGTTGCACTAAATTACTAATGGTGCATTTGTATTCTCAGTTTGTTAACTGTGTTGCTTCATCAAACTCAACAATGTTATCATTGTTATGCTCTGCAAAGTTGTAAAAACGCTTTCCCTTTCTGTTCATATCGAAAACTTATATCAAGTCTGAGGAAGACAACATGAGATTTACAAGAAATGTGAGCGTGACTCCTATCTTTCCTATATACAACATCATTTGGCTGAGATTTGGGACAAATGTTTCCTGACGACAAAACATGAGATAAAAAAGTATAACACTATCTATCTAAACCCTAAAAAAAAAAAAAAAAAATCAAGATTCTTGCGTTGACTTTCTATGCAAGGTGCAATTTCCTTCTCGTCGTATCTTCTCCCTGCGAGAAATCATCAAAACCGGTGTGAGATACTCAGATAAGCCAAAACTTAATTCCGGTGAGAGAATAACACTGTTGACATTGAGAAAAAAAACTCACTGTACGCTGAATGTTCTTAGATGACTTGCCATGTTTTAAATCTACAGATTCTGATCTCGAGGTTCGTCCATGTAGTCTCTGTATAAACTCTTGTATGTGATTATATATACTGCAAAAGTGAAAACCATAATAAGCACACAAATATATCTCAGAAAACTAGTCAAATAGCAAAGTGTGTAACAAAACTACTTTACCTAAGCCGATGTCTGTTACAGGCAGCAAAGAAGGCGACAAAACCGTTCAATATACTCCTGACAGCACGAAAAACCTGCAAAGATGAAGCAAACACAAACACATTTAGTAAAGATTCAAGTTGTAATCTGATTCTTTGTTATTGTACTTGGAATTGTTCACTGACATGAGAAAAGAGATCGTTCCAAAGTGTACGCCACATGGAGACTTCATAAGTCTTCACAGCTGATTGTGAATCTGATGCGAGCTGAAGTATGCTACTCATATACCGCCATAGATCTCCGAGCACATCGAATATGTATGAGAAGGAAAAAGATAAACCGTTGGCCAACGCAGCAACCACCCTAATCGGTGCATATAACACTTCCCATAAGATCCAGAACAGAGGAAGCAGAACAGTATTTGCTGCAGCATCGAAACGTAATCAAGATCAGGAATTCGATAACAAGCATAAAAGAGTAAGAAAAAGTGATACTCAAGCGAGGAGTTGTTTTACTTACTGACGTTCCAAACCAGCGAGAGGATAAACCAAATGGGTAAGAGCACCAGCTCTACCACATCACCAACGAGATTGCAACCAGACTCAATCACTATCCAAACCACTGAAACCAAGCTCACCACTGTTTCCGCCAGCGAGTTCCACAACGGTAGGAGCAGACCAAGAACTTCCAAGAGAGGATTTACCAGAGGCATAATGAGTAAAGAAACAAACGACTGCATCGCACGTGCCATAGTCAGAGAATACTTGACAGCTTTCTGAAAGTTGTGAAGAAACAGCATCGTTCCCAAGTACTTGATCCTTGATACCATGTCCCATGTTTCAACCCAGTCAAAGAGTGGCCCGCATAGCCTAGATGCAGTGGCCTTAAGAACCGGGACATTTTTGTACAGGTCATAGAAACCGATCACAACGGTGATGACTGATACCATCACATATAGTCCTCTGGCCAAAAGGCACATCCACGGTCGATAGAGATGGCAGAAGCCAGGATAAGACTGTAGAAACAAGACCCATGAAGGAAGACCAGCTTCAAGTAAAGTAAGCAAGCGAATGTCAGCCATTATCACCTCTCGCAATTTGAAAGGGAGATGACGATCACCAAACCTAACAAGAACTAGGACATCTTTATACTCTGTTGCTTCAGTGACGTTCTCACTATCATCAGGTACATGGCTTTCCCAGTGGTCGAACGAGTTGCTTTTTCTTTTGGGTGTTTCCTCCATATAATCAACTTCAACTCCGCTGCTGAATGACTTGGTTACTCGTCTTCTCTTGTATGGTCCAGTCAGAGGCGGTGTGTGAGGCTCGTTTTCATCATAATCTTCTGCAGTAGAATGGTCAACGCTAAAGACACTTCTGGAGCAGCAAGGAGAGTAGTCATGTTCAATAGAAACATTGTCACTCCCAAGGTTTTCGTCATCATCAACAGGATATGTTTTCGAGAAATCTTCTTCAGCGTCATGAAAAACGTCTCCTGAAAGAGTTACAATGCTGTAAGCTTTTTGAGCCAGGGAACATTGTAGAGCAAAAGAAATTCCTTAAAGAAAACTGATAATACCTTTAGTTGTATGAAGATATTCCCTCAAGCAAGACATTTCAGCTTTTGATCCAGAGAACCACTGAGACATACTTGTTACAGCTTGATCGATACTCTCAAACTCCCACCTTCGCATCAACTTAGCCTCTATAGCAAGAGATGTGTCTGTCTACACAAAAAAAAAAAATCAATCAAGTAAGAATCAATGAAGGCATACAATGTCAGACGAAAACAGAGGAGGGTTGCAAGTAGTACCAGTAGCTCATTCACGTAATTGATACCCCTAACATTGGCCCATTCAACTTCAAACACGATGAAACCGTACAAGGTCTTGTGCAGCTGCTGGTTTAGATACAAAGCGCTTTGCAGTTTCTTTGCAGGTAGTCTATTCTTTGAAAAAGTTGTCGCATCGATCAACGAGAACCATTTCTTTAGGTTCCTCATTTTCCTGTTGTCGGGCTCTGAACACGTCTCTTTGGGCTTCTTCTCCTCCTCCTCCTCCTCCTGCTTCTGCTTCTTCTTCTCCGCTCGACCTTTCGTGTTTGCAAAAGGGGAGAGTCTGGACTGCAAACAAAGATAGATGGGGTTACTTCATCATAAATTTTCACCTGAGTAACAACGAGAAATGTACTTAACAGGCAGTTTTGACAACCTTTGTAACCATTAGTTGCCAGAAGTGAGCAGATCGGGTGCCAGGATTCAGCCATGGCCGGTTGTCCACCAATATGTAAATCTTTTTACTTTTATTGCCCAGGAAAATACTCAGATCAGAAAGATATGACTGCAAGTCTCTGAAACCAACGGAAAAAGTATCAGGCAAATAAAACGTGACAATGTTGTTTGGACTTTGAAACAAACACACAACTATTATCACATCAAGAGCACTGATGAGATAAAAGAAGCCACACAATGAGACTTGTTCAAGAAATCACAAACGTGACCGTATTGCCTTCCATAGAGAAGAAAAATTCATGAAATTGGACAAGAGAGTTTGCTTCTTCAACTATAATTCACTTCAGAGGACATGTTTAAGATATTAACACCAAGAATTCTATTTACTTTGAATTTAGGATGTGGGAACAAAAAAATACGATTGCTTATGAAATGCAGAACATAAATCTAATTTGCCAAAACCAAAAAAGATAAACAAGACTTGAATAATATTGAACAAGCAAACACAGAACAGGAAACTATATTCATCCTTCTAAAAAAAGTCACATAATTTCATATTCATAGACAAACTACAGAATCATTAATCTCTGAATTTACAAAATTTTGGAATTGCGATCAAAGAGAAAAGAGAAATTACCCGATCTGGAGACTCGTCAAGGGGAAAACACATTTTGTTTCATCACCATTCCCCATTTCAAATCCGATGACTGAGCTCTAATTTCCAATTAAACCTCAAATTGACCTCAAGATGGCTCAAAATCACTGGAAAAAAAAGAACAAAAAAGGTTCAGATAATTCGTCATTATCATACTCCACAACAAACACACCTAATTCTCCACAGAAATTACAATAACTACGTCTAGGAGAGGAAGGAGGTGAAGCAATTACCGTCAAAAAATATCTAGAAATAAATGGGGGATGGTAAGACGATGACATAAATATCAGGAAATTTGTAAATTGTGATTCCTTAATCGAAAAGGAAACTCTAAATGTCTAAGGTAAGGAAACTCGATGACAAAAGAAAAAACGAGCTCAAAATCGAATTGAATCGATTCAATACCGCCCACCGGCGAACGACGAGAGCCGGAGAAACTGAACCACGCGGAACGACGACGGATCAGATGAAATCAAAATCCCCAATAATGTAGGAAAATCAGGAAATAAAACTGGTGGTTTATCACCAGAGAATCAACAAATCCTGAATTTCAAATTTCAAAGAGAGAGAGAGGAGAGGGGGAGAGAATTTGGGTTTACTTGGAATGACGAGAGAAGAATATCTCTCAAAACAGAGGAAGGCGTGAGGGGGGTAAAACGGTAAAATTGATAGCCGAGGAAGACGGAGAAAGAGGATTGTGTGTTATGGCGCCAGAGGGTCGTCGGTTTTTATCTCACCGGAGCACGTTCAAGAGAGAGAGAGAGAGACGAGAGAGAGGGCTTATGGAAGATAATTAAACGCGTGGATAAGGTCCAACAATGGCAAGCGCGTGTAGGGGTTTTATTTGTGAAAATTTGAATTAAGGTCCTTTAGGATTTTGATTCTCCCAGAAAATCCGTATATAATAAAAAGAGATTAGAATGAATCTTTGTACAATAATCGGTGATAAAGCCAAAAAATTTCATAATTATCTAATCAATAGTCAAAAAAAATTGTTACACAAGTTATGGTTATCTATAGATTTTTGAATTTAAATGATATAACTAATTAAAAATTGAAGACATCAAAATAGGTGTTGAGAATTGAAATTGACGCATGGGAAAGAAGAAGACAATGAAATGACATACATTTATGAAGTTATTTGGGGCTTTATGGTTTCTTGAAGAGCGTATCATCGTCATTTAAGTTGTGACATGTACACGAATATTCATCGCATAGGTGTGGGTGGGTACATAAATTGCTTGCAGATATTTACTTCCGTTTGATTGAATTGCACGCAAACGAAAATAAATTTATTTTCTTGAAACTTGAGAAAATAAATGACCTCATTTTTTAGGAGTATTAAAGAAAACTTTTTTTGATTTTTTTGAGCAAAATGGTCTCAAACAGAGACGGAATCTAGCAAATGGCATATGCTTTTTACAATTTTACAAACTGGACGAGAGCGTTGAACTATTATTTATCCATCTGTCAAGTTCGTTCTGAAATCAAACCTATATATGGATTATTGAATCCAACGAGTAGTTTAGCACACATAATTTCATATAAACAACGTCGGTGCGGTTATCCTGATTCCTTCCTATTGTTCAAAAAAAATATTTTCTTTCTAAAATTTTAGTTTCTTTGTCAACATTTTCTTTCTAATTCAAGCAAGTACTATGTAGTTTTTGGGTTTGTGAAAGAATTTCTAAGATGGGAAAGGAAACAGATAAAGAAAAGGAAAATGGATTTGTTTGGGTTTGGTAAAAAGGGGACGCGCATTGGGCGCGTGAAGATATGGAGTGGTGGGCCAATGACCAAATCAAAATTTGGACGTATGTGATCGATTCTGTTTCGAATACAAAAACCACGGAAATATAGAGAGCTCGTGGTGGGTCCTCAACGCCGCTTTATCATTCTATCTACTTGGAAGTCTTGAAGCTAAACTACATGAATAATAATTGAGAAACCAACCAAGTGATGTTTCTCAATAAATCTACAAGCCTATGCTGCATTATTGCATATTCACGTTACATACATTATAGTACAAAACAACAAAAATATGTTTGCTCATTATGAATTTTTTGATCGACCGCTTATTGAATTTCATGTAATCAATTTACGATCAAATAACTTCGAATAGTTTTGTTCTTTGTATTTTAAAACGAATGGTTGTAGACTTGTAGTCTGTCTGTCATGTATATTATCAAGAAGTGTTGTGAATTGTGATGGATTTGGATTGGTTTAAAGACGAGTCAGCAATTCTATATGAATATGGTTTAAAAACAATCCAATTGTTCATTTTGTTTTCAAAAGTCGTAGTTATCTAATTAAACCATACCCAACAATGGCCGAATTGATAAAATCCGGCAATGTAGTATTCGACTCTTCTAATGGAGATATTCCGTGTAGACCAATTCTCGTGTGTACCTGAAACGTAGTAATAAGAATGGACTAATTAATCAACTTATCAATTAATGGTCGTGGTAGTTGTAATACAATGGTGTGTATTTGATTATTTTTTTTGGACAAACAATGGCGTGTATTTTGATAAGTCAATGTTTTTTTTGTTAATGCAGTGATAAGTCTGAATGATTAAATTGGAAAGGAAGAAATTTTATCACACTAGTCAAATTTCGGGTATCAATTTTCGTTGTGTTGTATCTTCTATCTAGTCAATACATAATACATTCATTAATGTTGATTTCATATTCTAAAATCTAAATCTTGTTCTGAGTTTTAGTCATAGATTCGGTTGTTACCAAACAAATACTCCCTCCATTTTTTTAAGATGAATTTTCTAGAGTTTTCACATATATTAAGAAAAAGTTGTAGATTTTGGCAATAAAATAACTTTCTATAAATTTAGACCAATAAAAATCTAACAAATCCAATTACTGTTTTTTAAAAGCTGAAAAAGTACTTCAAAAAACTAAAAATTTTATCTTTATGAAACAACAAAAAATGTCCAGAAAATTCATTTAAAAAAAACGGAGAGAGTAATGAATTTAAGCGGTTTTGCCTCTAATATTTTGATAACAATAATAATACTCCTTAATGTAAATCTGCTTTTTAGACCAGGCCAGTCTGTGTAAGTATAGGTTGCTAAATATGATTAGGTGCGGTTCTCAATTAAAGCCGTCTTAAATTCATGGTCTACACTCTACAGTCTACACTCGACAACACCTAGACCATGAATTAACGATTTTAACTTTTTGTTTATTTTATCGATTAGTTTGTTTTAAAAATACTAATTTGCTATAGACCCATCTTTAGTTAGATTTAGGGTTCTCCACTAACCAAATTCTTCATACTTGTTAAATACAATCTGAATTGTTCATATATTTTTGATAGCCATATGCCCATATCCCAGCTGATCTCTTTTTATTGTTTGGTCGAATGATTTTTTGATTCTCAAATCAAATTTAACATTCACAATTCGTCTCCAATAAATTCAATAACACCTTGACATTCTTTTAGACATAAGCAAGCACATGTAAGAACTTAGAAACATTTACTTCTACATACAATTGGAAAACCAAGGTTAACAAATATACACAATTTCATCTAATTTCAAGTTCCACACAAAGATTTTCAGGTAGATTCAAATCCATAAAAGGACACTAATGTTGATAAAGCAAAACCACAACCGTTATTTAAAACCTCAAGCAAAAGCAACACCCACCTGATCAAACGCTACTCTTCTTAACCGAAGGAGGCCAAGATAGTCTCCGGTCAATTTCACCATCGTCTTCTTCTTCTGCATTAATTTGATCATCATTTTGTCTCCTTGTGTTCTCAACAGCTAATTCATCGAAGCTTGAATCTATTCTCTCGTGAGGTGGAGTCACACAATCTGAGTCTCCATGAGTCATTTCGTTCGCTCCTGGTGTTGTTGGTAAAGAAGCTGCAGTGTTACCAACTCGAAGATCTCGAAGAGTTGCGAATGATTCTCTCATCGCAGACATTGCCTCAAAGAATCTCGTGCATGACGCTAGTGCCACCGGTATTGGACGCAGCATTTCCTATAAAATATGTAACCAAGATTTGAGATACAGAGTTTTCCTCTTTACACTATGTACAGTGCGAGGCACTAAACATGTGGAGTTATGTCTGAAAGAGCCAAATGCAACAAGCCAAGATTCATGTTAAAGAGAGTCAAAATCATACCCCCCAGACTGAAGGAGGTTCTTTAAAGTTTTGGCTCCACTGAAAATCAGAGACTGATGCTGTTAAGGCGCCATAATCACTGGCTGCTTTCATTAGCAACTCTGAAAATTGTTTCTGAAAAACAAAGCTATTAGAGAACGCATCTTCTTTTTTCCAGTTGAGCAAATTTTCAGATACAAATCCAAGTTTAGGATAATAGAGCAATAAGGTTTAGTTGGTAATTAAAGTAGCAAATTTCCATAGACTCACCTGATATTCTGCTTCAACTGGAATGCAATCTAGTGAGTAAGGTTGTTGGAGACGAGCAATGATGCGATCCTGTTATATAAACAGAAAAACGAAGTAAAGAGACTGCATCTAGAAGTTCATGAAGTGAAGACTCCCTCAAAAGCTAATGTTTCCAATGAGCAAGAACTCCAATTTCTCAATTTTCAGAACGATAAAGTAGATACTGGATAAAACGGATATTGTATAAATGAAGAAAAGAGAGATACATGAACTGGAAAGATACATAAACCTTTTTTTTCAGAAGAAGAAAAGATTTTAGAGGCAAGTTTTAAGGAATTTTTGTACCTTGTTTTGAATAACATCTTTCAATATTTGAGTCATCCTTGAGAGAGTATCGATTTTCTTCTGCATTTCACTCGCATGAGTCAAATGCGCCACATTTTTGTCATCCTGAAATTTGCCAACAAAGAAGTTATATAATACAAAGCATTTATCAAAACCTTTATATGCAATGCAGATAATTTGATCCATTCCACTTCTGAAAGAGAAATAAAACCTGAAAACAAAAATACCTTCCTCCCTTGAAGTTCGACCTGCAAATCTGCAATTTTCCTTTGGACAGCAGATAACTCTCTCAAGACTTTTATCAAGTCGTCACCTCTTTCGCCATTTGAAGATGCCAAGCTTTGTAACTCTTCCTACATTGTAAAAATGATTGAGCTCGATTCATTATGCATTACCAAGTCGTCACCACATTGATATGATGAATACGAAAATGTAGCCAATTGAACAGGCAAATTCCATTAAATCTTCTCTAATTCAGGACAGATTCAGATTCAAAACTTATCAAGCCCAGAGATCAAGAATCAAAACATATGGGTCTAGAGATTCGCATCACTCACAAGCAGCCTAAAATTCCCGACTGCTCAGAAACATAAAGCTCCTTCATAACAACAGATCTCATACCATTTCTTCTGCAAATCAATATACTAGCAACAAACAGAGTATTATACTATAAGCTAATCAGAGTACACATGGAGCTGAAATTCCGTTTTATGTGAGGTTCAAGCTACGGAGTAAGAGAAGCGATTGGTGAGTTACCTGCGACGGAGGAGGAGCGACGGCGTAACCGAGATCGGATGCGATGGAGAGAGCGTCGGATAATCCGCCAATGCGCCTGATCGGTTTCTTCCCCACCCACGTCGAATCGCTTCCCATTGACATTTCTCCACAAGCTTTCCGATGAAGAACACTTCGACGGTGGCGGATCCCGGATTAGTTCTGGTTGTGGGAAAGGGAAAAATAATAACAAAAATTCAAAAACTTTTGTTGATAAACTTTAATTCAGTTTAAATCATTTTTAAGCATAGCAGAAAACTTAGAAATGACTCAAGGTAATAGAAAAAGGCTTAAGCCCATCTATTGGTTTAGCACGGCCCAACGTACTATGGGCAAGAAATATGGCACTGTTTTTCTGATATGTAAGAGAAAAAGCAAGAACCTGAAAACCCAATGGAATATTTGTTTCCTTCAATCCAAATACAACAGCAAAAATTTTTAAAAATTTGAATTCTAAAAAAGTGAAGTTATACAAAAATGAACACAAGTCGAATCGTGTTAGAGAAAGGTTAGGAGCAAAACATATAACTTAGGCTTGCTTCGCAGTCTAAATTACCACAAATCCTTTGGTTTAACTTTAGCGTGTTCACACAACCAAAACATTACATTGGGATTTAACAAAGGGGCAGTCCGTGAATTAAGCCATTATAGATAATTGGTTCCACCAGGTTTATACAGTGATAACTTAAAGAGTATGGGACCGTCGGTGGGAGATTATGAAAATTTGGAACGCCTAGAAAGATTCGAGCTAAGAAAGTTATTCCCTTTAGTCTTTAGCTTTTGTACAAAAGACTCTTTTATATAAAGATGTGACAGATCTAGTGATTAACTAATTTCTTAACTAAATGATTGGGATTTGATTGTTAAATTATGTAATTTTGGTATGTTTTTTATTCGGATCACCAATCATTTTGCATGGATGAGAAAGAGAGTATGAAAAAAAGTGAGAGAGAACAAAATTCATTGACTGATTATTGATCTTTCATTCTTTGTCATGTTATCGACTTGTTATCATCAATAAAATAAAGAATTGGTGGTGAGGGAATAAACAAGCAAAAGGGAGTTCGATCGATCACGTTTAATATTTGATCATATGAGTTTAGTTACTTAAATAAATGAGAATGGACTTTGAAGTTTCCAGATTTGATTGTGCAGGAACATGGAGATCTCATTGTATCGTTGCCCATAAAACTTAAGACGATAATAATAGTTTAGTTTGTTTCATACCAAAAGAAAAAGAAAACACAGTTTAGTTTGTACTGAACTGATGCTTCAGCCTCACACCAATATTTTGTTAGATTCGGAGAAGTCCTAGGATATATCAACAAAATTGGCAGATAGTACTAATGTACATATTTTTCTCTTCAGTTAATTTAAACTTCGAGTTATTTAGTCCACGTGTATATTTTATATATTATAATATCACAAATCGAGTATCTCAGCACACAAAACCAAAAAAATAACACAATCTCTCCCAAGAGAAATATATACTACTCACCAAATGAGCTAATCATACAGGGTAAAATAAAACTAGTACAGTACTACTATTGTTTATTTAATCTAATAAAGTTTCATTACTCACCAAATGAGCTAATATTCTATCGAAGTTTCTTTATACGATCGTAGGAGGAATAGTGTGTAGCTTCGTTGGAGTATGAGAGGCCGTCGGTGATGTGCTTGAGAAATTTCTGACCCTAAGAGACACGCGGCGCTCATTCATTTGATTAGAGAAGAGTTATTTTTGGAAATGGAATGAAGAAGATGGGACCTACCAACGACAGCATTATTAATTCCGAAGATTTGGAGTTAATTTTCTTTAGCCAGGTTGCTTCCCGCGCGTTGCACGAACCACACCACACACTACACACCAAAGCAAATACTAGCAAAATAAATTGTTTACATTTTTTTGACGGCAGGCAAATAAACTGTTTATGTAAAGCGAATAAATAAGTGTTTGTGTTTATTTTTATAGCAAACAACAACCTTATAAGATTGTGAGTTTTATCAGCTGTAAAATCACAAAGATAACTTCCGAGTTTATCTTTGCACCAACAAAAAAAAACTTCCGAGTTTATCTGTTTTACACTATTTTTGTCAAAAGGATATTAGCTAGCTAATTAGTAGAGATTTCTGTGTGCAAATCCTCTAATAAAATGCAAAGCACATGGACAATGCACACATTCGTTTTTCTTAAAATTTCAAATTTATTATCTCTAGCCCTCTAGGAATATAAATTGCATATATTTTAGAAAGTACGTAGAGGTTGATTCTGTGTGTATTGTTTCACCAGTCTGATTTCAAGATTCAGTTGAAAATTTGGTGGAGGCGAATGTTCTGTGTCGGACCTAACTCATTTTCAGAACTAATAAATCAAAGGGACGTGATTGGATCGAGTTTTAACCTTCGAATATGTTGACCTTAACTTACTTAACAGTTACAGGACTATCAGTTTCGTTTGTCAGCAGGTATTATGATAATCCGATTATTGTTGATGAACGATAACAAATAAATCACATGTTCCCCGTTAATAGCTTAGTATATCAACTAGTATCAGTTTTGTTTGTCAGCAGGTATTATATTACTCCGGCTATTGTTGATAAACGATAAACAAATAAATCACATGTTCCCCGTTAACCGCAGCTTAGTAGTAGTATGAAGTTTTACGTCTCGATGCATTAATTCACCTTTTGGTTCCTTAAGTCAAAGTATTTTGACCAAGTTTGTCGGTCGAGGCTCCAGGGTAACAATGGTGGGACAATATCAAAATGTCGGTGCTCGGGAAAAATAAACCGTCTAAACCGGTAACTCTGAAAACCTGAATTACTGCGAAATTTATGGATGTAGGAACTCTGCACACGTGTAGGTGTCTCTTAGTGGCATACCCCACGGTTTAATTGGTGGAGGAAACTATAATCCTGAACCATCTTTAAACCTGAATATAAAAATTTTGTCGACAAAATTTGACGTTACTTCAAAACTATTGTTTGAGTCCCCTTATTGTGTGATTGTTTTAAAACGTGTGTAACCGCATTGCCCTTATCCCTGGTGTTTGTGCATGGAAGGCTGTGAAAAGCTGACCAAACCTTTTAGAGTTTTGTGAGTTAATTATCGTGAATACTACTAGCACGATATATCATATATAACATGTCACCAGCTATACCGATGCTTTTATCGAGGAATTAAAATGTAAGAATTGCTCTCTTGAACATCGATTTTCTTTTATTGTTTCTTCATGATTGATGAATGCGGGTGGAAAGTGAATGCATAAGTATAACCACTGGGGATAAAAATATAGTCATTCGAAAAAATGCAATCTTACCAATGGAGTCTTTTTCTACCTCAGCAGCAGCGTATGCATGCTTAAATTATACGGTTTCAAAAACTCATTTGTCTTCTTAGTCCAAATTCCCAATTAAGTTGTAGTGAGTAACTTTTAGTTAACTAATTAATTAATTGGACCGTTTCATTGAAACTTGTAATAAGTAGTTTATTAATTAAGTGGACCGTTTCATGCAAAACTGTAATAACTATGTAACTGTTACAACTTCTTTCTTCAACTAACTCGTCGTCTCCTTCTACTTTTAAAAAATTTCCACAAAATCGCTAAACAAGTTGAAATTATTAACACCCTTTTGAAAAAAAAAGTGAAATCATTACCATAAACCACCTTCACAAAGTCTATATTCTGAATTTCAGAAAGTCTAACATATACTACTTTATAGAGAAAAATAAGCACTTTGAATTAAATTGGAGTATACAACTTTTTCAACAATAATTCGTCCAGATTTGCACAGCAAAAGCAATAACTAGCTGCATAAATTACGCCCATTAGTAAGCCCATTACCACTAATAAGTGGAAAAAGCAAAAGTCTCTCATGTGAAATTTGTAAGATTTAATACAAAAGTTACCACAAAACAAAACAAAAAAGAAACAAAAGTCACGTCATCTCTCTCTCTCCTCCACCACTCCACACAGCTTTCAAATATACCCTGCGAAGAGCAGAGAAAGGAAGAGACTAGCTAGAGAGGCCATCGCTTTCTCTCTCTCTCTCTCTCTCCCTTCATCTCCAACAGAGACTTGAAAAGAGAGATCCTCAAGTATGACAATGAGGGAGATTCACCGACTCAAGCGATGGCATTTTCTCCTCCTCCTTCCTCTGTTCATTATCTCCTCCGCCGCAACATTGGCCGATCATTCGTCTGAGTCAGATGTCGGAGGATTCGATTACGGCGACGCATTGTCTAAAAGCTTACTCTACTTCGAAGCTCAGAGATCAGGTCGACTTCCGTACAACCAGCGTGTGACGTGGCGTGATCACTCCGGTCTCACCGACGGCCTTGAGCAAGGGGTACAAACTCAAATCGTTAAAATATGATTATACGTTTTTAATTTTTTTTTTGAAATTACAAACTAAGTTTTGCTTAATACAATAAAAGCTAATTAATATTGAGATTTATTGCTGTTTTAATCCATGATGTGACTTTCAAATTTGTAATTGTGGTTTTAGTAGAGAATTTGTTAGTTAAAAATGTAATCAGTGATGTGACTTTAGTTTTAATTTTAACTTTTTTTTTTGTTTATGTAGGTGGATTTAGTGGGAGGGTATCACGACGCCGGAGACCATGTTAAATTCGGACTTCCGATGGCTTTCACGGTGACGATGTTGTCCTGGAGTGTAATAGAGTATGGTGACACACTCGCTTCCACCGGCGAGTTATCTCACGCGCTTGAAGCCATAAAATGGGGAACTGATTACTTCATCAAGGCCCACACAAGCCCAAATGTTCTATGGGCCGAAGTAGGCGACGGAGACACTGACCACTACTGTTGGCAGAGACCAGAGGACATGACGACTTCACGGCGAGCTTTTAAGATAGACGAGAACAATCCGGGATCAGATCTCGCCGGAGAAACCGCGGCGGCTATGGCGGCAGCTTCGATGGTTTTCCGCACAACGAATCCACATTACTCTCACCTTCTCTTGCACCATGCCCAACAAGTACATACACATTTAAACTTTATTTAATGTTTTAAATGTGACAGTTGGAACCGACACTTGTTATTATTTTGTTTTTTTTGGGTCAGGATTTAATTTACTTATGGTCTTTTTTGGTGTAGTTGTTTGAGTTTGGAGACAAGTACAGAGGAAAATACGACGAGAGTCTAAGAGTTGTGAAAAGTTATTATGCCTCGGTGAGTGGTTACATGGACGAGCTTTTATGGGGTGCTACGTGGCTTTATCGAGCCACCGACAATGAACGTTATATGAGTTATGTGGTTGACATGGCTCACCAATTCGGTGGCCTTTCTTGGGCCATGTCCGAGTTTAGCTGGGACGTTAAGTACGCTGGTGTTCAACTCCTCGCTACCATGGTTAGTCTTTTTTCTACTTTATGAAGTCTAATTATAAACAATTTTTTTTACATATCGACTAGTAAAATTCCTAATTTTATTCACTAGCTAAACAATCATCTTAAACGTGGACTTATAAAGATATTTTAACTATATTTATTTACTAAAGTAGAGTATTTATACGACTAACCTCTTAATTGTTAGATCAATCAAGCAAAAATTAAACGGTCCAAGTTATAGTTTTTAATTTTAATTAAACTCCTATTATTGTGTTATGTGATGGGATTACCAAGCTTTAACTTTCTCACGTTTAATTAGGTTGTAACCCAAAGTAAGATGTCCTATGCCTCCCCCCACACACACATTACGTTTAACTATTCAAATACTTTCCTCTTTTGTATGCAACAAAATTAATATTTTAACATAAAAATTTAACAATTTCTTTTTATAATTATATATAGAGCTGAAACAGAACTAAAAGTCACGTGCTTCTGTTCCTCTTATGGCGGGTTACGTCTCTTCAAATGGTTCTGTCATACGGCACGTGATTCTTAACCTACTTGCTAAATCAGTTTTCTTAGGCATAAAATAGTCAACGACAGTTACTCTAGTTTGCGTCACTACTCACTAGTACGTATAAGATTTAAGATTTGTGATCAAATTTGTATATTTACGATTTATGTAGTAAGGTTTAAGATTCAAGTCTCAGAGTTTAAACTCTTTTTAGATTTTTAGACTGTATAATATGGTTAATTTTACTATCTAAGTCTTGATTTATCTTCCTAATTTTTGCTATGAGCTCATAACTCTCTCAATTTCAGTACACCGGTCTCTTTTATCGGAATTACCTGTGTAATTGTTTTTTTTTTATTTTTTTTATTATATACTCTCAAGTCTCAACTGATTCGTTTTTCCTTTCATACATTTATACTTTCTTTTATGTTGACTCATTTTTCAGTTGGTAAAAGAAGAAAAGCACAAGCGACATTCTAAAGTCCTACAACAATACAAATCAAAGGCGGATCACTATCTATGCTCAATTCTCAACAAGAACATCAACGCCACAAATGTCCAAAGAACTCCGGCCGGTTTACTCTACGTCCGGCAATGGAACAATATGCAATACGTTTCCACCGCATCTTTCCTCCTAACCGTATATTCCGACCATCTCCGAAAATCAAACTCCGACCTCAAGTGTCACGAAGGAACCGTAACTCCCGACGAGATGCTCGAGTTTACGAAGTCCCAAATCGACTACATTTTAGGATCAAATCCGATGAAAACAAGTTATCTAGTCGGATACGGTCCGAAATATCCTAACAGGGTTCATCATAGAGGTGCATCAATCGCGTCTTACAAAGAACACAAAGCGTTCATCGGATGCACTCAAGGATATGATAATTGGTACGGACGGTCCGAGCCTAATCCAAGTGTTTTGGTCGGGGCTTTGGTCGGTGGACCGGATGACCGAGACGATTTTGTTGACCGGAGGGGTAATTACGTTCAAACCGAGGCTTGTACGTATAATACTGCTCCTTTGGTTGGTGTGTTTGCGAGACTTATAGAGCTTGAAGAGCAAAAACTTGAAGAAGAAGAAAGCTTGGTTGCAACTTATAAGAAGAGATAGTTAAAAAAAAAAAGTTCAAAAAAGAAAAGAAAATTGTTGTTTTATTTGCACCCCTTATATCCATTTTTATATATACCGTTGGTGTTTTTTTTTTGCTCAGCAATTTTTATCGAGTGAAAAGTGTGTATAAATATGAATATTTTAATTATAGGTTAAAGTTTGTTTTAGTCGGTTTTGTTAGTTTACAACTTAACAAGTCATAGAACGGTCGTCTTCTTATCTCATTATACAAGACTGTTAAGCACGGGGAAGTGGTATACACCAAAATAAAAGTATCTAATAGTCTAATATACAGTACAAGCTCTGCAAACTGTTTTGTTTCCAGCAGTGAGGGAAAAGGAGATTATCAGTTAACTCAACAAACAATGCCCATCATACTCCCTCGTTATTGACCATATTTTCACCCACAAGGGATATGGCTGTCGTATGCAAAAGAGAGACGAGACAGGAGAAGAGTAGCAAGACAAAAATGAAATCTAGGGCATATATAACATTAATACACAAGTACAGAGCAAGCAAGGAGTTGTGTCCAGTAAAAGTATTGAACTAGAATCACCCAAAAAGAAAAAAAAAAGAAAAAAGATAGAAAAAATCACCCTGTCATTACGATTCACTAAAATAACAAAGCTCTTAAATAAAAAGAAACAAAAAAAACCAGAGTTTGTTGCCAAGCTCTTACATTAGTATTATGATACAACATAAAACACACTATAAAGCGGCAACGCTTTCAACGTGTTGGGGTGAGACAGAGACGCAGCAAATGTCTGTGAGTGCATAACGGCGCCTAAACTCTTAAGTATCTGCGATTCCGTGGATCCGGACTCTCCTCATGTCTTTTCTGTCAAGGTTGTAGTAGAAAATGTAGAAGGGCTGGACATGATATGTGAGAGTTGTTGGGGAGAAGATGATTTCACCAGCCTTGTTGGTTCCCTGAGAAGTCACATCCCTGCCCATCCCAGGAGAGAAGGGAAGCTCAAATGTTTGCTTGGACCAAACATGTTTCTTCACATCCTCTAGTATCCACAGATCAAATCTGTGGAAAGGAGCAAATGGGAATCTAACAATGGCAGCTAGCTTCCCTTTGTATTCGATCAACACTGTGTAACCCTCCCAAACCAGGACATCCTTGGGCGTCGTGATAAAACTCAGCCTCTCATTCCTAACATCAAAGCACACAAACACCGGAGTCGTTCTTAGCCTTGGGGCCCAAGCACCATAATACACAAAACCACCGATGCAAATTCCCGTAGTTATAGGGTAATAAGGCGAGAATGTAATTTCACTGCGAGACACTACTCCTCCTCCTCCAAATGTTATAACCTCGTGCACTAGAAACCTATGATACTCGTCAGGAGATGACACCAGGGTCAATGCTTTGAACTGATCATCAACGGGATCGTATCCCAATGATGTGCGAGCTCCCTTGCAGGGAAAGGTATTGAATTTCCCCGTGCTAGGGTTACACACGGTGAACTGCAAACCATGACAACAACCGACAAAGCCGTGGACGGAAGTACACTTGGAGCCGTGAGCCAAGGTCACTGAAGGTATTGTCATGTCTAGATTTGCAACCAAAGAAGAAGAAGTTTCCTCTCCCTCGTGTGAAGACGAGAAGATGAACAAACGTCTGGCATCAACCTCGGCTCCTACACTGTTGCTGAGAGCGACAATAAACCGTGATCCCCTCGCGGAGGACATGGCGTAGTAAGAATCCACGAAACTTTGGCTTCGGATAATGGAAGACCAAATCTTGGACACGCATTGGAACTTCATGAGAGACTTTCCCGGCAATCTCATCAGTGTCTCCACCTCAACATCCAAAGGGAGCTGATCTAGCTTACCTGGGCTCTTGTCTCTCTCAACGTCCTCTTTACGGCAAAGGAGCTTCCTTTGTTGATGGGCATTCACCAGAAACTTTCTAGTATGTGTAGCCATCTTCTTCAGATCACGAGGGATCGGTTCCAAGATACTTCGGCTGCTGCTGCAGAAGAATCTGCCCTTCTCATGTTCATAGCGTTTCATGGCGGCTCCCGACGAAACCCTAAATTCGACTCGAAGAAGAAAGATTGGGAAAATTCAGAGAGAATGTGTATGCACAGGCAAGACTTAGATCAAGTTTTTATTTATCCTTGACGAAGATAAAGGACCAAGGAGTTTCCTTCGATTGGGAGGACTTATAAAGAGACTAGTAGAGTACCCGCACGTTTGTGCGGTGTGACGTTGTTGTTTTGTGTAGAAAATTTAAACCCTAAATCCGAACCCGACAAAAAACCCTAATCAAAAAATTTAAAAACCCAAACTTTTTTAATAGGTCTAAACATGAAAATCCGAAATCAAAAAAATCCCGAAAACCCTGACTGAACAAAAAAAATCTGGAAACTTTTTCACCCGGAACCCGACCCCAATACCTAATCAAAATTTTAAAATACTCAATTTTTTTAATATATCTAAACCCGAAAACCAGAAATCTAAAAAATCCGGAAAACCCTAAACTGAAAAAAAAAATTGAACCTAACCCGAACAGAAATTTTCAAAGAAACCCGAACAATTTCTATATCTCTATATATATCTCTATAAAATTATGTCTCAGATTTTCACCCAAACCCGAACTTGTCTATAAAAACCCGAAAATCCAAAAAGCATATTCTATTGATTTGGAATTATCGTTAGATTATGTTAAGTTTTTTTTTTGCAGATTTTTAAGAGATGGAAAACGGAAGTTTTCTAAACCATCGGTTTATTTTAAGTTATTATTCTTGTATCCAAACAATTTTTTCCATTTATTCTTCTATCCAAATAGATTTTTCTCTTATTCTTATATCCAAACAACTTTTGTTTCCATTTATTCTTCTATCCAAATAGATGTTTCTCTAATTCTTGTATCCAAACATTAGAATGTACTTCTCAATTAATAATATAAAGATAGTTAAAAAAAAACTAGTTCAAAAAAAAGAACAGAAAATTGTTGTTTTATTTGCACCCAATTTTGGAGTTTTTTTGGAGACTAAGAAAATTATATCCATTTTTATATATATAGTTATATACCGTTGGAGTTTTTTTGCTCAGCAATTTTTACCGAGTGAAAAGTGTGTACAAATATGAATAATTTAATTATTATAGGTTAAAGTTTGTTTTAGTCGGTTTTGTTAGTTACTATTCATAGAACGGTCGTCTTCTTGCTTCTTGCCTCTGTTTTCTGGTTTATAAATGCAATTACATTTTTACCCCTCGCGTTTTGTTGACGTGGTTGCATCATACGGCGTCGTCTTAGTCTGCTTTATATAAACGACGCTGTTTTAGAAGAAAATTATCATCCTTCGTCTTCTTAGCAAAATTCTGAAAAGTCCCGCCCAAAATTGGGGACGAACACCTTTCGCCGCCAACAATGGCTAATCCGCCGAACGAACCATCGCGTGAAACGAGAGATCAACGCATCGCAGAATTCATCGGTTTGACTTGTGTAACGAGTGAAGAAACGGCAGCCAAGCACCTCAATCGATACGATTGGGATGTAAACTTAGCCGTCGATAATTTTTGGGAAAAGCGCTCTTCACCGCATTCTCAGAACGTGTCGAATTTGAATCGTCCTCTGAGGATTGGCCAATCGAATTCCAAGGATGATCGTACGACGGCTTCGCAGGGTTTCTCTTTCTCAGATCCGGAAATTCCCCCAGGCTTCGAACACGAGAGACGCCCTTCAAGGTAAAATTTATTTTCCTCTTTGCCCGATTCTCGTCCCCAAGAAGTATCTGTTGGGTTGATTTCGTTCTGAATTCGATATTCTCTTCTGGTGATTTCTTGATCTGGGGTTTGTTTCGACTGCTTGTGAGCTGGATAGTTTAGTTTGCAATGTCATTTCTTGAACGATATCTAAAATGTTGGTTTCTGAGTACAATGGATTTGCTTTACTTGTACAGTCCGATAGAAGCTGGTGACGAACAGCAGAGTCCTTTGGATTTGATCTATGACGCTATACCTCTAATGAAGTCATCTCAAGAGAAGGTAGATTCATTTTCTTCTCTTCCTCTGCAACCATATATACTAATTGTGTTGCTGTTTTCTCCGAATTGTGTTTGCTAAAAGCTCAAAACATAACCTTGCAATGAAGAATGTGAAACCTTTTTTTGTTGCTCCGATGTTGATTGATGCATATACACTGTTTGGATTTCTCCATTCAGAAAGAAGACACTGAGGATGACCTTTCGCCGAAGATGGATGTTTGGATTGACCTAATCTGCGATGATACCAAAGTGTCTAGAGAAGAAGCACTCTTTTACCTCGAGGGATTCAAGTGGAAGTTTCATGCGGCCATGGAGGCTTGCCGCAACAAAACATTGCCTCCCGTCGAGGAAACTCCTGTGAGCCAGAAATCCACCTTGGCGGCGGCGCCAATGGTCTCGAATCAGCGGCCGTTCTCGCAGGAGCAACCGTCTCACGCAGCGGCGCCAATGGTCTCGGATCAGTGGCCGTTCTCGCAGGAGCAGCCGTTTCAGACAGCGGCGCCAATGGTCTCGAATCAGTGGCCGTTCTCGCAGGAGCAACCGTCTCAGTCGAACGATGATAAGATCAAACAATTCCTCGAGGTTACTGGTGTAGGGACTAGAGACGAAGCAGTCTTATGCCTCAATCACAAGTTCTGGAACATACAAAGCGCTACCGACTTTTTCTATAAGGAGCGTCATCATTTGTACGCAGAGGATGCACTGATGCATCAAGCGATCGAAATGAGTTTGACGGAGGACAACAGAGGTCTGCCTCGTTCAACGACCGAGAGAGGAAGGTCATCCGGAGAAGCTGGCGAAGGAAACGTCACAGTAGCTGTTCCTGGAACTGCGTCGTCTCAAGTGAATGTATGTAAAGCTTTCCTCTTTCTCTCTCTCTCTCTGCACTCACTATTTACTTATGGTCTTTGCTTGTATGCTTATTGTTACCACTGATTGCTTGCATTTCTCAACATTTTCTCCCGTCTGAGTATTGTGTGTTGTCTTTTGCTTTATATGAACAGAAGAGCGCACAGTTATTCGACGTTCCTATTGACACTGTTCCTATTGGCACCAAAGCTGGGCGGACTGTGAGGCCTCGAGCTGGGAGGATTGTTACTACAACAGAACTACCAGTCAGATTGGCTGATGCGTCTGCGATTATTGTTAGATCAGGCCAAACCGTCAGAGACATACGCAATGCCATTGAAGATCGTAACCCACAGGGCAACATATACTACTATTTAGAGTGTATTCATTCTGGAAAAGCGTACGCTGATTTGGATACAACTGTGGACGAAATTTTATCTGATGGTGCTACGGAACTCATCCAGGTCACCCCCCTTCCGTCGTCGTAGCTTTGGTGTGATACAGTTTCCGCTGATTGGTGAAACACACAGAGAGTGAGAGAGGTGTATATGAGTTTAGAAAGGTTTCTTTGCCTTGTATAAAAAAAGGAAAAATAGAACAGAGCAGCTTTATACTTAGTTTTCAGATAGGAATTGGTAAGGAGAGAGTTCTTATAGCATTGATTCTGTATAGTTACTGCCATTGATGAAATATAGAGAGAACTGAAACAACCGTTTGTTCCTTGTTATCACTTTGCACTCGTCTTCTCCTCTGTTTCTTCATTGTACTTTTCCAAAACAGGAAGCTACTTGCTTTTTCTTTTGACAGTGGAATTGAAGAAAAAGCGATGATGAATAAAAAAAAGACTTAGGTCAAATTCCAAAATGTGAATACAATTATTCGTAATCCTGCTGGAAATTGCAGGGATGCTTATTATAAAAAACCTTTCGAGCAAAAGATTGGTGGTCTTAACAAAGGAAATTGATTCAGTAGCCCTTAAGAGTTCAAACACACTCTTCTCCTTCAAGGTGGATTAGAGATATCAAAGCCAAATTAAAGCAAACAAAGGATGGGGGCTTATTTAGCGGCTTCAAGAGCCGAGGCTCCAGAGATAATCTCGATAAGCTCTGTTGTGATAGAAGCTTGACGAGTCCTGTTGTAAGTAAGGGTGAGACGGTCAAGCATCTCTCCTGCGTTTCTGCTTGAGCTGTCCATGGCAGACATTCTTGCTCCCATCTCACTACACGCATTCTCCAGCACCGCATTGAACATTACCTAAAGTAGAGTTTATGAACACCACCAAAAGCTTATCCTTCTGTTCCTTCTTTCTATGTTTAAAGTTAAACACAATAAATCAAGTTATGTTCTTAGTTACTTACACAAGAGAATTGGAACTCGGCAAGATTCTGCAGGATTTCTCCTTTTGTTTCACCACCTTCAATCTCGTATGAGTCGAGCTCACCGAGTTTCCCTCCAATTTCAGATTCCTTTTCAATAACCTTTCAATGCAAAGAAAACACACGCATAAATTATACGCAAAAAATAGTAGTCCTGAGACATTTGGGAGTTGTGACTTACCTCTGGTGACAAAACAGTGGCCACAGTTGGTAAAAATGCGACAACTGAATGGAACTTGTTGTAGACAATGCGCAAAGCATCAAATTCAACGTTTTTCAGGATGTCATCAGCTAGAACTGAAACCTGAAGCAGCAAGTAACCATAAGAAACATTAAAGTCACGGATACATAGCTCTAGAGCGAATGAATTGGGGGAGAGAAAGTAATGCTCCTAACTATTAGCAGTTATGACCTACCTGAGCATAATTGAGTGGATTCTTGTTCAGCTCTGTTACAGAAAGAGCAATGTCGTTCTTTGAGTCACGGAACATTATAGCCTTTGCTTTCTCTCCGACGATAACAAACTTAACTTCCTTTTCAGGCCCTGCAATGATATAAGAATAAACATTAGATATGGTAATTTAGGTAGCTAAAACCAGGAAACCATCGAAAGTGCTTTCAAAACATACCAGCATTCAACTTGTAGAGAGCCCTGCTCACTTTAACAACAGTGGAGTTAATACCACCGCAAAGACCCTTGTCAGAAGAGAGAGTGACCACCACACTCTTCTTTACATCAATGCCTGATTTTGCCATCAAGTAACGCTAGAAATCAGAAACACATCCCAAAAGAACAAACACAGATAGCAAGAAAATGGACATCTAAAGAATACAGTAGAAGGAAAAGCTTGTTCGTCATCATCAATAAGAAAGCATGTCATGAGCTAATCAACGACAAAAGTATAAATTGATTAAAAAAGAACAATTCTTGATTGTCAGCCATACTGGGATTATCTCCTAGAAGTGCAGTAAATGGCTGCCAAAGTCCACGGGAGTTCTCAGCTCTGCCTTGAACTGCTCTTAGCTTTGAAGCTGCAACCATCTTCATGGCCTTGGTGATCTTTTGGATGTTCTTTACACTCTTCATGCGGTTACGCACTGCACAGAGAATACATATAAAATAGTTCATAATGATTAGAACATCTCGGACTCTTAAAATGACAATCCTAACTACTGCCAGATAGAATTTCCAATTATCAGCCAAGACTTACCCACTTGAGTTGAGATAGATCGAACTCCAAGAGGTCCCTCCTCCCTACAAAACAAATACATGTAAGTCCTCCTCATCATCCAAAATTAATCTTATCAGCAAACAACACCGAAAACAAAATTAAATTGGACCAATAATGGCAATCAAACACCCAAAATAAAAGATAAAAAAAATTGCTGGTCGAAGCAGAATAAATCTGACAAGAGAAGACAACATCTGCATTATCATCATCACCAAGTTTCTACGACATGGTCTAATGAATTCATCTAGCGATATAAAATCGAGATTCAAAAGAAACGAGCTTTACTCAGACGTTTTCTGGATTTCAAAATTCCAAACGGACCATCACAAAAATATTATTCGTTAGCATACCAAGAGTCAAAAAGTAACCAATTCGATTGATTCTCATCAGCTCGAATTTCAAGCAAATAACACCTTTGGTAGTAAAATGCTAACCCTAATGATCATTCATCAAAGTCAGCAAACGTAATCTGACCAAACGATTTCAAATTCGCAAGAGCGACATGGAGGAAATTCGAAATGTTGAGCTTATACGCGGGGATAAGAATGAAGGAGAGAGAGATCTCACTGTTCAGAAGCGAGAGGAGATCGGATGGCAGCGATTGGACGAGCGGCGATTGAAGGGAGGAGACGCCTCCCTTCGCGACGGAAAACAGCCATTGCCATTGATCGAAGATTGACGATAGACAAAAACCTAGCTCCGGCGAATTTCTCAGATCGGTATTTCTCCTTCTCGACTCGGATTATAAGAGATTCGAGAGAAATGAAAGACTGCTATGGCGAAATCAAGGGCTTTGTTTGTCAGAAATACACACTCTCAGCGACGTCGTTTTTGTGATGATGACTACCAAAATTTCTCCTGAATTCAATCTGGGCTCAACAGAGGCTAATACCAAAACTTCATCGGCCCGTTTTGTATGTGTTATTACAAGGCCCAAAATTTCTCATATGCTGATGTGGAGCCTCTCTTCTGTTTGCCACGTCACTACTTTTGTTTCGTTTGAAAATTTGAGTTTCAGTCTTCTCCTCCAATCCACAAACAACAAATCAACGCAACAAACTCTTAAATGTGATACTGGACAATTCAATGATAAGATAAAAATTTCACCAAACTATGAATTATTGAAGCCCCACTTGTATATTTTATTTTGGAAATTAAAAATAATTAAGGACGAGACATGATGTTAAACAAAATTGCCATCATCATCAGATTAGTTACCATGTAAAACTATAATTAATTCGTAACAGTGGACCCAGTGTGCGTTTTAGTGTGAACGTACTGATTTGAATCCAATGTTAAAAAGTCAAATGTTAGTTGAACAAGTCAATTTTATGTCTACACAGAGACATAGAGATACCCACGTGGAATTCACTTCATGAACTGTATAACTCCTAGACATACACGTGGCATACAGACCCCACATATTTATTATTGCTGACGATATTAATACAGTTCGATCTGAATACAGTTTGGTCTTTTCAAGCGATGGCGGCTTAAAATAAGTAATAACCATTTATAGCTTTTCCAATGACTATTTGGTTCAATAATTTCCCCACAAACTTTTTCAATCATAATGTTGCTTTCGCGTCTGCGTTTGCGTTTCCTCTCTTTCCTATCACTCTTCGCTTCAAGCTTCTTAACGATCAATGCTCTTGTTTGTCCTCCCGACCAGATCCAAGCTCTAATACAACTCAAGAACGAGTTTAAATCCGACGGTTGCAACCGCAGCGACTACTTAAACGGAGCCCAGTGCGACAACACAACTGGTGCGGTCACAAAGATACAGCTCCCAAGCGGTTGCGTCACCGGAGTTCTCAAACCAAACAGTAGTCTCTTCGGCTTTCACCATCTTCGTTACCTTAATCTCTCACACAACAACTTCACCTCCTCTTCACTCCCTTCAGAGTTCAGCAATCTCAACAAATTAGAGGTTCTGTCTCTTGCCTCTAGTAGCTTCACTGGTCAAGTTCCTTCCTCAATAAGTAACTTAATCTTTCTTACTCATCTAAACCTTTCACACAACGAGCTCTGTGGTAGTTTCCCAATTGTAAAAAACCTAACAAACCTCTCTTTTTTAGACCTTTCTGATAATCAATTCTCAGGAACCATACCATCTGATTTATTAGCCACTATGCCCTTCTTGTCTCATCTTAATTTGAAGCAGAATCATCTCACTGGTCTTCTTGAAGTTCCCAACTCTTCTTCATCACCTAGTCTAAAATATCTGTCCCTTGGGCTTAACCAATTTGAAGGAAACATCCTTATGCCTATCTCAAAGCTCATCAACCTAGAGTCCCTTGAGCTTAAATCCTTAAACACAAGTTATCCACTTGACTTAAGCATCTTCTCCCCTCTCAAAGCTTTGTTGATCCTTGATGTTTCTAAAAATAGGTTATTACCAGCCAGTTTAAGTTCTGAGTCACAAATCCCTCTGAGCTTAGAGAGCTTGGTTTTGCATCATTGTGACATTATTGAGTTCCCAAACATCTTAAAGACCCTTCAAAACCTGCATCATGTAGACATTTCCAGCAATAGAATCATAGGGAAAGTCCCTGAGTGGTTATGGAAGCTACCTCGTATTATCATAGTGAATCTTGTTAACAACTCTTTCACCGGTTTCGAGGGTTCTACAGAAGTTTTACTTAACTCGTCAGTGCAGTTGCTAGATTTTGCTTATAACTCCATGACAGGAGCGCTTCCTATACCACCACTCAATACCGTATACTTGTCTGCATGGAACAATAGTTTCACTGGAAACATACCTCTCCAGATCTGCAACCGAAGCTCTCTCGTTGTTCTTGATCTGTCCTACAACAACCTCACCGGTCCGATTCCTCCATGTTTGAGTAACTTAAAGATTGTGAACCTCAGGAAGAACAGCTTGGAAGGAAGCATACCTGACACGTTCTACAAAGGCGCTTCCACACAAACACTTGACGTGGGCTTCAATCAACTATCCGGGAAGCTTCCAAGATCGCTTATAAACTGCTCTTTTCTGAAGTTTCTAAGTGTAGACAACAACAGAATCGAAGACAAGTTTCCTTTCTGGCTCAAGGCTTTACCTTATCTGCAAGTCTTTACTCTCCGTTCAAACAGATTCTTTGGCCATCTCTCTCCTCCTGATCAAGGTCCTCTGGCGTTCCCCGAGCTGCGGATACTTGAACTATCGGATAACAGCTTCACCGGAAGCTTGCCACCAAGTTTCTTCGTCAACTGGAAAGCATCATCACTGGAGATAAATAAAGATGGGCGTATTTATATGGGAGACTACAAGAATGCTTATTACATCTATGAAGATACTTTGGATTTGCAATACAAAGGTCTATTCATGGAGCAAGGAAAGGTTCTTACTTCCTATAGTACCATTGATTTCTCTGGAAACAAACTTGAAGGACAGATTCCTGAGTCTATTGGTCTCTTGAAGGCATTGATTGCGCTCAACTTGTCGAACAACGCCTTCACAGGACATATTCCTCTGTCTTTAGCAAATGTTACGGAGCTGGAGTCACTAGACTTGTCAAGAAACAAACTATCAGGGGAGATTCCTAGAGAACTCAGGAGTCTCTCGTTTTTGGCGTATGTAAGTGTGGCTCATAACCAACTCAAAGGTGAAATACCACAAGGACCACAGTTTAGTGGACAAGCTGTATCATCATTTGAAGGGAATGTAGGTCTTTGTGGTCTCCCTCTCCAAGGAAGTTGCTTTGCTCCACCAACACAACAGCCTGAGGAAGAAGAAGAAGAGGAAGGAGTGTTAAACTGGAAAGCAGTGGTAATAGGGTATGGTCCTGGATTGTTGTTTGGATTGGTGATAGCTCACGTTTTAGCTTCATACAGGACAAAGTGGTTTGTCAAGATAGTTGGTCCGGATAAGCACAAGGAAGCAGATCCAGTCAGATTGTTTATGTCTCTGGATTCAAGATGGGACAGTTTCAATAATAATAATAAGAAAAATGTAGAAACAGAAAGTGATTTGTATAAATAGTATGTGTATATGTTGTTACCTGGTGTAAGAAAGCGGTTTTTACTAGTTTCTGTAACTTTTGGTTCGCTTCTCTTTTGGCTGATGACGTCCTGAACAATGTTTTGGTAGATTGTTGAGAAAGAGCCTTATAAAAAATGCTTATAATGCTTTGGTTCTTATATGGTTTTAGTACGATGTTAGTCTTTCATGTTCTTGTATGAGACTCCGAGATACTATAAGATTAGACTGGTCTCAGATTGAAGTCATTCATGGGATCTCTCTTTTGAGGCTTAACTTGATGTATCACTCTGTCACAACAGATGACACACCTTTCAATTCAGCAGAGAGTTGAGAGCTTGTACGCTTTCTTGAAGCCATTCAGTATGGCTTTCGTGTGATGGTTGGACTGAGAAGCAGAGGAAATATATATAGAAGTAATTGTCAATGATTTGGACCACAAAAAAATATGTGAAATTGGACAGGAACTAAAAATGTTTTGGCTTATTGTCTTTCAGTTGCAACTAAAAACAAGTTTACAGAGAAAACTCCGACTAAAAAGGAACACACTTCACTTAAAAAAACCACAAAGAGAGATTATTAAAAACTCAGAACATTCCTTACAGTTAGCTTTTTGAGTAGTGGAAATTTAAAAAGTGGTGAATACACAAACTCCAATTTATCAAAAGAATAAACATAATCAACGTTTTCAAGCCTATTAACTATCTTCCTTTAGTCTTTTGAAGATTCTCTGGTGACATTAGCCTTGAGATTTACGGGCATCTTTGTGTTGTTGATCTTTGATGCTCTGACTCCAATGGTGTAAAAGTGAAGATGCAGAATTGCAAACTTTGCGATCTTTGTGCCTTGTAAGATGTGAAAGCTTCTCCATGATCCGCCTAGTATCAGTAGCTGTAGAGCTGATTGGGAAACTCATGAGTAAAGAGAGAGTTTCCACGCAGATTGATGTCTCTGCTTTAGCCAAGAGAAGTCCCTTTGTGTTGGCCACATCTGCTGATTTCTTGGCTATTTCGAATAGCTCCAACATCTCCGTTGAATTCTTCTTCAAGGCTGGACAATCTTTAGGGTTTTGAGAATCTTTCAAAGGCGGCTGCTTTTTCATCTGGCGAGGCCTTGATTTTGTTGGAACAGAGTTGCAAACGGCAGGCTTCTTCAGATTTTGTCTAATCTCTTTGGTTTCATGAGCCCCACATCCCTCATCTTCTTTCTTCTGAACAGAAACATGTTTCTTCTTCGACTTGGAACATAGTTTGACAACATCTTCAGGTTTCTTCAGATTCAAGGGAATAGCTTTGTTGCAATCAGAAGAAGAAGGGTCTCCTCCGCGGGAATAAAGCGTCTTCAACCAGGAGTTGAACAAGACGACAGCTCCCATTCGAATCTTAGGGTTTTCGTGATCTCTCAGACACTGCAAAGAGTGTATAGCTCTAGAGTGTCGAACAACATCTTTTACAGAGAGATTCAAACTCTTCAAGTATCGCAGAATATCGAAACATCTCTCAACGCCATAGATGCTGTTCGATTGAGTGTCTCTAAGTGCAGTACACACCAAACGGTCAAAATCTAAACAGGATCTCTCAGTTGCAATCGACATACTCTTCTTCTTCATCATCTTCAGGTGTTCTCTCTCTGAAAGTTGTTGATATTCCTAGAGAAAGAATTTGGCAAACTAGGGTTTCACTCTCGACTTTTGGAAATCAAAACAAGAAAAAGATTGAGAGAGATGGTTGATGGATGATCAGATATTGTTATATAGAGAGTAGTGAAGTTTCCTTGACACCCACTCAATCCAAACAAACATAGGACTGAAAAATGGAAACTACGTCGTCAGATTCTTCTATTTCCTTTTTTCTTGTCATGGGCAAATCCGTCAGATCATATATATCAACGTTAAAGCAATCAGGAAGACACGAACGTACAACAAAGGTAGTTTCGTCAAATGTAAGCTCTTCCAATTCATTGAGTAGTTTCTCATCTTGAGGCTCCTTTTTAGTTTCTTCCATTTTAGCTTTCCTGATTTGCATTCGCCATTTCAGGATATGCTTGAAGTCATTCTTATGCAAAACAAGAAGATCATCGCAGAGAACTTTAACCTCCTCCGTGGTCAACTCATGTTCCTTTAAAGGTAGAGAGGCTTGATCATCAAAGGATATACAAGTAACCGTACCAAGAATGTCCAGAGGAGTCTCAGACCAAACAAAGTCAGCAGCAGATGAAACTTTCCTCAAAACAGAGACTCCATTTTCGTACCCGACACGGTTTCTCTTCTTCTCTCTTGTCTTGTTAATTACATCCACCGGCTTTTCCCTAGTTTCTACTACCTCCTTGAAGAGATGTCTGTAATCATCAAGAAGACGCGGATCAATATCTCCAGGAGCTTTGTATCTCAAACCCAAAACAAATGTCTCTGCGGATGTTGAACGACTAGCGGCCGGCTTATACACTTCAACCTTGTCGAACAGCTTCCCAAGGCAGTAGAGCACAGAGTTGTAATCTCGCGACCTGAACACCTTAGTGATGAAGTTCCCATTGCGAGCTAACAACTCCGTGGCCAACCTCACGGAGTCGATAACCAAAGCGTTCTGGGTCACAGCCTCCTGAGCCGACGCGCCACCGACGTTCGGGGAGCCGTCGTGGAGGACTAGATCGAAAGCGCCAACGCCATGCTTCTTCATGACCTGCTTGATTCTCGACATGCACTCGGGGTGGGTGATGTCCTGCTGGAGAGTGACGCAGCCGCTCACGTGAGCGATCGGGACGAGATCGACTCCGAGAACGAGGCTGCCGACGGGACATTTCTCGACGGCGACCTGCATCCAACCACCGGTGGCGGCGCATAGATCGAGAACGGCTCTCGATTTGTGGAGAAAAGGGAACTTCTCGTTGAGCTGGAGAAGCTTGTAAGCAGCACGAGAACGGAACGCACGCTCTTTCGAGAGATAGTAGTAGTCATCCAAACGATGCTTTCCTTTGGCCTTACCCATCGTGAGACTTCTCTACCACGCACGCTAGAGAGAGAGAGAGAGAGAGATATCAATTAAACACCAGCAGAAAAAGATGCTAGGGTTTTAACCCTATTCATTACTAACCAACTAAAATCGTCCCTTAAGCAAGCTTGCATGGCACGTTACATTAATTAAATGGAGTTTTCGATGTCAAAAACAAAAATAAAAACCAAAGCCATGTGATCTTTGTTTCAGTTCTCTGTATCAACAAGAACCAAAAGGCCAAACAAGAACTAAACCAGTCTTTTTCAACATACAAAAATTACATTAAACCAAATTTACTTTTACAAAAAAAAGTTCGAAAAAATAAACAGATTTAAAAAAACCTCTGTGAATTATTACATTTCTGATTTCAAATTTACACTGAGATATCTCCACCGCCTGTAACATCATCCGGAGGACTAATGGTGATCCAAAGTAGAGACACGGTAATCGACACAAGCCCTGACCAAACATAAACAATCGTCGGAACTTTCCCTCTCCGTCCCATCAACCCTTTAGCAAACGGATACATATGAGTCAACACCCAAAGGCTAAAGAACGTTCCTCCCATCAGCTTCCCCCACTGCGGAATCACACTGTATATCGTCCTCGAAGCTCCGATCACAATCGCCACAAGGTTCACCACAATAATCGTCAGCGGCATTATGAACAGCCCCGTCCACTTCACTATGTAAAGATCCGCGAACACGTCGTCTTCGTCTTCTCCTCCTGATTTCGACGTCAGCGTGAACGAGATCTCGATCCCGGCGATGACTTTTAGCAGTCCTTGCACGACCGCCGCGAGATGCGCGCTCGTGCCTCCGATGAGCCAAAACTGCTCGTTCCTCCACCATTCTTCCAGTCCGATCCCGGACCATTTGACCTCAAGGAGGGAGATAAGAGTTAAAGTAATGGTGATGCAGAGAAGGTAAGAGAGGAAATGAATGTCGAGGCTCTGGACGATGAATTTGCCGGAGAAGAGACAGAGCGCAGGGAGGAAGCAGTAGACGACCAAGAAGATGGACGTGAACGGGTAGATCCCGACGTTGAGGTAAGCGACTCGCTGGAGAAACTTGAGCCGTCTCGTGGCGAACATTGCGTTGTTCTTGGAGAAGAAGATCTCCACAGAGCCAGTCGCCCAACGTAGCACTTGGTGGAGACGGTCAGTGAGATTAATCGGAGCCGTGCCACGGAAGGCATCACGCTTTGTGATGCAGTATATCGACCTCCATCCCCGGTTATGCATCCGGTAACCGGTCACCACGTCTTCAGTAACCGACCCGTAAATCCATCCGATTCTATCTCCCCATTCCGTATTGTCTTCATACCTGAAAAAAAAACAAAACAATCTCCACAGGTTTATTTAACCTAACAGAACAACCGTTTAACCTAACCATTTAACCTAACAGAATAACCGTTTAACCGTTTTTCAAAGCCATACCAGCAGGAAATGACGGCGATGGCTTCAGCGACGGTTGGAGCATCGAGAGGAGGACGTGGCAAGAGCAAAGCACCGGGCGGTCTTCCGTTTTTAACCGACATATGATCGGCGAGAGGCCGTCCTTGATACTCTGCAACTGGAATAGTGTCTGTGAACAAGGTTGAGTTACCAAACTTTTTAGGCAGACCAAGATCTGGATCATCGGTGAGTGGCTGTGTGTCGGACTCTACATCTGAGGCCTGAGACGTTTGAGAAGCTTGAGACTGAGTCCGGACATGCAAAGCCGGGGCTTTCTCCTGACCAAACATGCCCGAGTACTCGTTGGCTCGTGGTGGGTTAAACCCATAGAGAGCATACCTTCGAAACATACAACCAGTTCCGACATAGACCGGACCTTGTAACCCATCTAGTGCTCTCATGTTACCGTCGAAGAAGACGGTGTTGTGATTTGCGTAACGATCGGACGGGTCGATGCCTTCGAACCGTTGTGGGAACTGAATGTAACAGATTCGGTCGCCACCACGGTCCATCATGAAACACATTCCTTCTTTGATAGCTTTGGAGTTGTATATGTAGTGATCACAGTCAAGATTGAGGATGAAGGCGCCGTTTGATAGTATAGCTGAAGCTCTAACCATACCGTTCATGGCACCGGCTTTCTTGTTGTGGTCAAAACCTGGACGTTTCTCACGCGAGACGTACGCAAACATTGGTACTCGTACATCGATACCGGTGAAATCCAGCGAGCCTTCGTTCGGTCCGCCCATAACCGGTTCAAGCTCAGGAACTTTGCTCATGATCTACAAAAAATTTGGATTCAAAGTTTGGTTAGGGTTTTTTTTCTTGGTTTTTGATTTCGGGTTTGATGGTTTGGTTTACCTGTAGGATTCCGGCGTGGTCTCCTTTTGAATGGTCAGGTTTAGGTTCGAACCACGTTCCTGGCCAATGCGTGCCATCAGCCATCCACGTTGCTTTGACCACCTCAACACCATCCGGAGGCAATACGCCGCCGTTTTTCTCTCTTGCGATTCGTTTCTCCTTGAGCTCTTCTCTCAAGTTGAACTGCTCAGCTCTTTTCTTGATTTGCTCTGGAAGACCGTTGATCCTGACTTTGAACTCGTCGTACTCACGCTTGATCCAACGACGGTCTTTCACAAAATCTTGCCTTTTCTTGTTTTTGGTCGGGTCTTTCTTGATGCTAAAGTAACTATCAGGGTTTCTCGGCTCTATGTCATGTTTCCTGCAAAATGGCACCCAATACTGCAAACAAAAGCCATATCAAATCTTTTGCCATGACTAGAGGTAAGACAGCGAGGGAGAGAAAGTTGAAAAATGAAACCTCGGCAAAGCGAACAGCTTCAGCCATGGCTTCAAAGGTGAGAATAGCACCACCGTCGTCTGAAATGTAAGCAGAGAGCTTCTCGATCGGATAATCCACGGCGAGGATGGAGAGGAGAGTGTTTGCGGTGACTAAAGGCGGTTCCTTCTCAGGATCAGCTGTGGAAACAAACACATCAACACCGGGAAGATCAGAGCGACCAGTAGGGTTTGACGGAGAAGGCTGCTCAAACTTGTCATGCAAGGCAGCTAGGTCCGTGGCTCTGTTTATAGGGTTTAGCTTTGGAAGAATGTCGAGAATCCAAGAGAAGGCGAACCAAATCTCGCACACTATCGATAGTCCCCATAGCCACATTGCATCCTCGTTAGGATTCGTGATACGCCACCAGAGGAAGAAGAAGACTATCACGAGACGAAACAGGATCAATAGCCTGATGATGAAACAGACAAAGGGTTTTCAAAAGTTGCGTGACGAAAACGTAAGCAAAGAGAGAGATTTGTGAAAGAAAAACAAACCTGTATGGACTAAGAATTTTGGCGGGGATTTGAACTTTCCTGGTGAGCGGTTTCCATGGCTTGTCAAAGAAATCTGACATGCTAACGCCACCATCACCGGTATCATCCTCTTCCGACCAAAACGCGTTTCCGATTCCGTATTTGCCTTTGGATTCAAACAACCACCTGTTGTGATCGAAATCTCCTGTTTGGCTCCTCAACAGCATTGATTTGTTATTCGACTTCATCACAGATAGTCTCCTATCCAGCTTGTTCCCCATCTTGGAGCCGTCGCCACCACCGCCGCGGTTAGCGTCGGGTTTCGACTCGGAGGTGGACCCGGAGGAGCCAGCGGGCTGGTTGTCCGGTGTAGGAGGCATGAGGACGGTGTAGTTGATGTAGTCGCTTTGGCCGGAGTAATCACCAGAGACGTCCATGTCATCGTCGCGGGAGAGGCTAACAATGCGGCCACTGGACGTCCGGCGACCGAACTTGACGGCTTGTGGAGGCCGGCTTAAGGAGGAGGATTGTGAGTTTAAGGTCTTCTTTGGTGGACTTGAAGCCATATTATTTTAGAGTTTTCTTGTTTTGGGTCGTTTGGTTTCTTCAGAGAGAAACTGAACCCATTTTCTTCTTTGACAAACCTGATTTAGGAAAAAAATAGGCAAAGATTTAGAAACAGGGGAATTTGTGTAAAAAGGTTAAACGAAAACGAATGTTTCTGTTTTTGTTTTTTGAAATGTATAGACTATCAGAATTTCAACGGTTCATAGATCCTTTGCTATTATAAGAAAAAACTTAAAATTGAAATCTATGAGTTCTGAAATCTCCTTTCTTTATGCTTTGCCTCTCTCTTTCTCCATTTCTCTATGTGAAATGAAGAATGCTATCAATGGTTTAAAAGGTTTTATATGACATTGTGAGCAATATATCCGAGAAAAATATTACTTCAGTAAACAAAAGCCAAACAAACCATTGAATTTCCCTAATTTAGCCAATAGACAAAACCATTGAATGTCGTCGGATCAGAAACTATACCGAAGCAGATCAGGGTCAATCGTTGTGATTAATATAGGCTCAACCATCTCCGTCAGCTTCATTGCAGCAATGCTGGATAATTTGGAAAGCCGAAACTGCCTCCGGAATCGAAGAGCAACCGCCAAATCACATCGAGAGGAGAGTGTATATAAATCCAGAGCTCAAGCAGAAGGACCGGCATTTTTTCGCTAGTTGCGACGGAGACGAAGGTTTCAGAAGAAACAACCGGCAAAGAGAAGAGCGCCAATCGTTTCGACTTCACAAATCGAAAACACGAGCGCGTCTTCAACATGACTAACAAATCGAAAACAAACGGTGAATTTCCAAAATTTGAAGCTGCAGCAATGGAAAGAGTGATTCGATTTTCGGAGACGAATTGTAAACGGTAAAACCCTCGATGAACTTAACCGGAGGCTCTGCGGAACCAGTAAAAGAGTTAAAACCAAACCGGGTTACGTCCTCATCTACAATTGCAAAATTCATATTGAACCGGTGGTCGATCAATGTTATATGCAAATTTGCAATTCACAACCAAAGAAAACACAAGTGTTTTAAATCCGGTCCAGATAATGGTTCTCAAGAATCAGCGTCGGTAAAACAGCATAGCAAGATCAATGTTGCAAAATGTTGAACATTCATACATATATATGTATATAGATGGCCTATACAAAACCAATTTCAAGAAGTACAATCTAAAGCAAGAAACATAGCACAAGAACTTAGAAACCACAAAAAGAAAAGCACCACAAGGAACTGAATGAGAGGATGTTCTCGGAAGCACAGACAGCAATGGATAACTCCGGGAAGACCATGTTCCAGACCTATTTGCCACAGTTGAATCCCCCGCAAACTGAGAGGACGATGATGAGAATCAAGGCAATGATGATTGCAAGAACAATGAGCTTGATCTTCATGTTCTGAAACCACATCTTTCTTCTCATTTGAGTTCCTTGCGTTCTGAAATCTTGCGCCTGTAAACAGTTTTTAAGCTCAATTAAAAAGAGTAAGAGGAAAGCTGCAACTCAAAAGCATGTCCGTCTCAGTGTATGGACGTGGAACAATTTGCGTAAGAGAACTAACCTGTGAGCGAAGGTTTTCGGTTTTGTCCACCAAAAGTTCAATCTTCTCACCACGGTCAAGAACCTGCAAATGAATGAGATCCACAATGTGTAAACGTTTTAACAGCATGATATGTCTATTGGAAATTGCACAGAGCATAAAATGATATCGGTAAAGGAAAAGGGTCAGAAACGAACCTTCTCAATGTTCTCCATCATAACACCTTTAACTTCAGACACTTGAGCTTTCACTTTAGCAAGCTTGCTAATCTCATCAGGGTGATCCATGCAATACTGCATATGCTCTTTCAGTTTCGACCTTCAAAAAGCAGCCAAAAAAAGGAGTGAATGACTATGTCAATGAAAATAAGAGAAACTTTTCAAAGAGATCAAACAAGTACCCGAATTCTTTGTTTAAGCTGTTTGCTTGAGCGGTTGCAGCTTTCCCACCACCGTATCTCTTGTTGAAATCCTCCTTCACTCGCTCCAAGAACGCCATCGGAATCTGCCTCCCAGCTGAATCGACTGCAACAACACAGTAAGCTGCAGAACAAGAACACAATGGTTAGTTTTTCATTTTCAAGGCCATATAGAAAGACATAAAACAGTAAGATTTAACAACACAATAGGCTTGTACATATTCATCCACCATCAACAACAATTGAAACACAATCAGGTAAAGTAAAACAGAGCTACGTAATGAATACTCCAATGCAATTTCTTAAGCAATATATCTATCAAACCAACTCTAGCAGTGATTAGAACCAGCCAAAAATCATGAATTTGGAAACTTCACACAATCAAGAGAAAATCCGCAGAAACACAGATCCAGAACAAGTCTTCGTTCTTCCATTAAAGATCCACCAAACATATCACGGATTAGATAGATCTAACATCAATCAAAGATATTTTCCAATAAAACTGCAGATTATAGAGACATACCAAACATAAGAACTTGAATCAAGTAACCAGTAGAGATATCCAAATGCTCAAATAGGTATAAAATCTAAACCCAAACGATTGACAAATCCTGCTTTATCTCACGAAATGAATACGGAGAATAAAAGGGGAAAATCAGGAAAGAAGAAAACTAGAGATAAAATCGAAACGAAAGCAAGCTATTGCCATCGAATCCATAGATCGAGAAACGCTTTTTGACTTACTGAATCCATTTTCAACGAGGTAATTGAAGGTGTGACCATCGCAGTTGTAGGTAAACTTGTTGTTCGACGAAGGGAGCTTTTGGAGGCACTGAGCAGCGATTGAGGTGAAATTGCCTTTGAAATCGGTGAATTCGACGAGGATTACCGTGCCGCGAGCGACGAAACTGTAGATCAACGATTGCTGCGCCATTTTTTTTCTCCCGGAAAAAACGACGCTGTCAGATGGATTTACCGGCGCGATCGGAGACTTATAACGGCGTGAGAGGAAGCTAGAGATCTAGAAGACTAACGCTGAAACGCGTAGAGAAATCGAGGACTAAGAAAAGAAGAAAAGAGGAAGACGGTGAAAAAAGAAGAGCATAGGAGAAATCTAACGTAATTGAACAAGAAATATCAAATGTCAAAAACCCTTGAAATTAAGGACTAAACATGCAAATTCAAAATATTATAATCAACATTGATAATCATATTGATAATCATATTATTATTTGCAAATCAATTTTCGTGAATGGAGCCACCACGTTAACTCTCAGCCTCGGAATTACCAAGATGCCCTTAATGAAAATCTATTATTAAATCTTCTGAATTTCTTTTTTAATTATTTCACAATTTCGTTTTTTATATAAAAGTTCATTATTTCCTTATTAATTTCCTTATTAAATATTGATAATTATCCTTTTCTTTTTTCCTCGATTTATATTTATCACTTAAATAAATATCCTAACTATCATATTACCGCACCACTTTTCTGGAAGAAATCAAATAATTAGGTATTTTAAAAAAACTCTAGATTTTACAACCGACTTAGTCCTATTTAACAAGCAAAATAAACAGAATTTCGTTTCTTCTTTTTCGTGTTCTAAATTCTTCGATTCCATATTTCATCTTTTGTCATGTAGGTTTATAGTTATTGCTAGATCTTAGTTGTATTAGATCTAATGTTTAACTGATTATTCGTTATTTTCTGGAAATTTTATTCAAAGAATCGCATCTAACTTCTACTTCTTTTACCTTTATAACAGTAAATTCCAGGTTTGTTAGCTAATTGAGTCAAAGAAATCAACTATGGTACCAACTCAAAAAAAATGCATTGACAAAAATTAGTGGTATGTACATCTTTCGTTTTTATTTTCAACTTAAATCTTATGAAACCCTAATTTGAATAAACTTATCTAAAAAGATTTTGTAAAATGTGGGTTTAGGTGTGCGGATTGGGGGGGGGGGGTTGTTATTTGGTAGTGGTGTTACAATGTGGGGTTTGGGTTATTTAGGGGGTGGTGTTACACTGTGGGTTTGGGTTTAGGGTGTAGGGTTTATATTGATGGGGTAGGGTTTAGTTTTTGGTGTATTTTAAAAAAACTTGAATTATTACAGAAGAATTTCATAATAAAAAAATCATTTATTTGAAATTTATATCTACTTTCAAAATTACATTCACAAATAGAAAAAAAAACTAAAACAACTAAAGAAAATCCAGAATTGAAAGATAACAAAACTAATAAATTTTTAAAAGACCTCAACTATATAAAGATAGAATCTATTTCAAAAATATTGAAAATTTTAACTATCGAAATGAATTGGTAGGTGATATGCAAGACACAAACAAGACATAATAGATACATAAGTAAAAGAAAAGAAAACAGTGAAAAAGAAGATGAAAAATTTAGAAAAGAAAAAGAAAAGTCGAACATGAGGAAAAAGAAAGGAAAGAAGAAATAATGGAATGTGAAGAAAATTCCAAAACAAATGAAGAATATTACGTAGAAGAACAAGAAAGAGAAGATAAAAATAAGACACCTCAAGATTACAAAAATAAGAAGTTTGCGAAAACAAAAACGATGAATACAATAAAAAGTTGTACTACTTATATTATTTAAATCTTTAATTAATAATTGTATTTAAAAAATATTGTACCCGCACAAGGTGCGGGACAACCATCTTGTTGATATTATGCACGAAGGACTATATAGCAAATTCATAAACTTTTATTCAACTTGTGTGTTTCGTAAAAGTTGGTGATATTTGGGTATTGATTGATAGTTTCAACTTTCAACGTATATATCCCAGCGATCTTTGAATTGTATAATTAAGTCTGACCTTTGAATAATGGATAGGATATGTAAGAAGTCTAAAATAGTTTTCACTACAAGTCTACAAGTATTTATCAATTTTTTGTATATCACCAAAATTTAACCATTTTGGGTTGGGTAATAATAAGTCTAGAGATCGTAAGTTTGGGTCTTCGTAGAAACTATGGATATTTTCGATAGGACAATTTCGATACTTTCAAGGTTTGTAATAAGTTAGAAATGCGTTGGTCACCCTACTAATCTACATGCACCCATGTCCGCTCATATCCAAGTATTTTCTTCATACCTATAACTTTATAAGTTTATCATTATGTTTGGTCAAACATATGTTTAAGTTTATTAAATTATTAATACCTGACTTTTTCGCATATACGTAAAACATGTACACCCTAAGCTTAGCTTCTAACATGTTACTATTGCAAACAGACCAAAACCGTGGATGCAATGCACAAGCATAACATAACATGCTTGTCGTAGCATCATATCTTTCTATTATAGTGGAGTGGCTTCAGATGAAACAGAAAGAAAAAAACAATGGTTTTGTTGATGTATGGTCGAGACTCGAGAGTAACAGACCAGAGAAGGAACAATAAAAAATTAAATGGGGTGAGAGAGGCTCGAACTCTCGACCTCAGGATCACTCAGTAGCTATGAGACCTACGCGCTAGCCAACTGCGCCACCACCCCAATTGTTGTTTGATGACATCATTCACTACAGCCTCTTAAACTGACCAAAGAAAACACAAAGTGTTTAAATCTGGTCCAAATAATGGTTCTCAAGAATCAGTGTGGGTAACACTAAGATCAATGTTGCATGTCGAACATTCATACATATATGTATATGGCCTATACAAAAAAATATCAAGAAGTATAATCTAAGCAAGAAACATAGCATGAGAATTTAGAAACCACAACAAAATAAGAAAACACAAAGAAGTGAATGAGGATGTTCTCGCAAATCTCGGAAGCACAGACGGCGATGGGAAGACATGTTCCAGACCTATTTGCCACAGTTGAATCCCCCGCAAACTGAGAGGATGATAATGAGAATCAAGGCAATGATGATTGCAAGAACAATGAGTTTGATCTTCATGTTCTGAAACCACATCTTTCTTCTGATTTTAGTTCCTTGCGTTTTGTAATCTTGCGCCTGTTAGACAGTTTTTGAGCTCAATTAGAAGTTTCTAAACAAAAGACACAAACAGTAAGAGAGAGCTGCAACTCAAAGCATGTCCTTATGTATGTACGTGGTACGTGGGACCATTTGCGTAAGAGAACTAACCTGTGAGCGAAGGTTATCGGTTTTGTCCATCAAAATATCAATTTTCACACCACGGTCAAGAATCTGCAAATAAATGAGTTCCACAATGCATAATAGGGCCAGAAACATAAAATGAAATCGGTAAAGAAAAAGGGTCATAAACGAACCTTGTCAATGTTATCCCTTATTACACCTTTAACTTCAGAAACTTGAGCATTCGCTTTAGCAAGCTTGCTAATCTCATCAGGATGATCCATGCAATACTGCATGTGCTCTTTCAGTTTCGACCTTTAGATGAAAGCCAAAAAGGAGTCAATGACTATGCAAATGAAATAAGAGAAACTTTTCAATATAAGTCAAAGAGATCAAATAAGTACCCGAATTCTTTGTTTAAGCTGTTTGCTTGTGCAGTTGTAGCTTTACCACCACCGTATCTCTTGTTAAAATCCTCCTTCAGTCGCTCCAAGAACGCCATAGGAATCTGCCTCCCAGCAGAATCGCCTGCAACAACACAATAGGCTGCACAACAAGAACAAAATGTTTAGTTTTCAAGGCCGTATTGAAAGATAAAACAGAAGAACATATTCCTTTCCCGAGGTACTCAGTAGATTTACCACTATACTAGAGCACACTCATATTCATACACCATCAGCAGTACACCATTCGAAACCCAAAATCAGGTATAGTATAACACAGAGCTCCACAAGAGATAATCCAATGCAATTTCTTAAGCGATAGATCCTCCAAAAATAACCATAGTTTGATGACAATAAAACCAGCCAAAAACAATGAAACTTCAAACTCATAGTCAAAATCAATAAGTTTATATGAAAAGAAATTTAAAATACGATTGATAATATAAGGATTTGAACTCATAGCTTTAGGAAACAAGGGATGACACAAACAACTACATATATACCAAATTGAACTTTCCCTATATTTTGGTGCCCAAGTGAACTTTCTATATTTTGGCGCCTAAAGCGGGCTTTAGCCATGCGTTCCTGCTGCAGCAGATTATAGAGACATACCAAACGTAAAAACTTAAATCAGGTAACCAGTAGAGAGATATCCAAATGCTCAAAATAGGTGAAAAAAAAAGCTTATAAAGGAGAATATAAGGACAAACCACGGAACAAAAAAGTAACATAAATCGAAACGTAAACAAGCTACTTCCATCAAAACGAGCAACACTTTTGACTTACTGAATCCATTTTCAACGAGGTAATTGAAGGTATGACCATCGCAGTTGTAGGTAAACTTATTGTTCGACGAATGGAGCTTTTGAAGACACTGTGCAGCGACGGAGGTGAAGTTGCCTTTGAAATCGGTGAACTCGACGAGGATTACCGTGCCGCGAGCGACGAAACTGTATATCAACGATTGTTGCGCCATTTTCTTTTCCTCAAAAAAACACGACGCTGTCCGATGGATTTATGAAGCGATCAGAGACTTTATAACAGCGTGAGAGGAAGCTAGAGATTCTAGAAGACTATCGCTCAAACGCGTAGAGAATCGATGACTAAGTGTGGGAGAGAGAGAGAGAGAGAGAGAGAGAGAGAGAGAGAGAGAGACAAAATTCAGAACTTGTGTATTTCAGAAAAGTTGGTGATGCTGGTATTTGATAGTTTCAACTTTCAACGTATATATATCCCAGCGATCTTTGATAGTTTCAAGTTGGTGATGCTGGTATTTGTCTGACCTTTGAATAATGGATAGGATATAGGGTATATTAGGGTGTTCGGATATGCAAGAAATCTAAGATAGTTTTCAATACAAGTATTTATGATTTTTCTATAACACCAAAATGTAACCATTTTTGGTTGGTTAATAATAGGTCTAGCTAGAGATCGTAAGTTTGGTCTTCGTAGAAACTATGGATATTTTCGATAGGACAATCTCGATACTTTAGGTTAGTGAGAAGTTAGAAATGACTTAGTCACCGTACTAATCTACATGTACCCATGTCCGCTCTTGAAAAAAACAATGGTTTTGTTGATTGGGTTGGATATAATCATATAAATGATGATCCCAGCCGAAAATAAACAATATGGTCGAGACTCGAGAGTAACAGACCAGAGAAGGAACAATAAAAAATTAAATGGGGTGAGAGAGGCTCGAACTCTCGACCTCAGGATCACTCAGTAGCTATGAGACCTACGCGCTAGCCAACTGCGCCACCACCCCAATTGTTGTTTGATGACATCATCTGACGTTAATATACTGTAAAATGTTTACACCATCGACACAAAAGTCAAAACTCTGACTTTATGTAAAAATCTAAGAAAGTTGCTTGCCAGCTGAAAATTCTTTAATTTCCAGAAGCAACAACTGAAATTCGAGAAGAACAATAGTCTCAATACATATATAAGAATCTGTAAAGATTATCCTCCTTCACGTTTCTTTATAAAAAAATACTAAACACGTAACCTAGTCAAAGAAGAACGAGCACAAGACTCAGCCAAACATTGGTTGTGCTTTATTCAAATTTCAAGACTATAATAATAAACTGAAGAAAGTGACAAGGACCAGATTCTCTCCAAAGGACAAGAGAGACCCTCTGAGATCACAAATACTTGGAGAGTAAGAAGGGTTTTTGGTAGTTGCTTGCACATATCATAATACATCTCTAGCGAGCGTCCTTGGATAAAAAGCCTTGCGTCTCCACTTTCCTGGCGTTGCGAAGCTCATCAACTCCATCTCCTCTCTCAAACACAGCCGCTGCACCCATTCCCGTACCTGCCATGATTCCCCCAATCAACCAAACCACAAAAAACTTTTTCAGTTCACAATGAAAATATTAGAAGGTAGTAAGAGTTGAGAGTGAAGAGACAGAGAGAGAATGCATACCAATGCACATGGACACAACTCCAAATCGACAGTCTTTTCCACGGCGTTTCATCTCATGCAACAAAGTAGCAACGCAACGCGCTCCTATGAGAGTTTCAACACGCATTAGCTACTGTCCAAAGAGAGATTTAGAATAAGAATAGTGGTTCTACAGCTCTGTTATCATCAGATATACCTGTAGCGCCCAAAGGATGTCCTATGGCCATTGCACCTCCGTTGACATTGATTTTCTCTGCGTCAAGTCCCAATTTGTTACGGCAATAAACGAACTGCGATGCAAATGCCTGTACACACAAGGGTTATCATCAGAATGCTCGGGAAGAGATATGTGAGTAAGATCATCATGGAAGTTTTTGCTATTTACCTCGTTGATCTCAAACAAGTCAATGTCATCGAGTTCTAAACCAGCCGCCTTAACTGCAGCAGGAATGGCAACTGCTGGACCGATACCCATAATTGCTGGGTCAACACCAACTGCAGCAAATGTCCTGCAATGTTTCCAATAATGCGCTACTTAGGAAAATCCAGAAAAAAAAAAAAAACAGAAAGAACAATGTATGTTTACAGATACTAATGGACATCACAAGCCTCTGCAGGTTTAGAGACTTCTGCCATTATAGCTTTTTCACCCACCTGAAGACACCAAGAACAGGAAGTCCTTTCTGCACTGCAACACTTCTCTTCATGAGGAGAACAGCTCCTGCACCATCGCTTACTTGGCTGGAATTTCCTGTTTGAGACAGAACAAATGAAGCAATGGATTCATCAATATTATGATCAAAAGAAATGTGTTCTCTACAATGAAACAATTGGTTAGGTGAAAATGTACCAGCGGTTGTGGTTCCATCCTTCTTAAACACAGGCTTCAGCTTCCCAAGAGTAGCAAGGGTTGTGCTGGGTCGGATCCCATCATCAACAGAAACTGTAATGGGAGTCTCATCACCTGTCTTCGGGTCAACAAGCTGAAATACAAACCACAAGTTATTCACTATCATAAAGTTCAGTAACTAATGAAAATGTTACAGTTATCGTAAGGAGGATCCGGGAAATACCTTGGTTTGAACAGGAATGATCTCATCCTTGAATTTACCAGCAGCGGTAGCAGCAGCTGCCTTTCTGTGCGAGTCAACCTAACAATATGACTCAATTAGTTAACAGTAATCTAAACAAAGTACAACCAGGCTAAAAAAGTTCAGTTGCCTTACAGCAGCTTGGTCTTGCTCCTGCCTTGAGACACCAAAGCGTTGTGCTACATTTTCTGAAGTAACACCCATAGGAAGAAGGCAATTCTGTGCTTGTGCAAACTTCTTCACCTGCAATGACATGATAAATTATATAGTGCCGCTATAAACTTAACAGAGCCAATTCAAGACTCAAGATAAGAGAGATTCAAGAGACAGTACCGCTGGATTGACTGACCCTTCCCATGCCATTGGGTTGGTAGTCATGGACTCCAATCCAGCCCCAATACCTGCATCCAACACTCTCGTCAGCTAACTTCTTAATGGAAACCAAGAAATCAATGTTATTTATCATATCCTAACCAATATCATAAAATCCAGCTTTGATGGCAGCAGCTACATCAGCAACAGCCTGAAGCCCAGATGAGCACTGTCTGTTCACGGTTCTGACGGCCACAGTTTCTGCAAAAAAGAACATAACGGCATGAGCATACAGCAAACAGAAACAAAGATTTAGCATCTCTGTACATAGAAGAAACAAACATACCAGGGAAACCAGCATAGAAAGCAGCCATCCTGCATTCGCTGGCTCTCTGAGATCCCGGTGCCAAAACAGTACCCACAACAATGTCCCCGACTTCACTTGGGTTAATATTCGTCTTCTCTATCAATGCCTGTGCAAAGAAGACACTATGTTAACTAGAAGCAGCAAGGAAATCAAAACAAAAAAAAGGAATAGAAGAGAGAGAGCAGACAAACCCTCAAAACAGGTGCAAGGAGATCATCAGGATATGTATCCTTGAAGTTGCCACGTTTCGACTTGCACAATGGAGTCCTATGTGCCCTGCAATAGATTAAAAAAAAAAAAAAGCGCGAGTTTTTCACAAATTCTTGAAGAACAAAAGCGTAAAAGAGGGACTTACGCGACAATGACGACATCATCACCATACTGAGAGGTCCTCTGATACGCAGCACTGTCACCAGCCAAGCAAGCAGAAGCCTGGAAAAGTTGGAAACAACACGTTATAGAGACGATACGTGTAGTAGCAGAAAAAAAGCTTTTGACTTTTTTAAGAGATCAATTAAAAAAAGGTGCAACAAAGCAAATCTTCAGAATCTGCACACTTTCTGCAGAATACTGATTAATTCAATCCGATCGAGCAAGAACAAAGAAGATATCCATCTTAATTATAGTGAACCCAGAATCAAAAACGAAATCCAAGTCTTCAATTTCGATCTCAATCGAGCTCAAACATAAATTTTTCAGCTCAAATCATAATTCAGTATCAAAATCAAAATCTAGATCATTAATTCAATACAAGCAATCCAGATCGAGAACGATTAAGATCCCAAAGCCAAGAGATCGTGATAGATCGATAGATCGAGAGAGAGAGTGCGAGAGAAAGCTTACTGAGAGGGAATTCTCGAAACTGTGAGCGGAAGAAGAAGAAGGTCGGAGATGTTCAAGAAGAACCCGTTGCCTCTCGATCGCTTTATCCATTTTTTGGGTGATTAAAGATGAAAATTCGATCTGTTTTCTCAGAAATGATTTGTGTTGTACACGAAACTACTACAGTCCTCCTCGGATTTGATCTTTATATAAGGAAGATAGCTCACCGCTTTGGCCGTAATAATCCAAAATAAGAAATGAAAATTAAATTTTAAAGTAATTAATCTTTGCTTACGTGGCCAATATATTCCATTTGGACATCAAATACTTATCCTGTAAATTTCAAATAAAACAGCATTAGCCAGCCTTGACCTTATACTTAATCTATCAATCACTTAAAAATGTTCTCATGTACCATTTATCAGAAAAAAAAATCTGTGCATTTTTACACACTTTTATAACAAAAAATTGGTTTGGTGAAATGAAATAAAAAGAGGTTGATGATAAGCTGAGAAAGAGACAAGAAGATAAGATCAGGCGTGACGTTTGCCCCCGCCCGTTTTGGGCTTTGAACTGCGTGCCGTGTTTTCATTTCATCTTCTGGAAACTTAACCTTCTTCTTAATATTTACACAATCACCCCCAAACTCTTAATGCTAATTTCATTTACGCCTCAAAGTTATTATTCATCCGAAAATGAACCCTCTTCATCGTCTCCTACCAACGCAAAAGTCAAGTCGATATTATTGCATTATTCAGTGATATACTTCTAAGATAAAAGTCTGTAACGGATGGTTCAGATATCAATAGTGGAAAGATATCTGAATCTTTTGATTTTTAAAAGCAAATGCGAAAGTTTTTGGTTTTTCCTTTGATAGTACACATTCCTTTGTACGAGTTACTCCAACCAGTAACTGCCACGTATGTATGTATATACAAAAAAATTACTAGGAGTAATTTACAAGTTAGTTATAAAATTGTACTAATATACTAAATCCACCCTTTAATCTTCACAGCTTTTACATTGATTATTTGATTTACTCATTTTTACTTCATCGGACGTAAGGGCTTACGTTCTTCGCTTGGGTTGCAAGGCAGCTGACATTGACCGTAGCCGATCAACAATCTCCGTGAACGTTGACCGTATCGCCGGATCAAACGACCAACATTTCTCCATCAACATTCTCCACAAAATGATCACATTTCTCCGCCATCGAAGGTCTCAACGTGTTGTTCACAATCCCACCTTTATCAAGACAAGTACACAACCATCAAAAGGATCCAAAAAAACAAAGTACGGTGTAAACAGAATGTGCAACAAGTGAAAGAAGAACATGTACCAATGATGGCGCCGCAATGCATATCCGCGTAAGGTTCTTGGCCTGTTGAAATCTCCCACATGGCGATACCAAATGAGAATACATCAACCGGCAACAATGAGTGATTAAAGCTAAAGTTTTTGCGGTCAATGATTGAGCTTAGAAGTGATTGTAACACCTTCTCAGAGACGCGGTTGCTGCTTCCACTTAATAGCTCTGGTGCCATCCATGGAAGTGTACCTCTTACTCCACCAGAGACAAGCGTGTCCCGTTTAATTCTTGACAATTTAAAATCACCAACCTGCATAACTAGCTACATATATGGGTTTTGTTAACCTTGCATATTGGTCGTTGCGTTACTTGCGTATCTCTCAAGTTAACGAGCAAGTTATCACATTTTAGATGGAAATGAACAATATTCTTCATGTGTAAATATTCCATGCCAAATGCAGCATCTAGTGTTATCATTAGCTTCTTCCGCCTATCAAGCAACCTGTGTGAATAGTGTTACTTTCATCAGTTATATAACTAAGAGTCTCATCATCAGAAGAAGGAGAAGAAGACAAAGATTGTACCTATCGTTTCTCTGAAAGACATGTTTCAAAGATCGATTCACCATAAACTCAGTCACAGACTCACAGTCGCCATAGTTTCACCAGGTCCATTTGGTACAACCAGTGGCGGACCTAGAATTTTTTTTTCCCTGGGTCAAAAATACCATGTAACTAAACATATATTTTCTAGATATTTTTTTATTTTGTATAACCAAAATAAACAAGAAGCAATCGATTATAATAAATCATGCAACAAGTTTAATGGGTTATAGCTCAATAAAAAACATAAACAAAGAAATTTTGGGGTCAAAGATAAACACTCAACATTTTTTGGGGTGTCAATAGTAACATTTTCTACCAAATCAGCCATTAAAATGTGGATAATAGTGGAAGTAATTTCGATTATTTAAATTTTAACCTGTGTCACTTGAATCCCCTTCGTCCTACGTAGGTCCGCCATTGGGTACAACCCCATAAAACGCCACCACATTTGGATGGTGAAGATTTGCCAAGATCCGAGCTTCTCTCCAGAAATATTTTGTCTGTAATTTACAAAACTACCAAGGCTCTAGAGGAGACAAAAGAGATACTAATGTTGAGTTAGTTAAGTCAAAATCTGTCGTTCTTGGCTTCTTGTTCGGATGATCTACCAGAGAAACAGCTGTTCTTGATCCTCTTGATAGCAACATCAGTTCCACTCCATTTACCATAAAAAAAACAGTCCCAAATGTCCTAGATCCAAGCTCATGTAAGTCCTCCAGATCTGTATTCTTTATAACCTGATTTTACGAAAACCAACAATCATCACTCCCTTTTCTTAATGTGACATTTTAATTGAATAATACATACACATGTAAAGCATAGATTTCTTATCAGTGTTAAGTTGTTAACACATAAAACTTATTATACATATTTTACCCAAAAAGTTGATAACAACAATACCACATGTAACTATAGAGTAAATGTTTTCTGTGGCACAATCAATATACAGTCACAACGATCATCATATATTCATATCCCTACTTTTAGATTCAAGCTAAAATGAAAAAAAGGGAAATTTCAACTTTTATTAGTAACTAGTATCCACACAAAATGATCTTATTCCATCTTGATGAGATTCTTGCTTAGTATTTTTAATACTTAGTTTCCATATGAATGGTATTATACAGATATTTGTTTCCCATTATTGTTAAATGAATGCATTAAACAACAGATATTTTCTTATCTTGTTTCCTATAAATAAGAAGCTTAATCGCTTCACTTCTTCGACTTATCGAAAGGCAAGAGAAAAAAAAAGTGAGATCGATGGCGTCTAGGTTTTTGATTTCGTGCGCCTCTTCTCTCTTCTTCTTACTCGCCGTCTCAAGTGCTCCGACGAATGAGGGGAAACTTTTCGACGTCAGAAGCTACGGTGCTCACGCAGACGGCAGAACAAATAACGAGTTTGCGTTTACAAAGGCGTGGAAGGAAGCTTGTCAATGGAGTGGAGGAAGATCAACGGTCTACATTCCTCCCGGAATATTCTATCTCCGTCAAGTAACGTTCACTGGCCCTTGCAAAAACCCTATCACTTTCCTAATCGAAGGAACTTTAATGGCTCCTCGAAATCCCAACGCCTTCAAAGAGGATCAATGGATCCTTTTCAAGTACGTCGATTACCTCACCGTCACGGGTGGAGGATTACTTGACGGTCAAGGATCTTACTCTTGGCCTCTCAACAACTGTAACAAAAACCCTAACTGTCGTACTATGGCTATAAACATTGCGTTTGCGTTCGTTAAACACTCGAAGATCAACGGTCTACGATCGATCAACAGCAAAATGGGACACTTGAACTTCTTCGCAGTCGAGGATTTCAACGTTACCGGCGTCACCGTCACCGCTCCCGGAGATAGCCCAAACACCGACGGGATCAAGATCGGTAGATCTAAGGATATGCATATTACCAACGTCACAATCGGAACAGGTGACGATTGCATCGCAATCCTTGACGGAACTTCCAATTTGGTTATCTCTGATGTCAGGTATTTTTATTCGCCTCAATTATAGCTCAAACTCAAACTTGATTAGCTTAAAAGTAGCAAACCTCTTAAGAACCACAGAATAAGTTAATTACCCTTACGTTATATGAAATATTTAATATTCTTGATTTTTTCTTGATTTATTACCAAGAAGTTCGTAATTCTTTTTTTTTTATTTGCTTCCATCTCCAATATTGATCTTTAGGTGCGGACCAGGGCACGGGATAAGTGTTGGGAGCCTTGGAAAATATAGGAGAGAAGAACGTTGAGGGCTTAACCGTAAGAAACTCGGTTTTCAACGGTACAACCATCGGTTTACGGATCAAGACATGGGCTAAGTCGATTTCGACGATCTCGGTTTCAAACTTCTTGTACGAGAATATCCAGATGATCAATGTCGGAAACCCTATCGTCATCGATCAGCAGTATTGTCCAACGGGCTTTGCGATAGTCCTGGAAACTATGCTTCTCATGTTCAGATCAAAGACGTCAAGTACCACAAAATTTGGGGAACTTCGACGAGCAGAGAGGCTTTGAAGATGCAATGTAGTAAATCGTTTCCTTGTCAAGGCATTGTGCTCTCAGATATCAACCTAAGCTACAGTGGAAGAGACGGTTTAGTCACGGCTTTGTGTGAGAACGTTGGTGGTTCGGTTTTTGGCAAGAATGTGCCTGATAATTGCCGGATTTGTGATGATCTTCTTAATTAGTCATCTGTATTTTTATTATTAGGTTTATCTATAACTTTATAGGACTAGAATTTTAATAGGTTGTCTTCGATGCAATAAGCTAAGATGTATAGCCTTAATAAACATCCAAATAAATTATAAATTTGGGATGTGCAAGGTAGGTTTTTACGGCTATGCATCATTTTAGGAAAAGAAAAAAAGAGTTGGTCTAGTTTTATCAAGGCCGACCTTTTTTTAATCAAATATATATTTATTCTGTTTTAGGAAGAATAAATCTTGTAATTTTTTCATCTAATATTTTATTAATAGATATGATTTCAGTTTTTTTTTGTTTTTATACGTATAGTTTTTTTATCGATATTTAACAGCTAATCATATAGAAATGTATATGTGACACAATGACAGTATATATATTCAGGCAGTGATTTTATTCCATAATCAGTTGATTACTTAATTCTAGTGTATCAAAAATAGAAGAACAAGATCTTGTATTTCTTCCACTTATCTGTTTCTATCAATGCATTATTTTCTTTCTCAATCTCGATATTTTTTTCTGTTTCCATATAAAAACTAGTAATAACTGTGATTTTTAAATTTCAAAATTTAAATGTAATTTTTATTTACATAAGGGTTTCAGTTTTCAAACTTTTACATCAAGAGGGGATATGGACCATATGGTGGGGATTCCAAAACGTGGGAATGACGTCTGATTTTTAAAACTTCATTGCTAATTTTGATGCAATAATAAGATTTTGAATTCTCCATTTTTCATAATTATCTTGTGCTTCAAAGAGCAAAAATTTCTAAGTTTAATTTCAATCAACATTTCAATCAACAGTTTACGATGTATGGGTTTATACGTATCTGACTATACAAATCATACTAATCTATACAAAAAACATTTTTTTAATAAAATAAAAGATTAAAAGACCTTTCTTTCACGGCGGCGCCGGTGGAGGTAAATCACCGCACGTGGTGGACACAATCACTTTCCCGGCCCGTTCTCCGGACTCTATCAGCATCAGCACTACCTCCCTCATCGTCGGTCGATCCGACGGTGACGATTTCGTACAGAGAACCGCAATTTTCGTCACCGTGATCATATGATTGAGAATCACATCGTCTTCTACCTTCGTCAGATAAGGATCGAGAATCTCAGACGTCAGCGAATGATCTCTGATATGGTTTCTCGTCCACGTGGCTAAATCTCCGCCTTGGTCCAGCGGCTGAACCGGAGCCTTCCCGGTTAACAACTCGAGAAGCACAACTCCAAAGCTGTAGATATCGCATTTCTCCGTCACCTTCATCGTGTACGCATACTCTGCAAAACAAACCGGTTTCGAAAACAGTAAGATTAAGAGCGGTAAGCTCGAAATTTAAACCGGTTTCGAAAACAGTAAGATTAAGACCGGTAAGCTCGAAATTTTAACCGGAACATTTTTCGATTCGAACGTACCGGGAGCGATGTAACCGTAAGATCCAGCAACGGCGGAGACGGATTTCGACTGCGGCATGTCGATCACTTTCGCCAACCCGAAATCGCCGACGTGAGCTTCGAAATTCTCGTCGAGAAGAATGTTATTCGATTTGATGTCGCGGTGGATGATCCTCGGTTTACAGTCGTGATGCAGGTAAGCAAGACCTTCCGCCGCGCCGAGCGCGATCGCGAACCGGGTCGGCCAGTCCACGCCGTGCGATTTCCCGCCATGGAGAAGCTCGCCGAGGCTGCCACGTGACATGTACTCGTAGAGCAAGAGGTTCGAGTTGGATCCTTGGTGGTAACAGAAACTGTACAGCCTCACGATGTTCCTGTGACGGATCTTGCCGAGAGTAAGGATCTCAGCTCGGAAACTGTTATCCGTCGTGTTGTTGTTGTTGCCGTCTCTGTTTGATTCGAGCTTTTTAACGGCGATGGTTTTCCCCGACGGCATAACCGCTTTGTAGACAGTTCCGCAGGCGCCTCTACCGACGATGTAGCTCTCGTGGAAGCCTTTCGTTGCTTCGAGAATGTCTTTCACGGTGAAGCGTTCTTTCGGGACGAAGTAGATATCGGATTCTTGGAAGAAGGGTTCCTTGTCGTGCACGTAAGGAGCGGTTGTTGCCGCGGCGGAGGGGTTTCTGAGGAAGTGAACGACGACGGCTATGAGGAAAAGAGAGATACCGCCGATGACTGAAGACACGATGATGATGATCCTCCCACGACGAGCGGAGCCTGATTTGAGAGAGGAGAGATTAGTCCAAGGAGTTAGGTTAGAGCCGCAGCTTCGTAAATGCCCGCCGCAGAGTCCTCTGTTTCCGAGGAAGCTGGTTTGAGTCATATTTTGGAAAAGCTGTGTGTGCGGGAGAGGTCCGGTGAGGTTGTTGAAGGAGAAGTTGCAGCCGAGGAGGCTCGATAAGTTCTCGAACGTTGGCGGGATCTCGCCGGTTAGATGGTTGTTGTTGAGAGAGAGGTACATGAGGAGGTAAAGATTCCCGAGCTCGGACGGTATGTCGCCGGTGAATTCGTTGTAGCTGAGGTTCATCGCGATTTGGAGGCTCGAGAGAAGACCGAGCTGAGGAGGTATGGTTCCGGAGAACAAGTTTCCTCCCATCTGAAGCTCGGTTAGATGCGTGAGGTTTCCGATGGTGAAAGGGATGTTGTTAGAGAATCTGTTCTCCGAGAGTCTGAGGATCTCTAGCTGAAGAAGGCTTCCGAGCTCGGAAGGTAACGAGCCGATGAAGCTGTTCTTGCTAAGGTCAAGCCGTTGAAGCATTTTGCAGTTGGCTATCTCTGAAGGGATTTGTCCGGTGAGAGAGTTTGAGGAAACGTTGAAAGTTACTAAATTGGAGAGTTTGCCGATTTCTTTGGGTAGGTTTGAGGAAAACCGGTTAGCTGCAAGGTGAAGCCTTTGGAGCTTCTGGCAAGTGCCGATCTCTGGAGGTAACGGTCCGCTAAACCGGTTTTGGTCTAGCTCTATAGCTGAGAGATTGACCAGCTTGCATAGCTCGGTCGGGAACCGGCCGGTGAGGCGGTTTCCGACTACTCGAAGCTGTAAGAGAGATCTGCAGGTTAACACACCTGGTGGGATGTTACCGAATATCCGGTTCGACCCGAGATTTAACAGAATGAGATTCGATTGGTGACAGATTGAAGCCGGTATTTTCCCTGAGAGTTGGTTCTCTGAGAAATCAACCACCCAGAGAGGACTGTGCAAACCGAGATCCTGAGGGATCACACCGCTGAGGGAGTTGTGAAAAAGCTGAAGCTGACGCATGAAAGTAAGGTTCTGGAAACCGGACGGTATAGGACCGGTTAAGGAATTGATCGAGAGATCGAGTTTCACAAGATTCTTCAACTCACTCAGCTCGTACGGTATGATTCCGGTTAACTTGTTCTGAAACAAATACAGTAGCTTCAGCTCACTGATCTTGCTGAGCTCAACCGGAATCTCACCGGTCAACATATTCTCCGAGAAATCGATCTCCATCGCTCTCGAAAGGTTTCCAAGCTCCCTTGGGATAGTCCCATTCAACTGGTTCTGGTACAGATAAAGCTTCTTCAACGACTTCATGTTACCAATCTCCGACGGTATCGGTCCGACCAACGAGTTAGCGTACAGAGCAAGAATCTCAAGCCTAGTCAAATTCCCAATCTCTTTCGGTATTGAACCGGAAAACTTGTTCTGCCAAAGAATCACCTCTTTAAGTTTAACAAGCATACCAATCTCCTTAGGAAGCTCACCGGAGATGAGATTCTGCGCAAGACCGAGCAACGTCAGGTTAAGGCATCTGCCGATTTCCGAAGGTATAGTCCCGGTGAAGTCGTTTTGACCAGCTCGAAACGATGTTAGCTTGACGAGGTTTCCTAAAGAACGAGGCACTGCACCGGTTAAGTTGTTGGTATAAGCCACAAGCTCTTCAAGATTGTGTAAATCGCCGATCTCTTCCGGTATAGGACCTGAGAGCTTGTTATTGCAAATGTTGAAGCTTCTCAGATTCGTTAACTTCCCGATCTCGACCGGGATCGAACCGCCGAGCTGGTTGTTGTTCAAAAACATAACTTCCAGCTTCGTACAGTTCCCGATCTCCCGTGGGATATCTCCGGTTAGCTCGTTGTACGCGAGGTTAAGGTGGACCAGGTTAGCTAAACCGCTAATGCTCGGGGTTAGGATCCCGGAGAGATTCTTAGAGCTCAGATCAAGAGATGTCACCACCAGAGAGGTGCAATTCACACCTATCCAATTACACGGCGTCTCGTCAATGTCGTTCCAGTTGTGTAAACGGTTCAACGAATCTTGAAATCCTCTGTTTTTCAGCTCCAAGAGGAAGTGACCGTCGCTGTTCAAACTTTCTGAAGTCCAGACCAGAAATGCCAAGAGAAACAAAACTCCACGAAACATTGGTTTTGATTCTGTCTTAAACTCAGAGATCCAACCCATTGATCCTCTCAGCTTCATTCTTGATGAAAGTGAACAAAAATCATAAAACCCAATTCCTACAATTACAGAGATTCACATTTCATTATCACACTAAAGAGACTGGGAAAAAATATAAAAATATAATCTTTAAGGTATAATACGAAACTCAGAGCTTTGAACAGCGAGAAGATTAACACACTCACCCTAACCCTAACATTAGATCTATGATTGGTTATGAAGTTCATTAGAGTTTCAAAAAAATTGGATCTGAAGAAAGTAGTAAAAGGTTTCAGTATTCAAATGAGGAGCACAAAAGCCACTTTTGCAGTTAACTTCACAGAAATTAATGTAAATTAGAGGAGAGAAAAAGAGAAGCATACCAATGTGAATCCATAGATGAAGCCACCAATCAGGAGCTACACAAGTTCATAACCGATAAATAATTTCTCGGCAGTTAAAACTGAAAAAGGGAAGGAAAAAAAGAGAGGAATCGTTTACGAAATGAGAGATTTTAAAATTTTCAGCAAATGAAAGTAAAAGTTTTTAGCTTTCGTACTTCTTTCACTTTGGGGGACAAAATAGAATATTGCACAGCTTTCTCTTTTGATTCCTCAAATAAATTCAGAGCTTTGAAAGAAAACCCAGAGAGAATGAAATCTTATTTACTGTTGTGGAATCAAAATAGATCATAGTGTTGATCTGGGAATCGAGGGGAATCAGAAACCCCAAAAGGCGAAAAAAAGGAACTTTTAAATCCAATAACTTTCTAGCTCCACAATCCCAAGAATTAAAAGAGAAAACTTGAAAAAGCGAGAGAGAGATAGTGATGAGAATCGATTAGTGTATATTCCAATAAGAAACTATAAGCAAGTTTTGATTTGGCTTGAAGCTCTAATGGCCGACAAGCATGCCTTCTCTCTCTACTGTATTTTTTGTGATGAAAACACAATCTCTCTCTCTCTCTCTCTCTTATAGAGTAATAGTAGAAAGCTTGTGTCTTGTGGGTTTTTCAGGCTTTTCTTTTTTTGCCCATTTTCTTCAGTGCCAAGAACATCAATTTTCTAATTGAAAAGGATGTCGTGGAATAAAGAGAGTAGAAAGTGGCAAACTTTTCCAGGCCAAGGAAAGTGATATGTTCTGTTTTTATTTTCTTTGGTTATTTCTCTGCAAAAAACTTTTTCAGATTTACCGATTGGGACAGTTTGCGTTCTGATTATCTTTAGATTATAGACCATATGATTAGAAAAAATCAACCATAATTTTGCCAAGGAAATTTTCAGCTCATATATTAATTAACAACTATTTGATCACCTGTGAGATGGATGATTTACATTGTACTATAGTATATTTTTAAAATCTGTAAATTCAAAGAAACAGGTCAAAGTCATACATTGACTGATCTATAAAATAATTAATTTTTGTTTTGAGTTACCGTAAACTGATCGTGTTAGTCTAAATTTAAGATCTGATTAGTCTGACTCGATAACAAAAAAAATGGATATTTTTTAGAACATTGCTTTGAGTTAAAGTAATTTTAGCTATGAGTGAAAATTATGAATTGACCAAACATATTTGCTTTAAATTTTCTAAAAGTCCTTATAATTTATTGTTCGATACGCAGCCGTTTTAAGGACTATTTGATGTGACTGGGGAATATAGGTCCCACGTGGCGATCGTGAGTATACAGTTCAATGAAAGGTACAAATATCACCGTCCGACCCGATGTAATTACTGAAGTTTATCTTTGGCTTTTTGTCAACTATACTGCTCAACACAATTAGCAGAACAAAAGTAAATAAAAATAAAATGTCTAATTTGAAATATTGAAATCTATCTCTATGTAAATGTTAAATTTTCGAATAAGATAAACATTAAATACTTTAAAAATACAAACATTAGGATGATTTCTTTTGTTGGTAAAGACACATTAGGAGGCTCATGTTGCTTGACACGCAATGATTTAATTATAAGAACAGAAAGTGGCTTTGTACTCGAACGGGGGACCCCATAATCTTTATTTTCCGATGTCTATAAGGAAATAACATTTTACACTATAATTGTTGGATTTTCCCCACAGCCACAGGTTATAACAAAATTAAGGCGGCAAATTTGATAAATTATATGTGAAAATTTTACAAAACCAAGTGGTGACTTTTTTTTACATGTGCATAATACTTTTGAATGGATAATTGGATTGGATGTATCTGGGAAATAGTTCAAATGAATCTCCCCTAAGAAGTACCTTTTCTTTCCACCCAATAATATATACTACTTTTTTAACACGCATAAAGTATATTTGATGTAAATTAATAACGTACTGTGATAATCAAAGACTTCAATACTATTCAGTGCAAGGCTAGCACCTTCGGAATACTATCCCTTCCCATACGGATTTTGGCAAATGTCAAATTATCGATAAGAATTTTGAGCCAACGAATGTTGGCAAATCTTTTCTGAGTAGGTCTATAGCCACTACAAGTCTACAACTATACATGTGTACCCAATAAAGTTTTCAAATATAATTAGGTGTTATTTGACATTATTATATAAATGTTCGGCCAAGATGAGAAGAGATGCACTAGGATGCTATTTGCTAGTTGCTACATATAGGTCACGCTTCTCTTATTCTTCTCCTTCTGATCTCTAAATATTTTTAAAAAAATCTAGTCTGGTTCTTTTGAATTGGATTGGCAACAAGTTAGGAATGGAATATTTTGATGTAAAGTCATTTGCTTTTCAAGTTTCCCTAACAAGATCTTAGTACCTAACTTTTATATTATTATATTTCAGTGGTAATATGAGATATCTATGAAAGTGTGACCTATTTTATATAAATGTTCAGTAAAATCCGTGATATTTTTGTTAGCATCGCTTTAAAGTTAAAGAAAATCATGGCAATTGATCTTAGGAAGCCAAGTACAGCCCACAAATTTTATAGTACTACAAGATGTTCATATAGTTTGGTGTCTAATTCATTAAATTGACTTATGTTGTTGAGTTATAGTCTCTGAACATAACTCTCACAAGATCGAACTGAAAATGCCTTTAAAATGCAAAAACATAGAACTATGATAAGAAGAGAATATAATATATATGCAAGAGTGTATGTATACATTAACTAACAAATTCAGACTTCGTTCTAGGAAACCTAAACTCAGCCACCTCTTCCCAACAATTATACTAAGGCGAAACAAAATGATCCATGCTTGGTCGATTCTCGATTGAGCTTAGTCGATTCTCGATTGAGCTTAGTCGATATTAAACCGAGATAACAATCAACTTAATCTAGAAAACTCCGATCCCAGTTAAACCGTCTCCGATTCTAAACCACACAAATAATATATACATTGTTCAGATAATTAAGTTGACGCAGAGTAAGTTCATTCTCCTGAAGAAAAAAGAGAATAAGATAAAGATAACGCGTCCTAGTTTTACAAGATCGAATAGTGCAAGGCTCCAAGCTCCTTTTTTAAAAAAAAAAATCTATCTTGGAAACTGGGTTGCATGTCTAAATTAATTTCTTTAAACTCGGTAAGTACTTACGTAGTTGTAAACTTGTAAATTGTAATAGAGCTAAGCTACACGTATAAGGATTAAAATTATATCACATGTGCATCATCAATCCCAAGATAACACTTTACATGTTATCAAATCTCAACCAGTAAAAGTCATTACACAAATCTTGTTATAGGTTGAACTAAAAGTACAAGAACCGATGTGATTAATCAATTGTTTTTCTTCTTCTAAAGTCTTCTTTGATAAATCAATTGAAAAGAGCGTTAACATTGAAGTCACTAGTTGAAGCAGAGTGATCAATCAAGTTACACATTTGGATTCTTTCATAAAATATTTTAATCGAAGTTGCTTAGAAGCTCACGGAGATTAGATCTGCATACTTTGACTCAACAGGCGTCAATAAGTTAACGAGATTTATTGTTTTATAAAGTTTACAATTGCTTATGAACACCACCCACTTGTTTTCCTTAACACTGCCTATACAAATATATAAACAAGTAGTAGTAAACTGAGAAGAAATTTGTATATTGTTTATATAGATCCACTTCAACGCGAATCTTAAGCGTACATATATAAATTATCTACATCAGATATAAATTATTATTATTGAAAAGACCAATTATCATAGCTATAGGCCTATCGATCAATATAAAACGGATGGATATGCTTTGCGTTTCATCTTATCCGCAAAATGTACATTGGTCGATGATCCATGCAATGATGCATATATATGCTATAACTTGTGGACTTCTTTTGATATAGCCTCGTATTAATAAACACTCAACGATGAGTTAAAACTATATAAACCATAATCCGTAAATAATTGGCTCCATTCTCTATGTGCAAAACCAATCGCGTTCAGGTTACAGCTACATACACTGATACACTCATACACACGTTTCAGTGTATACACGTCTACGCAATCGTACGTCTCTCAGTAGGACCCACACAAGCGTGTGAACGAAAGATAATGGTGGATAATGAAGGCCCACACATGTCCATCTCACCTCAATTCAGCACCATTGTAAATTGTAAGTTGTAAGTTTGTAACCATGTGACTTGTAGACAAGTAAAGTAGCAAGACACCATCAATCCAATTATTATTCTTCCTTTCTGGTGTCTACAACGTTAGTGTCACAAATTATACTTTTTTGGTAATTTATTCATAAATGTATCTAATTATCCTCTTCAATTCACTACGTGGAGCCATATATATATTGGTCAAAACTCTTAGCTTTATCCTAAAATTTACACATATAATTCTGTACAACAGTCACTTGAATTTTTTTGATTTTGTTTTGTTTTACATGTTTGTTGGTATTGTGACGTGTGAGAGAGATGGCCACCAAAACAAAACAAAAACGTATACGGTATAAATAAATATATAAAATTGTATGACTATGAGGTTTGAACAATTTACACAAAGGCCCATAATATTTCGTAATTGTTAAGCCCATATTATATCTGCTAATTTCGGTTGAAGTGGAAAACCAACGGTTGAGGATTTGTCACGTCACCGTTATCAGAACCGCATTGGTCCTTCCTTACCAATTAGGCGAATTTTGCGGTTCTGCGTGGCGATGGAACTGGTGGCGTTTCCGTACCAACACCGTACGGCTCCGACGGAATTTCCAGCACTGAAAACCGGAAAGTTAGTAGTTAACAGAAATGGACTTGGTTTACGATTCAGCAATGTTAGAACGACAAAATCGACGTATGGAGGAATGATCTTAGCGGAGAAATCAAGAGCAAGAACATTAACGACGGTGGAAGCAGTTTCCGGCGGTGGTGTCTCTCTTCCGCCACTGGATTTGACGGAGGACAACATCCGTCTAGTCCTATCCGATGCTCGCGTCGAGGTAAGCTTTTTTTTTTCCTTATCATTTGCCTTATTCTAGATTGGTACGGGAGAAAAATTAAAACCGGTTAGTATTACGAGTATTCAATTGAACCGAATTGCACCGATTTCTCTGGTTCGATTTACTTTGGTTATGTTCGATTAGAATTGTCGAGGTCAGACCGAAACCGGAACCAACGGAAAAACTCTAGTCAACAGATACCATGCAGGTTCTGTAAGAGTAGAAAACACAGTACTGTTGCTTAGTTCGTTTTTTTCTCTTCTAACAAAACTAAAGTAAGATTCTTCTTTTGTGAATCTTTTACTAAAAAGAATGGAAAAAATATTTTATTGGTTTTGTAAATACAGCTTGCACAACTCTTCGATTTATCGGTTGGGATGACAGGACAAGTAGAGCTAGTGGAACTAGACGGACCGTTCGTTAAAATAAGTCTAAGAGGCAAGTTTTGGCACACACGTGCAATGGTTCTTGCTCGAATTGGAAACTACTTGAAACAGAGGATCCCTGAGATTCTGGAAGTTGAGATTGAAGATGAGAAGCAACTTGACGATAGTCCTGCAAATTTCTAATCTTCATTACAGCACTTGAAATTTGTATCCATCTTTTCTTGCCTGATGTGACTGGTGATGTTTATGAGTTTTTCTCGGCGGGCTTTTCTTGTACTGGGCTTAAGCCCATTTGTATGTTATTTCGACCCATTAGTTGTTCTGAACATTGAATTGCTGGAAGCGTATATATGTTATTTCGACAATTAGTTTAAGACTGATGAGAGTTGAAGAGCAACAAGATAAACTGATGTTTATGAAAAGCCTATTTAAACAAAATATACAAAGTAAACTCCAAATTCTCCATTAAACAATTAAATCAGATTTTTTTTTTAACTAAAACAATATTAATTCAATTTTACTTCATAATCATTTCATTCCGCGTAAAACGCGGACATTTTTTTGTACTTGAAATAACAATCATACACACTGAAATAATAATCCAAAAACAATAACAACAATGGGTCTTCAGCATCTGGTTTGGCAAAGAGTATTACTTTGTAGCCCATAGACCTTAACCTCATATCTTCGTGAGAAGAGCATATTACTATAGGGCTTCGCCCATTGGGATATTGCTCAAGCTCTTTCGCAACAGTTGTGGCAATATCTTCTTTTAACTCCAAGTAAGATAAACTTTCTTTCTCTATATATAAAAAAATAAGGCAAGATGTAATTACAAGTTGAGACAAATTAAAAAAAAATAAAGATACATGTAAACATTACCTTCTGATTTTTGTTTATTCTTCTTACACTAATCACACCGGAAGTCTTTTACAACGATAACTGAAAGGAAAAGAGAACAAAGAGATGTTTAAAACCGGCTAACTATTGTTGACTGAAACTTGAAAAAAGCGCTCGTGATAGATGCATTGAGTTCCGTTATGTCAAAATTGTTTCGCGATACTGTCGACATTTTTGAATTATGTTACCATTCTTTTTTTTTTATTGGAAATTTTAATTTACACAAACCTTTTTTTTGACCATCTTTGTCGTACAAACATAAATAGCATTTTTTCTTCTATAGAAACAAAAAAAAATGGTGTCTTGGTTTATATTTTGTTTGTAATATACTTGTATTCTTCCATCCCTTAAGTAAATATTAGAACTTATATTTTTCATGTGTATTAGGGCATTAACATCGCACAGTTTCTATAGAGTTCTATTGCTGAGTTGACATTAAAAGAAAAAGAGAAAAAGAAAAAAAAATGAGTTGGCACAATTTTTTGTGTAACCAGTTCTCGGAGAGCAGCTCACAGAATCGTCTCTGAGAGGGAAGCTCGCCATATGTCAGCATTTAATTCGTCAACTTTTTCTTTTGATTTATTTCTTTATTTTTTGTGACAAAAATGATTTTTCTTAAAAACAAAATATTAATAAAAAAATGTTTCGGAGCTTTACCTCAGACTTAGTGATGCACATGCTCTTAGTGTTGTTGATTTCTAATTCTGTTTTTAATGAATAATGGTATTAGTATTACCACACAAAAAATACATTTGTAGGGAATAATTGATAATTTATCACATAAAACATTATATATTTTAAAATAAATATCCTTTTGTAAAAGAAATTGATTTCCCCTTACTCAAATTTCTGGTGGGATCTGACCAACTACAACATCTGTCAACACAGTTGAGTAGTCAACGTATCTAATTGGCCATCGTTGATTTTATATGATTTTGTTTGGAAGAGATCCATGATCGTAACTCGTAACTCGCGATCGTAAGAATAAAGAGTGAAAATAAAACTAAATACTGATTTCGTAAGTACACTATATTTCTTTGTTTTGTTAACGTCGTACACTTATGTATATAGTACATCAGTACACTATTCAATAGTAATATTTTGCTATGTTAAGCCACCGAAATTCTATTATTTTATACTACTTTCCATTGTTATTAATTCCAATTTATAAATATGACTTATCCACGCAATAGCCACTAGACTATACTAAAGTTACATTGAAAATTCTCTGTCTTATGATACATATTTTTAAGGCGATTCAGTTTCAAATAATTGTTAGATGACTGTGAAAGTGTGTAAGTGATAGACTGATAGCCATGTAAGCTACTTTAGTTTGTTTAATATTTTATATTTTTCTTAAGAGTTTCACTAAATCCATCAATTCAAAACAGAAAAATTTAGTGGCACGAGTGATAGATTCGCATATCCTCTGAAATCTGCTTTATGTTTACATTTCGAACTTCATGTTTACATAAATCGAATCAAAATATACATGAATAAAGAATCATGTTGTTATACATGGCATCATCCATTACAAATTAATTAAGATTGGGACAATTATCAATTACTTTTTAAAAGTTATCGCAACTGTGCATGTCGATCTCAATAAATGGAATTGCTATACAAAAAAAAAAACGATGATTCTCAAGCAAAACTCCAAATTCCAATGTCACAAGATAACAACAACCAATTCGAAATCGAAATGATTGTGTTGGGCTTGAGGCCCATTATAAAAGCAATGGAACCCAATTTAACAAACCAATCAAACTTCGTCGGTGGAGAGCAATCAAATTTTTTATGACCGTTGTGATATCGGATATCTTCTCCTTTTTTATTCCGATTACAAACAAGGAACCAAGAAACAACCTTTAACTCCACCCAGATTCTCTTCATTCTTCTCTGACTTGATTCGGTTTGTGATCGAGTATGGAAGTAACAACGGCTCCGGCGGAGGAATCAAACGGTAGTGCTGTGACGACGTATGAGCTCTTTGCCCCGAGTCCCGAGATGGTTTGATTCCATAAACGGAGAGACGGAAGTCGGAAGATGAGGCTCGCCGAGCGGATCTCTGGTTCGAGTCCTTCTCGTGAGTTTCTTTGCTCTCGTTTTTGTTTTTGGTTTCGTTATCTGTGAATTAGATTTCGGAATTTGCTCTCATTTTCGCTGGGTGATGATTAGGGTTTACTGATTTCTCTTGTGAGAATCGAAATTAGGGATCGCAAAACCTCGCGATTGCAAAAATAAAATAAAAATTAGCGGACAAAAAGTAAAATCTTCTTGCGTCGACTATTATGTTTAGTAATCAATCAATCATAGAATTGTGGTTATCTGTGCGTAGAATCATGATATGTTCAAAGCAGGAATTTTAGATAAATCTTTTTCTAATCCTGTGATTATTCTCAATTTGCAGGTAAAGAGCCGTCACTATTTCATCCAGCCGGAGCCTAATATTCCTTCACATTCCGTCACTTTCTTGATCTTAAGGAACTTGAGGTGTAGGAAGCAAAAGAAGAAGAAGAAGAAGAAGAATCCAATACTAGAAAGAATTTGAAAGAAATTGAGGAGGAGAGGAGATTAAGGATATGCAGGGAAAGAGGTGGAGAAGCGAAATCTGAGAGCATGAAGCTTAACGAAAGCCATGCTAATTGATAAAGAAAAGAAGCTTTGATGGTGTATGGTCCTTGAGGAGCTCGAAAGCCAAGGAATCTCTAGTCCCAAAAGAAGATTGAAGAGCTATCAAAGCTTGCTCGTGAAAGAGAGTGACTTGTTACACTCTTCTAAATGTTCTTGAGGGAGGAAAGCTTGTCTAATGATGTTGGGTACTGGGTGTAACAATAGTCTACTCGAAGACTAATGTCCGAATGGATCTTCAATTCATGATTCAATATCTCTGCATCATGGAGTAAAAAATTTAAAAGATAGTCCGACGGGAAATTCAGTAATCTGCTTAAAGCAATGCTTTGCGTATTGTTTGAGGAGTAAATGTTCTTGAGGAAAGGTTGCCTAATGATGTTTGATTGGGTAATTCAATTGTCTGCTCAAAAGAACAATGTCCGAGTGGAGGATTCAATGTTCTGCTCAAGTCTTTGCCTTGTTGGGTTTGAGACAAGAGTGTTAATTGATGTTGGATTGGGTGGTGATTCAATTCATGGAGAATTCATGAGATTCAATATTCTGCATCTTAATGGAGAAAAACTGTTCGTTGAAAAGCAATATTCAATCATCTGCTTGTTCCACTCTTCTAGAAGTCATGTCCGAGGAAATGGGAAATTCATGTTTCTGCAGAAGAGAGTTGCCAAACCTTAAGAAGACTTGTCTCATTGGCTAAAGCCAAAGTTACCAAATGAAAACGGAAAGCCCCAATGACTCAAAGAAAAAGAAAGATAAAGACCGTAGGATCTTCAAGGGTACTAAAACCGATCCTTATCATCACAGAAGCAGAGAACAAAAAGTACAAGAAATGTCCAATGGAAGTTAACGAGCAAAGACAAGTGCTCAAGAAAGAGAAAGCTAAGTCGCTTGATGATCTTAAAGGATTTGAGAAATAAAACAAAAAGCAAATGAGAAACTGGGAGGGGCATTATAATATGCCTATCTTTGTTCATAGCAAACTAGTTACGAGGTAGAGACTGAGTCTATTAGAAGCTCTGCTTCTCTTTCACGGAAGAGCTCCAAAAGATTGAAAGAAATGAAGTGGCTATAAGCCTATGACTGCTGACGCTAAAGAGAAGAAGAGAGGAGATTCTTTCTTCTGAATTAAGCCACTTAAAGGCAATGGTTTGCTCAGAAGAATAAAAGAAAGCTATTGAAGGCTCAAGTCTGAACTAATGGCTAAGAGGGAAACTTAGGAAACTTGCCATCCTCGAGAAGAAGAGTTCATTGAACAGCTAGCTGCCACATTGCTCTCAAAGCTGCTAAAATGGTTAAGTCATGTGCTTAGCAGTTGAGTGGACAAAGAAAGTTGATAAGCTTGAAAGAAAAAAAGGGTGAAGAATCAGAAAGTTAAATGAGATATGCTTCAGAATCTTTCAGCTGTGAAGCAGCATGAGGCAGAGCTGGATAAAATCTTTTAAGCTTGTTGAGAGTCAATAGAATCTGACCTCGGAACCACCCAAGAAGAGAAGGTTAGGGCTTTTTGCACAATAAAAAGACTGCAACATCAAATATTCAGATCCTAGTGAATGAAAAGACAACACTTGGTACAGAGTTGGAGAACTGTAAGAAACAAAAGAAGAGAAAAGCAAGAAAGCTATGGAAAGCGTAACTTTGAATTTTCAGCAGACATGTCCATGGAAGCTAAGGAGAAGCTTTTGACATGTCAAGATAGAACCAGATTGAAAGTTTGGAATTGGCTGAAAGATGCAAGAAACGAATAGATAGCCTGAAAAGTTGTTTTGGGAAACACTCGGCTTGAGATTCCTATGTTCGAAGATTGAGTGGGAACAAGGAGAAATTCATTTGATGATTTATGCAAGGAAATCAGAAGATGATAATCCCTATGTGAAGGGAGAACTTATCAAAGTGGAGAACTTGCTTAATCTTGAGGAAATCGAAGCGCATGCAGAAAAAGAAGACAAAGAAGAAGCCAATACTAAAAGCAATCTTAAAGATCTTATAGGAACAGATTAAGGATCTGCAGGGAAAGAGGTGGAGAAGCGAGAGCTGAAAGCATGAAACTTAAAGAAAGCTTGTTGGAGAGGAAAGACAAGGTAAAGAACGTTACTGCAAAAAGAAAAAAACACAGAGAAATGGAAGTTATCTTCTCTCGAGAAAATAAATGAGTTGTCAAAAAGGTGAATGATAGTTTGGTGGATAGAAACAAAACTGAAGAGCATTATTCAAGGAACTCAGAGGGAGGGAGATTTATTAGCTCAATAAGACAGAAGAGTTGTCAGCGAACGAGAGCTTGGTCGACAAAGAAACCAAACTGTTGAGCATTTTTCAAAAAGTTGAGGAGCTTAGAAGAAATCTAGTTGCAGATAATGTTGATTGAGGTCAAGGACCTTACTAAGATGGTATAGCTATCAAAGTTGCTAGAAAAAAAAGCTTCTTTCCACACAAGAGAAACCAGAGTGGAAAACACTTTGGCCTGTAAACATAAAACCAAAACAAAATTAACCTTTCTTTACATTTTCAGGCTGATTAATATTTATCTCTTTGCTTTTGCTTTGCAGAGTTTTCTTCAAAGGCTTGCTTCCAGATAGGTGTCCATCTTTCTTGAGCAACTGTGACTTCATTCATTCATCTTCGGTAAGATCACACAGTTAAAAAGCTTTTGGTTTGTTTTGTCTCACTTTTCTCAGCCATGTTTAGGCCATATAACTGTTCAACGCATCTGTAAAAACTCTCATGACAGATTCAGTTACTTTGACTTCAAGATCATACACGCGTGCACTCAGGTACTTGACTTCTTTCCCTCTGAAATATACAAGTAATCTGCAAGACAAAAATAATTCTATAAAAAAAAAATCTCACATAAAAGAAAAGAGCCAATTACCAATCTCATCAACAATTCTTTCTCCATCCTCTATCCTCTGAATTCTTCTCTTATCTTCCAAACGAGATTCTGACAAGAAATTCACGTTCACTTCCAACAAACCTATATGGTAAAACAAAATGATAACAAATATCACAAGCTTTGAACAATCGATTACTAAACATACTTGTCTAGAAACTCCACAAGAACACATGTTTACACTATGCGACTGTGTTACTCTCGGGACAGGACAAGTAGAGCTAGTGGAACTAGACGGACCGTTCGTGAAAATAAGTCTACGAGGCAAGTTTTGGCACACACGTTCAATGGTTCTAGCTCGAATTGGAAACTACTTGAAACAGAGGATCCCTGAGATTCTGGAAGTTGAGATTGAAGATGAGAAGCAACCTGACGATAGTCCTGCAAATTTCTAATCTTCATTACATCACTTGAAATTTATATCCACCTTTTCTTGCCTAATGTGACTGATGTTTATGAGTTGTCGAAGCTTGTTTTAGTCGGCGGGCTTTTCTAGTAATGGGCCTAGAGCCCATTAATACGTTACTCGACCCATTATTTGTTTTCTTACGTTCAAAACCTAACCCTAGTTTTTACATCAGCACGGATCAGTGATTTGAAGAAACAACGACAATGACAACGACAATGTCTAGAATTTGTTGTGATTGGTCCAAGCTTTGTCATGATGTTTTGCGATCGATCCTCGAACGTTTAAGCACTAAAGATCTTCATCGAGCGAGATCCGTCTGCTCAAACTGGTATTCCGTTGTTGATATCAAGAAAAAACCCGTCGGTAATGGTTTGTCTCTATATATATATTCGGATTAGATTTCATCTAGTCTCATCGATCATCCATCGGATCAATCGAAATCAATTTCATCGTAATTGTGTTATGTTTTGTGAAAAGCTGACTGATAAATCTATGCATGATCCACTATTACAGCTACTGATACATTCGTCTTCTGGGACATGGTGGATTTCCCCCTCGATGAGGACAAGATTGATTCGTTTTATAAAAATGTTAAATCATGTCTCCGGAAACAGGGTTATATCGGTCGTGTGAAAGTCACAGCTTTTGGTCATCGAGTACATTCTTCTCGAATGATGTTGGAGTCTGTACATAGCGACATCATGTTACTACGACTAAGTGAGTGAATTCTTTTACCAAAAAAAAAAATCATCCTTTTTACTTATGTAATCTAGATCTCTCTGATGTTTATATATATACAATTTGATTTCTTGCAGGTAGTAGATTTGCGAGACTTAATTACATGTTAATGAGGATGATTGACAATGCAGCCTTTTGCCCTCAATCAAATTTCATGTTAATTATAAGAGGCATGGCAGAGGAAGACGTACAGGTTGTGCCCATTATTAAAGAGATTAAAAAAAGAGGTTGCAATGTTCTCTTAGGAGTGAGTGACTATGATGACTACTTCGACTACCCATTAGAGGTACAATCTAGTTGCACCCTATGGTTATGGGAAAACCTATTAAAAGGACATGGCCCTGTGCCCTTTGTCTCAGACGATGAAGATGAGGATGATACTAGTGACGACGAGGGAAGCTCACCTAAACGTCCCAATCTAAATATAAATTGATGCAAGTAGCCTCTGTGCATTTTGATTTGTTTTTTAACTGCTTGTTATAATTATTTCAACTTGTACTGCACCTATTATGGCCTTTATATATAAATTTGAGCATGTTCAAAGTGTGATAGGTGGCTTTTGCTTTGTGGACTCTAATAGTGAAACGAAAGCACCAACTAATATAAGACTTTGAGGTTCCAATGCTCAAACTTATCTCCAAAAGAATGTAGCCTTGATCCAACCCAGCACTTAACAAGGATAAAAGTTTCTGAGAATATTACTATCATCAATATAGCAAAACGTGACACCAGATCAAACCATTGGCCTACGATTCATTCTCAAAAGAAAAATTAAAAGTTGTACAGATAAAGAAAAACCGGAGAAACACATGACATGAGACAGAAGAGAAATCAGGGAATTCACTCATATATATCCAAAACCTAAAGTCCCAGGCCTACATACGAGTATGAACGAGTTGTCAATATTACAATTTTGTCCTTGTTTCCATATTAAAGTAGGTCTTGATACCCAATCCTTGATCCCTAAATCGTAATTCCTTTTACTTCTTCATTCTCTGAAGATCTCCAGTTTTCTCGAGTCTCCGTGGGGACACAATGAATGATAAAGACTGCCCTATGTTCTTGAATAACGAGGAAATACGTGTACAATTCGCTGGTAAGACATCTCTATCTATTTTTTGTGGAATAGATTTTTCTGAATCTCATGGATCTGTCAAGCGAAACTAGAGGATCAATCTAATCGATTGTATTTATTTATTATATTTTTTTTTTCCTGCGGTTGGTAATTGTTTCGTCTGGTAGAGATATACCAATCATTGAGTATTATAACCCTGGGTTTTATTTCATGTGTTGATAGGGGTGTCAAAATGGGTAACCCAACCCATCCAACCCATTATCCAAGTGGATTTAGTGCTAATGGATCATGGATTAATCCAATCCATTTAGGAAATGGGTTGGTTTGATCCATTATCCATTTAATTAGATGGTTTTAATGGGTTAATGGATGAATGGGTTAATGGATGATCCACAAACAAATATAACTAAAAATTTATATATATTAAAATAAAGATAACTAAACAAAATCTATAAACATCACAAAAATCTATAACCCATTAAATCTGTAAAATCGTAAAATCATGTCTTTCCCAAAATCGTAAATCACATCTTTCCGCCGAAACCGTAAAATCGCAAAACACGATTTTTCATCAAAACCGTAGAACCACGTTTCCGTCAAAAACATAAACTCACTGTTTTTTGCAACGTAAAATTGTGATTTATGCACAAAACAGTAAAATCACGTCTTTCTCCCTAAACTGTAAAATCACGTTTTTCAACCAAAACCGTAAAAATCAGTTTTTCCATCAAAACATAAAATCACAACTTTCCCCAAAAACCATGTTTTGCGGTTATGGCGGAAAACCTTGATTTTGCGGTTTTGATAGAAAACCGTGATTTTGCGGTTTTGGCGGGAAACCGTGATTTTGCGGTTTTGGCGGAAACTGTGATTTTGCGATTTTGGGGGAAACCGTGATTTTGCGGTTTTGGCGGGAAACCGTGATTTTGCGGTTTTGGCGGGAAACATGATTTTGCAATTTTGGCGGGAAACCGTGATTTTGCGATTTTGGCGGGAAATTCGTGATTTTGCGGTTTTGGCGGGAAACTCGTGATTTTGCGGTTTTGGCGGGAAACATGATTTTGCGATTTTGGCGGGAAACTGATTTTGCGATTTTGGCGGGAAACTCGTGATTTTGCGATTTTGGCGGGAAACTCGTGATTTTGCGATTTTGGCGGGAAACTCGTGATTTTGCGATTTTGGCGGGAAACTCGTGATTTTGCGGTTTTGGCGGGAAACCGTGATTTTGCGGTTTTGGCGGGAAACTCGTGATTTTGCGGTTTTGGCGGGAAACTGATTTTGCGATTTTGGCGGGAAACTTGATTTTGCGGTTTTGGCGGGAAACTCGTGATTTTGCGGTTTTGGCGGGAAACTTGATTTTGCGATTTTGGCGGGAAACTTGATTTTGCGTTTTGGCGGGAAACGTGATTTGCGGAAAAGGAAACTCGTGATTTTGCGGTTTTGGTGGGAAACCTTGGCGGAAAACTGTATTTTGCGATTTATACCAAAATTGTAAAATCGTTTTTTTTTGTCAAATTTGTAAGATCATTCTTTTATGGTATTGTATTCAAATCCAACCAAATACAATTTTGGATTTATTATGTGGGAAAAAACATTTGATGTATAATTTTTTTTTTTTTTAATAAAGTGGGTTAACCATTGATCCAACCCATTATAAACCAAACCATTTCAATCCAATCCAATTAATCCATCACCCATGTGAACCATTAACCATTTGGATCCAAATTTTTAATCCATTTGGATTAATGGATAAGATGGATTGGGTCAATCCATGGATTTGGATCCATTTTGTCACCCCTATGTGTTGATAGTGTAATTTTGATGTTTTTTTTATAAAAATGCTTTAAATTGTAGAAAAAAATAAACGAGTTGTTCTTATTTCTTTCTAGATGCTGAAACAGGCGTGTACTGGGATGTGGAGGATTACCCAGTGACCGATTTTGTGTCGTTTAAGGAGAAGATGAGAGCAGCTCTTGTTGGTGCGGGATATAATGGTAAAATATCAATCAGGGCTTATGGTGAGAAGAAACCATCGGCTGCTGCCGGAATCACCTTTGTATACGAAGGCTCAAAACGTGGAAGAATGCATAGGATGTTAGTAGACATGTATTTAAGGGCATTGGAAAATAGTAGCAATGCACCAACAAACTTTATGGTAATCACAAAGAACATGATGCCGGCTGAGGATGAACATGACACTCGGTTCGTGGATTTTCTTGGAGATTTGAATTTGAGATGCTACAACGTTATCGTAGCACTGCCTGATGACTACAAACCAGAACAGATGCCATTTGAGCTCAACTTCACAGCATGGCGTTGGAGTGACCTACTTACTGGAGGATGTCCTCTGGACGGTAGCCTTGTCGAAAGACTAAGAGACAACGACCGTAAAAACGCATGTCTAGAACCACCCGTACCCCAAACCCAACCCAAATCCGAAGACATCCCCATCGATTGTACTTGTTCTCTCTGTGTTCGCTCAGATCTCTCATGACTCTTGGGTGTGCGACGACAATAACGTTTCTCTTTTGAAACTACTTCTTTTTCTTTCTTCTTTATGTGCTTGTATGATATATGGCTTTTTCTTTGCGTGGGTTAAGATTAATGATGCTAAGTGGATATGAAAATGGACCTGAATGCCTTGACTCGTCTCTACTAGTGAAACGAAAGCTCCAAAAAGTATAAGACGTTGAGTTAACATAATAAAGCTTATGATAAAAAAAAAATAACAAGATTCATTCATCACCAGTAGTGAACTAAGATTGATTTGTATTTTGTCATATACCTTTAGAGAGCAAAAAGGACAATTCATTATTTTTATCCTTTTCTCCCGTTCGCGGTTGTTTTTTAATTTGTAATCCTCGACAACGTACGTTCAAACTTCGAACCTTGAAAAATGGTCTTTGATGAACGAGCCACGTCAGCAGAAAGTAAATCAATACAGCAATTAAAAATCTGAAGAAAACAATCGTTCTCTCCTTGTAGTGGTCTGCAGAGAAGTCATAAGAATCAACAAAATGCGATGATGGAAAAGAGAGACTTTGAATGCACCTGAAGAAGTAATAGTATCCCAAACCGACGAGACACCAAAGGATGTCATTGTAAACTTCTGTTCACATGGATGTTTACAGAATGCAAAAGAATATAGAATAAATATAACTCTCATCACTATCTCTCGCCCAAATCAAAACGATTTTTCTTTGCAGAAAAATAAAATGGTGTGAGTTTACATGGTGGGATAATTATAATTCAAATTATTAACAACAAAGCAGAACTAGTAATGTTGACCAAAACATATATAATAATAATTTGTCCTTAATAATCCAGAAACAATAACAAAATCAAAATTGATTATCATAGAGATACTTTGTAGCCTGAAAAACAGATGATCTTCAATAGAAACATCTAATGGTTTAGGCCATGTGACTGTACTTGTCGCAAGATCGACTACACCGCAATGATCTCTAATGGTTTATGAAGATTTACATATATTTGGTCTTATCAATATGACAATGTTAAACTTAAACCCTATATACATATATGAGTCTTATGCCCTTGTATCAACAACACAACTCAATAATATATTACTTTCTATAATATTTGTCATGGTATCCAAGAGAAATGAGTTGATGATCCAAGAGATGAATTGGAGATATAATTGATTTTTTTGGTTTGTTATTCTTGTCCTAAAATCAACAAATTTTTTTTTAACGATTTTGGGGTTTAAGGCTTTCCTGGGTTTTTATCTGAAAAAGTGAAGGTATTTGTGAGTTTAAGGTTAAACCAGAAAACCGAACTGAGTATGATTACGAGTTGTCAAAATTACAATTGTGTCCTTGTTTCCAGATTAAAGTAGGTCTTTGTCCAGGAGTCACCCATCCTTGAACCCTAAATCGTATTTCCTTTTTTTTTTTCTTCCTTGTCTAAAAATCTCCAGTGTTCTCGAGTCTCCCTGGAACACCATGGATATCGAGAAAAAAAACGTCGGTAAGACATCCATCTGCTCGTAAGTCGTAATATTCGGATTAGATTTCAGCTAGTCTCATCGATCATCCATCGGATCAATCTAAATGAATTTCTTCGTAAATATTGTTTATGTTTTGTGAAAGCTGACTGATAAATCTATGCATGATCCACTACTACAGCTACTGATACATTTGTCTTCTGGGACATGGTGGATTTCCCCCTCGATGAGGATAAGATTGATTCGTTTCATAGAAACGTTCAATCATGTCTCCGGAAAGAGGGTTATATCGGCCGTGTGACTTTCACAGCTTTTGGTCATCGAGTACATTCTTCTCGAATGATGTTGGAGTCTGTACATCGCGACATCATGTTACTACGACTAAGTGAGTGAATTCTTTTACCAAAAAGAAATAATCTTTTTACTTATGTAATCTAGATCTCTCTGATGTTTATATATATATATATATATATGATTTCCTGCAGGTAATAGATTTGCGAGACTTAATTACATGCTACTGACGATGATTGACTATGCAGCCGTGTGCCCCAAATCAAATTTCATGTTAATTATAAAAGGCATGGCAGAGGAAAACGTGCAGGTTGTGCCCATTATTAAAGAGATTCAAAAAAAAGGTTGCAATGTTCTCTTAGGAGTGAGTGACTATGATGACTACTTCGACTACCCATTAGAGGTGCAATCTAGTTGCACCATATGGTTATGGGAAAAGCTATTAAAAGGACACGGCCCTGTGCCCTTTGTTTCAGACGATGAAGATGAGGATGATGATACTAGTGACGACGAGGGAAGCTCACCTAAACGTCCCAATTTAAATATAAATTGATGCAAGTAGCCATTTTGATTTATATTTTTAACTGCTTTTGGACAAACATGATATATCAGTGTTGTTTGATGTTGTTCTTTCATTGTATTGGACCTTTTATGACCTTATATATAAATTTAAGCATGTTCAAGGTGTGATAGATGGCTTTTGCTTTGCGAAAATGGACATTAGTAGTGAAACGAAAGCACCAACTAATATAGGACTTTTGAGGTTCCATTGCTGAAACTTATCTCCAATGGTCTCCAAAAGAATGTTGCCTTGATCCAACCCAGCACTTATGGTAGTTTTAGGCTCTGCTAACCGACCTCCAACCTGAAACATTATGAGAGGACTTAACAAGGATAAAAGTTTCTGAGAATATTACTATCATCAATATAGCAAAACGTGACACCAGATCAAATCATTGGCCTACGATTCATTCTCAAAAGAAAAAATTAAAAGTTGTACAGATAAAGAAAAAGAAAAACCATAGAAACACTGATATGAGAGACACAAGAGAAATCACGGAATTCACTCATATGTATCCAAAATTACGATTTTGTCCTTGTTTCCATATTAAAGTATATTCAACCCTTGATAAGAGTCACCCATCCTTGAACCCTAAATCGTAATTCCTTTTATTTCTTCCTTCTCTGAAGATCTCCAATTTTCTCGAGACTCCGTGGGGACACAATGAATGATATAGACTGCCCCAAGTTCTTGAATAACGAGGAAATACGTGTACAATTCGCTGGTAAGACATCTCTGTCTATCTTTTGTGGAATAAATTTCTCTGAATCTCATGGATCTGTCAAGCGAAACTAGAAGATCAATCTAATCGATTGTATTTATTTATTTTAATTATTTGTTTATTCGGTTGGTAATTGTTTCGTATAGTAGAGATATACCAGATCACTGAGTATTATAACCCTGGGTTTTATTATCGAATTTCTATTTTTTTGTTTTCTCACTTCATGCGTATATAATGTAATTTTGATGTTTTGTGTATAAAAATGTTTTAATGTAGAACAAAATAAACGAATTGCTCCTTTTTTTTCTTTCTAGATGCTGAAACAGTCGTGTACTGGGATGTGGAGGATTACCCAGTGACAGATTTTGTATCGTTTAAGGAGAAGATGAGAGCAGCTCTTGTTGGTGCGGGATATAATGGTAAAGTGTCAATCAGGGCTTATGGTGAGAAGAAACCATCGGCTGCTGCCGGAATCACCTTTGTATACGAAGGCTCAAAACGTGGAAGAATGCATAGGATGTTAGTGGACATGTATTTGAGGGCATATGATTTGGAGACTACAAGCTCTGCACCAGAAAACTCGATGGTAATCACAAAGAACATGATGCCGGCTGAGGATGAACATGACACTCGGTTCGTCTATTTGCTTTCACTTTTGAATATGAGATGCTACAATGTTCTCGTAGCACTGCCTGATGACTACAAGCCAGAACAGATGCCATTTGAGCTCAACTTCACAGCATGGCGTTGGAGTGACCTACTTACTGGAGGGTGTCCTCTGGACGGTAGCCTTGTCGAAAGACTAAGAGACGACGACCGTAATAACGCACGTGTAGAACCACGCGTACCCCAAACCCAACCCAAATCCGATGACATCCCCATCGACTGTACTTGTTCTCTCTGTGTTCGCTCAGATCTCTCATGACTCTTGTATTATGTGCTTGTATAATACATGGTTTTTTCTTTGCATGGGTTAAGATTAATGATGATAAGTGGATATGAATGCCCTGACTCTATACTAGTGAAACGAAAGCGCCACCAAATAATATAAGACGTTGAGTTAATATAAAGCTTATGATAAAAAATAATAATAACAATGATTCATCACCACCAGTAAGTGAATTAAACTAGATTCGTATTTGTCATCGAAAGACCTTTAGCCCAACTTATTTTGCTAGTAGCATTGGTTGCAGGGAAGTTTCTAACACTGCATTGGCAATTTGACAGGAACCGTTTTTGCTTATGGCAGTGAAAAGACACATACAATGCATGTAAGTTTTGTTTTTCGTTATTACGTTTGCTTAATACAACGTTTACTGTGCTGCGATTGATATCATTCAAAGACTATGTGACGTAGACTATAGCTGCTGATAGATGTTTGATTGCCATGCTTGTATCATCTGTTAAATCATCATTTTGATTTTGGACATGTATTAAACAATCAGCGGTTTAGATTTTGATCTTGAGCATTTACTGTCACTGTAAACAAACCCTGAAATTAAGACTTTTAGCTTCAGATATAATTTCCTATTCTGTTTTGGTAACGTGTGTGATAGATAGATAACTTGTTAATGATGAAAGTCCCACATCGGAAGTTGGAAAAATAACTAACTAATATATAAAGGGTTAGGGCCTCTCCACCTATTGCCAATTGGTTTTAGGTTGGATGCCCATGTTTAACCCAAATTTGACATGGTATCACATCAGTCGATTCTAGGGCCTCTCCACCTATTGCCAATTGGTTTTAGGTTGGATGCCCATGTTTAACCCGAATTTGATATAACTTCATCATGTCTTTAGTTTTAGATGAGCATGCTTATATGTCCCATCTGCAAGCAAGTTATCTTACTTTTGTCCTTGTAGGGTATCATAGAGATATACTTTGTAGCCTCAAAAAGAGATGATCTTTTATAACTCAAGTTCGCATTCTAGTGCTACATCTGGAAATACATACGATTTAAAAATTATCAAAAGCTTGTTCCGGATCTAAGATAGCAAAACATCATCCAAGGCAATTACAAAACACCTAAGAGAGTGTAATCAAAAGAGTCAACACACTGGCAATTTAAAGTTCCAAAACGGAGAAAGAAGGAGAGAAGACATCATCTAAGGCAATTACAAAACACATAAGAGACTGTAATTAAAAGAGCCAACATAATGGCAATTTAAAGTCCTAAAACAGAGAAAGAAGGAGAGAAGATAAGAGGGACATTGTTATTTAAACAATCATTTCAACAAAGTGTGTGACTAAAGATGCACACAATTTGAGGAAACCACCATTACCCACATTAGAGGTGCTCAATTTGAGGAAACCACCATTACCCACTTCATAGCTTGACTCAAGCCTAAACTCAATACCCACCACCGATTTTGAAAGCAGGTCTCTGAATACTGATGAAACCTCAGAAATCCAAATTCAAACTCATAAGAATTATAGAAAGTCTCGATAGAATTTTCAAAGTGTAATTTTGAAAATAAACATTATAGAGGTGTAGTTTTGAAAATTAACACAACAAAAAGTGTATTTCTTAAAATTTCTCAAATTTCATCACATTGCTTGGATTTGACTTTGAATATGTTTAAGTGCTTACAAATTATTGGGTAAAAGCTCAAAGATATCTCCAAAATGTGCCAAACTGGTGCATGTTTGACCTTGAATGTGACCGTAGGCACAAAAGGTGTAGAAGGTTCCAATAGTCCACAATTATAACTAAAGCTGACAATAGTTCTTTGAGAATCATTAGAAGATGAGATGTTAATTTTCAAAACAATACATCTATGATCTTAATTTTCAAAATTACACTTTTTCTAGATTTAACATCTAAGTTTGGGTTCACTAACCCTAATTAGAGTTTAGATTTTGGGGTTTAGGTCTGAGATTTAAGGGTTTAAGGTTAGATTTTAGGGTTTAGGCTTTAGATTTTGGGTTTAAAGTTGTTTTACCAAATGAAAAAATGTTGTTTTGAAAATAGATATCGCAAAAGTGTATTTTTGAAAATGTACACTCAAAAATGTGTAGATTTGAATTTACACAAAAAAAATTGTAGTTTTGAAATCCAAGATTAAAAAAAAATCAGTAGAAGCATTCAGAAATCAGAATTATTACGTTTGGTTTGAAAAAACAATTAATGTTGGGCTTCAGCCCAACATTTCAACAGCCCAAATACTAATAGAGTTTTCTAGTACTGGGCCGAAGCCTTAGTCCATTTAAATGTTATTCGACCCATTTGTTGTTTTCTTCCGTTCAAAACCTAGCCCTAGTTTACATCAGCACGCATACGCTTCCAAGCAATTCAGTGACTTGAAGAGACGACCACAATGTCTAGAATTTGTTGTGATTGGTCCAAGCTTTGCCCTGATGTTTTGGGATCGATCCTCGAACGTTTAAGCACTAAAGATTTTCATCGAGCGAGATCCGTCTGCTCAAACTGGTATTCCGTTTCCGTTTCAAGAACAAGTATGCGACAACTGTATCCATGGCGAATTCTATTCAACAAGGAGAATTCTACTCTGTTGTTCGATCCCGGAGAAGAAAAGACTCACGAAATACAGCATCATCCCGAAATCGACTTCTCGAAAAAATATGTTATGGATAGTTGCAGCAACTGGCTCTTGCTGGTTGATTCTACTCTAGAGTTCTTTCTTTTGAATGTGTTTACTGGCGAGAGGATCAATCTTCCATCTATGGAGTCATTTATTCGTGGTAAAGAAGATGGAAAAGAAGAGTGGGTAGATTACATCCAGCATGCTAACGTATCCATCTTCAGCAAATCATCAGTTGCTGCTGTTCTGTGGATGGACGAGAGAACAGGTGATTATGTTGTAGCTTGGTGTTACAAGCAGCATTACTTGTTCTCATACAAGAAAGGAGATGATTCTTGGTGTAATCTTGGCTCGCATAAGTGTGTATCTATGGCGTATAAGAAGAGTAAGCTCTATGTGTTTACATCTGAACATTACATCAAGATTCTTGATTTATCTGGAGATTACCCTAATGAGATCATTGAAGGTAACCCGTATCGTAATCATCGTTTCGAATTTGTACTGCAACCTGGAGAATTCATTTGGATGAAGAAAGTAGCGATTACGAACTCAGGAGAGGTTTTGATCGTTGTGTAAACGTGTGTTTTACGTCTTTAAGATGAATGTTGAAAGTGGTGAATGGGAAAGAGTGGATTCTGTTGGAGGTGATGTGTTGATATTCGGTCATGGAGTCACTGTAAGAGCCCCGATCAAAGAAATTAATGGTGAGGGAATCAAGAGTGATTCAATCTGTTTCCTTGACGATGATCTTTGGCCACAGTTTCATTATTTTGATCCCAAAGGAATGCGGTGTATTCGATCTTGCGACAAGGACAATCACATGGCCTAAACAATTAGATGTTTTGTTCTTGAAGAGTTTTTGGTTTCTTCCGGGATATGGTTAATTAAGTCTTTTGTCCGAAGAATAATTTCTCCTTAGGTCTGGTCTTAAACGACACATCAACAGCTGAAGTAGAGCCATGTTTGTGTTGCTATTCAGACTTTGATGATACTATTAAACGACACATAGTTTCTCTTGTTCAGAAGAATAGTTTCTCCTTAGGTCTTGTCTTAAACGACACATCAACCAACAACTAAGTAGAGCCAAGTTTGTTTTGCCATTCAGACTTTGATACTTTAATTGTTCTAGTTAGTATTCTGATTATTATTGGCTTGTTTATCTTCATTTTTGCTGATTTTAGCACATGATTTTGCAAAGAAATTTGTGGTTTAATCATTGGTTGATAAAAGTTCCTGTGTTTTTTAAAAGAAAACAAAAATTAAGTATAGGTAACTTATTAATCCCAATATACAGACCTCTTAATACGGAGGGCTTATCACCCAAATATGTGCGGAGGTTGTTGATAAAATCAGATCAAGACCACAATTTTAGCAAAAGCTCACATTATTTCTTTGAGAAAGTCGAAGCAAAAAAATAATAATATGGGCTTCAACATGTCACGGCCCAAATATTGATAGTTTTCTTGACTTTTTAAAACAAAACCCTAATTTCGCTTCACTTGCATACGCTTCAAGAAATCCGAGAGAGAGAGACGACGACGATGTCTACAATGTATGATTGGTCAAAGCCTTGTCTCGATATTTTGCAATCGATCTTCAAACGCTTAAACCGTAAGGATTTTCACCGAGCAAGAACCGTTTGCTCAACCTGGTATACTGTTTCCGAAACATGTATGCCACCTCCGTATCCATGGCGGCTTGTATTCCGTAAGTATTCTGTTTGGTCGTTAGATCCAGAGGGAAACGATGTCCGTGAAAATAAGTTTTCGACTTTGTTGTTCGATCCTGAGGAAGACAGTATCCGTGAAATCGAATATCCCGAACTAGATCTGTCCGAAAAATACTGTATCGCTAGTTGTAGCAATTGGCTTCTGATGGTAGATCAACGTCTAAATTTCAATATCTTGAACGTTTTCACTCGCGAGACGATAATTCTTCCATCAATGGAGCCATCACTTCTCGGGATACAACAAGGTGATGATGATGATGAGGAGGACGAGTACTTCATTTCGCGTAATGAGATCGAAGATGCCAAGAGATCGGCTGTTTTGTGGATTAACGAGAGAACAAGAGATTACGTCGTCGCTTTTGCTTACAAACGAGACTTCTTGTTCACGTTCAAGAAAGGAGATGAAGCGTGGCGGAGGAATCTTCAAGGCACGAGATGTGACGATATGGCTTTTAAGGATAACAAGCTTTACGTGCTCGCTCTTGATAACTTCATCAAGATTGTTGATCTCTCTGGAGATTTGCCAAGAGAATCACTTGAAAACCCTTATCTTAATCATCGCTTTACCTTCCGTATGGGACCGAGGGAATGCATTTGGAAGAGGAGAATAGCGATCTCGAAGTCAGGAGAGGTTCTTGTCATTCAGAGCTCAAAAGTGTCGAAAGATAAGTTCGTGTTTCAAATCTTCAAGATGAATGTGGAGAGTAGCAAGTGGGAGATAGTGGATTCTCTTGGGGATGAGATGTTGATCTTTGGCCATGGAGTCACGGTAAGGACATCTGTCAAAGGTGGTTCCATATGTTTCGCTGAAGACGACATTGATCCATGTAAAGGTAGTGGTGTGTTCGATCTTGCGACAGGTACAATAACGTGGGCTAAACAAGTAGGTAAAAAGTTATCGGAGAGTCGCTGGTTTGTTCCTGGATATTGTTAAGTCTTAGTCAGTGAGAAGTGAGAACATTTGTTTGGTAGATTTTCTTTATTTTTATTTTTATTTTTTATTGTTGCAGATTTTAGCATGATTTTTCCTTCGGATTTTCGTGGTTTTGTTGTTGATTAAGTTTATTTTCTTAAGAGCAAACTTTGCAAACATACATGTCCTTTAAGCATTAAGCTAAGCTCACAGAAATAGCTACAAAGCCCATATATATATCTAGGACAATTTTGAGTCGCTTCGGTAGGGTTTATAATATTGAAGATGAAATGAGAACATTATTAATCTTTATTTAACAAAAAAAGAACATTATTAATCTTTAATCCAACTATACATGAGCTTCTCCACCGTACCCTTTGTTGAGAAGTAAATAGCATCATCTCGTGCCTCCCAAGTGTACATGGCACCACATCTACAATAAGGATCTCCTTCGTATGCTTGAAAGAATTTATGATATTCCAGGTTAGCACCTTTCCACAAGGTACATTTGAATCTTGTGATGAGGATGACATTATCATGAAAGCTAAAATTGTACGCAACATCTTGAAATTTCACAAAGTGGTCGCCTAAATCATCGTCTTTGGATTTGCAATGGACTTTGAGAGTACTACGGCTAAGAGTAAGGTTGTTTTGAAAAGCCACCGTGTTTTTATGGCACTTCGCTTCATTCGGCGTAAAATGCAATGCAATGATAAGAGACAGAAAAACATACACAAGATTCATTTTTTCTTTGGTGAACACAAGATTCTCTATAAAACTTGGGAAGGTCGCTAAATACTTACTTCTGTATGTCATTATGTATATAGATCTATAGACTTTCATTGTTTTCTTTTCGATCCATATCCTTCGGTGTTTGTACTCCATTTGGCAGACTTCTATTAATTTTACTCAAGGTGTTTCTAAGTCATAACTCAAGCTAGATTTACATTTAATAGGTTTATTTATTTTTATCCTTTTCTAACCAAAATTGTTGCTGTTCTGAAACAGAATTTTAAATGTGTATTTAAAAAGGAAACCGATTTTGGTTTTCTCTCTCTTTTTTTTTTCTTTTTCTTTTTCTTTTTTGTTGTTGTTGTTGTTGTTGTTGTTGTTGTTGTTGCGAATATCTTGAGTGTACTCCTGCCATAAAGATATTCGCAAAAACCGGTTCCGGAGCATAGAAGATTAATGTCTTTGGTCCGAAAAAAATCTCCTAATAAGCCCCTATAAAATTTATATATTTTTAAATTCTATACTAAAATGTTGGAGGGAGATTATGGGTTTGAAAATATTAGTTTAGTTTCAATTTTCAAACAATCCAAATTATGGGATTAAATCGTAAATAATTTGATATTCTTATTTTATGGCGATTAAGGGTATAAATTAACACTTGAGATACCATTGAGACTTTCGACAATTCATATGGATATAAATTTGGTTTTATGCGATTTCATCATAGACTCAGACAGCTGATTTCAAGATCGGTGGTGGCCATTGAGTTTAGACTTGAGCCAAGCTACGCCCCCTTCATACATAATTTCATACATAATTTCTTAGACTATGTAATCCTTTTATCTTTGAGGTGTCTTAGCATAATGTCTTAGTTAATGTCTTTTGCATTAATGTTGTTTGCCTGATATCTTTGAATTTTAGTTAATGTCCGTTGCATTAATGTCGGAGTTAATGCACTGTTTTTGCATTAATGTAGTTAATGCTTTGTCTTTTTTTGTTAATGAGACAGTTAATGACTTGTCTTACATTAATGCTTGTTGAGTATTTTAATTCTTATGAGTTTTTTTCACAGGGTTTATCATCCATTAGATTGGGACATCATTGCTAATATGCCAACGCTCACACCTCATGCAGTTCTCTGCATTTTTCATTGGATCTTATCCACGACTTATCAAGATAGCAGGACATCATTGCTATCATAGCTGATATGTTAAAGCGCATAGCTCATCCAGCTCATGCAGTTCTTTGTGTTTTCCATGGTGTGGATCCTATCCATGGGGATTATTATGAGTATCAAGATAGCTGTAGATCTAATGTGGGTAATGATGGTTTTCTCTCAGTGTGCATCTTTAGTCATACACTTTGTTGAAATGATTGTTTAAACAACAATTATGTTCCTCTATCTTCTCTCCTTCTTTCTCGGTTTTGGACTTTAAATTGTCATTGTGTTGGCTCTTTTAATTACACTCTCTTATATGTTTTGTAATTGCCTTGGATGATGTTTTCTCTCCTTTTTCTCTGTTTTGGGACTTTAAATTGCCTGTGTGTTGGCTCTTTTAATTACACTCTCTTATGTATTTTGTAATTGCCTTGGATGATGTTTTGCTTTTGCGATCTTAGAATGATGATTTGCAATAAATTGTGGTAAGTTTCCTACTCATTCCTTGAATAATCAGAAGAATTTTTAACTATTGGCCCACTCTTAGTTGTTTTAGATCTGGAACCAGCTTTTGATAATTTGTAGATTACACATATTTCCAGATGTAGCACTAGAATTTGAAATTGAATCCGAAATTTTTTATGTTTTCTTAATAGATATATGTGCAAAAATCTTAAACCACACTTAATATGAAATACAGGGAGTAAAATCTATATAATTGATTTCTTTTGGATTTCTCTTTTTGTTATAGAATTCTTGAATGGAAATTATGCAAATAAAAAATAATGCTTTTACAATACTAAAACCTTCTAACCCCATGGGTAGGAGGAATGCTTTGGTCCGAAAAAAAAATCTCGTACTCCAAAGTTTTTTGAAATCGGCTCTATATTTTTAAATTTTATACTCTGGGATTGAAAATATAAGTGTAGTTTCAATTTCCAAACAGTCCAAATTATGGGACAAAATCGTCAACAATTTAATAATCTTACTTGATGGCGGTTAATAATCATCTATTTAATAAACTAGGTTTGAAGCCCCGCGCAAGCGCGGGGTTGTTTACGATAGTTTTTCTGTTTAATTTTATTTATACTCGTTGATTTGAATTATGATGGTTTTGTGTTAACTTTCATGTTTTTGTTATGTTTTGAGTTAACTCAACCACTAACACTAAAAAATATGAATAATTTGTTTTTATTTTAATTTATTAGGATATTAACACTCTGCTTTATCTTGAGTTTTCTATTTCTAAAATTTTATCATGTTATAAATATTATGTTTACTTCTATTAGACGGTAAACATGTATATGTATTTGATTGAAGGTTAAAATTTATAAATATGTATATGCATTTGACTGAAGGTTAAAATTTGTAAACATATTCTTGTTTTTCACTACAATTAAATTTACATATAAAACTCTATTTCTATTTGTTTAGAAAAACAAACTCTAACTCTAATGTTTCATTAGCTTTCTATTGTCTTAATTAATTTATATTCAACTTTTTAACTTGTAAACACATTCTAACATTTTTAAATAGGATAAACCTTTGAATAATAAAGTAAATATATACTATTTGAAGTTGAATATTTCTTTACTCCATCTCTATTTTATATTCCAACTTTTTGATAACTTTTAACATCAAATTATCACATACTTTCTATTAATTAATCAATTTATTTGTATATTTTTATTAAATATGAATAAATGTAAAGAAATATGAATAGTCATATATTTATTAAATATTTTAAATACAATTTAATGTTTTTGTGCTGATGTGGACACTCTCAAATGGAGAGAGCAACTCCCTAATTATATATAAGATTGTTTAGTTGATGACGGTTAATCATAGTACGAACGCGCAGAGGAATAGCCCTAAGAGAGCACAACGATGGATCATACCGAGAGAGAAGCGAAGATGAAATCTAGAGACCTCCGTTGGTCAGAGATTTTCTCCGACGCCTTGCAACTGATCCTCGAAAGCCTGAGCCTCCCAGATTTCCACCGAGCGAGAACAGTATGCTCGACCTGGTACTCCGTCTCCAAATCATGCCTACACCGGTATCCATGGCTGATTCGTTTCCCGAAAAAGCTCACCGTCACGACGGATTCCCGCAATCTCTTCGATCCCGTAGCATACAAGTGGTACGAGACGAGAAGCCTCGGAGACGACGAGTTATCCGAGAGCCGCTGCCTTGCGAGCTACGGCAACTGGCTGCTGATGCTAAACCCTCGCATCGATTTCTCCGTCTTAAACGTGTTTTCCGGAGAGAGGATCGATCTCCCAGAACTATCGCTCCGAGGGGAAGTGAGCCTCCGGAGGAAAGACGACGGCGATTTCCTCCTCGAGCACTCTTCAGTTGACCGCGAGACGATCATCGAGAGGTATGTGAAGAGAGCTGTGTTGTGGATCGACGAGAGGACGAGAGATTTCGTGGTGAGCTGGATTTACAATGATCGATACTTGTTCTCTTACAAGAAAGGAGACGATTGCTGGTGGCATTTTCATGGCACGGAGTGTTTAGATATGGCTTACAAGGACTCAAAGCTCTTTGTTTACACCTCTGACCACTTCATCGAGATTCTTGATTTCGATTCTCCTTCTCCGAATGAGATCACCGGAGATGAAAACCCGTACTGGAATCGTCCGTTTCAATTTGTTCCTCAACTAGGGGAGTACTTTTGGAAGACGAGAGTGGCGATCGATGATTCAGGGGATGTGTTGATCGTTGTGAGCTTAAAAGCTTTCCCTGTGAACAAAGAGGAGCGTTTGTTCTACGTGTTTAAGATGAATCTTGAAGGAGACGAATGGGAACGGTTAGATTCTTTGGGAGGTGATAAAGTGTTGGTGTTTGGCGATGGGGTTATAGTAGCAGCTAGTGATGGAGGAGGAAAGATCAAGAGAGATTCAATCTATTTCGTTGCTGATGATGTTTATCCGCTTCGTAGTCCTTCAATGCTTCAAAGTTGTGGTACGTTTGATCTTGCAACAGCCAAATTGAGCTGGTCTCGATGTCCTTATTTCTTGTCCAACATTCGTTGGTTTGTTCCAGGTTCTGATCGAAAATAATGATCAAACCAACCAACACGGTTCTTTTTTTTTTTTTACATTAAAGCAGAGTTTCAAGAATCACAGAATCTAATAATCTATATGACTTTGATCAAAGGTTTTACATTAGATATTTTTTATGTGTTAACTTGAAAACTATGCAAAATCTCAGAGCAAATTCACCTTTATCCTATGTACTGACTTCTTCTGCTGTTGTCTGAGGTTGTTCATGAACTCTATTCTGTCTCATTATAGGTGCAATCAACTTCCAAACTGTATTCAAGTAATACACAAAACATTTTTATTAAGAGATTTGATTAGAAAGTTTGCAACTACTATATCTCTCATTTAGATAATAAGTAAGATAAAAAAAATGAATATGTGAAATCACTTACGGTATATAGCTGCAGCAAACCATTCATTCACTATCTTGACCCATGTGCTGGTCCACCCAACATCCATGCTCCATCTATATGTTACAATTTCATATATTAGTCATTGGTGTGAAGTTTTATTTATATGGAGATGAAAATATGGAAATGTTTTCTTACTTGCGAGCTGGATGTGCGAGGTTCCAGCTGATGAACAACATAGCAAAGTACATAGCTCCTAAGGAAAACACAAGATGGAAGAATCCATAGCTGTATGGTATATCATCTTCTTCTTTATCATCATCTTTATCGAACTCGAACTGTATAATTAGATATTTAATGTGAGAAAAAATGTCGATCTTTAAACTGAGATTGAATGTTCAGTTTCACTTTACCTTGAAGGAGTCTGAATCGATTCCGGTTGAGAATGTTGCCATCACAATGGCCCCTATAGCTATAAGGAAACTCTAAACCAAACAACAACAACAAATAGGGATTGAGTAAAAGTATAAGCCAAAATTCAAGAAGAGGCTTGTATAGCTTCTTACCAGCATTGTAATCCAATCGGTATGACCCTTTTGAGTATGCGCATTGCATGTCGTATGGTAAGGTTCACTGGCACATAACTTTGTATTATTAGTAATGTTTTGAAGAAGCAACAAAAAACAAGAGTCAGATTTAATACCTTCTGATGGCAGACCAACATAGGAAGACAATGTAGGAAGCCATAATCCCTGAAGACAGAAGTGCTCTATTCTTCACCTTTAATGAGAAAAGCATCAGAACTCGACGCAGAGATGGATCATTGTGTTACAATCAAGAAAAAATGTACCTTTAAAAGCATGGACATAACCATTAGGACGATTAGAAGAAGAAGAGTCAATGAGATGAAGAATATATTGAGGAGACAAGCAGTTGAAGCTGCGTATAAGTAGCACATGACAGCGATCCCACAAACAGAACCAATGTAGAAAACTGTTGACATGAGCAAACCAAAAGAGCATCTGCAGAAAAACACACTAGTAGTAAATATACTAATCAAAGAGTTCATGAAACAACCTCAGTAAAGAGTAAAGACTGATGTAGACTTTACCGTTTCTTACTTTGATCATGAGCCATCCAGTAGTTATTCCACCAAGTAATAAATTCAATAATACTTACAAGCTGAAGACCAAGAAATATCCTGCAAAACCATACAAAAATAGTTAATGAGAATCTCAAAAGTTTCTTTTACATGATTGTGTAGAAGAGAGCAAGCTTGAAAGATGAATTTACCCAGCACCAACACGCGCGACTTCTCCTGTGAGGAAATTGTGATCCAAACCAATCAATCAATATCATCAAATATGGAAGAAGATTATAATGAGACAAAAGAACATACCGTAGATTTGGATGTAAAGCTGAGGGACGAAGAAAGAAGCAACCATGGCTGAAACCAGCAGGATAAACTTGAAGGTCCAGTTATCCGAGTGCCAACTGTTTTGAGCTTGGTGGAGTTTCAAAGTGTTCCATGTTGAGAGGAACATGATAAAGAAAAATATCTTCATTGTTAAGGATAAACAAACTCATACCAAATTGGCAAATTTACTTTAACAACATTGTTGATTATTCAATCTGAAAAAAAAAAAAATCTCATTCTTGAGGATACGAAACATCCAAGACTCACACGGAGTACTCCAAGCGTATAGAAACAATAACTTCCTTTTGGTCCACAGCTACTCACATCTGCATTTTGTTGATTTCATCATAAAGACATCATTAAGATAGATGTAATAATGTAAAGAGGTTTACGAGTTTTACATGGAATCAAGGCAAGAGTCTTTTGTGCGTAGTCACGGATAAACCAAGCGCAAAGATTTGTAATCAAGAAGATGATTCCGTAGACATAACGAGCTACCAACGACTTGTTTTTCTCTTTGTGGTAAAAGAGACTATTTTCTTCTATTGCTCTTATGATTTCATTATCAAACTGAGCAGCCTCTATGTCAATAGGACTAATCTCCATCTCCGACGATGATCTCACCTTTGGATCATCCATTGTCAATAGTCAATACCTACAAGAAATTACAAAATGTACAGAACAGAACAGTGATTCTTTTGGATCGAATGTCAATACAGGATTATAAGAATTGTTTATATCAAATCCCTTTATTCCATTTCAAAATGTGAGCACTTTTGATTCAGATAAGATGACAAAGAACAAAAATTCTAAAAGGTCTACACTTTAGCTTCAATTATTTTTTTCTCCCACTTTGCTTATTTTCAGCGTTTGTGAAATTGATTGAAAAAGATACGATTTTTTCTGAAATAAATGGCAATGATGTTCCGATAGCACAACACAATTCCGCAAAGTAAATGGCAATGATGTTAAATAAAATCCTTAGAAGATAAGGTTTACAAAAGCAAAGGATCACACCTATAAATGAGTATCTACGAAACTCTATCATCAGCAATTAAGGGAACAATATTTAAATTTCCGGCATAAAAATCTGACCTTTTTGGGGGCAATGGCTGGATTCAGAAAGAAAATGGAAGCCAACTAATAAGAAGAAGACGAAGACAAAGCCTGAGAGTTGAAGTATGAGTAATGAGTCTAGTGTTGTCACACGACAATCTCGCAGACAGAGTAAAGAAGAAGAAGAAGAAGCGGGTTCGAAACTTGGTTTTAAAAACAGACATGCTTTGGTTTGGTTGTGTGGTTTTTATAATATGTAACGGTTTCATTATAAGGATTAGTGCACCTCTGTTTCTAGCTGTACGATCTTACCTTATCTTCACTTCCTTTAACTTGGAATGTTTTTTTTTCTCCGTTTAGTTAATTTCTTTTTGAATTCCTATTTTATTCTGTGTAATGAATTTTAATCACATGATTCACATCACATGAAACTTGCGAACTGAAAACTTTGAATTTTGTAAAACTTAAAATAAGAAGAAACATTCCCCGAGCACGAGGAAAGATTACAATGGAGAGCCACGTACGTAAAAACTGAATCCATGATTACTTGTACAGTAAAACCTCTATAAAACAATAATGTTGGGACTTTGAAATTTTATTATCTTATAGAGTTATTATTTTATCGATAAAACAATAATTATTATTTTATCGATAAAACAATAATTATTATTTTATAGAAATATTCTATCAAAAACAAGAAACTTTATAGAAATATATTTTTTCAGATTTTTTATTCAAATTTTCCTTATACTTTGTTATTTACATATTTCATGCTCAGAAGTTCAAAGTCTATAAGAAATTATGTCTACTGTTCTTAATGGTGAAGATGAAGTTGAAGATGATGAGGAAGGACATGTGCAAGTAGTTACACGTAAGGATGCAATTGTGGCTTCGAGAACTCTTCACAACTTTTGGCTGCATGTTGAGAATACATCTCCAATTTTCAGAAAATACAAACTACATTGGAGTCATATTTTACTAAATTGTCTTAGATATATATGCATTAGTTTTATAATTATTATCTTAGCTTATTGTTGGGACTATATTTTTACATAGGAGTTTCAAAAATATTATTGTCTTATCATCTTATCGCATTATGCTATTTTTTACACTGGCCCGAGTTGGGACCGGAGAAAAATATTATCTTATAGTGTTTATTGTTTTATCGAGTATTGTTTTATAGAGGTTCTACTGTAGTTTAACTATAAGTTTTGGAAGTGTGTAATCAAAATATACATTAATTTTCTTGCCTAAACCGATATAGTTTTATGGTTAATCTAATTCATCATCAAGTTTCATTTTTCTTCATTTTCCTCATTATTTTACTACTATATTTGTTCGCGAAAGGAATTTGACTAGTGAAAATATATTTGAGCAAGATGTTTAAGAACATTCTTAAATTCTCTGTTTGACTATTTGTCATCTATTTCAGTGGATTTATTGCCATTCATTTATCTTTTGCTTTAAGTTTGAACACATGGGTTGTGTTGTGTGGAGAGTTTGACCAACTAACCAAATCAAATCAACTCGTTTCTTCTTGTTTATCCAAGCTGTAAACCAATTCAAATTATGGTTTACTACTATAAGTAGGGCAGATTATGGTGCGAGACAAGCAAGTGAAGACAAAAATACTTTTGTTTATTGGTTCATGACCTTTTTTTGGGCAGAGGAACGTTTTGAGGACCCACAAAGGCTCCTAATCATAATCTTCTTCACCACGCGACTTCGAAAGTTGATTCACATTCGAGGGCGCTTTCTTTTTAGGCTTAACATAAATTAGTTCAATTATAAAATCATTGTGCTGCTACTTCTTGTAAGATCATTTTCACTTACATATTTGATAATGTAGTGTTTTATTTGAACCACGTACAAACAGCTAAACAACGTGTTACTAAGAGATTAGGGTTTGGTGATAGTTGGCAAGAACTAGAAATCTCCAACGGAAACGGGTAACCTCTTCTTGAAGATTCCCATAATCCGAAGAACGTTTGGAAGAAGTTACCAAAAATAAAAAACCTTTTTCTTGATAAATATATCATATATCAAATGTGATTTGGAAATCCAAAAATCATGGAAAATCCTGAAGGTTCATCTCTCTTCTAATCATGGTAGGCAAAAAGAAAAAGGGTTCCACTAGTGCCTTGTGGATGAATCAACCATAGCATCTCACAACAGATTTGACAGATTCCAAAGATAACCTACAAGCTAGGGTTTATGGTTTCTCATCAGAAACCCATTCCTCCCATACCTCCCATACCACCCATGCCACCACCGCCCATAGCCGGAGATGCTTCCTCTTTCGTTGGAATCTCAGTCACAACTGCTTCCGTCGTTGTCAACAAAGACGAGACACTAACCAATACAATAAACCAAATAACAGAATATTAGCACTACACTACAACAAACAAACAAAACTTTACTTTAAATTTTTCAAAACTTTGTCTACCTTGCAGCATCAACCAATGCGGTTCTGATCACTTTCACAGGGTCGATAATACCAGACTTTACCATATCAACGTACTCTCCTGGAAATAAATGCGGAAAGAAGCTAGTTCAGTATATAGTGAAATAACAATAGTGGACCAAGAGCGATTACAAATGCGAATTTCTTTAATGCATATGAAAATGTAACCTTTAGCAGCATCATAACCCAGGTCAGGGTTATCTTGCTCCAAGAGCTTGCCAACGATAACTGCACCCTCGACTCCAGCGTTGGAGGCAATCGTGTAAACAGGTGTCTGCATCAAAGAAAAGATTTTTGTGTGTTAAGGTGCTATCAGCTGTTTGTTTATGTTGGAGAAAGATGAAAGATGTGACGAGAGGAATTACCCTGAGAGCGTTCTGAATGATTTGGACACCGATTTTCTGATCAAAGTTAGCTGTGGAAAGCTTCTCAAGCTCTTTTGACGCGTACAAAAGAGCAACACCACCACCTGTAGTTCACACAGCAGTAATGTTATTTATTTTTGTCCCTAAACTTATATCAAAGTTTGTCTTAGAGAACGAATTCAGAAAGTCTTTTTTACCTGGAACAATACCCTCTTCTACAGCTGCTTTGGTGGCATTAAGAGCATCGGTTACTCTGTCTTTCTTTTCACCAACTTCTGACTCACTCGCTCCTCCAATCTAATACCATTATCGGTTATGCGTTAATAAATTTTCAGTCGATTAAAGTGCTCCAACAGAGATGTTAAGAGAGCGGTTTCCTTACCTTTAGTACAGCAACACCACCAGAAAGCTTAGCCAACCTTTCTTGTAACTTCTCCTTGTCATAGTCAGACTCGCTTGCTTCAACCATGGATCGAATCTGTGCGATTTATTTCAGATTTAAAACATATTTAACATACTTGCCAGTTGGCAAAAAGAGTCACTCCATTACATGATAATAACTGAGAAGCATAAACCGACCTGTTCACATCGTTCCCCAATTGATTTCTTGTCACCAGCCCCATCAAGGAAAACAGTGTCGTCTTTGGATATAGTTATCTGTTCACACAAATAAAAAATCATGTGAATACAAATTGTATATAAAGGTATGTAGGAAAATGAGAATAAGCCAAAGGAATTTGGACAAACGAACCTTTTTGCAGTTTCCAAACATGCCGAGGTCGATCTTCTCGAGATTCATACCCAACTCTTCTGTTATAACCTGACAATCGAAACCACCATAGGAACATTATTAGCTCATACAGTTACTGTGAACGTGACCATCTTGGCAGATACTGAAATAAGAAGATGGGCTTGCCTGGGCTCCGGTGAGGATAGCTAGATCGTGTAAATTGGCCTTTCGGTTTTCTCCGAAACCAGGGGCCTTCACAGCACATACCTACAATGTGATTTGGCATTTACATAAATCCAAGCAAATTAAATTTCCAATAAGACGTAGTAAGCAAAAGGCTGAAAAGAAAAACCTTGATTCCAGCACGGAGTTTGTTCAGAATTAGCACGGCAAGAGCATCACTCTCCAAATCCTCTGCAACAATCAGCAGGGGCCTTTGGTTCTGAAAAAGGGAAGAGAAAATAAATGTCAACCATCAGATACAAAGTAACTTGATGAATATCTGACACTCATGAAAATCACCAAACTGTTTAATACCTTGAGGGCTAGTTCTAAGACTTTCACCATAGAATTCAAATTGGAAATTTTCTTCTCGTGGATAAGAATGAGAGGATCTTCTAGTTCCTGCAACCCATATCCATATAGAAGAAGCAGTCAACTGCCAAGTTCATTAAAAATTGATAAAGCAACAAGGTGAGAATCCTTACACATTTTTGGTTTTTCTGGTTGGTTATGAAGTATGGAGAGATGTATCCCCTGTCAATCTTCATACCCTCAACAACTTCAAGCTCGTTATATAAGGTCTTGCCATCCTATATCAAGAAGACGATAAGCATAAGTCACCATAAGAAATAAGCAAAAAAAAGTTTCAACATTTAAGATCAAATTAAACTCACTTGAATTGTGATTACTCCCTCTTTGCCAACACTTTCCATAGCCTTTGCAATCAGTTCACCGATTTCCCTGTCTCCATTAGCTGATATTGTTCCAACTTGAGCAATCTCTTCAGAGGTGCTAATCATGC